AAGGTGATGATGAGAAGAGGTTAAAACATAAAGGAGCAGCATCCTACTAACTCCTTACACCTAGCAGCCAGCCAATCAGGCTGCTGATGATTTCTTTATCGGGCTGTGGACGGGGCCCACGTGCAAGTGAGGACAAGAAGTGCCGAGTGATCGGACACTCCGACTAGTAAATATAGTATAGGAGTGAGGAGTCTCTTACACTTCCTGCCTGAATGTAAAAAAACATTCTGTATTTATAGACGAGAATTTACCATACTGGGACAATGCCTGCATTTGGAAATATATTTCTTCCAGAAGCTTCTAAAACCTGCTAAATGCAGGAAATGGGGAATTTCCGGAACTTTTATTTCTCCAAAATTCGAAAAAATAAAGAAAAAGTCCCCCGCAGCCGCGTTTTCAGGCACCCTGCACCAAATTTTTTCAATTTGTTTTTTCGAGACCACGCTCCGGGCAAATGCGCGAAAAGCCCTGTACAGTGGCACACGGCGGAAAAACAAACTGTGAAAAGCCTTGCAAGAGCACGCCTGCGGCAGAGGCCGACTGGCTCGGGAAGGGGCCAAATTTCAGGATTTTCTGCTGATTTTCTGCAGGAAGGCACAGGCCAGGCATGCAGCAGTGCTCGGGAAGGGCTGATGTGTGCAGCGCATGCTTTCTGAGCACTGCCGCGTCGTCTCTGGTGCTGAGACATTTTCCATAGAATGGCATGCATGCAGAAGGAAGAAGAGGAAAAGGAGAAAAAAGAAAGAGGCTGCACGCCAGAATAAAGAAAACAGCCCGCGGGCAGAAGACAAAGGTGTTTGCACTTGCTTTTATTTAGCCGCAGAGATCTGCTGTTCAGGGAATGCGGGCCACTTTGTATAAAACCCTTTTGTATGCTATTACGTCCTCGAGGTGCTTTTTGTCTGGGAGGTCGACCAAGTGCATGAACTTGTTCAGCATGAACTGCTCGTCCGAGAAGGCAGATCCTGCCTGCTGGATGCAGCTCTCCTTGGACAGGACTCCGCGAACATACATGTTCAGGAGGAAGTACAGGTACTCCTCCAGGTGCTCCTCCGGCTTCTCCCTCTCCTCCTTCTTTCCGTAGAGTATGCCGTGCGCTGCGTTTCGGATTCTCTTTATGCGGTTCGCCTCGTCTGGGACTTCGCTGAGGTAGTATCCTGCCAGGAAGAGGTACGCCTCCTTCTCGGAGACATTTGACATGTTTGCAAGTGCAGTCCGCACCGTGGGAGAAAGTTTTTCTGGGAGCGGGTGCTTGGTATAGAGCGCTCGCAGCATGCTAGACTCGCTGCAGCGGAAGCCCTCCCGGACGTCCTCCTCCCGCAGCGCATCCATTTCCAGCAGGAGGCATGCAGCATTGTATGTGCAGTCTCGGTCTCGCAGGCTGGAGACAATCTCCTCGAGGCCCTCGCTGCTGTTTATGCGGAACAGAATGTGCATCTTCAGAATCTTCTCCTTTGGCGTGTCTTCGCTTGTTGCGACAAATGGGTCTGTTTCCAGCTTTATTGCGTGTGTCTGCAAAAGAAACAAAATGCACTCGAGAGCTTCGGTCTTGCTGCGCGTCCCAATGTAGCTGCTCATGCTGTTTGCGATCTTCTCCACGACCGGAAGCGCGAGCAGCTCCTTGCGCATGCTCGCCAGCTCCTTGAGCGCGCAGAGGGGGAGAAACTCCAGCACGAGCGCTGCCGTCTCCAGAAGGCTGCAGTTGACAGAGGCCTGCAACAGCCTGCACAGGCGCGAAAAGAGAAGGGGGAAGTTTCCGTGCGTCTCTTCAATGCCCTGCCTGTTTTTGCAGAGAACTCTAAAGCAGTGCACCAGGTCGCTCTCGGAAAAGGTTCCTGCAGCCTGCCTCTCTATGGAGACAAGCGCAGAAATGGCAGCGCCAAGAACGACCGGACTCTTCTCGTCGAGGGCCTGCCGGATTGCGCATGTCTTTGTCTCCCGGAACGCGGCAAACAGAGCAGGCGCTGCCAGGAGGGCGGACTTTCTGATGATGTCGGAGCTCGAGCAGAAGCTTTTTTCAATTTCGTACGAGAAGTGGTTCAGGAACTCCGGGTCCTTCACCTTGGATATAAAGTCAAACGCCAGGGATGTTTTCAGCGCGTGCAGGGGTGTTCTGTACTCGAGGTCTCCGCTTATTTCCTGCTTGACTGTGTTGACGGCCAGGATGAGGAGGCTCGAGTCGCTCCGCAGGGAGCGCAGAACAAAAGAGTATGCAAGACACTTCACCTCAATGGCGTCGTGCCCGATCAGGCTGAGAACCTGCGGGAACAGCTGGGCCTTTTCCTTGTACGAAATGCTTTTTGTGGACATTATGTGGAAGGCCTTTATGATCAGCCTTTTCTCGCCCGAGGATAGGCTTTCCTTGGCTCTCTGCAGGGGCGACTTCTCTGCAGAAACTGCATTTTCTATAAGGGCTCCTGTCAGGGTGTACATAAATGGCCCTATGCACATGCTTTTATTTGGCCTGTGTTTGTTTGTTGTGTCTGTGTGACATACGCGCCCTTACCCGTAGTAGAGGCATGCAATAAAAAAGAGGCTAATGGTGGCGGTGCATGTGCTATAGTGCGGGTTGTGCTTTATTTATAAGATGCGGGCGCATGTAGCTTCTTCTTGCCAAGAGCGCGCCCTCACTTTCTTTGCAGGCGCAGCTTCACCCCTTCTCTTGGAGCTGCAAGCTGCCCTAGAAGGGCCTTGGTAAGCTTAATAAAGCCAAAGTCCCGCGAAAGCCGAAAGCAGTGGAAGGCCAGCGCCCCGTGTATAACAAACGAGCAAAGTATGTAGGCGTACACAAAAGTCTCGCTTGCGCTTATTTTGAACTTCCTGTGCTTGGCCAGGTTTAGCAGCTCTATTACGTTGTATGCCTGCACCAGCAGAAAAGGGGCTGCAATAGCGCATGTGTAGCTCCAGGGCGTGTTTGACTTTAGCATCCACCTAAGCGCGCCGAAAACCTTCTGGACGCATGCTGCATATGCGCACGCGCAGCAGGCAGCACAGACCATCGCTAGAATAGAAAGGGTGCAGCTGTGGGCGGACTCTGCATACACATGCCTAACAAACCCTCCTGCAGTTTGAAGCAGAAACGCCACAGCAAAAATTAGCAAAAACACAGTCACTCCCCACATAAGAAAAAAGCACACGACCGGAAGCTCCATCCTAATCATGTACGGATCGTCCACCAGGAGAAGCAGCTTGTTTGTTGCTAGAGCGTTTTCTGCGAACAGCACGCTAAGAAACACAGACCCGAGCACAAGCAGAAAGCTGTATCCTACCAAAGGAAAAACGCACTCGGGGAGAAACAGGCGCACTCTAGCCAGAACACCCTTGTAAAACTCTGTGGTTCTTCCGCTGCGCCCTTCTCGGCTGTCCGCAGGAAAGCCCTCGCGCATGTCAAACGCTTGGGCAATGAGCGTGGACATTTTGTGTGTGCATGTGCGAATAATGGATGATGCGTATGTTCTGTGGTTTGGCATTTGGACTGGTCTAAATATAAAAAGTCTGCTATAAGTGGCGCTGCGGCGAAAGAACTTTGCATTGAAACAGCAGCAGAAACGCTCGCGCTTGTCCGAATTTAAACGCGCAAACACTTGTATTTATTTTAGCTCTTTTCGTGGCGCGGGCATGAAGCCTCCTTCTAGAAAAGCAAGCCTGCCGCCGAGTGCATGCAGGCGCCCGAAGTCCAAGTCGCAGCGGGCGCTAGAAGCATGGAAAAGCCAAATGTACGCATGCAGCACGCTTAACTTAATAAAAGCGCGCGCACGAAAGCCGACGCTGTTTCCAGCTGCACTAGAGCCCCAATGACATTCTGAAAGAGTTCATTCTGTGCGCAATGTCTGTCAGATTGTGCATCTCGCAGAACACCACCGCCTCCTCAAAAATAATCCTCTTGCTGCTTGGCGCAGAGTGCTCAGGGCTTGCGGCCTTTTTCTCCAGCAGGCTTGCCACCTTCATGACCGAGTTTCCAAAGGAAACCAGCGCAGACCCAATGTTTTCGCCCTTTTGCGGCGCGTCTGCCTTCTTTTTAATCAGCATGTCAAACAGCATATCGATAGGCGCGCCCTTGATGATGTCTGGGTTGCTTTTGATCATCTGCACGCTTTTCTCATACGGGCCAGACAGCGCGTCCTCCCACAGCGCCTTCATCAGGCGCGCGTCCTCGATCTCTCCCCGCGCAGCTATTTTCAGCGCCAGCACAGAGAACCCAAACATCACGCAGATCTCAAACAGCTCCTCAAAGCCGAGCAAGGTCGTGTCCAGCTTCACAAACGTTTCCTCCACAGTCGAGTTCTGCACAAACTCTCCGCCCTCCGAGGTGTACATGGACACCAGACACCCCATCACGTCTGCCTGCATCTGCGCCATTGCAAGCCGGTCCTTTGCATTTTTTCCCAGCCTGGGGCTGTAGTTTCGGATTTGCCCTGTCAGAAGAGGCTCCTCTCCGCAGCGCACAGCCGCCTGCATGGTCTTTGCTATGGAAAGATACTCGATTCTCTTTTGCAGGTTTATCACCGGCTTCGCCCGCTCGGCCGACCTCATCAGGTAGAGTGCCGCGGCCGAGTAGTTTTCGTTTTTCAAATGGTACTTCCAGGTGAGGTCGCACATGCTCATGGTCTCCGACATTCTGTCCAGCCTGTCCAAATAGTCCTCCAGATACGGCGACTTGATCTTCAAAAGCACGTCGATGGAAAGGCGGCCCTCCTCTATTTTTGCAATTGCTGCGTTCAAAAGCGCGTTGCACAGCGCGGGCCTTTCGTCCTTCAGCCCCTCCTGCAGGATCTCCTCCGTGCACTCTATCTGCTTGAAGTACTCTGTGGCCTCCTTCTCCGAAATAGAGTTGAACCCGGAGCGGATCGCGTACAGAATTCCCTTTGAGAAGTTCACCTTCGAGTACATCTGCACGATTTCTGGAAGGTACTGCTTGGCCGCTGCCTTGGTGAAAAACTCCATGCTCTTTATAAGGTGCCACTTCCGGTCCTCCTCGGTCGACGCCCGGGACGCCTTTTCAATGGCCTCCTTCCCCTTCAGCAGAAGCGTGTCTGCAAGAGCAAAGAGCGTTGAGCACTTTTCGTTCAGGTCGGTTGTCACGCTGTCTATGGACGCCTTCTGCCGCAGGTTGAGGTCAACCAGCGCGTTGAGGGTCAGCCTTCTCAGGTGCGTGACCGGCTTGAGAAACTCGCAGAACGTAAACTTCAGCTCGGCGTCGCTGTTCTTCTGGGCCTCGTCGAATATGTACAAGGCGTCTGATTCCAGAAGGATGATTATGTAGTTCAGGGTTTCTGCCGCGTTTTCCAGCAGGTCGATCACGGTGTCCTCCGAGATTCGAATGTTGTTGATGTTTGTGCACTCCCGCACAACAAAGTTCTTCAGCCTCTTTGCCTTTTTCGCGGCCTGCTCCAGCTCGTCCACATAGTCGCCTATGTCGATGTCCGACTCGTCCTTTAGGAGCGCGTATATGTCGATCTGCCACACCTTGAACACGATCATGCTTGCGCACATAATGGCCGCGCTCTTTTGGAGGCCCTCCGACTTCTTGAAGAAGCTGTCAATTGCAGGCGACGACGCGCCGCCGGCCACTGCATACAGCGCCGACACCAGCGCCTGCTCCGGGCCGTTTCTCTGCATAAACGCAAACATGCCCTCCGGGTTTGTGCTGGCCCGCTCCATGAGCTCAACCCCGTTCATGATGTGGTATATGTCCAGCCTGTTAGGCGCCAAGAACACCACCTCTTCTCCGGTGAACATTTCCTCTGCAAGGTTTTTCCAAGGCTTTCCTCCTGTTGCGGCTGCGCACATGTACTCGGCCCCGGCCACCACGCTGCAGCAATTCTCGGACGCAATCGGGTCGGCCTTGTTTGCTGTGATCACCGTGATGAACATCTCGCTTTCCTTTTGCCCAATGCTCACCAGGGTTCTTCCAATGCGATGGAACACCTCGTTCTTGATCGAGCTAGGCGCAACAAGCCGAGACCGTATTCGGGTTGGCGTCATTTTTCTCTTTCCCAGCATGTACCCGTTCTCGTCGATAAACACCCGCGTTGCGTCCGGAAGGACCAGGTAGGCCTGGCAGGCCCCGTCGTCGCCCTTGACCAGCTGGATCTTCTCCTTGGTGTTCAGCTCCGGGAGGTCTGCGTTTCTGATCTTTCTCAAATGCGCGCCCAGCTCGTACGCCTCCAGCGTGTTGTCCTTAAAGAGCACCAAAAGCCCTTTGCGCGTCGCAACCATCTGCAGAATTGCAGGCCTGCTGCCCATTGCATAGAGGAAGGGAAGCAAGTGCGTCATTGCGCCGTGCGTGCGGGAGACTAGCTTTGCCGTGCACCCCTTTAGCCACGTCCTCTCCCTGTACACATACTCGTATATGTTCCCGTCGGCTCCCCCCATGAAAACCCGGCCCTCAGAGGTCTCGCAGACGCACGTCATTTTCACAGGCAGGCTCACGCTTACGTCCATGCTGATGTACGACGCAGGGTTTTTGCACAGGCACAGCATGTCTATGCTGTTCTCCGTGAACACCAGAATGCAGTTCTGCACGTTCGACGTAAAGACGTACTTGTTGGACTTCACTGCGAATATGGCTTGCACCTCCTGCGACTTTATCTCCATTTCGCTGACCATCTGCGTCTTGTAGTTCCATATGACCACCTTTCCGCGAGCAGAGGCCCACACAGACGAAACACCCTCAATGACCCCTATGCTTCCTTGGTCGTGCACAATCTCCACGATTTCCTTCTGCATGGGAAGCGACTCCTTTTTATACACAATCGCGTCCATGGTGTACCCGCTGTCGTAGTTTTTTATGGTTTCCAGCGGCACGTTTATCATGTCCTCCAAATCCTTCACTGCTGCTTGCACTTCACTGTATTTATCCATACAAAAATAAAAAATAGATGGAAGGACTTTACAAGCTGGAAGACTACACTTTTAAACGCCTGCTAGGAGAAGGCATGTACTCCATGGTCTATTTGGCAGAGCACGTCCGCGGCATTTTCGCTGTGAAAGTCATTCCCAAGGGAAAGCACAGGAGGCGCGGCACCACGCACGCCCAGAAGGAAATTGCAGCGCTCCAGCGCTTGAGCAGCACCCAGGGAGTTGCAAGCCTGAAAGAGTGGCGAGAGGACGAGTCCTCTTTTTTCATAGTCCTTCTGTACTGCAGCGGATATCCCATCAGCAGCATGCCCTCTTTTCTCTCCGTGCAGGAGATTTTCTATGTTGGGCTGTCTATTTTGGAAACCCTCAATAGAATGCATCTTCTGGGTGTGTATCACCTGGACCTCAAGCCTGCAAACGTAATTGTCTCCGCGCACGGGACGTACATAATAGACTTTGGCTGCTCCTTTATCTCTTCGGAGCGGGTTGTTGAGCTCTGCGCGCTGCCTTTTGAAGGCACGCCTGCCTACATGGCTCCCGAAATAATCAAGCGCACAGAGTCGCACATTTCTCTCGAGGCCCTTGACGTGTGGAGCTTCGGGTGCCTCCTGTACTACATGTCCGCAGGCAGGGACGCGTTTGCATCAACCTCCCTGTACTCGCTCTACCCGAAAATAATCGGCTGCAAAATCAACTATGCGCAAGTGTCTGACGAAATACAGCAGGTCTGCGCAAAAATATTTGTACATGACCCAAAAGCCCGAATCTCCTTGAAGAGCCTTATTAGCCTCTTCGGAAGCAAGATACGCCGATATGCGTAGGCCAACTTCTTGAATGCTCTTCTTTATTATCTCAAAGTGTTTTTGGTTGCTCCACCGCGCGCATGCTTCCGCACAGCCGTGCCAGCCCTCGCTGCCACGCGCAAGAAGCATTGTCCTGCAGCTTGAGCGCCCGCAGAATGGCACGGCGCAAAAGCGCTGCAGACCAGCCGTTCTGCAGCCGCTTGCAAGGGGCTGCCGCGCTGCATTCTGCGGCCGCGCAAGCTGCACAGCCTTCGCCAGAAAGTACTTCTGCGCGTTTGAATTTTTTAAGTGCATGTTCATAGAAGCGGTACGGAAAGAAAGACTGCGGGTTTCTCCGGTGCAGAGGGAAATAGAGAGCGAGGTTCTGGACGTTCTGCGGAAGAAGATTCCGGGAAAAGTGGTTGAGGAAAACGGGATCACTCTCTTTCCGGTTGGCATAGAGTCTATTGACGATGTAGAGGTGCACGAGGGGATGCTCTATCCGCTGGTCGCGTATAGGCTCGTTATGTTCCAGGCGTTTCCAGGGGAAGTGCTAAACTGCACCGTGGAGAAGCAGGACTCAACAGGAATCATGCTTTCCCACCCTCTGCTCCCCTCTATCTTCGTCCCTGCTTCCCAAATGCCGTCTCCCTCCGAGCTGACCTTGGTCTCTGGCCGCATGGGCACACCCGTGGAAATATGGGGGTGGAAGTACAACGAGTGTGTCCTGTACATCCGCATGGGGGAGGTTTGCCGCGTTTCAATCATCGACACGCACCAGCCCACAATATGCGCCTCCATATCTGGCCCTGGCCTTGGCCCTGTCGCTTGGTGGTAGATTCCGGCAGCCTGCGCTCTGCGCGTCTTTTTGGGAAAACCCGAAGCACAAATGGCACAGAGAGCGGGCTAGCACAAGCAGGGCCTGCAGCTTTTTCTGCACGCGCGCGTAAATAAAAGAACATAGATTTATGCAGCCTTTCCGTGCGCAAGCAGCGCGCATTTTTCCGTGGGTACGCCCTCTTTGCACTAGCACTGAAGCATAAAGCATGCGCGCTTCACTATTTTTTGGAAGGCCGAATGAGTTGGCTCAGTATTTAGCACAACCAGGGGCTGATTGCGCATGGTTTGCTTGTGCATGCCGAGAAGGAGTAAAGCCCGGCTGCTCACACGACTTCCTTTGGAGTTGAAGCTCTGCTCCTTCCTTTTTCAATTTCTTTGTGCGGTGCCCTTCGGCATAGGGCCGTGCCTGAGCGGGCCTGCAGAGCTGGCGCAAGACGCTGGCGGCTCGGTAGTGCAGAGCATGCGCTGTGCTTTGCTCCTTCTTCCCGTGCCATGCACGCGTGCTGCTTCTTTCGCGGCTTTTGGATTTTTCGAACTTTTTTGCGCTCGACGCCTTATGTGCAGGGGGTTTAAATTTTTAAAGGCGAATTGCAGGGGGGTAGGCAATTTACCTAATAAGGTAAATTAGAAAATTAATTTCCCTTCTATGTATTGGGAAATGCCCATTCTGGTTTGGGAATATTGCAAAAGCAATTTACCCGAAATGCTCGCACGCATATGGAAAGGCAATTTGCCTTAAGTGGCAAAAGAAGACCCCTGCTGTTTTCTGTAGAAGCTTTTTGCCCTTTAAATAAACCTGAAAATGGTTTTAAAAAAATGTGTTCTGTGTGGAGTACTTTTAACAAGTACAAAGACATTCCTTCGCCTAAAAATGATGCATGGATATTCCCAGGAAAGCCTATGACACTAGGGTTTACAGAGCAGATTTGCGACTGGGAAACCTCGCAGTACGAATACGAAATGTAGCAGCCTAGCCCGTCTAGGCTATATGCCCAACCAATCCTCGGGCGCGAAATAATAAATTCAGAGTGCCTTTTTGCTTTCCCAGACCGAGCCCTTTCCGGGCGCTGGCCTGCAGCGCTGTCTTTCTTCAGAGGCTGTCTGCCTGTGGCATGCCACACTTTCTTGCAAATGCAGAGACACCTGCTGCACACTTTCCTTCTCCAATGTTTTAAAATGGTGCAGGCGCTGGGTGTGCAAAAGGCGCACGCAGGAGCCTCAGCGCCCAAGCGCTGGCTGCAGAGGACAAGGCACCGACCCAGCACACTTTAGCGCTCTGCGCGCTCCAAGCTTTAGAGCCCGCAACTAGTTTGCACCGTGGCTTCTGGCAAGCCCTTTTGCAGACGCATAGCTTTGGTATGTGGGCGTGCTATAGAAGCAATGCCTGTCGGTTTTTGTTCTCGAATGCTTGCGGGCAGAGCTGCATTGTGCAAAGCCAGAGGGCACAGACTGCGGGTCTGGCCTGCTGCAAATATGCTTTTTGGTTTCCGCACCCCCAGCATTCGTGAAAATGGCCCGTGGGCGGACGGATGCATGCTCTGCTGGCGGGGCGAAAGGGCATGCAGACAAGTGTGATAAATCTCTCGGAATGTGCCAAATGCGCCAAAAGACTATGCAAAGAGCTTTGAATGGGTGCCAGGAAGACCAAAGATACATGTTAAAGATTTATTCCTGCGCCCACCGGTCGAGGGCGCCGCAAGAGTGCAGCAGGCGGGCACCTATAGTATGTCTGTGTATAGGTTGGTTATAAGCTCTTCTACCCGGTTCGAGTCGAATGTTTTGAGGTGGTGCTTTTCAAAGTACGAGGTTATAATGTCCACGGCCACCTTTTTGTCTATTTTTTCTGCATCCCGCAGGCCGTCCCTGATGCATGCAGAAAGGTTCTTGTCCACCTTCGCGCCGCTTTCCTCCTCCACTGGCGCAAATGCAAGAAGGTAGAAGTGCCGAACCACTTGGAACGCGTCCTGGTCCTCGGGCGTTATTGGGAACTCTGGGTAGAAGCTGGTGACTATAAACGCCACAGCCTCCTGCGAAGGGTTGATCTGCATGGAGCCGCACCCTGGGACAATCACTGCCAGGCACATCTTTATGTGCTGTATTCTCCCATACCGCATCCCGTACTGCTCTCGGTAGCTTCCCGCAAACGGGCTGAAGTCGTTGATTCGGTCCAGCGCCTCTATGCACTTTAGAGAGTCCAAGAGCCGCTTGCAGGTCCCTAGAACGCACAGGTCTCCCGTGGAGTTCAGCACCAGGCTGCATGCCAGAAGCGTATAGTCCAGCAGAATCGAATACTCTGTGTTGCGCCTCTCCAGCTTGTACAGCAGCGTGGTGGCGTCGCTTACGAATTTTTCGTTTGGCTTTTTGCCGGCCTCCGGAATGGACAGAAGCCCATATGCAAAAATTTTTCCTGCGACGCTGTGCGCCGTCTCAATGGACATAGTTTCGCCCAGCGCCTCTGCAAATGCGGCGCTGTATTCTGAGGTGTCCCCCAATACCAGGGCTTCCATGAGAGAGGAGAAAAAGCGGTTCAGCGGGGTGGAGCGGCTGCTAGGCTCCTTGAGCAGGCACGCAATTTTCTCGCGCCCGCTTTTCATGTGCACCAGCCCGTTTACAATAATTTCGCAGGTTCTGTCTGGAATCCGCTCGTACTCCAAGGTTCTCGAGCCTATTGCTATATACGAAAAAGCGAACGCAGCCGAAACCCGGTGATACTTGTCGTAGTACGTCTTTCGGGCGTGCGTGCTTCCTGAAATTATTGGGCCTTTTCTCTCCATATACTCTATGAGCGCCTTTTTTGCAAAAAGGTCGTTCTGGCCCATGTACAGCACGCCCAGCGCAAAGACGCTCCACATGAGCAGATGCCCGGGCGACATCTTTGCGCGCAGGTTGAACCAGATGATGTTGGCGTGGTCCTTGTTTCCGGACCCCTTGATGATGAAAGAGTTCCCCAGGATGGTTGCCGCAATCAAAAGGCTGTCGTGGCTTCTGGACAGCGACAGAATGAGGCACCGGGACAAGCTTAGCTTTTCCCCCAGCGAAATGCTGTTTTGGCACACGGTTGTTTTCAGCCCAAACCCAAAAATCGACCCCGCAAGAGACATCAGCGTTTTGGGCGTCATCACCTCTATGTGGCTTGTCGATATAAACGGCCTGTTTGGGATCGAGAGAGAAGTCGCCACAGAAAAATGGAAGGACGGCCACATGCTCTCCCACTCCGTCAGGTCCGTGACGGTCACCACATTGCAGTTTTTTTTCAGAAACACCTTCAGCTGGGGAACCTGAAACACGTTCACCTGGTTGTTCCTGTTGAGAAGGAAAAGCCCGCGCCCTACAGATGCAATCGTGGAGCAAATAAACGCCTTTCTTCTCCGGCTCTCTGTGTCATAGAGGTCAAACAAAAAGTCCCCCACCTGGTGCCCTGAGAGAAGCCGCTTGCACTCCTCTATAATGCCGGCGTTCCTCAGGCGAGAAGGGACCTCCCGGATAAACTCTGGGTCCTCCAGGGTGTGCGAAATAGCGGCTTCGCAGAGTTTGTCTTTTTTGCTGGTGGCCTGCAGGCGGTCGTTCCGCAGAAGCACATACCCAAGATTTCTTGACTTCTCCACCAGGCTTTCCTTGTATGAAAACAGCTCGTACAGGAGGGCCTTCTTTGGAAGCCGGCGCTCGCCAAGCACCCAGAACAGGTATGCTCTTTTCCCGTCAATGCGCATGTTTCTGCGCGCAATCACTTTGAACAGCGGGGTTTTTATGTTGTGCACACACCTTATAATGTGCACAATTTTTTCCAGGTGGGACGAAATCTTGGCAACCGCCTTCTTGGACAGGCCTGCCAGCTCCTTTGAAAACAGCTCGTCCAGCGTCTGCCCAGAGCCCGCGCTGTGCGCGTGCAGTATGGCGTGCATGCTGGCAGACGGCATGATGCGCCCGAAAAGCCACTGCCCCCGCGTGCTGTACTGGAAGAAGTTTTCGATCTCGTTCATGTGGTACCCTCTCGTCTGCATTGCCCTGATGTTCTGGGCGGCCCTTTTTGTGATGTACTTTGTGACGTTTTCTGCAGGAATCTCCCCCAAGTCCAGAACCAGCCCATACTCGCTTATCACTTCTTTCCCGTTCACCAGAAAGTATGCGCCCCGGGCGGTCTTTATGGGGACAACGCTCTCGACGCGCCCAGCCATAGGAGAGTACACCAGCTCGTGCTTTATGGAAGACTCTCCAGATCTTCTTTGGAGAGAGCACACAATCACACAGAAGTCCTGCACAATCGCATGGCGGGTGCCCTGGATAAGCACGCGCCGCACGCCCTCTCTGGGCATGGAAAACAGAAGGTTCGATGTGGGCGGCGCGCCTCTGTACAGATTTAAGTGCGGCTTTCCGTCTTTTTGGAAGAGCAGGGCGTACCGGTCTTTGTGCGCTGCCACAATTTCAAAGGGCGCCCCCAGCATGCAGTCCGAGCGGACAGCCTCGTACGGGCCTGTTATGTAGTTCAGAGACGTGCTGTTCACCTCTGAGTACACAACCCCGTCTTTAAGAAAGCCCGACGTCTGGATTCTGCACGTGGGGTATTTTATGAGGTCGCCTGTTTTCTCCACAAAGACAATGCTCTTTTCCAAAACCACAGCAATCCGCTCTCCCACGTGCCCGCACCCAACAATGCTGCTTTTAAACCGGTACACAGCGTTCTTTGTTTTAAGCGTGTTTCCTTTCCACTTCATAAATAAAAAAGAATCCCTCTATATATATTGGCTTTATTAATGCAGCTCCTCCAGTGCGCACAAAAGCTACTCGTAGTCCTCGGAGGCCTCCGGCTTTTTGCCCCCGCGCTTCCCCTCAAAGTATGTCCCGTATATGTTGATGATTTTCTTTCGGTGGGTTATGCCTTGGTTCACCATGATTAAAAGCGAAAAAAGCTCGTCAAGTGTTGGAAACTTCTCGGACACTTGGTAGCTGGGCCTCCGGCAGAACGAAACATACACCGGCTTTTTCTGACTGAAGAACACCAAAATGCACCGGGTTTCATCACTGATCTCGTACCTTTTCCGGATCTTTTGGGTGACGTCTTTTGTTTCATACGCACTGAACGCAAAATACCTTCCTACAGTGCTTTCCAGCGCAGCCAGCATTCTGTCAAGCCTCTGGCACTCCGGGCTCTCCGCATACCCAAAGCGGACGATGGCTATTCTTTCGTCGGCCAAAATCTCCTCAAACATGTCCTCTGACACAATGTTGTTCACATAGAAAGACATATCTTTGGAGAAGTCACGGCGTTTTTGCCTTTTATGCTGATACTACGATTTGATGTTTATTTCACGATCCAGTCTCTTCTCGGCATATGGGGCAGAGGTTTTTGCTCTTCTGCAGCCATTTCTTGAGACACATGCCGTGGAATATGTTTCCGCACTTCGTGCAGGCCGTGTCGGGAAAGCACTTGCTCACCTCGTTTATCATGAAGAAGCATATTCCGCACTCTTCAACTTCTTCCACAGCATTGTCCAGCGAAAGCTTCCAAAGCATCAGAGCCTCGCCAATCCGGCAGTGCTCTGTCATGAGGATCTGTATCCTGAGAAGCAGCCGCTGCAGCCGCTTCTTTTTGATCCCCACGCACCGAGCCACCTTCACCTCGGGCTTTCCGAGAGGATAGTCCATCGGGAAGCTTATGTTCGCCTCCAGCTCCGACTCCTCGATCCGGTATGCCGCCACCATTATGTGCGTCTCCGCAATCGTCTTCATTTTCAGCTGCACGCCCTGGAGCGGCCGGCTGGCCTCTTCTCTCACAAGGCTGGGCGTCACGTGCGCTGCAAAGTACTTTTGCACGCGCTTTGCGTTTCGGCTGCTCTGGAAAAAAATGCGCATGAGAATGGGGAAGTTTTTGGCGAAAAGCCCAAGAAGGTCCAGCGCGCAGGACTCGCTTTGGATGAGGAACGCCAGCCACTTGCACTCCGCGCGCACCATGGCTGATACAAGAGAGCATATTTCGATGCTCCGCACCTCGCTGCATATGGAGAGAAAAAGCCTCCACTCGTACAGATCCATCTCCTTTATGTTTGGGATCGCCGGTATGTCAAACAGCATGAAAAACACCTCTGCGTCTATGGCGCCCTCCTCTACCTTTGCCATGTAGTACATATTCAGAATCGTGTTTGCATAGTGCTTCCCGATGCTCTTCAGAATGGGCGCATATGCCTCGCATCTGTACGCGTTGCCGCCTGTGCCCCACACTCTGTCGCTTTTTATGCAAAGAGACGCCAGCTCCGGCTCGTCCTCCAGGCGCCTCTGCATTGCAAGTATGCAGCGCTGGCTCAGCAGAGAAAAGTCCACATTTTTGAAGCCTGCGCCCTCCCCAGGCAACGCAGGCGCCACGCTTGCGCGCAGCGAGAGTATTCTTCCGCCCAGCTTCTGCGATTCCTCCAGCGAGACTTCCAGCAGGCTTTGCTTCTGCCTTTGCTGTGCTCTTAGAAGCATGTACGCCAGCGCGCCCCTGCCTTTTTCTGGGAGGCTCTCCAGCGTTATGCTCTGCATCTTCTTTGCGTCTTCTTGCGTGAGCTCGACTTTGTGCAAAGAGTTGGCGTACATCTTGAGCACAAAGTCCCACACTTTTCTGTCCTCGCCTTCCAAATCGCCAGATGCGCTGCGCACTTTCTTGGAAAGAACAGAAAGCGTGTCTGCAGCGCCCCTGCAAGCCGTGTCTCTCCAAAACACCATGGCCTCCAGCACAGCCCCCACAAGCCCTGCAGACAACGCCCACGCCGGCACCTCTCCCTTTTCCAGCTGTGGCAGCGTACTTTCCATCTTTAGCACGTCGGAAAGAGCCCTGCTGAGCTGCCTGTCCGAAAGACACTCCAAAACTCGCCTCCACTTCGCGTGCGCGCCTCCAAAAAGATGCTTGGAGGTTGCCTGCTCTGCAGCCTTTCCGCCCAGCACCTCGCCCAGCTCCATATACTCGTCTTCAATGTCCTGGGTTCCGCACGCTCTTTTGTTTGCGTCGCCTACAATGTGCCGGTACACGCTCTCCTCTTCTACAGCCTCGTTTTGCACCAGATACACAAGATACTCCTCGCCAACATCCTCCGAAAGCTCAAACTTTTCTGTGAAGTCTTCCTTTTTGTATTGGGCCACTGCGTATATTTTTTCGAGAAGCGCAAACGCATGCTTCTTCTGCATTTTCCCCCGCATGAGCTCGTACACCTCCTGGATCACATCGGTGGGCTCTTTTTTCAGCCTCTCTACGAGGTACTCCATAAGGCTGTCTGGCAGGCCGCTAAAAACCTTCTGCAGAAAAAGCCTATGCTTGACCATGGTGTCGATCGTGCTTTTTGTGGCGATTTCCGGGTGCTGCGAAACCACAAAAATATGCTCCTCCTGGGTCAGGTCGCCCCCATCCCGGAAAAAAGATGCTGGAAGGGTTCTTGCGCCTTCCTCAAAAATGTTTTCTTTTCTAAGAAACGCGACGCTTATCTTTTGCAGTATCTCCCCGCATACGTCGCTTACTTTTGACCCCATCAGGTCTGCCCGAATAATTGCCTCCTTTGCAGAAAGGCCCTCATATACACGCGCGCCTTCCACTGGGTGCGCCAAAAGCGCTTCGTTTACGCGGTTGTAGCAGTTTATGGCGTTTATGTGCGGAAAGTCCCCGCGCTCTATGCGAATGTGCTCAAACCCGGCGGTGTTACACCGAAGGAGCTTTCCAAGAACGAGCTTTCTGTCCTGGGTCGCCTCCAGCAGAGAGTCGAAAAGAGCTGCCGGCAGGCACGGACACTTCTCAATAAACAGCGAGGGCCCGTACTGCGCAAGCTCTTCCTTGAAGTGGGCAGACCGCACAATGCGCAGGAAGGCCGTGTCTTCTATGTGGTTGCTTTCAGACATAACCGCATCTATCGAGTATCCTGTGCCCAGAACAGCCAACAGCTTCCACTTTTCCCCAAGCTCCCCGGTGTGCTGCGCACACCACACCGCAGCCTCCTGAACGGGGCCAGTCATCTTCTTTTTCTCGGCCAGGCACAAAAGCAGCTTTGCCAGAGCCCCCAGCTCGTCCCTGGAGCGCGCACTTTTTATCCGCTCTATAGACACCTCGGCATCTTCCTCAAGCGCAAGCTCCGCCATCTTGCTTTTTATGTACAGCTCGGTGGTTGCAGTTCGGCTGTAGAGCGCAATAAGCCCTTTCAGCTCCCCGCGCTTTGCAAGCGCCTTGGCCACCCGATATCCTGCCTTGTTTGGGCTTTTCAGAAACATACCCAGCCAGGGCTGGAGGCAGCCTGCCCGCTGAGGCTCGCATCCCTTTTTTAGCACATGCCAAAGAATCTCCGAAATGTGCGTGTTTATTGGCTCCTGCGCGTCCTTGCACAGTATGGGCATCGTGTCGTACAGGCACCTTGCAACAGAGTCTACAGGAAGGACGCCTATTTCGCAGACAACCCGGGCCAGCGCCTTGCACCGCGTCCCCAGGTCCTTCTTTTGCACCATTGAAAAATAAGATAGAACAGTTGGATCTACACACCCACCTTTCACAGATTCAAAAGGATTCATACAAAAATAAATATTTGCAAATAAATACGCAGTAGTTATGCAACGAGGCCCTTTCTTTAAATCCCCTTGTGTGCTCTGCAGCTTATCCTCTGCCTGCGCGCCCCTGCCTGCTGGGCTGGTGCTGTCTGCTCTGTGCTAGAGAATTTGGGCCTGCCCCCGCTGCTCCTGCCTCTAAACCCTTTAACATGTTTCTGCACGGCCGCTTTGTTTCAAAGCGTATGGTTTTCAAAAACTGAAGGGTTTGTTTTTCTAGTGAAAATCATTTGCTGTAAGCCAAGATGTGCTGATTGGCAGCGCTTTCTAGAGCAAATGGGTATGCCTGTCTAGAGAGCCCAGGCCTGAGAAGGACCGGAAGGGGGAAGCGCGCACAAAAGCAGCCAACCCCCAGAGCCCGACACACAGACACCGGCGAGGCACATAGGCTGTGTCTTTAGTATAGAGCTAAGTGATGGTTTGTTTAAGCCTAAAATCCATATTTATTTGCATCTACGCCAGCTGCGCTATTTCGCCATGCTGTCTTGTTGCGTACTTCCTGGTGCTGCATTGGCCCGGCTCTTTTCACCCTTCTTTTTGTGCTTCTCCACTTTCTGCTTGACCGGCGCAGGGTACGCGCTTTCTGCCAAGTCTTTGTGGCGGAGTATTTGCTCTCGCACAGGAGCCACCAGCTCCACCAGGTGCTGGACAAGCGCCATTTTTAGGTCTAGCGGGTGCACAACCCCCTCCTTGAAGTCTGCAGAAAGCGGCTCTATGTGGTTGTATGTGCGCACTTCGGAAAGCTTCTGGATGCTCACGGGGAATGCACATGTGTTTTCCTCCGAGTGGAACGTGTTGAACACAAACCTTTCTATGAAGGCCAGCACAGGGTTCCTGTCAACGTTCCGCTCCTCGCAAAAGGACGCAAGAACTTTTTTCCGGATTTGCGCATTGGAGTCCTCCAGGCCTATTTTGGACTGCGCGTCGCTGCTGCTCATTTTCCCCTCGGAAAGGCTTGGAACCATTCCGTTCATCAAGTGCACCCGCTTTTCGTACCCAAGCTTGGGCATGATCTCTTCTGCGTATATAAATATCTTTCTCTGGTCAATGCCGCCAAACTGGGCGTCCACCTTAAGATGCTCTTCGTCCAGCGCCTGCATCCCCGGATACACCAGCCCGCTCAGTATGGGGTTGTCCGTTTGCTTCACAACCTCTGCCCCTGCGCGCCGGGCGTCGTTCACAGACACCATGGTGGACAGCCGGTGCATGTCCAGGACGTACTCTCGAGTGTACTGGTAGTCGGTGCCGCGCACAAACCGTATTTTTTCAATTGGCGCCCCCGCGCTGACGAGCATGGCCTTGATGACAACTTCGTAGTAGGCAGAGCGCTTCTCAATAAGCTCGAGCGGCGCCTTGAGGTTGTCCAGCGCTGCGTGCAGGTCGGCAATCAGAACCGTGACCTCGCAGCCAGCCCGCAGAAAGTCGGCAATTTTTGCAATAGGAATAAAGTACCCAATGTGCGGCTTGCCTGTTGGAGCAGTTCCCCAGTACACCCTGAGGTCGCGCTCTTTGAGAACTTGCAAAAGCTTTTCCTTGCCCAGAATCTCCTCCAGCCCTCTTGTTATAAGCCTGTGCTTTTGTTCCAGTGCAAGCATGCGTAGTGCAAAAAAATTAGAGAAATTTATTGCTACATTTCCTCCTCAAACGCGTCAAGGTCCTCTTCCTCCTCGCTTTCGGGGAAATAGACCTCCTCCTGCGCCTGCGCGCGAAGGAAGGGGAGAGAAGCCTCCTTTCTTTCCTCCTGTTTTTTTGTGAGAAGCGCCTCCTTTAGGGGCGCCTCCTCTTTTAGCACTTTTTTTATTTTCTGCGAAACCTGATGAAATGAGTTTACTGTTTTTTCTATTTCATAGGTCTCGTGCCTGCGTGTTTTCTTGTTGACGATCTGTATGGTGTTGTTCTCTACATATATGATCTCGTTTGTGTAGTACTGGATTGTTTTGTACTCTCTTTCGTCCAGTATTTCCCTGTGCACCACGTATATTATATTCTCTATGTCCCGAAGTGCAATAAGCGTCTTCGGGCTTATGTCCTCCAAAACAGTGTACTTTTTTGTGTTGTTTGGGGCGTTGTAGGATCTTCCTAGCACCTCCTCTAAAAGAACTTCGTAGCACATTGTTTTGTAGAGCTGCGACATAATTGCATGCGCAGGAACTTCGTATGTATCAACCAACACAGTCATAAGCACAAATTTTTTATCGTAGGCAAATTTAATTAAATTATTTATTCTTCTTCTCCCTCAAGATCCGCACTTTCCTGCTCAGCCTTTTCTTCTCCTTCTTTGAAATTTTAGTTTCCCTCTGTTTTTTCCGCTCCTCCTTGACCTGTTTTTTCTGCAGCTTTCGCTTGTCTTTTGCAGCCTTCTTCTCTTCTTCTGTGAAGACGCTCTTTTTCTGTAGGTGCATGCCCCGGACCCCTTCGGCCACCCCCTGGGCCGCCTCCTCGGCAGAGGCCTCCCTCAAGACGCTTCCATCTCCGTACACTTCTTTGAAAAGCTCTTCGTCCGTGTGCACCACTGCGCCCAGCCTGGAGAAGTATCGGTTCACGTTTGAGATGTCCATTTGGAGAAACTCTCGCGCATTTGGGTGGTCGTGCTCAACGCTCTGGCTTACGTCTATGATGTGCACCAGCCCGTTCCAGTACAGCATGTTGTACTCCGACAGGTCGGCGTGAACAAGCCCGCACTCGTCGTACATTTTCTGTATGAGCTCAACCACCTGGTTGTATGCGTTCTGCAGATCCACCCCCACAAGGTTTGCATCTTTCAAATTGGGCGCAACGCCGCCCAGCCCAGCACATAAAGGCACCTCGTAGCTACGGGTCTGCCCTCCCTCAGCCTCGTCAGAGGACTCGCTGCTCTCATCTTCTCTCTCCGCAGACTCTGTGCTTGAGCATGCACTCTCCTCGCACGCCGAGCTACTTTCGCTGCTTGCACCATTTTCATTTTCGGAAGCATCCAAAACGCAGACGGGCAGCATATCCGCACTTTGCTGCTCGAAATCAGCGCATGCGTGCAAGACGCCCTGCGCGGTTTCCTGGCTTTCGCTGCTCGACGTTATGCTGATGTTTTCCAAGGGGTTTCCGCTGCTCTCTTCGTCGCTTAGGGAAAAAGTCGACCCTTCTTCGCTGCCAGTATAGCTTATGCTTTCGGTGTTGCTGGTGCTGGTGCTAGGCACGCACACGTTTCCGTGACTGTCCAGGTCGTACTCTGTTGTGTCAAAGCTTTCGTACTCCATGTCGTCGATAGGAATCCGGCTGGGAGAAGCGCTGTCCGGCGTGGTGCTCATGCTCTTTAGGCCTGTGCAGTTTCCAATCATCGTCATGATAAGAATGTTTCGGCGCAGAAAAAGAGGCTTGGGCGAGGGTATGCCTGCCTTCTGCAGCCGGTTGAGGTTTCTAACCTCCTTCTCCGCCCATATCTTCACCAGCTTTCGAGAGTTCCCGCGGGGATACGACCGGAACCTTCTTTCGCCAACCAAGTACCGCTCTCGGTCTTTGAAGACCATGGCCGACGTTTTGTATATCTTCACGGCCACGCTTATTTCCTTCTCGCACGCAAGCAGAGGCTTTTTGCAGAGTTTGCTCCAGATGCTTGGAGAGGCGGTTGCCAAGTACACACACGCTTCTTTGCCCATGCTAACAGCCCCGTGCATCTCCAAGATCATCTCCTGCTTCTTCAACTTATTGATTATTTCAAGCGTTTTCTTGTCCAAAACTGTTTTTATGGTCTTTCTGTCGTTTGTGTCTTTTCTTCTTCTCTCTGTCTTGCACGTTTCTTTCCACTCCTCCATAAAGTAAAATTCTATTCTGCGTAAGAAGAAAGAATAGACAGAATTTCTCCAACCGCCTCTTCGGTAAGCCTCTCCTCCAGCTCTTCTACAACAACGTACAGATCAAGCACTTTCTTCGGCGGGGCGTTTAGAAGCTGCACAGCCTCAAACTCGGTTATGCCAAAGGAGGTTAGCTTCTCCTTGAGCTCGGCAGGGGCGCTGGGCCTGTTCACCACCGAGTGCACAGCATACTTCATGGTCTGCGCTTGCGTCGACAGGCTGCCCTGCAGGCAGGCCTCCATAAGGCCTTTTACTTCGGCATGCGTCAGAATTTTCTCTCTTTCGCTCTTCATTTTTTTAATGTCAAAGACGCGCGCTGGCATAAATTCTATATATTTGTTTTTCTTTTTAGCCCCTCCCTTTCCTGGCACGCAGGCGCGCTTGTATTTTTCTTTCGCGCAGCAAACAGGGCATCAAAAAGGGTTTTGTTTTAAATACCTGGCTGGAGGGCCGGCGCGCAGCGCTGGTCTTGAGCGCAGCTCTGTGCGGGCAAGCCCAGCGGCCAAGAAAATTTGCAGAGAGATAGTGAAAGCGTTTATTCACAGAGATGTGCCAGAAGCCCTCTCAGGTCCTTGGGGGACTGCGCTCTCAGGGACGCACATGTGCTTCGGTCGCCAACGCACACGGTGTACGCGTTGGGCGCCTCCAGAAGGACCATGAACATGTCCTCGTCTGTTGCGTCGTCTCCAGCGCAAAGCGTAAACGTGTTGTAGTACGGCTCTTTTTCTATGCAGGAGCCTTTGTCGATTCCCCTTGGGCGCACCTCAATAATGTTTTTCCCGGTCACAACCCTGGCCTTTCCCACAAGCATCCGCTGGAGGGCGTTTGCACACCACTTTCCATGCTCTTTGCAGTGGAAAACCACGCAGGTGTTTTTTATCTCTATGTGCGACCCCGGGGTGTAGCTCACATACTCCTCGATTATTCGCACGGCGTCAGCCATCCAGGTGAGGTCGCAGGGCACTGCATTCCACTTCCCTCCTTCTTTCTTGTACGTGCCGTGCTCTGCGTATATTTGGACATTGAGAGCGCCAAACCAGTCCTCGGCCTCCTCCTTGCCTCTCCCAGTCACTATGAACACGCTGTTTTTGGGGTCGGAAGAAAGCTTTCGCAGAACCCCCAGAACCTCTTCAGTAGGCTTGGCGTCCTTGGGGTTGGGGACAATGTCTGTCAGAGTCCCGTCGTAGTCCAGGAAAATGGTTCTTTTCTCGGACTTCACATACGCCTGCTTTATGCGGTCTTTTTTCTGCAAAACATCCTGCGAAATGTGCACGGGGATTTTTTCTGCGCTGTGCTCGGCATCTGTGCACGGCGGGTCTGTTCTGAGTATGTGGTGCAGAGAGTGCAGCCAGCTTTGCGTGGACACCAGGTTTGCAGCCTTTCTTTCAGCAGGGGCGAGCGCGTTTTTGATGACTTCTGAGGTGACGTCTGGGCAGTTCAAGGTGTACAGCGCGTTTTCAAAGGAAATCCCGGACGAGTATGGCACAATAAGCCGGCCTGTGGGGTTTATCTCGGCATACTCGGTGGCCACCAGAGACAGAGAGTCCGAGGGCGAGCCCGCCAGACACACGTCTGCAATCTTTAGGAAGGCAAAATATAGGTATGTGGAAGGGAACACCACAGTTGAAAACTGGCTGGGGTAGAGAGAGCCGATTCTTTCGGCAAGGCCTGCCAGCTCGGTGTTATGGAAGGCCACGCTTTCTCCGTACACCACGCACCGGATGAAGTACACGCCCGTGTCTGGGTTCTTCTGGAGGTATTTAAGAACCGAGAAGAGGTTGTGCGTGGGCGTGCCTATTTTCCGCGTGGTTTCAACCAGCAGGACAACCTTCTTTCCCCGCGTGGACTCTCTGAGCTTTTCCAGGGTTTCTGTGTACTGGTCTGCCTTCTGTATCTGGGAAATAAACTCCTTTGGCACGTTTTTGGGGGTGACCGAGATAAGAACTCTCGAGTCTCCTGCATACACTATGTATGTCTTGCTCGGGGCTTTTTTGGAGAGGCGGCGCACGACAGGCATGAGGTCTTCCAGATACTCCTCTGGTGCGGTGGAGGCGCTCTCCTCGGGACGCAGCGTGTCCACTAGGGGCTCGTCCTCGGCCGTGGAGAAGCTGGTTCTGTATGCAGTTGTGAGGAGAGAAAGCATGTCTGTTTTTTCTTCGGCGCACGGAAGCAGATGGTTCTCCTGCGTCGAGCAGGGCTCTCCTTGCGGCCTGTCCACAAGCACTTGGCTGGAGTTCCCTTTGATGGCCTCGAGCGCAGAGGGCGTCACCTCCTTGTTCTGCGCGTTTATAAGCAGGAATGCAGTTGATATGAAGTTGTCGAGATACTCCGGGCTCTGCAGCTCCACCTTGTCGCAGTCCATCAGAGAGTGCAGAACGTTTTTCGAGTACGGTATGCAGGAGAAAAGCTCGTATGGCGGAAAGGGGCACAGGTACACAAGCGCTATCTTTGCCAAAGGAAACTCTTTCCGGACCAGCATGGGGAGCATCAGCAGGTGTTTTCCCAGTATGATGATGGTGTCGTGCGGGGCATATTTTTGCTTGAGCACGGCGAAAAACTCCTGGTTGAACTGCATGTAGTCCTTGTACGGACCCTCCAGGTCCTGCGGAAACAGCGCGCTTTTCCCAAGCGAGTAGTGGCAAGCCTGCGAAAGATGCTGTGAAAACACAAGGTCCTTTGGACGCTTTTCGGTTTCTACGCGCAAAAACGTGAACTCGCCAGGCTGCATTTCGGAATAGGGGGGCATCCCCTCCGGGCTTGCAATCCCAATAAAGGTGGTCTTTGCCCTTTCGCCTGGCTCCGTCCCATAGAGCATGGCGGCCCCAACAGAAGAGTACGACGGCGCATACACCCCTTCCTTCCCATCCTTGCAGTGGGCCGGAAGGTTACCTGAAACTATAATGGTCTTTCCTCTACGTGTCATGCTAAAATAAACATAGCAAATTTACTTTGCTTAAATGTGCAAATATTCATTGTTTCAGCAGCCTAGAGAGCGCAAATAGAGCGCCTATAAGCACATGCAAGCAGCCCTGGCACAAAGTCCGGGCCAAAAATTCATGTGGCAGAGCTTATTTATTTAACACCTGTATGCTATTTCACACGCTGCGCGGCTCCCAATAGGATGCTTCCCAATTTGTGCACATGCGCAGCCCGTGCAGATACACAGCCCTGCCTGCTGCGCTCTCAGCGTTTCTTAGCCTGCAAATGCTCCAAGTTCAGCTGGGCTGTTCTTTTTAAATAGTATTTGAGCATAAGCACAAGGTATGGGTTCTCTTTCTGCAGCTTCGATATGTCCACCACAGACCCGCCGCTTGCCGGCCGCGCGGTAGCCAAAGCGCGGGTGATTCCCCCGTCTAAAACTCTTTTGTCCCCAGGCGGCGCTCCCGGCTGCTTTCTGACAGTAGACAGATCAAAAGCGCTTTCCGCCTTAGTGGCAGAAGGCTCGGTTTTTAAAGGTCTTCCGGTAGAGTCGCTTTGGCCGGCCCTTTCCGAAGCTTCTTTGCACGTGCTCTCCAAGCCGCCCGCCTGTGCAGAGCTCTCCGCCTCTTGGGGCTCGGCGCAGCCTGCGGGCCTGCTTAGAAGCGCGCTCTCCACGCAGGCCTTGGCTTTTTTCTGGAGAGCATTTTCTTTAACCACCCTAAAGCATCGCTTGGCCACGTGTCCGCCCCGCCCGCACAGATAGCACAAAAGAAGCCGGCCCTCCTGCCGCTCCATCATGCCACGGCACTGCTTGGCGCTCGTTCTTGGCAGGGCTTCTGCTTTGGCCTCTTTTGCAATTTTTCTGTCCCCAGCCTTGCTCGAACCTTCAGCAAGGCTTTTCTCGAGGCCTTCTACCGCCTCCTTCTCAATCCCTTTTCCAGCCTCCACATGTGTCTGAGCCTCCAGCCTCTTTATGTACATGCTCCTCAGCTTTTCCTCAATACTGCGGCCTTTCCCATAAAGATCAGCCTTTTTTACCACATCTGCGGTTTCCAAGCTCTGCCTGCTCTTCTCGGTCCGTATGAACTCCTCCACCCGGGACTCAACTATTTCGCAGTTGCGCTCCCAGTTTTCCTCCCCTGGCTTCAGGGCTTTGCTCAGTATTCCTTTTCGTAGTATGTTGACTATTGGCTTTTTCTTTACTATCGCGTAGAGTTCGCTCATTCCCAGAGCGCCTGCAGCACCCATCTTTCTTATCGTCTTTGCGCGTTTTCGCAAACGCTCGCGGGCTGCGCACTGCGCCCCCTCCAAGCCACTCTCAGATACGCGGTCTTTCTCATGCATTCGAGGTTTTAAAATAAAATCCAATATATAGGCGGCTCTCCATATTGAAATGAACTTAAATGATCATAATTTTGAAAAGGAGAGAAACCGAGAAAATGGATAGCCCGGCAGGCCAGAATCGCAGCTACTCAAAGACCGCCTTGCTGTTTTTCGAGCACATGCACATGCGCTAGTTGAAATGCGCTGCCTGCTTTTCAGCCCCTCTCGTAGAAACATACATGGCGCTGATTCCGATTCTAAAAATAAAATTCTGAAAGCTTTAGTTTTCTTTATTTCTGTCCACACAAAACCCACAAAGAGCACACACGTTCGGGCATATAAATGTACTTGCGAAAAAAAGCCAAAACATACGAAAAGGCACAACAGCACTCTTAGAGCACACCTCGGATCCCAGAAAGTTGCGCTGCAAGTTCTTAAATACAAACAACGCTTTATTGTCGATGAAAGAATGCACGCTCAGACTTGCCCATACCCTTCAACCTGGCTTTGCCGGTAGTCTAAGTCGGTCGTATGCTGCGAGCGGAAAGAGCTATCCGATTCACTAAAGGTGTGCGTGTTTCGGACTGCCGCGCTCCCCACATTCTGCATGTAGATCTGAGCCTCCTCATTCGTCTCGCCGTGTATGCCAACTATGCCTTCCATGGCCTGTGCCCCGCCAAGGACTTGCTGCTGAAAAACGATCTGCGGACTCTCTTCGCTATCCGCGATGGTCTGTGCTATTTCATAGTACTTTTTCTTTGTTTCAGTTGAAACAGGGCATGTGCACTCAGACGGGCACGGCGTTCGGCGGATGAGCAAGCCTTCGTTGCCCCAGCCAATATTGTTTGCGTTTAAAACATCAGCCAAGTGTGGGTTGCTTTCAAGAGAGTCTTCTTCGTCAAGCGAATCGAAAATGGCTTCCTCTATGGGGCTCAGAGAGCGCGCATACTCTATCTTGCCCCCCTCCATGGCCTCCAGCGTCGGCTCAGCGCTGTCCACAAACTCCTGCGGGGCCTTCTTTACGACTGAGCTCTGCAAGCCTTTTGCATTGGTTTTCACAAGCGGTTCTTCTGCACTTTCATAAACAGCAGGCCCAGATTGCGCAGATTTTCGCTCTTCCCGCAAAAAGTCAAAAGCATACCCTTCGGGGCGATGGCGCGCGTCATTGCCATATCGGCTTTTTGGCACGTTGTGTGGTGCCTGCAGCTCCTGTGACAGCTCGGGCACGTGGAAGCTGCCTCCAAGGCCCATCTCCTGCATGCCAGTGTTTACTGTGAGCGGCCCGTGCGACGACTGCCCTTGTGTAGTGTCTGGAAGATCAAGCAGGTCAAGGCCCTTCTTTATCTCCTCCATGCTGCTGAGCTTGTCGCCTAGGGAAAGAGCATCCGAAGACTGGCCTTCCTTTAGAATGCTATCTATCACATGTTTATCTGACTTCAGCTTTTCCTCTTTTCCTTTCTTCTCCTTTTTTTCCTTCTTTTCCAGCGACTTGTTCTTTCCTCCGCCGCCAAAGGCCTTTCTTATCCAGCTCACTTTCTTGGGCTCCGCGCCTTTTTCCTCCTCATCCACGTTGAGCACAGCCTTCTGGGCTGCGTCAGAGCTGTCCAGCCCGGCATCAAGCACAGAGCCGCTCTGCTCGTTTTCCAGCACCACACTAAGCGGGTTAAACACAGCAGCGCTTGGCGCGCGTTTAGCGCCTTCTCCAGCCAGCAGCTGCGCAATAGCATCCATGTTTGCCTGCGAATCCGCCTTCTGCGCAGCTGTGCGAGAATACTCCAGAACAGCTCCACGGTTCATGGCAGTCACCGTGTTGTGTCTGTCAAAAATCACGCACTGCACAAGATCGGTGTTTTTCAAGTACTGCCTGAACATCGAAAACACTTCAACCACATACGGGTCTTCCAGCAGCCTTTTCATGTATCTGTCCCTGTCTTGGGCTGGCGCGTTCCTGCCAAAAATCCTGTAGATTTCGAATATCCAATCCGATGTTTCAAAGAGCCCATAGTCGTTTAGGAATTGCATACTCTTGCCGATCTGGCTTGGGTTTATGAAGCTGTTATCTATTTTGTTGCTGAAATTCATTAGAAACGCAATATACGCTGCCTCGTCCGGGCTTGTCCGCCTGATGGATATGCGGTTGTTGGAAACCTCGACTCTGTCCAGAAACTCAGAGGTGTACATCGCAGACAGCAAAAAGTACCCAAGCCAGTAGCTCTTCTGCACGTTCACAACCTCCTTTTTTCTCTCGGCCTCGCTGGAAACTGGCAAAGAAGACTGCGCGCTCTCCCCCTTTTTCTTTGCAAGGTTTGCGCTCATAACCTCTGTGATTCGGGTTATCGCGTCGTGCATGGAAACAATCTGGGTCTTCAGATACCACGGGCTCCCGCCCACGTCGAGCGGGGATTGTGTTACAAAATAAAAGTAGTCAACATGCTTCTTTGTGCATCTAAGACTTATCACGTTTTTGGCGTGCAGATGCAGAAGAAACTCGTGGGACACAGGCAGAGTCTGCTTCACAGACGCCACATACTCCTTGCTTAGGGAGGGGATGTTGTCTTGGCCGGCCCAGGCCATTGCAGAGCAGGCCCACACCAAAAAAAGAGAAGTTTTCATCAAATTCATTACGCACTTCATTGTTCATTTGCGCACCCCAGATATTTATACTTTGAAAAAGAATCATTTTTATTCTTTGCTGCCTGAATAGGAAATCTGCAATATAGCGCCAAATTGCATCGTTTGATCCAGCCATTTGAAAAACACAGCCCGCAGGGAAAAGGCGCCCTGAGCTAGAAATGAAAAGGCGGAATTGCAAAAAAAAAGAATATGAAAAACAGAACATATATTAGAGACGTCCGGCCAGGCGTCAACTTTTCTGTGTTTGGGATTGTGCAGTCGTTCATGTCTCCAAAGAAAACTGCGGGCTCCGACTATCAAATGATATTGAAAATTGAGGACGAGTCGACCACAGACAATATTGTAGTAAGCCTGTTTTTGGGCTCGCAGGAGAGTTTTCCTTCGCGTATTGTGGAAAAACAAACCATTATTAAAATAGAAAACTTGAACATAAAGGAGACGGGCCACAGGACAAGGCGGCTGATAGACCGGAACGAGGGGTGTTTCTTCTTCGATGTCAAGAGAGACAGCGTGGAATACATGCCGTACTTTAGATGCACCAGCAAAGAGTATGTTGAGGGGCCCGAGGACAGGGACGCGCTCAACAAAATACAAAGCCACTTTATGCGTACGATGCCCATAGGGCCGGTGCTTCTGTCCAGTGTGATGAAGGAGGGCACGGTCTTCAGCATGTACGGGTATGTGAAGGACGTGGTAAAAAACGAAAAGCTCGCCTCCCTCATGATATGCGACCCAAGCACGCACAGAGAGCTTCGGGTTCGCGTGTGGGAAAGGAGCGACAGCGAGATCCCGAAGAAGGACAGCTACATATACATATCGGGGCTGAAGGCGAAGAAGGTCGAGTATGCAAGCATTGTTGCAGATGTAAGCAAAAGCGGAAGCTTCATCTGGACAGCAAGCGTTCCCAGGGAGGTCTCGCTTCTTCTGTCTGCATACCAGATACTGCAGAGCAAGAGCTTTCTGAAGGCAGTTATGCAGAGAATTAGTGAAACAGAGACGTGCCGGAGCTCGCACTCTGGAAAAAACAGCAGGCACGCCGACAAAGCCCCAGAGTCTGCTAAAAAGGCAAAAAAATCCGCGGAGGATGCGCCCTCTCAGACAGGCCATGACCTGGACCTTTCCGACGAGAGCTTCAACGAGTATATCAACAGCACATTCATGGAAGACGCCGATTTTGCTTCAGGGGAGGCCGCGCGCGCTGAAGAAGGCCACGCAGGCGAAAGCCCCAATGAAAAAGAAAGCACTGCGGCCGAGGTGCTAGGGGCCGGCGAGAAGAAAGACCTGATCTATCCGGTAAAGAAGGCAGTGTCGATTTCCAACGCGTTTTCCAGGCTAAAGGAGAAGAAGAAAGGCGTTGCTGCGTGCCCCAAAGGCCTTTCGCTTTCCGATGTCATAGCAGGAAAGCCGTGCCAGCTGTCGTTTAAGGAGACAGACCTGATATACGACGAGCTTATAAGGCTGCCCATCAAAGCATACCACACAAACTTGCAAAACGGGTCTGTATCGTTTGACAAGCACGCCCTCCTTTACCTAGACCCCCACGCGGCAGGAAAAGACCAGATCCGCATACAGCACGTGGCTTTCTATAAAAAGACCGCAGTGGTTTTCCACCAAGCACACAGAAGCTCTAAGCAGGCAGGGCAAATAGCAGGGTACATCCTTTTTTTAAGCAGCAAGCAGCCCACGGTGCACGCCTTTCTATACAGGAATGTAGAATAAAGAGAACTTTTTGTTTCATCACTACTGTGCGTTTATTCGGTGTCTCTGGGCGCAATGTAGTATTTTATGTACCCAGCGCCCATGGTCGAGGACAGATGCGCGGGCATGCCTTCTGCAATGCTTAGGGTGACCTTGGCGCCCTGCGCCCCGAACTTGTTGAACAGCGACACATGCTTGTACGAGATAAACAGCTCGACCGGCTCGCTGACCTGAACTTCAAAAGTTGCGCTCTCTGCACTTCCGCCGGCCTCGTGGCGCATGAAAGACACCTCGGTGTTTCCAAACTCGGACGTTTGCTCAAACACAAACCCTTTCTCGCCGGCCGTGATTTTAAGAACATCTCCAAACGCCCCCAGGGTCTTGACGACCTTCTGGAACTCTGAAGACAGAAAAACAATCGTGGCTGGATACTCCAGCATGGGGAAGGTGTACTCGTCGCTTCCCACGTCGGTCAAGTTCATATGCGAGCTGTACTTTTTTCCGCCGTCTTCGCAAATAATGTGCAGGTTTGTGGCCTCGTCGTTTGCGGTGAGGAGAACCGACAGGTTGTCCTCCACAGACAGGCTTCTGAACACCTTCAGTATGAACGACAGGGGAATGCCAAGGGTCAGGTTTTTGTCGCAGCGGAAGCTCTCGAACGCGCTGCTTTTCAGGAAAACCTCCACCATGCTGACCTGCATGCTGTCCATGGCCTGTATGTGTATGCCCTCGTTCGAAACCTTCATTTCCAGCTGCTTCACAATTTCGTGCAGCCCCTCCAGCAGCTTCTTGAAGAGCGCAAAGGTGCATGACCCATCATTTGGCTTCTCGTCCTTCTGCTCGCTTACGCTTTTTCCTAGTTTCAGCTCGAACATGCGCAAAAAAAAAACGCACTATTAATGCATAACTGAAGTAAGCGCTTTCTTTTTATTAATATAGCGCCCCTAGGAAAAGTCCTTTCGAGCCTTTTTAAAATATGATGGGCCGTCGTCCCTTGACCTTCTTTTTTCCAAGCCAACAGGCTCCCTCTGCTCTCTCTTTTCCACCATATTCTCGCGCTCGCTCGGCATGCTCTTTGCAGCCTCTTTTTCTTCCGCCTGCACGCCCTCGTCCTTGTGCGTCTTCGGGCCAAGGCCCCACTGTCTCTGGTATGTGTCTTTGCTCATGATCACCCGCTTGGTTCGGCAAACAGTGCCATGCTCCATCATGCTCAGCTGGGGAGATGTCACCAGCGCCACCGCCAGCGCCACAGCCTCTCCCTTTGGCGACACCAGCAGCACCGTGTCCTTGTGGTTGAAGTCCCCATACCGAAGCACGCCCTTTGCCGTCAGCTGGCCTCCGTAGCAGATCGAGTTTATGCAGCTGTCCTTTATGATGATCCTGGGGTAGTCCACAAGAAGACTTTCAAGCGGCAGAACAACAGACCGCAAATACTTCTCGTCCCGCTTCTGGTCGTACAGATACATTGCGTCCAGAACGTCATGCATTGTCACCAGGCGGTCCTCGCCAACAGTGCCGCTTCGCGTTCTCCTCAGATCCACCATCTCCGACTTGACCCCTAGATGCAGGCCCAGATGCGTGCAGAGCGACCTGATGTAGGTCCCTGCCTCGCAGGAGACTCTGAACATGCCCAGCTGCTTCTTCTCATCAAAGTCCAGATACTCCACGCTGTGCACAGTTCTGATTCGTAGGTTTCTTTTAACAGCGCACTGCTCGGGCGGCCTCTGCAACAGAGGGCCCACATACACCTTGAGCGCGGCCAAAAACTGCTCCTTTGTGACTCCTTCTTCAAAGTGCACAACCCCAACATATTCCTTTCCTGCGTCCTGCTGGCACTTTGCAATTCGCGTGGCCTTGTTCAAACAGACCGGAAGGCACCCAGACACCATGGGGTCGAGGGTTCCGGAGTGTCCCGTTCGCTCGCATTTAAGAATGCTCTTCACCCACGATACAACCTCGTGCGAGGACGGGTTGCACGGCTTGTCCAGGTTTATCACTCCGTACTCAAGATACACGTCCAACGGCCTTTCCATAGGGCTGTATCCGTACGGGGTTGGCGTGTACTTCAGAGATTTCACGTTCAAATCCTCCAGCCCCTTCAGCAGCAGCGGCCACTCTCCGGAGTGGGTCAGTTTTTCCCCGTTATTGTTTTTCAGCGCTTCATTCGTTTTCTTCACTAGCTCAGTGTTTAAATCGACTTCTTGTACCGCATTTTTATTCGCATCCATTTGCAAAAAAATATTTCACGCGTAGTAATAGAATGCACAGCACGCCTGAATCCGCACTCCTCTCATACAGGACACAAGACATGCCCGGGGCGATTTCCGACGCCGTGTACTCGCCCAGCGGAGAGATGCTCGCATGCTCGCTGGACACGGGGGATCTGGTTTTCCACCAGGCTGTAACCAACAAGAGATTCTGCCCCATAAAAACAGAAAACGAAAAAGGCTTCTTGGTGGACTTTCTAAGCCCAACCCTGCTTGTGCACACAACCGGAAAAAATCTGCAGGTGCTGGACCTGAAGAAAGAGGAGTACAGCTGCCTCTTTTCAGCACACAAGTCCCGGATCTGCAGCATATCCACGTCTTCCATGTTTAGAAACACGATATCGGTGGGAGAAAACGAGATGTATCTCTGGGATGTCCGCGAGAGGTCTGCGCACGCAAGGCTCCCCGTGCAGGGAAGGCCCATTGTGCGATACTCTCCGGACGGGAGAGTGTTTGTTGTGCTTTTTGAGGGGATGAAGGAGATGCGCCTGTTTGACGTGCGGTCGTACTTTGCAGGGCCGTACAGGACAAAAAAGCTGGAGGCGGAGAAGTACACAGACATGCAATTCTCCCCCGACGGGTTTGGCATGGCGCTGTTCCAGGAGAGCGGGATAGGCATAGCAGACGGGTTCAGCGGAGACATAACCATGCAGCTGGCCAGCGACTTCTCCCAGGCCGGGTGCTTTACGCAAGATAGCCGGTCCTTTGTCTTCACGACCGGGCCGCACGAGGTTTCGATGGCAACGCTCCCTGAGCCCAAAGGCGTGCCAATTTTTTCGGTGGACAGCGCGCTTCCCATCACAGGGCTGCGGTACAACCTTTGCTTTGAGCAGGTTGCGGTTCTGCACGGACAGCTGACATTTCTGCAAAACTCGAACTAGCTCGCACAGCGCGCGTTTTTTTCATATGCAGATGCCAAAATCCGCAAGAAAGCCAACCAAAGTCCCACACAAAAATAAATCAGTGTATTTAGCACAGAAAAGCACACAGGAATGGGCCCGGGGTAGACACCAAATATAAACATATTTTATTCTGCCAGCGGCGGTTTTACATCGGGCATGCACGCATGCACACATTATTGGCAAAAGCCGAAGCGGAGCGGACGCAAGCTCTTAGCGCAGAAGGCAGGATTTAAAAGCAATAATAGCGCTGCTGTTCGCAGCAGAAGCGCTGTGGCGCCCGCGCGCTGGTATGGAGCGCCAGGAGTTTTTGCATGGCGTGCGCCAAGCTGTGGGTAGAGGCGCGCTCTTTTACTGCACCTGCGCCTAATTATAGTTTCGCGGAAAGTTGTCTGCAGAGCCTCCTGCTTGGTTTGGGTATTGCCCGCCCGGGCCCTGCGGCGGATATCTGGGATGCCCTGGCATACTCTGCGGCGGCGCATTGCCGGGCATTCCATTTGGATGGCTTTGGGGCCAGGAATGGTTGTTTTGGCCTGGGCCGCCCCCAGACATGGAGCCGTCAGGCGGGTATCTCTGCTGCTGGCTTCTGGCGGCGTTCAGCGCGTGCACCAGCGCGTTTATGTCTTGGCGCACAACAGCGTCCACCATGTCTGTGCCCACCTCCTCTCTGAATATGTTTAGGTACATGTCAGACATGTGATTTTTTATGTTTGCGTCTATGTAGTGCTGGCTGCTGTCTTCTATAATCTGCTTGACCAGAAGAAATATAACGAAGCCGCGCGTGTTGTTGGACTCTATGATGAACACGGGCTTGGACGGGCGGCTGTAGCGACTGCTTTCTAGCTTGCTGTCCAAAATGGCAGTCTGTATTTGCATGATGGTTTTTTCACTTACAGGCGCAGCCTCTTGGAGAGGAGCTTCTATGTCGACGTACTTTATATAGCTGTTTTGCACCTTTTTGTGCTGCAGGAAAATGCTTTCTATGCTGAACTCTCTTTTACGGGAGTTGTACACGGTGAGCATTGTCTGGTCGGTTCTTTTGTTTTTGGGTATTGAGCGCATAAAGCTGTGTATCATGGGCGAGGTGCAGTGGTCGGTTTTCTCGCAGTGCTCCGGCGAAGTGTGCTGGCACCTGCTCTCAGCCAGGCACAGAGTCCCTTCGGTGCACATTGGATGCAGCAGATGCTCCTGGTGCACCCGCACAATTGGGGTGTCATTTATGGTAATGTGGACTATGCTTGTGAAAGAAGATAGGGTTTGTATCTTTGAAACCAGCCCGGAGAGATCGGAAAGGGTGAGGGGGCTTGTGAGAACTGTGTCAACCACGTTTAGTTTTTTCAGAGGGTTTTTATTGTCGTGTCCCTCGTTGAAGCCTGACATGCTGTCGTTTATGAAGTTAATAAATATCCGCCTTTTCCTCTCGTCTGGCGGGCCATATGCAATTATGTACGGGACTATTTTTTTGTCGGAAAGAGTGCAGTACATGGGCGCCGGCGTAGTGTTTTCGTGGTAAGTGCTTTCGTCTGGGTTGTATCTGTTATTTGGGTTATAGTTGCTGTTTGGGTTGTAGTTGCTGTTTGGGTTGTAGCTGTTGTTTGGGTTGTAGTTGCTGTTTGGGTTATAGCTGTTGTTTGGGTTATAGTTGCTGTTTGGGTTGTAGCTGCTGTTTGGGTTATAACTGTTGTTTGGATTGTAGTTGCCGTCTGGACTGGGCGGATATTGGCTGTTTCTGTCGTCTTCATTGTTTATACTTCTTATTGCACGGTTGAGCATGTCCTTTCCTTTGCCGACCAGATCTCGAAGGCTATATGAAATGTCAGGCTCGTGCTCTCTATTGTGCGCAGGCCAGCGCTCTTCTTTTCTTCTTTCCCCAGCCGGCATGCACTCCCCCCTGTGGTTCCTGGAGAAGGGATACTTGCAGTACATGTCGCCTTCTCGCCTTCTGTTGTATCCGTGTTTATATTCGCCCCTGTCTCCACCCTCCTCCATTTCTCTGGCGTGCATGTGCGTCTCGCTTTCTCTCCTATGGCCTCCAAGCGCACGCGCTGTGTCCTTCCCAAAATGCGCGCTTAGACACCTGTCTTGCGTTTGGTACAGGTCTTCCAGGGTTCTTTCCTGCCTGATGTGGGCCTTCAGTCTGCTCAGCGCCTCTGCCGGAGTGCAGTGCGCGCTGTACGACTCGTCCGAATAGTGCTCGTCTTCTTCTCTATCGTACAACCTGCTTTTCTGGCCAAACTGCTTGCCAAACCATTTCGCAGTGTTTCTAATGTTCTCCACCAGCATCTGTGCTGGGTGCTTGGGCCTGTGCTCTGTCCTTTCTGCGTGCACAAAACACAGCACAAGCACCGCCATTACAAGTTTCTTCATTCTGTTTGGACCTCTCCGTACATAAAATAAACAATGTTTCAGATGGTTTCTGCTCTTTTCTGATAGTGTGCCTTAGACTCTCTGCCTGCGCACAGCAAAAAAAGGCTGCGCCATGCCACGCCGGCGCAGACTCTGCGCGCAGAAAGAGCCCGGGCTGCAGTAGACGCGCGCCAGAGATGGGCTGTCTCTCTAGCGCCCTGCTCTACAGCCGCCAGCAGACACAATAAAAAGAAAATGGAGGCAAGCCGCCCGTTCTATTTTGCACTTCAGTTTATTGCTGCAAAGAAGTTTCACTTTGCTTCGTTTTTCTTTGTAATAAGAGAAACACACACATTGAAGGAGTTCATTACATTGTCCATGAAAACAATGTCTGCCGAGACCCGGACCCTGATGAACATGGTCTTAAGCGCCAGGTCTTCTTCTTGCTTGCACAGGTGCAGGTGCATCATTTGGAAGGAGAGGCGCTCAAACGCGTCCTCCTCCATGCACACCCTAATGCCCCCAGACCCATTGGAGACGATGAGCGCGTTTTTGCTCATCATCAGCCGGAAGACGCGGCCCTCGAAGTAGATAGAGGAGTCCTTGCGCAGGTTTTGGATCTCCTCCATGCACTCAACCTTCATGCGTTTTCGCTGCACATTTTTTCGAATGGCGCGCATGAGACGGCGGGGCTCTGCACGCGGGTTCACCTCGATGCAGACAGCCTCCTTCACGTACACGGTGCGGTTTAGTATCGAAGCCGCGGGCATGTTTCTGAGGACGAGGATGTCTGCGTCTTTGATTGCGTGGTTTGGCGTGCTCAGAACAGCAAGAAAACACTGCTCCTGCTGGTCTATGCAGTAGAGGCGCGCTCTGTTTTCCCTTGAAACAAGCTTTACAACCAGCAGTATAGAAAGCTCTGGCGGGCACGCAGCTCCCACAGGGAAGCTCGTATATGCTCCCGGGATGGGCTTGAACACCTGCGGCGGAACTGCCTTTGCGTCGAGAATCTGTATGTTTTTTATGGTGGCGAATAAGTGCGTAAAGTCGGGGGTGCTGGCATGCCCCTGCGCGCCAACCACAGATCCCACCGCAATGCTCTTGAACAGCGCCTTCTCCTGCTTCGTGGCGCTCTCCGCGATGGAAAAAATAAGAAACTTGACTTCTCCGTTGTTCTTGATGGCTGCAGTCACGCTTTGCACAATTTGGCAGTTCACTGCTTTCTTTGCATGCACCTCGAGTCTGATCACTTGCCCGACTATCATGATTGTAAAATTCTAGAGGCAGATAAATAGCACTGCACTTTTATTTTATGATTTGTGAGACAAAAGAAGTTTCTTCTGTTGTGATTTCCGAAACTATGGAAGAGGGGGCGTGCTCTTTTTTCTTCAAAGACAGCTCGCACAAGCTGCTGTTGACCAGGGCAAAGTGCTCTGAAAAAAAGCAGAGCAGCGCAGATATAAAGTCGGCGTGCTCCAGCCCAGACGCAATGCATTCCTGGATGAGCCCGGAAAAGTACAAAGAAATCGAGTCCTGCGAAACCTTCTCCTTTCTGTACAGAAGGCTTGTTATGTGGCTGTCCACGTCGGACAGGAACTCCTGGAACGAGAGAGAGGCAATGAAGAGAGAGACCAGGCTTGTGGCGCACGCGTGTATTAGGGTGCCTTTGTCCAGGGAAATGCTCTCGTGGATAATGCAGAGGCCTGCCGTGAAGAAGTTTTTGCACTCCTTAAGGTCGGCGCGCGTAGAGTGTCTGGCCTGCAGCATGCTTACATACTTCTGAATGTTCCCTACGCTGTTCAGCACGGCCGCATACTGCTTGTAGCAGTCTATGCGCACAAGCATGCCTCTGCTGTTTATAAGGGGAAACACCTGGCGGCACATGAGTATGATGGTCTTTGCAGTGGTCTTCATAAATAGAACGTTCTCTGCGCTCACCTCTCGGTTAAGGTCGAGAATCGAGTCTGTCGAAATCGCCTTGCTCAGAAGCATGCCAAAAAACTCCCGCTCGATGAGGTTGCAGATTCTCTCAATGTGCCTGCTTGTGGAAAACGTGCTGATGTTTTCCACCCAGAAAGCCTTCATCTCCTGGTAGCCTTTCATAAAGTTGTTCTCCAAAAAGTACTCGAGCACTGCTTTGTGCATTTCCGCAGAGCGCTGTATGAATATTTTCTCCGAAAGAGTTTCTTTTTCCAGGTTAGCGACAGCCACACCCTTGACGGCGACGCCAAAGTAGTGGTACTTTGAGTTTCCCCTGTTTCCCAGGCGCCGGCTTCTTATAAAGGGAAAACACATTTTGATCACTTTTCCAAACATTGCGGTATTTAGAGGCTCTATCCCTTTTTTTTTGAAGTCATCGCAGTAGTGCTGGTATATCACGCACCGTGGGATCGAATTGTCCTTGCATGCAACATAGTTAAGGTTGAGCCAATTGGTTATTGGCTGGTTCATGCTTTCTATGAACATTGTTTTGGTGTTTGTAAACACACCTAAAGAGCACCATAAGAAGCCTGCAGTATTTATTTGTGTGCTGCGATCTATTGTTCTAAAGAACATTTAATAATATTCTCTGATATTAAACACACAGCGTCCGCAGAAGCCAGGCGCAGCCCCGGAGGCCTGCTGCGCGCGCGCAGGCGCACTGCCCGCGGCCAGACCCGCACAAGGCTCTGCCCTGTCTGGCTGGTTGACAGGCTGCTATTTTGCATGTTTTGCTATCCACTCTTCAACAGCTGCAAAGTTAGACAGCGTGAGAGAGGAGATGGAGTAACACGAAATGTCTTTTCCTAGAAAGGAGTCCAGGGAGAGCTCGAGCGCGATGCTCTGGCACTTTACAAAGCCATTTGTGTCGTTGTGCGTGCACAGCACAAGAATGGGGATGTCCACATGTTTGTTTTTCTCGAGCAGCCTTTGCAGCATGCACTTTGCGCTATAAAAGCTGCTAGGGTCGGATGCGTCCACGAAGAAAAACAGGGCCTTTGAGCTTCTGTAGCTGAAGTCCCAAAGGTTGCTGTACTCTGGCGCGCCGCCTATGTCGCTAAAGGTTCCCTTGATCCCGTTCTTGACAAAGGCTCGGGTGCGCATGCCCATTGTGGGCCTTTCCTTGCTCAGCACTTTCCTGTTTGAGTATGCCTTGCAGAAAGATGTTTTTCCCGATTTTGGGGGGCCTATAAGACACACGCTTATCTTCAGCCCCAGGAAGTAGTACACCAAGCAGTTCTTTGTCTCGACCAGGCACTCTTTAATCTTCATCTGGCATTTAGGGAGAGTGGAATATATGCAAGGCACCGACCAATGAAAGGCCGAGTATTTTATGTTTTTCCTCTGCAGAAAAGAATGAACCCAAGCGAAGGAATAGCGATTGCTGTCGCACTACTGGCTGTGGTTATTGCGATTAGCCTGTTCATGCGGAAGCCAAAACAAGCAAGGCGGGCTGTTATAGCTGGGCGAAAGGGTGTGGGAAAAACAAAGCTGTTTCTTGCGCTCACGAACAAATCTAAAACACACCCGAAAACAATCCCGTCCTCGAGCGCAAACAAAGAAAAACTGTGCGGAGGCGTACTCCTTGTTGACGCGCCCGGGGCAGAGCTTCTCAGAGACGTTCCAGAGCTCAAAAACATGACAAGCAGAGACACGCTGATATACGTATTCAGCAGAAAAGAGGACGAGTTTCCAAAGAACTTTAAAACGCCTTCCTCTGTGGTTAAGATATACACAGGCACAGAAGAGAAGTGGAGCACTGACGCGATCCGCCTAGGCAAAGAGCCTTCCCAAAAGGCAATCGAAGAAATTTCTACATGGCTAAGGTAGTGGCAAGCTGTGCACGCATCCATGCATGGGCCGGCGCTTATCTCGTTCTGGCCGCTTCCCAGAGCCAGCCAGTCACTGCCTATTGGCGTGTTTCACATGTTTGCACACATCACTCTTGCAACACAATCTAGGGTGTGGACGGCGTGTGCCCAAGCCCAGCATGCAGGTATGTTGGCGCTGCGCGTTGCAGCAGGAGCTTAGTGTTTAATGGCGCAGGCAGCGCCCCGTCGCGGAGAAACAGGCCTCCGGTGACAGGGATGTATACCTGCCTAGAGCTCGTGCGGGGCGCGCTCTGTGTGCGCTCTGCGCCTAATATCCACACGCGAACCCTGCATGAATAAATAAAATACGTTGTGTTGCAAATTTTTTATATGAAGAGTATAGCCACTGTGCCGACGGCCGAAGTGCTTATAGACACATGTCTCTCCAGAACAAACAGAAGAACGCCGACAGAAGTGCACAAGCACTACCAAATAGGAAGAATCCGGGAGTTTTACACGCGAAAAGTAAAGTTTTCGTCCTCTATGTACGTGGGAAAGCTGAATGACATACTGAACGAGTTTCCCAAGGTGGACGAGGTGCATCCATTTACCGCAGACTTGATAAATGTGCTGTACGACAGAGACCATTACAAGATGGCGCTCGGGCACATAAAGACAGTTGCGTCTGCAATAGGCAGGACGGAAAAAGAGTACACGAAGTTGATCAAGTATGGAGACTCTCTGTACAGATGCAAGCAGCTGAAAAGAGCTGCGCTTGGTAAGATGTCCACGATGGCGAAGAAGCTGGCCAAAACCCTCGTATATCTAGAAGAGGTCCGGCAGAGCCTGATGCGCATGCCAGACATTGACCCAGTCACGCGTACTCTGATAATATGCGGGTACCCGAATGTTGGAAAGAGCAGCTTCATGAACACAGTGAGCAGAGCCAAGGTGGACGTGCAGCCATACGCCTTCACAACGCGAAACTTGTACGTGGGGCACTTTGATTACAAGTATTTGCGGTGGCAGATAATCGACACGCCGGGGGTTCTGGACCACCCAATCGAAGACATGAACACGATTGAAATGCAGAGCGTGACAGCGCTGGCACACCTGCGCGCGGCCATTTTGTACTTCATTGACCTAAGCGAAACATGCGGGTACTCAATCGAGGCGCAGATAGGGCTTTTCCGGAGTCTTTCGCCGCTGTTCGAGGGCAAGCCGGTTGTTTTTATTCTGAGCAAGTCCGACATAAAGAAGCTTGGGGAGCTGAGCGCTGCCCACCAGGAAATGGTGCGCGAGCTTGTGGGAAACAACCCGTGCGTGGAAATGTCTTCCCTGGAGGAGAACAACGTGGACTTTGCAAAAAACACGGCGTGCGAGCACCTTCTGTCGCACCGGGTGGAGCTGAAGCTGCAGGAGAAGCGGCTGGAGGAGTTCCGGGTGTTCCTGGACATAAAGAAGCCCAAAGTGGACCCCGAGCACAAGAGAGTTGCGCAAACAGACGAGTTTGGAAAGAGAGGGGCCACGCAGAACGAGCTGAGAAAGAAGGCGGAGGAGCAGGGCATAAAATTCTTTTCCGACCTAAATGCGCAATACTTCATATGTGACGAGTGGAAGTACGACACAATTCCAGAGATAATGAATGGAAAAAACATTTCAGACTACGTGGACATTGACATAGAGGCCAAGCTGCAGAAGCTGGAGGAGGAAGAAGACTACTACATGCAGGAGGTATACAACAAGGAGTATGCGCTTCTGGACAGGTCCGAGCAGGACAAGAAGCAGAGAATCATCAACTCGAAGATCCTGAAGCGGCTCAAGGGTCTGGACAAGGAGAGAGAAAGCCTTCCTGCCAAGATGAAGACCACTGCCATGTGCAAGAAGCTGGAAGCCAGGGAGAGAGCGGCTGCAGAAGGCGTTCCTATGGAAATAGACGACCCGATTAAGGCAAGGCTGATGCCCAGGCAGGCGAAAGTTGTCCCGCTTACCCTGGAGGAAACAAGACTGCTCAAGCGAAAGGACAAGCTTAAGGAGAAAAAACTCAGAGGAAAGGAAGACGAGCGCGACAGAATGCATCTTTCAGAGCGGCCCATGCACCTGTTCAGCGGAAAGAGAAGTAACGGAAAGGCACAGAGAAGATAAAACAATAATAAATCGCTATTTATTTTCTATTGTGGCATTTATGCAGAAACCGCTCGCGGCCCGAGCACATCTACATCTACATCTTCTGCTTTTGATTGAGAATGCACAGCTTCTCCGCCACCATGGCTATTAGCACGGGGTCCCCGCTCAAAAAGACCTTTTCCAGAACCTCGGCCGGCTCCTGGGTGTCTTTTGCCCAGGCAAAAGTTGCGCCTGCTTCTGCATGCGCGCATAGCAGAGCACTGATCTCCTTCCCTTCCTCCAGCTTTCCCAGATCTATGCCTGAGAGAAGAAGCCCTGCAGCGTAGAGCATTGTGTGCTCAAGAAGAAGCGAGAGAATGCGGAGGTGCAGCGGAGGGTCGTCTATTTTTGACGCAAACTCAACAAACTCTGCAACTAAATGCTCTTTGTTTTGCGCAATTGCGCTTTCCAGGAACCTTTCAAAAAGAGAAAGATCGCGCACCAGCGCTCTGCTAAGAGACTCTGCGCACCTGAACTCGCGCACGCTGTTTCTGCCAACCAGGCTGTACAGCTTGCTTACATTGCGCTCGTCCAAAAGCCTTAGCATCACAGACACAACCTCCTCGTATATGTCGTTTGCGTACTCCTTGATGCACTCTATCAAGTCTATCGCCAGCTCTATCTCCTCTGAGTTCAAAAAGTGGAACAGTGTTTTTTCCACGCTTGTTTTGTACTCGGGCGTGCCAAAGAACAGCGCAAAAACAACCGAGGGCGGCATTTTTCTGGCCGCTGCCAGAAGCACCAGAGAGGGAAATATGCACTCTTCTTTCAGAGCGTCCTTCACTATGTAGAGCGTCCCTGTGCTAGGGTCTATTCGAACGGGCGCGCCTGCCTTAGAGCTCTTTTCCTTGCTTGCTGCAGCAAACGGGCTTATAATGTGCGGCACCGGGATGACTGCCATCCCGTCTGGATAGAAGACAAAGACGCTGTTTGCAGAGACCCCAAACGCCATGTACATCTCGCCCTTCTTCACAAAAGACACATCAAGCAGGCCTGTTGTGATGCACGGGCTGTCTAGGCACTCTGTAAGCCCAAAGATTTTTACGCCGCACGCAGAAATGCTTTCCAAAATGCACGCAGTCCTTTTTCTCACGCTTTTTGTTTCTATGTTTATCTCCGTGAGAAAAAGAGAAAACAAAGGCGTGGTTTCTTTCAGCAGCTTCTCGGCAGAAAACACCAAAAGAAGGTTTCCAACCACCTCCATTGCAATCACGCTCTCTGTGACAACATACCCAGGCAGCAGAAAGGCAAACGAAAACGACGCAACGTGGTGTGCCACGGTGCTGTTGTTTTTCGTCACAAACACATACTCGCTTGAGACAAAAACGCTGGACGCGCCCATGTCGTGCTCAATGCTGAGGTCTTGGTTCAAAACAAGCATGTCTTTTGTGTGTCTTGAGAACATGTATATATAATGATGTGTGTTCCACAGGCTTGTTGGGCGAAACCCGTCCGGGTACCTTTTAAACTCGTTTTTGTGTGCAATCAGGTCGCCTGTCGAAATCACGTGGGTGAGCGCTCGGTTTTTATGGAAGAGCGAAATCAAAGAGTCTGGCGTGTACTCTATAGGAAGCGTGTATTTTTTGCCCAAGACATGCACAACCATGTGGGTTGGGTATAGAAAGCACAGCCCGCTTGGGCTGATCTTCTCGACGTTGAAAAGCGCGTACTCTTTTATAGTCTGGGTGAGCGGCATGTATGTGTATAGCTTCATGTCTTCGGGGCTGTGGTACAGCGCAGTTATCCCAGGCTCGTTTATGGAGAATGTTTTTTGTCCGTGTATATGCACTGTGGGAGTGCATGTTTCCTCGCTGCAGGAGGTATTTCGGATGGAAATTGCGCTTTCGGCGGCCAGTGCAGACAGGGCCGCCCAGTCTTCAAAAATGTGCACTCTTTCCTCGCCCGTCGGCTTGAGCTGTATCTTCACCACGCCTTCGGCGCTGTTCATCTGCACGTGCATGTCCTGGCTTTTTGAAAACGAATGGAAGACAAAGGTTTGGATGTGTGTGTTTGGGCACTTGTACATCTTGACATGTGTGCTTTTATCGGCTGCAGAGTGCGTAATGAACACCGGGCCTTCTACAAATATAAATGTTTCTGGATAGAAGTATTCTGCTATGGGCTGCACGGGCATATTTTATTTATAAACATTTATTTTTCTAGATGCTGATATAGCTTGCCTGCATTGGGCACGCGTGCCTAGAAAAGAGCGCCTTGAAGCTGCAAGTTGGCCTTTGCAGAAAGCCTGCTACATTCTAGGCATGTGTGTTGGCGCCTGCTTTTCCTCGCGCATTGGTGGATCTGTGCATACCATGCCAGCAGGAACAAAATGATTGGTGCATTTTTCAATATTATGCCGCCGCGCTTTCCCTGACGAACAATGCAGATATGCAAGATTTTTATCGGCGCTGTGTGCTTTTGTGTCTGGGGCTCTATGGAGACGGACTCATCCATAGAGGAAGAAGCCAGCAGAGACATGGGGTCTAGCAGAGAGAAAGAAGACTCGAAAGCGCCCGAAGGCACAGCAGCTCGGGCAGAGAAAATAGAGGCGAAAGAGACCCTTGAAAGAGAGGAAACGCACGAAAAAACAGAAGCCAGTGAAATAGACTTTGAGAGTGGCCGCGCTGCAGCCACAAAGAAAAGCAATCTTAGAAAGCCCGGGCCGCACAAAAAAAAGCGAGTCCATTTTGCCGAACCAATTGATGACGACTCCAGCCGGTTTTATAGGAGAGAAAGGCAGGATGCAATCTCATCAAAAAGCTTGCGCAACAGAGAAGAGCTTGAGTCTGATTTCTCCCACGAGCTGCTCTATGCACTTTCGGAGGCATCCGAGCCGAGAGTGCAGACGGCCGTTCTATCCCGAAAGCCTATGCACGTGTGGAAAGTTAAAGAGGAGCATAAGCTATCAGAGCCCCCCGCGAAGCATGCTGGCTTTGTGGTAAGCCTCAGAAACAAAATAAAAAGTGTCGTGTGTCGAGGGTGCAGAGCGCTTAAACGGCTGCTCGGGCTGGGCGATGCAAGCAAAAGTCCTCCGCATGTGCCCGCGGTTGTGCTGGAAAGCTCCAGCGACTGTGCAATAGATGTGACAACTGCGAATCCAGCAAGCATGGCATCCCAAAACATATTTCTGTCTAAAAGCGGCAATTTTGAGGCACACTGCTTGCACAGGCGCCCTATGGAAATCCAAGGCTCTGGGCGCTCTGTGGTTTTGCTAACGCGCATTCCCATGAAGGCCATTCCAGCCAGATACAGGCTGCACGGCGGCATTCTGGTGCATGGTTTCTTGGCCTTCCGTCTGGAAAAAATCAGCACGCATGACGAGTTTCTGAAATACTTTCCTATGGGAGAAAAGGCGTTTATTGTGTGCGCCAGCGGCTCTGAGTGTGTTGTTTGCATGGTTCTTCTTGCAGATGCGCGGAATTGTGTGGTGGCCTGAAGCACGCAAGTCATGTGGAGCTAGTATGCTGTGTGTACAAGAATAAATATGCCACTTTTGCAGCTAGTTAAAGCATGCATGTCTGTTTTTTGGGTGAATTTGGTGTATGCGGTGGTTTGGGCGCAGAAGCCTTCAGTGGCCGATGACCTAGCATTTTTGCATGCAACCATGTTTACTGGTCCATTCAGATGCGATCAGCGCATGTCTTCTCGTTTTTTCATAGAAAAACTAAAAAGTGTATTGGCCTGTTTCTAAACCGGTATTTATTTTGGATAAAGTGTAAACGTTTTTTTCATCACACAATCGTTTTGGAAACACATATAAGAAAGCAGAAGCTGCAAAAGCATGAAAAGAGAAACGTGGTTTTCATGCATTGTAGCGATGTCACTAGGAATGGTTTCAGGAGGGCCCCCCTCAGGAGACCCCAAAGACTTTTTCAAAGGCGAAGAAATGCAGAAGCAAGCAGACCATAAAGGTGGAGACATGCAGATGTCGCACAAGTCGGAGAGCAGTTCAAGTGAGAAGTCGGAACACAAGTCCAGAAGCTTTGAAATGAAAAACAATGCTTTAGTCAAAGACGTCGAAAGCGGGTCTAGCAGCAGCGCCAACAAAAGCAGCAAGCTTGACGAGTCCATGACAAAAAGCGGCAATGAGGTAAAAATGTCATCCAGCAAGTCTGCTTCAGGGTCTGAAGAATCAAAAAGCCACTCAGCCGCGCGCGAAAACATCAATGGAGAAGATATAGTATCCAAAAAAAGCTCCAATTCGTCCAAGTCAAACTCAATTGAGGACAATGCCTCGATCACAAAAACTGGTGACGAGATTACAGCGGCTAAAGGCAAGTATGATGAGAAAAACACGGAAAAAAACGAAAAAAGTAGCTCATTGACCAACATAAAAAGCAAAGACATGGCATCTGCAGAGAACACAGCAGAAAAGAGCAGCCTACAAAGAACAAAAAGAAGCAGCTCTCTTGAAGAAGGCCTGGCTGGCGAAAAACACAAAAATGAGACAAAAGGCTCATTAGAATCCTCCAGCTCGTCAAAATCATCCAGCGAAAACTCATCAAAGTCCGAAGAGAGGTCGGAGACAAAAAAGAGTAGCGGGTTCTTTGGAGCGCTGTTTGGCGGAAACCACAAAAAAGAGGCGAACGGCGCGTTGGAGTCCTCCAGCTCGTCGAAATCATCCAGCGAAAACTCATCAAAGTCCGAAGAGAGGTCGGAGACAAAAAAGAGTAGTGGATTCTTTGGAACGCTGTTTGGCGGAGATGGCAAAAATGAGACAAAAGGCTCATTAGAGTCCTCCAGCTCGTCGAGATCGGCTAGCTCGTCAAAGTCCGAAGAAAGGTCGGAAACAAAAAAGAGTAGTGGATTCTTTGGATCGCTGTTTGGAGGGAACGACAAAAAAGAGGCGAACGGCTCATTAGAGTCCTCCAGCTCGTCGAGATCGGCTAGCTCGTCAAAGTCCGAAGAAAGGTCGGAAACAACAAAAAGTAGTGGATTCTTTGGAGCCCTGTTTGGAGGGAACGACAAAAAAGAGGCAAAGGGCATGTCAAAGCATAACAAAGAAGAAGAGGCAAGCACTAAGACCACCACAGCAGAAACTTTCTCTGAGGTTGATGATTTGAATGCCCCTCCGCCGTCCCTTCCAGGCAGTAGAACAAACACCAATAGAGATGTTGAACTAGTTGAGGTGCATAACATGCCAAGAAGAAGAACTAGATCAACCCGGTCGCTCGTAGAGGGCTCTGCACCAGACAAGAGAGTGCTTGTAGACAGCCACACCCACATGTACACATGCTCAAATCCAACCCGGGCCCATGCAAGAGGCGCTGCAAACTGTTCTACAAAACACAGCCACAAAAACAGCACAGAGGCTTTATACGAGGTCAACAGAAACGTTTTTCTAGATGAAGACCTTACCATTGGACAAGCCGACAATCTTCTATACAAGGTGCGCAGAAGTAGGATTCCTCTACCAGAGCATGATTCAGAAACAGATTATTGCATGCGCAAAGGCATGGTATTTGTTAAAATAGTTCTTGTGTCGTTTGATGAATTTGCTGAATACACAAAAAAACACGAATTACCTTACCTTCTGCCGCTAATAGACAATCATCCACTAGTTGAAGTAAAATTATCACATAGGCTCTAAAACAATACAGAATGGAGGGCACTGGAACAAAGTACATGGTTTTCTACCCACCACAGCTCATAAGCTGTCCCAAGAAAAACCAATCCAGAAACTATTGAAGCATAACGAACCAAGATAGCCTTCGAGATAAGTCCTTAAAGAAGACATGATGCGCTTTGTTGTCAGGCCGCGCCAATCCATGCTACAACAAAACAGACTTGCTAGGAAGCAGGAAAGACAAGCGTCATGGAAAAAGATGTGCACACATGCCAAAATAAATATGTACTATAAAATTTAAAGCTGCAGCAGTGGGCTGTGGGCTTTTTATTGAATGGCATGCCGCCTTTACACAGAGTGTGCCAGGCACCCATGAAAATTTAGAGAGCTTCTGAGTGTGGCATACTGCAAGAAGAAAGCATGCCAGAGGCCAGCTCTTTCAGCAGGAGCTTCTACAGAAAAAGCCTGTCGAGCACGCCGCGCCGGCCAGCCATTGCCGGAATGTACAAATGCTCAGAAAACTGGTTCAGCGGGAACTTGCTGATATCAATGGCCAGATAGGCCGAAGATTCCAACAGGCTGGACAGGTTTTTCTCCAAAGCCGTTCCCAGAAAAATGTCGTGCATTTTATAAAGGAACATGTGGAACTGCTCTGTCTCCGGGACCTCCCACTGCATGGGCATCATGCACAACATGCACACCGGGCTGTATGGATGCTGGATTTTGCACTTTTCACACTTCCTTTTTGGCGCATACAGCGCAGACACTTGCTTGAATATCACGCTCCGAGCAAGCGTCTTTATGTAAGGAAGGCTAAACGCCTTTTCGCAGGCGCTGCAGGCCATGCCTATTGTCTGCTTTTTGCCGCAGCACTTAGGAGAAATCGAAAGCGCGTCCAGGATCTCGGGCGAAACAGCTTCAACGTTGGGCGCGCTTTTTACTGCTACGCTTGCCGGCCTGTGCAGCCCCAGAACCTTCTGCACGCTATCCAGCGATATTGCAGGAAAATGCTCCAGTATTCTCTGTATGGGCGGAAGCACCTGCATTTTCATGTAGTAGTCGCAGCAGACCTGCCCGCTTTCTAAAATGTGCTCAGGCCGGAGGCTGCCGTGGTGCAGCGCCATAACAAAGGAAATAATGTCTCCGCCGTGGAAAACAAGCCCTTTCTCCTGCTTTAGGCGAAGAGCAAGGGCCACCTGATGAAGGGCCCCGGCCTGCACAGGCCCATAGCTTTCCGGGGCCTTTTGTATCTTTTTCCGGATCAGAAAGTGCTCCTTTCCTAAGCTCTTAAAAGACTCCTTCGTTTTGCTCAGCATGCAGAGCATTTCTTTCTCTGGCGCTGCGGAGTACAGAAGAATGTGCACAGCCTTTCCAATTGCACTTCTGGCCGCCTCGCACCAGTCCCTCCGTCCTGTTTCCAGGCCCTTTTCCTCCACTTTCTCGCGCCCATCTGACAGATACACGCCAAAGTACTTTTTCTTTGCCAGCATAACAAGCTTCAAAAAGACCTTTTCAAAACCGAGCTTGATGCATCTGTACTTTCCGCTAATGCACTTGGAGATTTCCAGCAGAAGCTCGCCAGACGGCGCGGGCTCGGTGGTTTTTATTCCTGTGTCCACCATTACCGAGTCTGTGTCTCCGTATATGACCGCATACCCCTTCTGCTCCAGCGTGGATTTTGTGTCCTTTAGAATGTTTCTGCCGCACTCGGTAATGAACGCAGCCATTTTCTTGTTGTAAAACCGAAAGCCCTTGAACCCCAGGCATCCATACACGCAGTTTGCAACCAGCTTTACAGCCCTCTGCTCGATTTCCAGAGCCTGCGGATTCCCTTCTCCCATTGCAATTTTCTTTTTGATCCCCGCCCTCTGGAGCACAAGGTCTCTAAGCACGCCGGGCAGCAAAGAAGGCGCCTCCGTGTCTGGCTCAGACATGGACAGGCGGTGCAGCGTGCTGAAACACACGTTATACTCCTGGATAATTGACGGGTACAAGGAGTTGAAGTCGAACAGTGCAACATATGTCCCGGAGTACATTCCAGGCTTTTCCAGAAACACGTGCCCGCCCTCATACGTGTCTTTGTCGTCCGCCCGCTCCCCAAGCAGCCTTTTCGGTATCAAGTACTTGTTTTCTCTCATTCGATGGAGCAGCAGATATTCCACCCGGTCCGACTTGTATCCGTTGAAGATCGGGTTGAGAAGGGCTCCCGTGACTCTGGCTAGCTTTTCAGCCAGCTCCAACAGGCCGCCCCTGCGAAACACAGCGCACATTAGAGCTGAGCATGCGCGGGAGGCGTTCAAAAGCGTGGAGAAGCGCGTGGAAGCGCCTCCGGCTTCAATCGCCAGTCGGGCCTCGTTGGAGACGGACAGGCCTCCTTGCACAGGCGCGTCCCCATACGAGACGCCATACGCCTTGCATATTTCGTCCAGTGTGTACTCGGCGAGCTTGTTTACAGACTCCACATACTTTGGAAGGTCGCACACCAGGCTGACTTCTGCGCGCTCTGAGGGCTTTTCTGTAGAAGAAGCATGTGCGCCGCCGGGCGCTGCTGCTCTGTTGGTGAAGAAAGCCGCATCCATGTTGTGCGAAACCACCATGCTTGCCTGCCACTCCCTAAGAAACCCGAGAACTCGAGATGCAACTGCGCTGGCGCTGGGCAGCTTGGAAATGTTTGCAGACAGCAGCTCTGCAGGAGACGCGTCTGTTTCCAAGCAGGTGAATGTCCAGTAAGAGCACAGCCCCTCGCCGCCTGCATGGCGCAGAAATGCATCCTCTGCAGCAGGCTCTGTTTTCTGCTTCTTGGCAGACAGGCCCTCTGCACGGTCGAGCTCTGCGCAGTCCTGGGCAAAAGCCGAGCTGTAAACACAAACAGACACGGTTTCAAAGGAGTCTTTCTGGGAGGCATAGACATATGCAATGCGCATGCTTGGCATCCCGTATGAAATGGTTTCAACCGAGTCCATGCGCGCAGCCCCGTTTTTCAGGTTCCGTATCCGCAGGAGCGTGGGGCCCTTTATTTTTTTGAGCAAAATAAATGCCTCCATAGGGCTGCTAAACGCTTTGACGACGCGGTTTGAGGTGTCCAGGTCGATTATTCCGCTAGCCTTTCCATACGGAAGATGGAAGATGAGCCGCTTCTCGGGCTTCCCTCTTTGCATAGTGTCTCTGTCGAGGCAAATGCTTCGTAGGTCCCACACGCACGCGCGCTCTTTGCTGACTGGCACAAGGCTGCTGGAAAACACCTCGGAAACCTCGCTTTCCAGCCTGCTCATGGAGGGGCCCTCCTCCGTAATGGGCGCTGCAGATATTTCGTTTACTATGTCTGTCACCAGTATGGTTATGTTTTGTCCGTTGTCGCTTCTTATGCATTGCAGAGAAACCGAGTCTCCCTGGCATGCAGTTATATTTAGCACATGCACGTCCATAAAATAAATTTTGCATGGGAAAAAGAACACAATCGAAGTCGACCAACAACAAGCGATCAACGCACAGGACCGTGAGTATAGGATGCAAGCTGAGAAACAGAAAGCTGGACTACGATGAAATAAGAAAAAGAGTGCAGGAAAACACAAATGAGCCTATAGAAAACCCAAAACATGCACGGTGCATCGAATGCGACCGCGTAATGGAAGCGTCTACGCTCGAAAAGCACAGAAAGTCGAGAGAACATAGAAGAAGGCTGAAAGATCTTTTGGAAGACGAACTTTTGGAACAAGATAGAAAAAATGGTCTATTCTAATATGAAACAGATTAATACAGACATATACAAAAAAATATGGAAGAAGGTAAAGAGACTGAGAAATACTCAATAACCACGCTCCCACAGGAGCAGCTGAAGCAGTACAAGGAGATGTTTCTAGAGGAGAATGTGCATATTTATTGTACAATATTCCAGGAGGACATTGTGCTGGATATGCTGGGCAAGCACGCTGCGCCTGAGAACGCGCAGGAGAAGTCCTTGGGAGACGCGCTGTCAAGGATGATCGACATATTCATAAACCTTCTGAGGGGCATCAGCACCAGAAAGCCATATAAAATGAAAATGGTGAGCACAAAATACAGATTCAGCACAGCGCAGGCGCAGGTGCAGGTGTCTGCCGACCTGGAGGCGCTCATGGGCGTGCTTGACGTGATAGACATATCGCAGTATCCGGAGCTGTTCAGGCAGAGTGCGTCTGCCGCAGAGGTGAAGGTACTGTGCAATAACCTGCAGCACATCACATTTCCACACATTTCGCCAGACATAGACAACTGTCCGGAGGAAAAGCAGAAGAGAAACCGAGAGATCATAAGAATAATAACGTACAACTTCAAAGAGTTTGAAATAGAGACTGTGGCTTCGGTCTACAAGCAGGTCCTTAAGTCGAAAAACCCTCTTTTCCCAAGCCAGTACATAAAGCAGTACATGGAAATAGGGAAGGTGGCGTCCACGGAGGATAAGATTCTTCTAAGCAAGTTCCTGCTTTTATTTACAGTCAGCCCGGCCAAGAGAGAGCTTCTGGAGGTGACCTGCAGCTTTTTGTACTCTCTCATCACCAAAAAGGACAGCCCACTGCGGTTTGAAAACATTTCTGTTGTTTTCACGCCTATTTTTTTTATAGACGACAAGTGCTGCATAGTTGATGCAAACTTCAAAGAGGTGCTGGAGCAGCTTCGGGACTTTTTGAAGTTCTTCCTCCAAAACAGCCCGGCCATTTTTTTAATGGAGCCGGAGCCCTAGTGCATGCAGTATAGAAAGCGCTTTTTTGCGCCCAATCACTCGCTTTGTGCCAGAGGCATGGACAACCGTATGCTCCAGCTGGTCTAGAAGAGAAGAGGGCGTGCTGCCGCGCGCAAGCAAAGCAAACAGGTCTCCCAGAGCGCCCACGATGCTAGAAGCAACCTGGTAGGAAACCCCTTTTATTGCTTGAAGAACAATGAGTGAGCGGTCTGTCCGGGCATAGCTAGTAAGCTTTCTTTTGTGCGAGCGCACCAATAAATCACTGAGTAATATGTTCTTTTCCTGCGGCCCTTTGCAGACGTGCCGGTGCATGCTTTCTATTGACGCCAGAGTTTCTTCCACTCGCCAAGGGTTTATGACAACAAAGTTTGAGGCCGCTAGCTTGTACGAAGAAGTGTACAAAGTTTTTAGAACCGAAGGCTCTGCCGGAAGGGCGCCTTCTATGCAGTACACCTTGACGCCTTGCAGGCTTTTGAGCCTTTCCTTTTGCTCCGCATATCTTCCGTCCCTCACCGACTGCATAAGGTCTCTTATCGTTTTGCGCTCTATCAAAAGGTTGCAGTAGTACTGCTGCTTGTCTCTAACCAGCGCCCACAAAAAATCTCCCACGGACAGGACCCTGGTCTCTGCTTGGACGCCTGCGTGAGAAAGAGAGGTTTGGAAGAAGTACGGGTTTTCGCGCGTCCGCTTCTCGCGCATGTCGATTAGCAGAACACACTGCTCTTTTGCGTCTTCTCCGCGTGCCAAGCAGCCTGTTTTTTCGGAAAGCCCGCTTGTGCCCACGCCCCTCGGAAAAAAGTGCGGGCGGCCGCGGGCTCTGTGCATATAGTCGTTTATGTAGGACAGAGTCCGCGCAGACTCCCTCCCAGCCTCTGTTATCAGCAAGCCCGCGCCCGTGTCCTCTATAAGCCCGTGGCGCATAAGAATCTTGGAAGTGTGCTTGACCCTTTTTTCCACAGAGCTGAACACCAGCCTGCCCCCATACACATGGAGCTGCTTCTGCGCCCTCTCCAAGCAGAAGTATCGCAACGACGAAGTGTCAACAAGCTGTCCATCTAGGACATCATATGCAAGCGTGTCTATCACAAGATGCGCTACCGTGAACGGAACAGGCACTTTCACCTGGTGGCCATTGATGCGAACAGAAAAAACATATCCAACTTTTTTCTCCTTCTCCGGCTCCTTCGTTTTGATTTTCACTGCGCACTGCGTGTATGCCAGGGAAAAAGCATCCTTGCTTTTCGGCAGTGCCTTCCTCGCATCTTCTGTTTGCTCTGCCACAAGCTGTCTAGCGGGCTCCATGGGGGCGGCGCAGGCCTCCCGGGCAGAGTCCGAGCTGTCCAGCACATACACCAGCTCCTCGCTGCATGCAGACGCTGCTTTGCTGGGGGGTTGGCTGCCGCTTCCCCCCTCGGCAAAGTCTTCCTGCCCGCCCGCATTTTTGCCTGGCGGGGCCCTTTCCACTTCTTTTAGTATCTCTTCTGCTATGGATCTGCCTATGTGTTTTACTTTGAGAAGGTCGCTTACGCTGTCCAGCTCCCCCTCATACTGAAGAAGCTCCTTCATGGCGCGCTTGTAGCGAATAAACCCAAAGGTGGCCCCAGACACCCGCGAGTACACCTTCTCTCGCTCAATGAGCCGCCCAAGCGCGTCCTCGGCCTTTTTTCTGCAGCTTTCTATCCTTTGCGCATTCTGCATATTTTTCAAATGAATAAGAGCGCGCCAGAGGATCTTCTAAAAATATACACCGCACACGTAGAGGCACACTTCACAGGCTGCGCGCTGGCGCACAAGCAGAAAAAGTACAGCGCAGAGCAGGCAGCACACATCACATACTTCAAAGTCCAGGAAGAGCTCCTGAGCAGCCCAGGCCCCTTTCTGGCAAGGCCCCTCATATACACAAGAGTCATAGGGCCGCTGCACGCAAAAGAGAAAGAGCGCCTTTTGGACGAAATAAAAAAAGCTCTTCCGGAGATAGACGATGTGCAGGAGCACAGCTATGCGCTTATGCACTATCTTGTTATACGCGCTGCTCCATGGGCTGTCTCCGTGCTAGACACCCTCCCGGGAAACCTTCTTGTAGAAGACCGGCGTGTGCACAGGCTGTGCTTGGACCGCCCTCCTGCGCATTTTCCAGCAGAAATGGTTATGTCCACGTGCGTGACAACAACGCTGTGTCTTTTGAACGTAGATGCCGCAGAGCAGGACATTCTCCAGGCGCTTAGCGAGTATCGCGTGGAGTTCGCGGTGTGTCTAAAAGCAAGAGTGTATCTCAAGCTGTGCCGGGAAAGCGATTCGCGCGCAATGTACAGCAAACTGTGCGGGTCTTTGGTCGATGGAAAAAGCATTTTTATTTGGTACTATCCAGACTGTTTATCACAAGTAAACTTATTCCTGTAAAAAATAAATGAACAGGAGAGGAAAGAAGAGAGCCGATCTTTTGGAAAACTTGTTCAAGTCCTTAAGAAAGAGCACGCGAGCGTATGGAAAGAAAGAAACCATGGACATGATAAAGCTCAAGTACTCTGAAATGTGGACGTCTCGAAAGTCCCAAAAGGAAAAGGAGCTGGAGCTGTCAGAGACGTCTTCAACTGATGCAGGAAAGGAGGTGTATTACATAGTGGACAACAGCAGCCTATAGCCTGCGAACTGGCCGTGTAAAATACCGTGCAGGTTGGCCTTTTCCGGGCCTTGAGGCAAGCAGCAAGCCATCGACTCCAGAAGAGAGCCAAACAGACAGAACAAATAAATTGCTATATGCATCTTTACGCCGCGATTTGGCACCAGTGTGAGCGCGCGCATAAATGCAATTAATTTCTTGCGCAGCGAGCTGCCCCCGCATTCACGCACAATAGAAAAGATATTGGCTTTGAGGCTTTTCCCAGAGCCTGCTGCATTGGCTGCCCGCTCTGAAGGAAGGGCGCATGCGGGCACGCCCTAGCTTCATTTCAGATGATGCTGCGCTCGGTGCTGGCTTGGGCCCGGGCACAGAGAAACAAATAGGCCCAAAGCACCCAATGTTGGGCCGTGGGCGCCGCAGGGGCATGCAAAGGCTCTACATGGTGCATAGGCTGCAGCAGCGGATGCTTTCTTGCGCTGCCTGGCAGTGGCGCACAAGGGGCGTGCGGGCTGCTGGCTTCATATTTATGCCGTACAAAGGAAAAGTATAAATGCGCAAGAAAGAGAAAAATTTGTGAATGCAAATTATAAGTATTTCGGAGGAAAAGAAAATGTACAACACTGCACAGGACGTGCAAGAGCTTGCGGAAAACATAAAAAAATCAGCCGAGACCCTCAAAGGGATAGACCTCAGTGAAAACTCGTTCTCTCCGGAGGCGCTGCTTCCCGTGCTGGCGGAGCTAGGCAAGGTGGAGGGCCTTGAGATAGTTGTTTTTAGAGGAATATTCACGCAGAGGGTAAAGGAGCAAGTGTACCCCAGCCTCCGGGACATTGTAAAATATATTTCGCCGCTAAAGAAGGTGTCGTACTTTGACATCTCGGACAACGCGCTGTCGATGAACGGCATGGAGATACTGGTTCCTTTGATAGAGAGCATGCACGCGCTGAAGCATCTTGTTATGAACAACAACGGCATTGGGATAGACGGGGGAGAGTTTCTTGCAAAGGCGCTTGAGAAGCTTTCTGCGCAAAGCACTGCGCTGGAGTCTCTGGAGGTTGGGAGAAACCGGCTGGAGGACTCTGCAACCAAGCTTGGAAAGGCGCTTGCAATGTTTCCGTACTTTGACGTGCTTAAGATATACCAAAACAGCATCAGCAGCATAAACATAGGAGACTTGCTGAGCTCGCTGGAAAACCAGAGCATGCGGGTTCTGGACATATCCGACAACTTCCTGCTGGAGCACGGATCCACGGTCCTTTCCGGCGTCGTTGCAAGCTGGCCAATAGAGTATCTAAACATATCAGACTGCATGATGTCGGACAAGGGGATAGAGGTTTTTGCGCGGTCCATTCCCTCTTCGGTTGCTTTGCAGGGCGAGCTTGTGTCGGAGAAGGAGATAGACATGTCATACAACGATATAACTGAGGGCGCGATCGAGCACATAAGGGCGGTGTTGCAGAAGATGCATTCAACAAGGCTTGTTCTCACAGGGAACGAGCTGGCAAAGGAGGCTGTGGAGTCTCTGTGCAAGGACGCCGAGGAGACCACGTGCGAGATACACTTCGAGGAGGAGGAGGACGACGACCTCGTGTTTTCGTCAGAAGAGAAAGAGGAAAGCGCAGACACCCAGAATGACCAGGTAATAAAGAAGATTGAGGAGCAGATTGCCGAGCTGGCCATACAAAGGGACGAAAATGGGCTGCACAGCGAGTAGGCGCCCTACACAGGCAACAGGAGCCGCAGCGCCCGGCCGTGCTGCTAGAGCCAAAGCACAGAGAAGTGGAAAAGCATCGCAGGCATGCTTGTATTGCACACTGCCAAGACTCCTGCCAAAGGCGAGTGTAAAAGCGGATCCGGAATCGCCCAGCATAGGAGTAATAAACACGCACTAATCCACTCACTTGCGCATGCAGCCACAATGCTGTGTGCTGCTTCCCCACTGAAAACATATGGCAGCCAGGAGCAGGAGGCTTTTTCTGCAGCTTTTTCAAGACAGCCAAATGCGGGCAAGTTTGCATCTGTTTTGCCATTTCTAATTTGTTTGCAATAGAATATCGCATCTGCACACCCAAGAGATAAACAGATGCATGGGCGTGCATATGGCAGGCAGCGGCCTGCACTTCCAGCAGCCTAGAATATATGAACAGCCGCGTGCTGGTTTCCTGCAATGCGCAATGCCCTGCTGAAAACGTCCGGGCCATGCTGTTTTAGGCCTGGGTGCTTGTTTCGGACCACGCTTTTCTGATATCCACAGCAGCAGAGAAAAATAGCAGAACAGACGCGACTATTAAAGCAACAAAAACACGAGGTATTTTAAGTAGGTCCATGTGCTCCTGCCGAGTTTTTCTCAAATAATTTATTTTTATTGGTACGATATCATTCTGATCATTTGTCCGCCCTCAAATCATTTGGATGGGGCGTGCTTCATCCAATCGTCACATTTTTTCTCCGCAGAGAGCTCTACACCTAGGTGCTGCAGCAGCCTGGCAAAAGCAAACTCTGTGACCATAGAAAGCAAGCCTAGAAGGCAGGTGTGCTGCATGCAGCACACAAATAGGATTGGCTCTCTGCTGCCGGCATGGCTCATGCGATGGGCATGGTCGGGGTTCACGTGTACGCCAGGCGCCAAAGAAGATGGCTTCGTGCGCTCCAGCGCAGCTCACCAGCACTTTGAGCATGCGGCAGGGCAAATGTTCCAGAAGGCAGGAGAGCCCTTCAAATTGCGCAGCTCCATCAGCTTCTTCCATCGCTTATGTGGCGGGCGAGGCTTTTGCGCCGCTTTCTACTTGCGGGGCAAAACCAAGAGGCAGCACAGAAAGCACAGTGCACGCTGCGGGTGTTTTTCTGTGTTTGCAGCAATTCAAACACACACAAAGAGTGCTGCGTGGACAGCTTGGCTTTGTGTTTCTCCATGGGGCTGCCTATTGAAGCAGTGCATTCCAGTACAGTGCTGGCTGTGCGCAAAGAGGCTTGAGAAGCGCATGGCACGGCTTATAGCCAGACGCGCGCACCGAGGCCGTTTCAAGCAGCAAACACTTCCCCAAGACAGCAGTAAATTAGTGTTTGTTGATCTGGATATTGCATAAAGGCCATCACAGGCCTGCAGCTCCGACGCTATGCCCGCGGCGTGCAGGCATATTCAGTGCGCACCATGAGCGTAAAGGCCGTGGCTTGCGCGCTTTTAGCCCAGAAGGGCTGCGTGGCGCTGGCGCAAGTAAGAAAGATCAACTTTTGCACAGCCAAATTGGGCGTGCGTTTAGGGGTAAGCCAAAGCCATGCACTGCTGCAAGGCGCGTGCAGGGCTCAGCGCCAACCGCGTCCCAGCAGGCTGCTGCTCAGACCGCTCTACTGTGCAGTGAGCGCATTTGCCCATAAAAATACTAAACGCTTCGAAAGTTTATTTTTACGAATGCAAAAAGAAATGACAGACGAAAAGAGTGCTTTGGGCGCGGACGAGGCTTGTAGGGCAAGAGGGCAGTCTGAAAACCCTGGAAAGTGGATAAGAGGAGAAAGAATAAAAGACCAAGGCGGTGTGGCAGTGCACTGCGGAATAGACGCAAACACGCTGAAGAGGATTGACTGGATCGAAATAGCAGCGCAGAAAGAAACCGCAGATAAGATAGAGCAAACGCCAAGCATCTTTGAGAAGAGCTTTCTCCCGAGAGTGATTGGCCACTGGATGGACGGCAACACATTGGTGCTTGTGACCGAGCCTCGGGGAGCGCCTTTAGCGCGCTCTCTGCTAAGCAGCAAGCTGGCTTGCGCCGCGCAGTCTGCGCCATTTCTCTGCGCGGTGTCAAAGAAAATACTTCTTGCAGTGACGTGCATGGAGCACGCGAAAATAAAAGGAAGAGTGTCCATGGACGGGATAAGCATGACAGAGGAGGGAGACGTGTACATCCACAACAACTCCATATGGCGGGAGCTTTTGGGGATGGCGATATCCGAGACCCAAACCGAGGAGGAAAGGCTGCGGGAAGTCGGGGTGGCGCTGCTTTTCCTGGGGACCGGGGAAATGCTGGAGGAGCTGCAGGGCTTTGCACGGGCCAGCGACTTGGACGAGGAACGCATGCACTACAAAGTTTTGAGACAGGTTATAAAAATACAGGTGCCATGTTTTAAGGAGGTGGTGATGTCCTTGCTGGGAAACCCATACACCCCGCGCCTTCTGGAAGAAACGCTTGCAATGCACTTTTTCTTTCCTGGAGAGGAGCAGGAGATAGAGCCGTGCCGCTGCAACACAGACGACTATCTGGGCGAAGAGGCTGTGGAAGATATTTATTATAAGGAGAGCGGGTTTGGGGTTCCGCACAAAAAAACAGAGGAGATATACGACCTTGCAGGGGGAGTGGCGGTGAAAGCGTCGACGCTGGACAGAAACAAGTTTACGTTCCAGATGCACTTCTTCAAGAGCAGCAAGAAGGTGTCCTTCTGCTTTGACAGAGACGCCGACACGGTGGACAGCGTGGTAAAGGAGATGGAGGACGAGGGCCTGGCGCAGGAGGAGGAGATTGGGCTGGTCAAAGCCCACATGGAAAAGCTGATTATAAAGATAGACGAGGAGTTTATAGACGAGCTCGGCATGGGGAGCCCGAACGAAGCCACCACACAGAGCGTGGAGGGCGCGGGAGGCGGGCACAGCCTGCAAGCTGAGGGCTCGGAGGACAGCAGCGACTATTCCATAAAAGAGTTCAAAGACGCGCAGCAGATAAGCGAGTTTACTTCTGAGGTGGCCCTGTGCGCAAAGCGCGCGAAAAGCACAGCAGACGGATGGACGGAGCTTTTAAGGAAGCAGGACATCAAAACAGTGGGGGATTTGCGCATGCTCATAGCCGAGGACTGGGAGAAGCTGGAGCTTCCCGTGTTTGCGTCCAGAGCAATGAAGAATATTCTGTACGGAGAGTCCTGCGCGCCGTACAAAGAGAAAATGCTCGGGATAGACGAGAGCATGAAGGAGTATCCAAACGAAAGCAGGGTTGAGGACCTTTTGCAGGACACCGCACAGAGCCACGGGAGGCCAGAGCTATTTAGCGGGTGGCTGCACCGGGTGAAGTGCCAGGACATCCGAACAGTGGGAGAGCTAAAGCTTCTGCGGGAGGAAGACTGGGAGCACTTGGGCCTTACTGTGTTTTCGCACAGAGCAATCTGGAATGCGATCTTCCGGCGCAGCATGTGCTAGGCGAGCAGAGCTTCTATTTGCACGCGCACGCGGAGTGCCGTGTGGCAGGCCCTGGGCGGACGGGCGTATGAGAACGCGCCTGTACGAAGAAGGCCTGCAGAGAAAATGTAACAGCAGAGATTATTGAGAACGGCATGCATAGATGTGCTGGCGTGCTTGCATGCGCTAGCAGCAGTTTGTTCGGTGGAAAGGAGCTGCAGGCAGGCGTCTTTTGCGCCTGCAGAAAGAAAACGCAGCAGAGCCCCGAGCAGGCCTAATTTTCAATAAAGAGCTGTCTTTGTGTGACAGTATAAAAACAAAAGTCTAATTGGTGTGCATGTGAAGCTCTTTGCCTGCATAGGCTTCTGAAGTGATTTGTAGAGGATGAAACTTAAAAAGCACTCTAAAGCATAAATATGCATTTTTTAAGTTCCGATATGAAGAAAATAAAGGACCTTTTTGCAGACACAGACCGAATCAAGAAGCTGGTGAAGTTAATTGTGACAAACCGGGAAAGCCTGTTGATAGACTACTCAAAAACGCACATAGAGGACGAGGACATAAGGGCCTGGGAAGAGCGGCTCAAAAAAATAGGGCTTGCCAGCCGCGTGAAAAGCATGTTTGCAGGCGAAAAGATAAACTACACGGAAAGCCGGCAGGTGCTCCATGTGAAGCTGCGCTCTGAAGGCGTGATCAAGGCGCTGCAGACCGGAGAAGCAGGCAGCCTGGACAAGGAAGAGATGGAGATTGTGGACGAGCTTCGGAAAATGAAAGCAATCTGCAACAAGTTTGAGAGCGGAAACATGAAGGGCGCTTCGGGCATGCCAATAAAAAATGTGATAGGAATAGGAATAGGCGGAAGCGACCTGGGCCCGCGCCTGCTTACGTCTGCGCTGATGCCGGCGTCAGCAAATGCAGGAAAGGAGTTCCGGTACGTGTCAAACGTAGACTCGCAGGAGATGCACGCCGCGCTGTCCAACATCTCGCTTGAAGAAACCGTGTTCGTCATCGTTTCCAAAACATTCACAACGCAGGAAACGCTGGAAAACGCAAAGATCGCTGTTTCCACGCTTTTGGGCAGCTACTCCAAGGGGCCCACCGAGCAGGAGATCATCAAGGCACACTTTCTAGCGGTGACCGCGGCAAAAAGCCGCGCGATGGCCTTTGGGATAGACGACGACAATGTGCTCGACATGTGGGACTACGTCGGGGGGAGGTACTCAATATGGAGCTGTGTGAGCCTTACCTCTGTGATGAGCATAGGCTTTGACGCGTTTTTGGAGTTCCTGAGCGGAGCCTCCCAAATAGACACCCACTTTCTGAACACGCCCGAGGCAGAAAACGTCCCCATGCTGCATGCCTTGGTTGAGTGCAAGTATATAAACGAGTACGGCTACGACAACAAGTGTATAGTGCCATACGACTACTACATGAAGCTTTTCCCGTCGTATCTCCAGCAGTGCGAAATGGAGAGCAACGGGAAGTCCTTCACAAAGGACGGAAACAAGCTTCTGCCCGAGACCTTCCCCGAAAGCGAGGTCTCTTCGGCGGAAAAGACCGCGCCCGTCATCTGGGGGACGCTTGGCACAGACTCGCAGCACTCGTATTTCCAGCTGCTCCACCAAGGCACTGTGCGGACGCTGGTTGAGTTTCTCATCCCAGCCAACCCCAGGGTGCAGACGCCCAGGAAGAACACCGAGCAGCAGGAGGGGCAGTCCACAGCACACGACGTCCTTGTTTCGAACTGCCTCGCGCAGTCCAGAGCTCTCATGATGGGGAAAAGCAGCCAGGACGGAGACAGGCAGTTCAGCGGAAACCGGCCGTCCATCACAATCATGTACGACTCGCTTACGCCGTACGCGCTGGGCATGCTCATTGCCATCTACGAGCACAAGATATTTGTGCAGGGCCAGGTGTGGGGCATAAACTCGTACGACCAGTTTGGCGTGGAGCTGGGCAAGGTTTTGGCAAAAGAAATTCTGTGCAAAGTTGAGAGCCAAAAGTCCATGCTGGGCTTTGACCCGTCAACAGACGTTCTTCTGGGCCACTACATGCAGAAGAAAAAGTAAAATAAAGCCGCAGCTGCAAAACGCGAAAATGCGCAGAGCCGTTTGCTTTGCAAAATATTATTAGTTTTATTTTTTTGGCCCCTTGCATGAAGCTTAGTATAGCAAATCCAGAAAGAACAACGCAAAAAGTTGTGGAAATCGAGCACAATGTGCAATCTGCGCTGTACGAGAAGAGAATCAAAGACATAATAGACGGGAAAGTGATTTCTAACGAGTGGGCGGGGTTCCTCCTGCAGATCACCGGAGGAACCGACAAGCAAGGATTCCCGATGAAGCCAGGCGTTATGACCCCAGAGAGAGTTAGGCTGCTGCTTAAGAAGGGAGACATTGGATTCCGATGCACTGACAAGTCGCTCAGAAGAAGAAAGAGCGTCCGAGGAGACGTGGTGTCCGAGCAGATAGGAGTGCTCAACCTAAAAGTAGTGAAGGAGGGAGAGCATGTTTTCGAGGGGTTCAACGACATTGTAAACCCTCTGCCAAAGGGGCCAAAGAGGGCCACCAAAATCAGAAAGCTCTTCGGCCTCAGCAGCGATGTCATCGACCTGGAAGAGTACGTTGTAGGAAGAACAAAGGTCACCAAGAGCGGAGAGACCAAGGTGGTCAAGCCAAAGATCCAGAGACTTATCACAGAGAAGCGCATCCAGAGATGGGAGGCTCGAATTTCTGAGAGAATCCAGAGACAGAAGCTTGGGCGTGAAAAGAAGGCCAAGTACTTCGCCATGATGAAAGAGAGGGGAATACTGACCAGCAGAAGCGAAAATTTCAAAAACAAGAGGGCAACCGCAGTTTAATAAAGATGCAGCATCTTACAGGCTTTTTCTTCCATTTCAGCCCGCAATGAAGCGCCGCAGGACGGACGGATGCGGGCACGCGAAATGCAGTTTTTTGCAGAAAAATGGCAGCACTGGGCTCTGGCTTTGCTTTTTGGCTTTTGTGTGGAGCTTGCTGCTTTATTTACTTTATCTCGCCCTCTTCGGTCTCGCTTAGGAGGGCAGCCTCCGCCTGGACTCGCGCATACTCGGCCCGCAGGTCAACCTCCAGATACTCCAGCTCGGCCTGCATCTCCGGATGCCTGGCAAAAAGGCCTGCATAGAAGGAAGACATGCTTCCCAGCGAGCCCACGTCTCGCGCATGCTCGTGTATTGCGGCTGCCACGTGTTTGCGCCTTTCTGCTCTTTTTTTGCAAAGCACACTCTTTACAACTGCAATGGGAAGATCAATGCGCAGATTTGGCAGCGGGGCGCCCCAGCCTGCGCGCACGGAGCAGAAGCCTTCACTACAGAGATCTCTCTGCTGCCTGTCACTTTTCATTGGTCCAGCGCCCTTTCTGCCTTTGACAGGGCGCAACCTGGCCATGTCTATTGGTCCGTGTGTCTCTGCATCTATGGCACAGTATGCTGCACGGGTGTGATTCTCCACGTATTGTAGAAATGATATATATGTTTTCTTCTTAACTACGTGCTTCCCGTGCATTGTATAGCCCGCCTCCTCCAGGTGCCTTGCGAGCTTCAAGCGCGCAATCTCCTCGTGCGCATAGCTGTGGTCGCCCAGCCGCGCAAGCCGGCGCTGTATCTGCAGAATCCTCTCCAGCGTTGCTCTTTGGTGCTCCTTCGTCTTTCCTTCTTCGCTGAATATGCATGGGGGGAGCGCGTCTTTTGCGCCCAGGATTGCTTCGTCGGAGATAAGCCCCAGCAGGCGGTGGTTTGGTATGTACGCGTTGTTTCTGGCGAGAGTGTCCATTATGTACACGGACGCATCCTTGTCTAGGGGCCCGATGGCGCTCAGGGAGGCTGTGGGGCCCAGAGGGATCGTCGGGGGCCTTTGAGAAAAACAAAACTCACACTGTGCAGAAAGCCCCTTGCCCCCTGAAAACAAAAGTTCACCAAGAGCCCACTCTTCTGGGACGGGCATCCACCGCCCTAGCACTGCGTCTCTTCTGTAGATGCCTCCAGCCGGACACACGTAGTCTCCGCTTTGCATGAAATAATTGGCTCTAGCCAGAAATTTTAAGTTAAGAATGGTTGGATTGATTTTTCAAATCTATAGATAATAGAGCCAAAAACACTCAGGGGAAAGGATATGGATAGCATAGAAAATGGCAAAAAATATCGAGAAGATGCGAAGAAATCTTCAAGCGCAAAGAGAAGAAGGGAAACAGATGAGGAAAGCACAGGCTACTCTATGGAAAGCGAGCATGACCACTTTGAGTGGGAAAAAGGAACAAGCATGCAGCCATTCAATATCCTGGCGAAGTGCGCTGCAAAAGAGCTGAGGGAGCTCACCAAAAGCTCATACGACAAGGAAAACAACAGCCTGGGAGACCTGGAGTCTGACTCAGAAAGCGACCTGCTAAACATGGAGTTTCCATGCGCAATGGTCGGCGGAAAGAAGGTGTACAAATGCACTTTCCAAGGATGCAACAAAAGCTTTCCTTCTCTCAGCAGAATGAGAAGACACTACATTATACACACAGGCGCAAAGCCATTCAAATGCTTAAACTCGAAGTGTAACAAAACGTTTTCTCGAAGGGACAACATGATTCAGCATTACAAAGGGCATTGTCTCCACACAAATGTGTGAGCCATGTATAATAAAATGCTTCTATTTTCTTTAAAATTTTAAAATTTTACCCCCAGCCAATGGGAAGAGTCAGTTCTAAGCTTATAAAAAACGCATCCAAGCAGTTTGTAGAAAAGCACTACGGAAACCTCACGCTAGACTTCTACGAGAACCGGGACGTGCTTGAATCCTCGTCAATTATCAAGGGAAAGAAGGTGCGAAACAAGATAGCAGGATACGCAACCAGACTTATGAAGAGAATACGATACGAGAAGGTCAAGGGTGTTTCTATCAGAGCCCAGGAAGAGGAGAGAGAAAGAAGAGACAACTTCGTGCCTTCAGAAAGTATTATTGATGTCGAGCGAATAGAAGTGGACAGCGTGACCATGGCTATGATAAAGGAGGTTGGCCTGACCGGAAGCTTCTTTGTTCCATCTCTCGAGGAATAAATACAATAAATAGCTCTGCGAGTACTTTTGCATATTTGGAGCGGCATGAAAATATATCCAAAATTTAAACATGCATGTACGCAGGCCGTGATATGATGCTTTTCTTTTATCACCGTGATTTTCCGTATATGTACTTATATGGGTGGGCATTTCACGCCATGAGGGTAAAACTCAAGCAGTTGCAAAAGTACTACGAGCTGGACAGGCTGGCTGTGCAGCCCAAGGAGTATATAGCATACTACGTCTCCGACGCTGAGCATACGAAAGGCGCCGCAGTTTTTGTGCAGTACATACACATCCGCAGGAGAAGGACAGCCAACCCAAAGGGACGAAGCGCTTAGCGGGAAGACGTCTAGCTCTTTGCGCCTGTGCCAATAAATGCATAAGATGCAAACACCCTTTATTTTAAGCTCTTTACCCCACCCCTAGCTGGCAGGCTCTGCCCAGCCCCACTGATGCAGGCATGACGTGCGCCCCCCCTTCTCTGCCACGCTGCCCCAAAACTTTTTCTCTGCGCGAACCACAAATCTTTTTCTGAATTTGCTTTTTTCGCCCTTCCGCATTGGGCATTTTCTGTTTCGGCGCAGCAAAGCTCTCGGTGCCTGCAAGGTCGCATGGATTCTCTGCAGAGGAGAGCAGCACCTGCTTTAGAGCGCACAGGCTGCAGCAACTGCCTATACACAGAAGGCAGGGCATTTTCCTTGCGCTGGAGGGCAGAGGCCTTTCGGCATGTGCCCTCTTCTGATTTGTTGCCTCTGGCAGGCGCATAAATTTCTGGAGAACCGCTTTTTGTGTGCTCTTTTGGCGCTTTCAGGCCAGGCATATCCTCTGGCGCTGGAAGAGCACAGCCTCCGGCCCGACTGGAATCCGCCTAGCAGCAAGCGAGTTGAGCTCACCAAAGGAGATCTTCTTCTGAAGCCAAAAAGCAGCAGGACAGCGAAGCACACCTTCGAAGGTGTGCACGGGCTTGGGCATGACTGCGAGCGGGCGCCTATGCCGCAGAGGTATTTTCGAGCACTCTCCTCCAGAGATCTCCACGCGCCAACGCTCGTGCACTTTACACTGCACCCATCATGGTGCATGCAGCGCAATCAGATGGGGCTCTGCGCAGACCTTCTGGAGAACATGATGTCTATATGGTGCCAATGGCGTTCTACACAGTTTAAATGCAGCGCCGCTGGGCTGCGGCGGCTTTCCAGGCTTGCTTAGATAATACCACTTTATTTTCTTGATAAGGGCGCACGTGCCCTCCTTTCGTAGCCCATTTTATGGCACAGGATCTGAAAATAAAGCACGCAGCATATTTCCACTTTCTCTTTCAGACTCAGCAAATAATTCAAAGGCGTCCAAGAGCCACCAAATTTCTGCTTTCTATTTGGCCAAAACGCCGCGGGCCCTGCTACGAGCAGGCCGGGCTTCTACACGCCTGGCCTTCCGCATAGCCTGAGCAGTGCTCACTCTAGCAAAGGCGAGGACTTCAGCGGAACCACCATCCTAAATCTAAGCTCGCTGCCCTCCGTCCGTATAAAGAAGCCTATGCGCAGGAACTGCCAGTACACGCCTGGAGGAGACCTTGCCACCTCCGGAGAGACGCGCGCGCTTGCGTACACCGCTATCTCCTCGCCCTGCGGGATCTCCAAAACGGCAACGGGGGCGTCGGTGCTCAGCCAGGGTATCACCGAATTGTGCGCCTCTGCAGACTTCTCCAAGCGCCTTTCCGCCAGATCGACCAACTTCAATGGCCCCAGCTCCTTCAGGAACACCGTGGCTCCTCTCTGGATCCGGTAGAAGCTTGGCAGCGGCTCGCCCTCCCTGAAGTCTTTCTCGTCAACCAGCACCTCCCCTGTGGGGACCTTTATGGCGAGCGGCCTCAGTATCGCGGCCGCCTTAGAAGACTCCGCGAGGTCTTCCCGAATAATGTTCTCCAGCATGTGCCTGGGTATCTCACTGGTCACTGTGGTGATGCCCAGAGACTCTACAAACCGGCGTATGCTGTGCGCAGGAACCCCTCTGCTTCTAAGCCCCTCAAGCGTGCTGAGCCTGGGGTCGTCCCACCCCGTAAACTTCTTTTCGTTGATTGCCTTGGTTATGAACCGCTTGCTCAGCAGCGCGCCGGATATGCTCAGCCTGGAGTACTCCCACTGCACCGGCCGGTACAGGTCTAGGGCGTCGCACAGCCAGTTGTAGCTTTCTCTTGAGTTTATGAACTCGGTGGTGCAGAACGAGTGCGTGATGTCCTCAAAGGAGTCTGTCAAGCAGTGTGTGAAGTCGTACGATGGGTATATAACCCACCTGTCCCCCGTCCGCACGTGCGGATGCTTTATGACCCGGTATGCAATAAGGTCCCACAGCTGCGGGTTGTCGCTTGACATGTCCATTTTCATTCGGAGCACCGCCTCTTTTTCCTCGTACTCGCCGTTCTTCATTTTTTCAAAGTGCTCCAGGTTCTCCTCAACCGACCTGTCGCGCCACGGGCTGACTATCCGCTCTTCCTGCGTGTTCTCCAGGCGCGCAGCCATGGTCTCTTTTCTCTTCTCGGCAACCTCCTCTCGAGAAAGATGGCACACATACGCCTTCCCTCGCTTGATCAGCTCAACCGCACACTCGTACAGCCTGTCAAAGTAGTCCGAGGCGTGCGTGATCTCGTCTGACCGGTACCCCATCCACTCAACCATCTCCCGGATTTTTTCGTAGTACATGGTTTTCTCCGCCTTCGGGTTGGTGTCATCATACCGCAGGAAGATTTTCCCCTTATAGAACTCTCTGTACCCAAAGTTTATGCTCATGGCCTTTGCATGCCCTATGTGCAGATGCCCGTTTGGCTCTGGCGGAAACCGGACCCGAACCTGCCCGTTTGTTCTCTTTATGTGCTCTCGCAGAATCGCAGGCGTCTTCTGGTAGTTCGTGAACGGGGTGTGCATGGTCTGCATCTCCCCCTCCAAAAACCGCGCCCACTTTCTGTTCTTGCTAGTATACAACTCTTCCGGGATTGTTGCCTCCTGGTATTTTTTATTTATAAGTCTGGTCGGCGGCTGCGCCTTCTCGGCCAGCTCCAGAAGCTCTTTTATGATCTCCTCGGTCATTCCCTTCTGCGCCTTCTTTGGCCTCTCTGCCTGGGCTTTGACGTCCAGCCTCCCCATCATCTCCAGTATGGTTTTGGGGCACACAAACTGCAGCCGCGGATGGTGCTTCAGCTCCCTCAGAATCTTTGCCTTTGGCTCGCCCAGGCTCTCCTCCAGCACCTGCGCAGCAACTGTCTCCATCTCCTCCAAAGACGGAACGTTTTTCTGCATCTGCTCCCGAACTGCGCAAGCGTCCATCTCTGGGTGGCGCTTCAGCACGCTTTCCGCGTTCTTTATGTCCACATCCGAGGCTATCACCGCGTCCTGGATAAGCTGGGCGTGCTTTTTTGCGGCCTCTGCACTGTGCGCCAGCTCAATCACCTTGCATAGCAGCTTCTTCTTCTCAGCGCTCAGGTTCTCAGGCGCGCTCACCTCCTCCTCAAGGACTTCAAGGATGGCCCGGACCCTCTTGTTCTGAACAAGCTCGGACGCCTTTGCCTCTTTGACCTCCAAATGGCCAAGGTATTTTAGCGACTTTTCCTTGCCTTCATGTAAACTCATTTCAAAAAATAAAATTTGAATTCATTTATGCTTGTGGAGGTCGATAGTGTTTCTATTAGAAGGAAGAGCAAGCTTTTATGGTTGCACACGCCCCCTGTCTTCTCAATTGGAATTCAGTCTTTGCATGGTGCATCTCGCACAGTCACTGTTAAAAAAAGATACCACTGCCGCGTTGGCCTGGTCCTGGAGGTGGACGAGCCATTGGCGAATATTTCCTTGGTTTTCTCGCACAAAGGCGAAAAAGTCCAGGTTGCTGTCCGCCCAGACACCATCACGGTTGTCTTTGAGTTTGAAAAGTACACCGGATCTGCATTGATCCGCATTGACAAAAAAAGCTATTTTTCGCTTTACGAAACAAACAGCCTCATAGGCACGCACGACCTAGACGAGGTTCCAAACATCGACAGCTTTTCGAAGATGCACAGCATACTAAGCAACAACCATGTAAAACGAATTCTCTACGACGGGGAACAGTACACAGTAAACCTGCAGACGTTTGAAACCCTGGACTATCCGGCCATACTCCTGGACCCCGTTGTGCTAGAGGCGCATAGATACACACTGTCCCTGTTCAGCGAAAACAGCGTGAAGAACACGAAGAAGGACGAAGACTTTTTAAAAAAGGTGCGGTGCTTGAGGAGCTCGCCCAAAATGTTTATTTCCATATTCTTCCATGTGACCCTGGAGGTCTCTAGAAACTCGATCGTCTACTCTCTGTACAAGCTGTACACAAATCCAAACTACAAAAACGACATGTACAAAAGAATCTCCATTAAGTTCATTGGGGAGCTTGGGGAAGACCACGGCGCGCTCCGAAAAGAGTTTTTTGAGATTGCAGGAGACGAGCTTGTGACAGACAGCAGGTTTTCGCTGGAAAACGGCCTGTTTGACTTCACAGGCACCCAGGAGCTGGAGGCGCCAGGCGCTCCGCAAAACCACGTTCTTGCCATTCCAAACTCAGACTTCTACTCTTTTGTGGGGTTTTTCCTGGGGCACGTGATATTCCAGCGGCTGCAAATTAGAGCCCGGTTCTCCAGGCCCCTGTACATGGCTCTTCTCAAGAAAAAGTGCACGTACAAAGACGTTTCCAGCGAATCATTTAGAAACAGCATAGAGTGGATCCAAGAAAACAGCGTGGCTGGCCTGGACTTTGTATTCAAGTCGGGGGCGTTGGTGACCGACAAAAACAAGGGCGAGTTTATTGACGCTCTTGTGGAGGAGGAAACATGCACAAAGCGGCCCGGATACTCTTTTATGGTGCGCGCTTTCCACAAGGTTATTGCCAGCGACGTGCTTAGGTTCGACCCAGAGCAACTGGAAAGGCTGTTTTCCGGCCTGCCCACGATTCCCATCGAGTATCTAAAGCAGATCGCCCTGTACAAGGACTGCCACCCTTTGACGCCCGAGGTGGCCTACTTCTGGGAGATCATGGAGGCAGCAGACGAGGATTTCAGGCGGAAGACGCTTAGGTTTATCACAGGCTCGTCCACCATTCAGTACGTGCCTGGGTCGCAGGTCGATTGCATTGTGATCGAGCGAATAAACCTGCCTGGGTTCATCCCAACTGCACACACCTGCTTCCGACGGCTGGTTCTCTACGAGTACCACTCGCTCCAGGAGCTAAAGGAGAAGCTGCAGCTAGCTATTTGCGAAAATGGAGGCTTTGACTTTGTATAGAAAAGCCGGCCGGATTTGGATTCGCCTGTGTTTTAATAAACACATTCTGTGTATTTTACTTCTTTGGGCCTGCCCGCTTATGCTATGACACCGCGCCTGCACGGGCAGCCTTGCCCGCTCAGAGCATGCGGGCCTCGCGGGAAGCGCGCGTTGTGTCTGTTTCTGCGCGCTATCCAGCCACCGGCACATGCCTTGGGCCTTATTTGTCGCGCTTTGTTTGTGTTTTTATGGAGATCACTAAAAGGGAGGACCGCCTTCCCCTGAACATGCAGTGTCTAATCATTCTTGCCTCTTTTCTGATCCTCCCCACTCTTGTGGCCAATCTGCGCCTTCAGAAAGAATACGAAATTCTTTGCTCTTTTGTGGGGTACATCCTTGGGCCTTACCTGGCTCTGGCCCCCTTAAGCTACAAAGCTCGGTTTATGATCGGGTGCGCCAGCGGAATTGTCCCCATATTCTTGGGGTTCAACACATATCTTCGAGCCTTTGTCCTGGGCCTTATAAACTCATACTTTGCGCTCGTTATCGAGATGTTCTGCGGCGCGCTTTGCGTGCGGACCAAAAAGGCCCGGGCGGCCATCGTTGCAAACATATTTGCTGGGTGGCTTTCTTTTCTTACATTTTTTTCGCTCCACTTCTGCCCGGTTCTTGTGGAGCTTCTGTGCAACTCTGTGACTTCCTTTGTGCTTGCGTGCACAGGAACCCTCGCGTCCTACTACTTCATCGTAGAAACCCCCGAGGAGATATTTGCGCGGTACAGGCTTGCCGAAAAGAAGAGCCGCGCGTACGAAGAGATGTACAGCAGCCTTTCGTACATAAACGGGCCGGATATTGTGGACGAAGACGAGCTGAAGGAGGAGTATCGCATCTTCTTGGACGAAAAAAGCAACCTGCAGGACCACTACACAATAAAAGAAAAGGCTGCCGCTGCTCTCAGCTACATCAACGTCTCCTTCATATACATATCCTTCCAGTGGGCAGCCGGCGTTGAAAACCGGTACTCTCTATACAGGCTGTTTCTGGGCGCGATGCAGCTGTTCACCTGGACGTTCAGATACTACTCGCGGGCAAACGCCATGTATGTCTTTGTGCTGCCCCCTGCCGCGCTGTACTTCATGTGCGTGAGCACAAACAACACACAGGACGTATTTCTGGTCTTTCTCATGCTTCTTGGAGCCAACTTTCTACCAAAGAAGTCCTCGGGACACGTCTTGCAGCGCGCAGACATCGCGTTTGCAAAAAGCCTTCAGTACGTCCTCGTTTTTTTTGTCTTCTTTGGAATAGCCTCAACGATCTGAGCCGTCTGAAGTAAACACAGCGCACATCTGTGTTTATCTGTTGTGTCTGCTCCTGCCTTTGTTTGGTATAAACTCATTAAAAAACACATCCCTCACAACATAAACATGGATTCGCTCATAGACATGAGATACGCATGCAGCCAGATATCTCTCCCCGCCTGCTCTATTCTGTTCAGAAACACCGTGCACGCCAAGTACCCCGGCCGCGCCATCTCTATCCTTGGCATAAACCTCTACTCTCCGTACACTATAATGCTCTTGGTGCTTAACATTGTGCTGACCATTTCTTTAATTAATCGCACACAGGTGAAATACTCTTTCCCAGCCAGGCGGGAAATGCTTCTGTTTCTCCGTGTGTACCTAGGCGCGCAGGTCTTTGATCTGGCTCTGTGCAGTGGCCTGATCAAAACGTCCTGGAAGGCCATATACTCCGCTCTTGTGAGCTTTCAGGTTGCGTGCACCACCACATGCTTTGTGTCGGCCATGTGCACCGGCCTGGTCTGGATGCTCCCAAACCGGGTGGCCAGCTCCTGCTCAAAGATTGCATATCTCTTTACCGTCTGCTCGCTGTTTTCCAGCTTCTTTCTGTGCCTTCTGTCCATCACCTCCGGCTTGGGCGTCGGCCTGTTTGCTCTCCTGTACCTGGTCCCGCTGTTCTTTGGCACCATGTTTGTGTTTACGCAGCTGTCCAAGCTGAAGATCCTCAACGCAGACATATGGGACTACGGGTCTCTCCTCGTCACCGCCTCCTTGGCGGTTTGCATAGGATGCACGCCTTTTGTGCTGGGAATGGTTGTCGTTATCATCTCTGACCGGTATCTTGACGGCACATTCCTAATACACACACTCGCTTTGTTTGCCGTCATAAAAATGTACGGAATATGGAGCATGGACAAAGAGCAAGAAATAGAGTGTGTAAACACTGTTAAGCAGTAGTAAATAAATTTTTGTATGAGAAAAAAAGAGCACCGCGTGCACTCCCGTGCCTTTTCTGCACTAGCCAAGTTTGCGGAGGCTTCTGGGCTGGACCCGCCTGCATACGATTACAGCTTTCTCTCAGAAGTGCCCTGCGCGCAATCAGATCGGAAAAGCCTTGTTTCAGCCATGAAAGAGCTTGAAGGCCTCAAACTACCATACAGAGTGGTGCAGGACTGCATACTATATGTGGCCTCTGGGAGAAAAAGAGAGATAAGCCGCCTGTGCAAAAGGTCCTCTACCGGCGCCCTTTTTGTGTGCAGAGGGCTTCTCAGCGCCCCTGTGCCTGCCTGGCACGCCTCGCTCATACATCTTTTCCGGTGCGCTCTTTCGTGCATGGAGGACAAGCCCTGTGCGGTGGAGGCAGCTGTCACTGCCTCAGTGTCCATTGAGGAGGCGCTGGGCACGCCAATACATGCACAGGCAGAGGCATGCATTGCACGCCAGTGCTCAGCCTCCACCATTATTGCAGCCATAACAAGCCTTATCGCGCGCCCAAAAAGCACAAAATATCTGGCAGGCCTGGTTTGTCTAGTGTATCCTTCGGAAGAGGGGCAGCGCTTCTACGAGTCGCTTTCCGACTGGAACACAGAGGCCTCGGCTCTTCTGCACATACATGCGACCGAGCGGCTGTTTAGAGCGCGCACATTCAATTCGCTCAACTCGGCCACTGTTTTGGGCGGCCACATTGAGAGACTGCTTCTCGCAGAAAGATGGGCCCATCCTAGGGCGCAAATTGCCGATGCGCGCTCTGGCCTCCCGCACAAGCATAAGCTGTCCAGAGTTCACGCGGGCGCTTTGCACTTCCTGGAGGTTTCTTTCCGGCTGAGATGGATTTCGGAAAGAAGGGCTGCGGGCCTGTGCAGCATAGTGTTTGGCATTTTTGAAAAAACAAAAGACATCCGGGCGGCCAGAGCGCTTTCCTATATAGTTTCGGCGGCTCCGCTGCGCCACAAAGACTGCTGCTCTGTGTACATAAACAGCATCCTGTGCCACGTGGCATACTTGCTAGGCAATGAGGGCTGCTGCCAAAGCGGGCACTTCTTGCGGTCAGCCTCCATTGTGGTGCAAAATCTAAGCGCATGCAGCAGCCTGCACATGTTTGGCTTCTCTGAAGTGCTTGCGCTTTTAAACACCCCAAGCCCCCACAGGGCTGCGTCTCTTCTGAGCAAACTCATCCACACACCTGCCATTGTAGGCAGCCTGTTTGAGCAGATCTGTGACAATGTGCAGATTCTGGCGCATGTCGTGCGCGCGCTTTCTCTTGCTGGCCTATGCGTGCCCGACAGCCTGGCTCCAAAATACCTCTCTGTGGTCCAAAGCATAGACGAAAAGACGTGGGAGACTTTGGAGCCCTGCTCCATGCTTCTTGCAGGCATACTTCCAGACAGCATAAAAGCAGTGGCTGCTGCTCAGCTGCTTTCCTGGGCATGCGAGCGCTTTCCCGCCCACGCACGCCAGCCATACCTGTACGGGCTCATTTCGGGCTGCTGCCCCCAAATACACGCGCGCGCCTTGCTAGAAAGCGCTGCTTCTTCGATCCTTTTGCAAATAAACAGCTGCAGCAGCATTGGAGAAGCATACAGCGCACTGTCTGCTGTGGTCATGCGAGCGTTGTCTCTTGACAGTCAATTTGAAGATGCGCCAGTGTTCTCAGAAATTGTGTTTAGCTTTTCCACGTGGATAGGCGCGGCTGAGCCGGCTTCTCTCCCCAGCATATACGCGTTTGCGCTAAAAGCGAACAGGCATGCCTACGGGTGGAAAGAGTGGGACAACGCAGTGCTGGCGGCTGTGCATAGACTGCCTGCGCTTGCTTCCTCGAAAAGCGCGCACGAGGCTGACCTTGTAGGAGAAATGTGCTCATGCCGGATTTTGGAAAAAGTCGTCAGAAAGCTAATGCAGTATGCAGAAAAGAAAAAGATTCGGCCTTCAGCTGTCCGGTCGCTCCAAGCTCTCTGCGTAAAAGGCAGGCACCATGCAGCAGTTCTAGGGCATCTCCACAGGGCATACATGTCTGCCAGGCACACAAGCTCCACCGCTATCCTAAGGTCTGTGGGGCATGTTCTTGTCGTGTCCACAGAATGTGGAATGTCGTGTGTAGACCATGCCTCTTTGCTTGTTTCGATGTGCGAGGAAGCGCTGAGGTCGTCGTTTCCTTCTGTAAGAAGGGCAGGGCTTTTTCTTGCCAAGTGTGCTATAGAAAACTGCTGGGGCTGTGCTGAGGGGTACAGAGTTGCGGTCCATTTGCTGAACTGCTCATTTCCTTTTATTCTTGACCCGAAAGCCGAGGCAGGCTTTTTTGGGGTTCTCCAGGCATGTGCAGAAAGGCTCACGCTAGAGGTTGTCACGGGGTACATTTTGCCTGGGATGGTGCATACAGACAAAAGCATCCGGAGCGCGCACAGGAAGGCGTATGCGCATGTCACCGGCCAGTGTTTCCAGCGGGAGGGCTCTGCTTCTTTGGACGAGCTCTCTCTCTGCATGTACAACAGCGGCGCTTTTCGAGAAGTCCGTGAGCAGAAATAAAGTGTACACCGTGTTTTGCAGAGCAGAGAAGTATTTGTTTTAGGCGAAGTAGACAATTTTATTTTTGCTCAAATGTTTTACCCACCAAGCGAGGATACGTATCTTATGGAAGACGCCCTTAGAGAAAGACCCGAGACAGGCGTCAAGTGCATTGTAGAGGTGGGCTCGGGCTCTGGGTACATAAGCAATGTTCTCAGCATGCTCTACCCAAGCGCGCACGTTATAAGCACCGACATAAACCCGCATGCAACAGAGGAAACGCGCAGGGCGTGCTGCGCCATCAATGCAACGGCCGTTCGGGCTTCGATGGTAGAAGGCATCAAAAAGAAGATAGACATGGCGGTGTTCAACCCGCCGTACCTGCCAAGCGAGCAGAAGTATCTGCACGGAGACTGGATAGACAGGTCCTGGGCAGGAGGCGCAGACGGGATGGAGATAACAGACAAGTTTTTTGCGGAAACCAGCCACATTCCAGTAAGATACGTTGTTCTGTGCCAGTACAACAACCCGCGCAACGTAGAGGCCCGGCTTATGCGGGAAGGATACTCGGTGCAGACAATTAAGCAGAAAAAAGTTCTGAACGAAAGGCTGCTTGTTATACGGATAGAAAAAGCCCCGGAGCCTTAGCGCGAGCAAGGCCTTCGAGGGCCTCAAGAAAGTGCTGGGCACATTTCGGCTGCTTTGCGCTGCATGCTGCTTCTTTCCAGGGGCTGCCCTATTCTGCAATCATTCGGTGGAGGAATGGGCACTTGTAGAGAGTGCCTGTGAGCGTTCTGACAGGCTTTTCTTCACTACCTGCGTGGGGAGAAGAAAGGACCAAAAGATTTTTCTGCTCTAGCTCGTTCATGCCAGGCCTTGGCACTTCATGTTTTAGAGCACGCACAGACCAATCCGCGCCCACACAAAGACCGGCGCCCCAGCTTGGGGCAAAACACATAAAAAGACTTTACTTTAACACACAAACCTGCTTGCGCAGGCGCACGCCCTTTTCGTTTATCTATACTATTTATTCTGAATCGTCTATGGAAGATGTATCGTCTGACTCGTCCTCTTCGTCAAATTGCGGCTTTGGCCCAAACGCAGTGGGCTCCATCACACGCTTAAACTCACCATGCTCCTGTACAACTCGCTTTTCAAGCTTGGTCAAAAGATCTTCCAGTATTTTCCCTCCTGTCTCGTCGTCCTCGCTCATGATCGAGAAGGAAAACACAGGAGACGAAATGAGAGACACGTCCACCTCGGGATACTCTCTTTCTATTTTTGTGAGAATCGCCTTTATCACCAGAACACCGTTTCCGCGGTTACACTTAGTTTCTGCATCTGCGCGGACCTTTATCTTCGGAACCACAAACTTCTGCTTCACCAGGTCCTCAATCTCGTCAAGCAGGCTGTCGGTGATGAACTCGCAGCGGTCCATCTTCTTCTGCAGAACATGCTCGCCCAAAAGCACCTCTCTAAAGCACTTGTACAGAGACCCAAACTCGCTTTCGGCTGCCCATCCAAACTTTGTGTACAAGATGTCCAAGGGGCACTCGCACTTCACCGATATGCTTTGCATGAAGTTGTGCGATATCTTCCCCTTGTAGTACCTTTCAAAGGCCGCAACCTTGTCTTCGTACTGCGCCCTTTTTTTGCTCAGGTCAATGTACCCCTTTTCCTTGTCCACCTTTAAAACAAGAAAGCCTTCAAGCGTGCCGACCTTTATCAGCTTCTGAATATTTCTTGTTCTTTTTTTTGTCAGCTCACTGTATATGATCAGTCCTTCGATATTGTTGTATTCTGGGAGTGTAATGTACGCGCCAATGTCCTCGAAGCTTTTAATTCTCCCAATGACAACATCGCCCTCTTTTGGGCATTTTTCATAGTAGTATCTATGTGCTTGACTTATGTCCATGGGCAAATTTATATAAAAATATTTTAATACTAATAATACATGGGAAATCAAAAGGAGGACATGAACGCCTTGCTGTCTTACAAGTTCAACGGCGTTGAAAAGTCGTTTCTGGTAGAATACTGCCAGCTCAAATACTGGGAGCGCATTCTCGACCACATACCTCCATGGGTTGCTCCAAACGCAATTACTCTTATAGGATTTCTCGCCATGGCGGCGCAGACACTTTTTGTCTTCTATCTAGATCCGGCCCTGATGGGGAACGTAAGATGGCTTCCTGCCCTGAGCGCCGCTGTGATATGGTTTTACTCCACAATGGACTGCATCGACGGAATGCAGGCCCGGAAAACAGGGGCCAAGTCTCCGCTGGGCCAGCTGTTTGACCACGGCGTGGACTCTGTGGTGTGCACCTTTATAGTGTACTGCTTGGCGTCGGCGCTTGGCATTAAAAACAAGAAAACCGTTCTGGCCATGCTTGTATGCTCGCAGACCGTGTTCTACTGGGTGACCACAAAAGAGTACTATACAAAGCTTTTCTACCTGGGGTTTATAGGGCCCACAGAGTGCATTGCAATGGTGTGCATATTGCTGATTGTAATAAGCGCTGCAGGCAAAGACCGAGTTGTGTACTTCAACTCGTGGGCCACCAAAAACTTTGACGCGCTCGTGCAGGGTGTTTGCGTTTCTGCATGGGTGCTAGCCACGGCGTACTACATATGGGACATTGCATACTGCGAAGAGTTTGGAATGGTATACAACAGCACAAAGACTGCAAAGGCCATGCAGATAGTGCCGCACTTCTTGTTTGTTCTCACACAGGTGATATCCGGGCTCTGCATTGCATCGGCCAGCCAGGCCACGGTTTCGCAGGTGTTTTATCCATACATAGGGCTGTATACCATGTGTTTCTCTATGTTCACCACGCTGACAATAAAGTCGCACCAGCTGTCAACAAAAATCATGATCCCGAATTCTCTGATAGCTCTGACCATAATAGCCAACCTGCTTTTAGTCTTTTCCGCGCCAAAGAAAACGCATCTCTCCATAAACATCGTGTTTGTTTTGGGGCTGACAATATACACGCTAATGGTCAAAGAGATCATTGAAGGATACTTGAAGGTTCTCAAAATACCCTTTTTCTTCAACAACTATAAAGGTAAATAGGCAAAAATAAACAGAAGTGGGTCTATGTGTGCGCGCAGGCGATTTTGGCTGCGCTATTTTCTGGGCGCGGCGTGCGCCATTCTTTTAGAAGCAGCTGCATTTAAAATTTTCATGTTGAAAGCACGCATTAAGCTGTTTAGCATAGCAGATAAAGCCAAAGAGATAGCTCGCTTTTTGTACATTGAGCAGGGAAAAGTAAACTACGTCCGGGACATTGCGGAGGAGGTTGAGCGGATCTTTTTCCGGGATCTCTCCATAAACCAGCACGTCGTCAAGGTGGCCGACCCAGACGGGTATGCCATAAGCGGGTGGCTGCAGGCCAAAGAGGCTGTGGGCGGAAAGCTAAACATATACGTGTGTGGGGGGAGCTGCGAAAAGTGCAAAAAGAGCGAGGTGGTGGAATACACCTACAACACAGAGGAAGAAAGCATGGACCTCCAAATAGAAGTGGAGGTTCCCAAGAAGGCGCAGCCCAAGACAAAGCCCCTCCTGGTGCCGAAGAATTCCCGGGGCGCGACTGCTGCAAAACTCCAGAGACAAAAAGAAAACGCGCGTTCCCCTGCAAAGAAAGATGTGCGCTTAGAATCCCCCGAGGGACAAGGATCTGAAAGAGCGGAGTCTGAGGCGAATTCCAGGTCTGAGGAGATGTCGGAGTCGGACGCGAAAACAGAGTCCGTGCAAGAGCTGATTTCTAGCTCGGCGGACGAGTACTCCGACAGCAGCGCCGGAAGAAAGTACGTTCTCAAACGAGCCATGTCTGTCCAGCCAGTTCGAAAAATGCAGATGCCAAGCAGCAGATATGCAAAGAGAAAATAGACACGCTCTGTGCTAAAAATTAAAATGTTGCACAGAATTGAAGAGAAGCTTCTTGCACACCACAAGCCAACCAAAAAAGAGCTTCGGATGATATGCGAAAAGGCGATGGACATTTTTCTGCTGGAGCAGAACATCGTGCGGATAGAGCCTCCGGTGGTTGTGTGCGGGGATATACACGGCCAATACGACGATCTGCTCACCATATTTAAAATCAACGGGACCCCCAAAAAAACAAAATACGTGTTCTTGGGCGACTATGTGGACCGAGGGCTTAGCTCGGTGGAGACCATTTCGCTGCTGCTTCTGTACAAGGTCATGTACCCGCAGAACATTGTGCTTCTGCGAGGAAACCACGAGTCGAGAGAGCTGACAGAGACGTACGGGCTGTACAAGGAGGTCTGCTCCAAGTACGTGTCTCTGGACGTGTGGAAGCTTCTATGCGAAACGTTCACGTTTCTGCCTATATCAGCGCTTGTTGGCAGTAGGATATTCTGTGTGCACGCGGGGGTGTCTCCGTATGCGCTCACCTTCGACAAGATACTGCGCATCAACAGATTTATGGAAATCCCCGCGTCCGGCCCCATGACAGATATGCTCTGGAGCGACCCCGGGATATACCCTGGGCACTACCCAAGCGACCGGGGCGCCGGATACATAATAGGCCCGGACATTGTGCAGAAGTTTCTGTTTCTAAACGACGTCCACATTATATGCCGGTCCCACCAGCTAGTGAACGAGGGATACAAGTTTGCATACAGCAACCGAGAGCTTGTTACTGTGTGGAGCGCGCCCAACTACTGCAACCGGATGGGGAACAAGGCGACTTTTCTTAAAATAGGAAAAAACCTTCGGGTGGACGACGATTGCTTTGTTTTCTTTGAGCAAGTTTTAAAGCCTGCAAAAGAAATAAGAACTCTTCCATATTTTCATTAAATTTATGAGGAAAGCAGCAGGCAGAAAGACAGCAGATAGGAAAAAGCAAAAAGCAAAGGGAATTGCAAAAAAGAGATGGTGCATTTTTTTGGCAGGGCTTGCTTTGCTGGGTCTGTGCGCTCTGTGGTGGGCCCGGGAAAGTCCCATAGACTTTAACAAGCTTGAATACATAGTATCGCTTCCCAGCGACACACGGCAGCATCCATTGCAATTAGAAGCCCCTATACGGGAGTTTCGGGGAACATGCACGGAAAAGGACAAACACATTGCGCGGAAGCGGTATGTTATTGTGCAAAGCAGATACAAAAAAACGCTTGTGTGCAGCGCGTTTGTCGTCCCGTACCACTACAGAGGCAGCGATGAGGCGCCCGAAAGCCTCTTCTTGGTCTTTGAGGTGTACAGTGTGTATGTGAACCCAAAGTACCGCGGAAAAAGGCTGTCCATCTCGCACCTCTACCGCACGTTTAAAATGCTGAGAAAAGTGTACGGCGTGAAAAAGGGCGAAAAGTGCTATTTGGCGCTGCATATTTCGCCAATGGACCGAGACATGGACAAGGCGTACGCACTGTACCGAACAAACGGCTTTGTAAACGGAATGTTTACTGAGGACGGCCCATACTCTTTGCGGAAAAAGTCAGAGCTTCTGATGGGCGCAGGCTCGATTGACACGGCGCTGGCCAACTACCCGTACTACAACCAAGAGTACACAGGGAAGAAGATGGAAAGCGGGCCAAGATTCCTTACAATGATCGCGGGCCTGGACGTTTTCTTCAAAACTGTGGAGATGAACGCATACACAAAGAGCGACTACAACTACCATCGGAGGAAAGCGGAAAAGCTAAGAAAGCCTCTTCTGCAGCAGTATGTGTACCCCAGATAGGTTGCACAGTATTTTTATTGCTTGTTCAGCCAGCACATCTGTGCCGCGCGTGTGTGGGCGCAGAGCGGCGTCCTTTTGAGAACATAATAAATAAAACACATAGTGAATTCCATGCAATGTTGCTGTTTTGCCTACGCAAAAATCCACCCGCACTTTTTTACCACGTGGAGGGACTTAAGCAGAAGCTTGTTTACTAGAGAGACATGGATAACCTCATATACATGGTGCACGTCTGTTTCCAGGCCCGAGAGGATGGCTCTTCCCCGCGGAATGATGATGTACTTTTTGCTCTTTATGTCTTTTATCCGGTTGTACATTGTGTGCGTGATGAGCGTCTCCCCTCCGCTTGCCATCGAGCAGAGCCTTGCAGCTTCTATAACCGACTTTCCATAGAAGTCCAGCCTCTTTGTGATCGGGTCGTTCTCCACAACGCAGGCCCCCTTGCTGATTCCCACGCGAATCTGCAGGCCTCTGTACAGCGCCTTTGCTTTGGAGTAGATCAGAGGGTTGTGCTGGATCCCCATTTCCGGCCAGTTTTTCTTCAGAAGCACCTTGTGGATCTCCGAGCCAAACTCTATGGCGCACTGCTCGTCGTAGAATATCATCATAAAAGAGTCGCCTTCTGTTTTTACCTCGTACCCGCCTAGCTTTCTCATGAGGCTCCGCACGGTCGTGTTGTGTATTTTGGACATCTGCATCATCTTGATCGAGTCCTTTGACCAGAGCTTGGTGCTGTTTACTATGTCGGTGAACACCACAACTGGCACCCGAATAAACTGCGAGGCAATGTTGTATGCCGAGAGCTCCTCCAGTATCCGAAGGCCCGCGGCGTCGGGCTCCTTTCGCAGAGGGTGCTCTATCCTTGGGATGAGCGGAACCATAAGCACAGACACGCCTCGCAGCTCGTGCGAGAACATAAACCTGCGAACCTCCGCGGTCGATCGAACCCGCCGGTATGCCACAATAAGGTCCGCCACAGACACATCGTGGAGAGTCAGGCGAGGAAACGCCATGATGCACTCGTCGGACTTTCTTTTCTCGAAGCTTGATATGCTGAGGTATGGCGTGCTGTTTAGATACACAACCCGCTCGTCTCGGAAAAGAAGCAGGTCGATGTCGTCGCTTCCAATCGTGCACACGTGCTTCTCGGTCACAATCACAAAGGAGAGAATGTCCACCATGTGCGGGAACATCTTGTGCCGTATGTCTATGCAGAACTCCCGAAGCTTGGGCCGATACTCTGCAAACTTGAGCCGCAGCCCCTCGCTGGACTCCGACTGGATGCATTTTCCCATTTTTGTCAAAATCTTTTCCACGCACGGCGCTATCTGCCTGTTCTTTGAGGAAAAGTATGCAAATATTTTTATGACAGGCCTTTTCTTTACATCCCCCACGGTGTACGGCGGCGCCAGCACTTCTTTTACAATGCACTGCGCCCTTCGCGTGGCCTTGACTTTTCTCCGCTCTTCTTCTTTTCTGTGCTTTTCCTTTGGAATCCACGACCCGCACTCAATGCATCTGCTGTGCGGCCCTACTATTGAGGACACCTTAATAAGGTTGTCCTCCGCCTCGCTCAGAATCACGTGCACCCCGCGCGCCTCCAGAGCCTTCTGCGTGCTCTCCAGGCACGGCATTCTTGGGTTTCCCAGTGCATAGAACTTAAGCGCGTCCAGGTTGTCCTTTCTGGGCAGCTTCGGGAGGGCGCGGAGCACGTTGTACGACAGGTCCACAAGCAGCAAGCTGGGCACGGCCTCCAGCCCGAAAACCACCTCCAGCATGTTGAAGCTTCCAATAAAGCACATAAGCCCCGCCAGCCGGGAAATGTTATCTATCTCCTTTATCTGGTTGCCAGATATGTTCAGGTGCAGAAGGGACGTCTGCCTAACGGACGGGTCAATCCGCACGATCTGATTGTGCGACACGTTCAGATACTCTATGGGCAGGCTCCACACACGGCTCGGAATCAAGTTTATTGAGTTGTACGGAAGCGAAAGCGAAATGAGAGTGCTGTGGTCCATCCCGTTTCTCTTCTGCTCTATGAATGGAAACTGCAGCAGGAAGTTGTGCGCGCACAAAAGCGTTTTCAGCCGGGGCGCGTTGATAGATATCTCCACAAGCGTGTTGTTGATGAGCTGCAGGTCCACAAGAAACGGAAAGCTTCCAACGAACTTTTTCATCTCCACGTCTAGAATAGAGACCTTCTTCAGGGAAAACAGCGACCCGTGCAGCCGCCGGGTGGAAAATATTGTGCGGATGTGCAGCCTTTCTGCATACCCCTTAAACTTCTGGAGCGGGTTGCCCAGCAGGTTTAGCTCCATATAGTTGTACGCGCTTTCAAACTGGGACAGGTGGTTGTTTTGCAGGTTCAGGACCGGGACCGGCAAGGACCGGGGAATTGCGCGGATTTTGTTGTTGGACGCGTTGAGCATCTTCAGGCCCATGGTGCCCAGCTCCTTTGGCAAAACCTCAATCGAGTTGAACGAAATGTCCAGGCACCCCAGGTTTGTTATGGTAAGCACCGTGCTTGGCACCGCTGTAAGGCCCATACGAGACATGTTCAGCGAAATGCTCTTTTCGGGCTCTTCCTCCGCGGCCGGGGCTTTTTGGATCGCCACAACAGGAGCCTCTGCAGCCTTTAGCACCTGCTCCTCTCGCAGCATGTGCAAATACTCTGGCATAACCTCTGGCAGAACAATGTACAGAACGCTCATAATCCCAAATGTGCTTAAAATCCACTCCACCCGGTCCTGGGCATCCCGTAGGCTTTGTATGCCCGTGCCTTTCCCGAAGATAACGAGAAAAACAAAAACCAGCGCAATGCTCAGAGCGTCCTCTACCCCCAGGGAAACAGAGGCTTTTCGCTCTCCGTGCGTGGCGGCGTCGCCCCTTGCCCGCCGGTAGGCCGAAGAGCGCCTTGACCGGTCGTACATCAGCCCGAGCGGCTTGCTGCAGCAGTCTACGCGCCCATCCGCGTTCTCCGCTTTTCGTTCCAAAACAACCCGCAGCTCAAACCCGCAGTTTTTGAAAATCTTGTCCTTTGGAAACAGCTCTAGATTGTTCACCACCAAGAGAGAGTTGTTGAGCTTCCACTGCACAATTTCCAGCAAAGGTATGCTGTCTGCGCACAGCCGCATAGACTCCTGCGGGGTTTCAAACTGCATCACCAGCTCGGTTTCTTCGTATCCGCCCATGATGCCTATGTCTCTCCACACAGTGTGCAGAATTTCGCCGGCAGTCGTTCTGTAGCTTAGAGGCATTTCCATGGTGTCTCCCAGAATTTTCAGCTGCATGCTCACTTCCTCGGTGGGCACCAGCACGGACATGAACTTCGAGTGGCTTACCGTGCACGACACCCTGATCATTGGGAGCCACACAAACTCGTGCTGCAGCACCCGAAACCTCTTCAGCACGTATGGCGAGCACGGCTTGACGTCAAAATGAAAAAGAGCCTCCTCCAACCTCCTTTTGGGCATGCCCGCTGCGTTTTTTTTCTGCGCCCCTCCATATGCCTGAATGCAAAGCCTCTCTATGTTTGCGCTGCGTATGCGGGAAAGCACGCTGGCAGGAGACAAGGCCGCGCTAATAGGGGGATGCAGTTTTTTTCTTTTGTAAAACAGCCCTTTCCACCTCCTTCTGCGCGCAAAAGAGAACGCTGTGTTTTTTTGTGGACTGCGTTCTTCCATCAGCTCTTCAGACTCATTCTGGACTGCCATGCACAAAGCTTTTTTAAAAGTATTTATTCTATTTGCAGAAATATGTGCTATGCCTTTGATCTTATCTGCACGCCTTCGCATGCGCGGGCCCAGGCCGAGCGAGCCAAGCCCTAGCCTACATCTCCGCAAAGTGCTCCGTGCTGCGTCTGCTGCGCGGGGCAATCAAGAAATGGGCGCTTGGGCTGGCGCGTGCACCCGCAAATGTGCTGCCCGACTGCGAAAGCGTGCAAAGCACAGCCATGTGAAGATTCAAGCCCATTTATTTATTGGCTGCGCGTCGAGCAAACGCCTGCAGCCTCCAAGAGAGCATATTATTTGCACTGAGAAGAGGATTAGAGGTTGTACTTCTCCCTCTGCCGCTTGAACAGCGGATTCTCCTGCAGCTCGTCCACAACCTGCACGGAGGTCGACTCAAGCGGGGCGCTTTCTGTGTCCTGGGAGGGCGCCTCGTCATTGCTGGCTGTGCTTTCTGCGGAGCACTCCTCCTCGTCCTCAGGCTCAATTTGAAGGCCCTCGTCCTCAGGGTCCACAATGCATTCGAAGAAGGTTTCGCCCAGCTTGCTGAGTTTCTCTGACACCAGTTCCCGGATAAACTTCAAAACATAGCAGTAGAACAGAATGGTGTCCTCGCTCCGGGTTTTGTTTTTGTTTTTCTTGAAAATGCTTGACATCACCGAGTTCCACATTGAGGTGTACTCCATGTACATAGAAAAGGAGTACATAAACTTGTTGGTCATGAAAGGCGTAGGCGTCAGCGCAGTTGTGAAGGCAGACCGTATGCTCTCTTCGGGAATGTCCTTTCTGCGCATTGGGCTCTTTCTGTTTGTGCCATGGAACTCCTGGCTGGCATGCTCTAGTTCTGAGGGAATGCGGGCGCTTTCCTGTCTCAGATGCTGCAGGAGTATAACTGGAAGGTACGACGCGTCGTTCATTGCATACGTGCTCTTTGCAATGGCAGTGATGCCCCGAATAAGCCGCTTGACTTCTCGAGGGACTTCTAAGTTTGGGCTGGCCGGCGCGCTGGGCTCGTACTCATAATGCTCTGTGGAGTCCCCCTGCTCCACAGAAGCTCCTTGGCTCTCTCCTGCTCCGGGCCCTGCGCCCCTGCACTCCACACTCTTGGAAGCGCGCTCTGTGAAGGCCGCCGCCACAGGCATGCCTTTATCCTTGTGCGCTGCCGCCGGGGCTGCACAGCAAGGCTGTGCCCTTTTAGGCGTTCTCTGAAATACTTGCAGAACCTTCTGCACCTTTTTTGCAAAAGATGTTCTTTTTTTGGTCTGATTCCTATTGTGCTCCATATGATCCAACATTTGCTATGATCATCACAATCCGCGCATATTTAAGCACACCGGTGCAAAAGCAAACAAACAAGGTTTCGGGCATGTTTACGAAAACAGGGCTGCAGACCCGCATTGTCTTTGCAAAAGGCGTCTGCATACCCAGGCGGGCGCATCCCGCGGTATTGCGATGCTGGCCAGCCCTGTTTATCTTTGAATGGGCCGAATGCACCGCTTCCAGATGCAGTCCCATGCAGCGCGGATTTTCGGGCAAAAGGCTGCCATTTCCCAGCTCTTGGCCGGCAGCCAAATTGGCAGACTCCAGAAAAGTTTTAGAAATGTATTTTCTTTTCAGTCACCTATGCTTTACGGCAAAAGCTGGCTGCAGCCCATAAAATGCGCATGCTAAAACACTAGCTATTTATTGAAGGCGCAGAGCCCTGAAATGCCTTTACATCCTGTTGCATAATATCCCAGCGCCTCCCAGCGCCCCACACTGCGCACGCTCTCCAGGCCTACTCCAGGCCCTTCTTGGAAATGTAGTCTTCCACTGCCGCCTTGATGGCCTCTTCAGCAAGCAGCGAGCAGTGCAGCTTGACAGGAGGAAGAGACAGCTCCTTTGCTATCTCGGTGTTTTTGATGTTCATGGCGTCGTATATCGACTTTCCCTTTATCATTTCGGACGCCAGACTGCTAGATGCGATTGCGGACCCGCACCCAAATGTTTTTATTTTTACGTCTTCTATGACGTCGTCCTTCACTTTAATCTGAAGCCGCATCACGTCTCCGCAGGCAGGCGCCCCAACCAGGCCAGTCCCCACCCCAGCCACGGTTTTGGCAAATGTGCCCACGTTTCTGGGGTTGGCATAGTGCTCTAGCACGTTTTTATGGTAGCCTCTGCCAACTTCCTTGACAATACTCCACATTTGGTTTGCAAATAAATAAAAATATTAAATCGGCCTGCCGCCTTTCCAACTGAAATAACCGCTTGCCCTACGGATTTTTTTCTCGGCGCACAAGAATTTCTTCTTTCTCTTTTTTTATTTATTCATAGAAATGCCAACCATTGGACCTAGCATAGACAGAATAATAGAACAGCTTCTTAAAGTGCGGCATTCAAAGGCATCCACGCCAAGGGTAAACTTAACCGAGTCTGAAATAAAGTACCTGTGCAGCAAGGCGCGTGAGGTGTTTTTATCGCAGCCGATGCTGCTCGAGCTGGAGGCTCCGATTAAAATATGCGGAGACATACATGGACAGTACTCGGACCTGCTGAGGATATTCCAGTGCGGCGGAATGCCCACGGAAAGCAACTATCTGTTCCTTGGCGACTACGTGGACAGGGGGAGGCAGAGCATTGAAACCATATGCCTCCTTCTGGCGTACAAGATCAAGCATCCAGACAACTTCTTTCTGCTCCGCGGAAACCACGAGTGCGCCAGCATAAACCGGATATACGGGTTCTACGAGGAGTGCAAGGAGAGGTACACGTACAAAATATGGAAAAAGTTTATAGAGACGTTCAACTGCATGCCGGTGGCTGCTCTTGTGGACGAAAAAATATTTTGCATGCACGGGGGGCTTTCGCCAGACCTGCAATCATTCAATCAGATCCGATCAATACACCGGCCAACCGACATTCCAGACAGCGGCCTGCTTTGCGACCTTCTGTGGAGCGACCCCGACAGAGAAACGCACAAGTGGGGGGACAATGACCGAGGCGTCAGCTTTACCTTTGGGACGCGGATTGTGGAAGAGTTTCTGCAGAAGCACGACTTAGACTTGATATGCAGAGCGCACCAGGTTGTTGAGGACGGATATGAGTTCTTTGCAGACAAGCGCCTTGTCACAATATTCTCGGCGCCCAACTACTGCGGGGAGTTTGACAACTCGGGCGCGATTATGGAGGTGGACGAAAACCTGGTGTGCAGCTTTAGGGTCATGAAGCCGCTTGACGGCTGATGCCTGCGCGGCATGCAACCCAGGGAGGCTGCAAGTTTTGCAATTCTCTGATAGGCCCTCCAAGCGCGCCAGCCCTGCCCTCGGCTTCCCGCAGCATGGGCGCGCGTGCTGGCGACCAACTAAGCGTGTGTTCGTCCTATCTGTACAATAGACACCAAACCCAACTTAGAAACTGCCTAACTTGCTTCTATTGCACCAACGCAAGTACAGAGCAATAAATAGTAAAATATGCTATGTCAAAAGAACGGCAGCGCGGCCCGCCCTTGCAAGGCGCATCAATGAATTTGCACTTTATTCATATAGACCGCTAAGCAGCTAAGAGGCAGCGCCTTTTTTTTTGTTCAGTTTTTTCAAAAGCGCTTCCTTCCTTTGTATCTTTACGATTCCCCCGGGAACGACCTGCCCCTTTGACATCTGCTGCTCTATTTTCTCTATTTCCAGAAGCTCCTTTTTTATGGCTTCCATCTTGCTTTCGCGCGCCTTCGCCTTGTCTTTAATCACATGCGCAGGCGCCCACTCGGCCTCGCCCTTCGCCGCGTCTTTGCGCAGGCACGGAGGGATGTACGCAGCCGCCTTTTTTATCTGCACCTTGGCAGGGGGCGTTTTCACGGGCACAAAGCCCTCGTCTTTTCCGGCAAACATGCAGGCCTTCAGCTCTCTGAACGAAACCTCCGCGATCTTCCGCGAATAGTAGTCGTACAGAGACACCTTGTTGTCGATGGACATCTTGTTTGTTATCCCCACCAGATAGAACGTCCCGTTGGGTGACCAGTCAACAACGGAGCACCCAACCTCCTCGTTCAGAGAAAGAGCAGCCTCGGACGGATACTCGAATATGCTCATGTTTCCCGGCAGGTTGTTCATTCCAGCAAAGCACGCAATGGTTTCTTGCCGGTTAAAGAACATCTTGTTGTGCACCCCGTCCTTAAGACTCTTTGTTTTTTCGCCCTTTCTGTTAAATATCGCTATTTTGCTGGGGCTGTTGTCGTAGCACACTGCAAACTCGCCCTTCTTCAAAAAAGCCGTGTCTGTGATTGGGTTGCATATTCCCGGAACTAGCTTGAACGCGCCGCTCTCCGTGTCGATATAGTACAGCGCCTTTGTGTCGTAGTATGTGCCGTTTGTGCTGTTAAGGGAGCAGAGGCACAGCAGCCGCTCCTCCCCGTACTTGGTGTCTACAATCAGGCTGGCAGATATCATGTTGAGGACCGCCTGCTTCTTGACCTTTTCCCCGTTGCTCAGGCGGATGATTTCTATGTCCCCCTTAGACGATCTGTACGCGCGCACCGTCACCAAGAACTTGTTTGTAACCGAAAAAACAAGCGGCGCCGGCATTCTGACCTCCTCAATTTCTCTTTTCTCGGCAACAGAGTACGCCTTCAGAAGCTTGGGCTTGGCCTTGTTTACTACTGCAGCTTGCATCCCCTCCTTTTTCTGTATGTTCATCACAGCCGGCGCGGGCTTTCCCGGCTTTCCGCCCTTCTTCCCTGCCCCGGCCTCCGCGCTCTTGACCTTTTCTTCAGATGCCTTCTCCTGCGCTTTGCCTGCAGAGCCCGGACTTGCGCCTTTTTTCTCTGCTGCCCCCCCAGCCTGCGGCTTTTTTGCGCCCTCTTCTGGGGCACGCTTTTCGCTGCCTTCTGCGAGATTCTTCTGGCCAGCCTCCTCGGAGTCCTCTATCTCCTGAACGTATACCACATAGTCCTTTCCCTGGAAGGCGCTCTTGACGCTCTCGCACTTGTGCAACACCTTGCCTTTCTGCACAATGTACATGGCCTGGCTTTTGGTTATCACGCATGCGGTGCAGCCCACAAGCCCTTCTATTGACTTGATGTCGGGTATGCTGTGGACATGCTTTTCTTGTGTGGTTACATGCTGCAGCACCAGCTGGCTTTCTGTTGAGTATGCAACCCACTCTCGGCCCATTTTGCAGCACACGCACGGAACCGGCTGCTTTTTGGGGTTGAACGTGTCGAAGTGCACCCCTTCGTTTGAAAATGACAGAACTTGGCTTATAGTTTCCTGCATGGCAAAAAAATATTTGAATACTTTTATTCGGTTCTTCTAATTCCACCGCAACATTCCAGGGGCACTGGAGCAAAGATCTCGAGTCCGTGCAGAAAAACTTTCAGCTATTCGCGCTGTCGTGCCTCGTCAGTGGTAACGAGTTAAACACGAGATGGTCTTCGTATAGGTTCTTGTTGGGAATGATAGTGTGTAAATTGTCATAAGTCGATGTTGAATTTGTATACTTCCTGTTTTGAAAATCCATCTTGTTTTATTTTTAGTGCATGTATTTATACTTTTGTGCGCCATCAAATTGATGGTTGATGCGATCCGCTATGCTCAATTTGATTAAAAAATATAATGCTCAGAGTTGTGGGATACAAGCTACTGGTGTACCACATTCTACCCTTCCTAAAAATGTGTTCCTATCGGTGAGTGTTTGTCACCTGTTAAAGCAATCGTATTTGATGTAGATTCCTTTGAATTGTTTTACCTTTCGGTGTTTTCAGTGTCACTGTGTGTCCTGCTGGGTTTATTTCCGTAATGGTGTGCTTCTTTGACCATTTTGGATCCAACTTGTTTGTTTGTTGTTCCTTAACCGTTACTAAGTCTCCTACCTTTAGTGTGTGGTTTTGATAGCTGTTTTGTTCCTCATTCTTTCGTTGAACTCGGTCTTTGATGTATTGTAATTTTTCCGTTAAGTTGATTGGTTCTTTAGATTCGTCTAGTGGGTGATATCCATGTACTAATTCAAATGGTGTTGCGTTTATAGATCGGTGATACGTATTTTGTAATCTACGGTTTACAATCTGAATAGCGTTCTTTATGGATGTGTTCTGGTTGTGTGCTAAGACAAATGTTATTTCTTGGTTAATGCGTTCCGAAATTGCATTTCCCGTTGGATTGTATGGACTTGTGTTAATTTGTGTAATTCCTTGTTGTTCCAGGAATTGTGTAAATTGCTTAGATACGTACTGTCTGCCTTGGTCGTGTAATACAGTATCTGGTTTTCCGTGTGCATGGATCCATGTAATCATATGTTTTATGAGTTGTGTAACTGTGATAGTGTTAACTCTGAAAGCCTCTGTCCATCTTGTACACCTGTCTGTTATGGTTAAGATGTAAAACTTGCTCTTTGTTGCGTTTTTGTGTAAGAAGTTTTTGACGTCGTACGGTCCTACTATATCTGAAGATATATGCTTCATTGGTTCTGTTGTGGATAGATGTCCCAATGGAATCTTGTTTGCTAGATAAGTTCTTGCTTGTGTGTATCGTTGACAAAGCTTGCACTTAAGTCTGTGTTGCATTATTGTTTCTTTTAACTTTGGAATGGAAACAACTGGTTTCAGTGTTTCGCAGAATTTCCTTACTCCTGGATGTCCCAATGCTTCAAATTGTTTCATAGCCCAGTTTAGATTTTTCTTTTCCAATGCTGTATTGTTCTGAGTGTCTACGAGCAGTACACTTTCTTTAGTACTTGCGTTTTGCTCGTTTACAGCTGTATGTACGTGTCTAGATAAATAATCTGCTAATACATTGTCTTTACCCGGCAGATATTCCAATCGCAAGTCATATTGAGCTAACAGTTGTTTGAACCGTTCCGCCCTGCTTTTGATTAGCGTTTCTCGTTGTACTAGTAGGTTCTTGTGGTCGGTTTTCACGTTCACTGTAACTCCACTAATGTACGTATGAAAATGTTGACAACTTTTTAAAATCGCCAATGCTTCTTTTTCTTCCGTCGTGTAATTTTGTTCTGCTGGCAGTAGTTTCTTACTGTAGATCCCAATAATACTGTTCTCTTGTAGTAATACTCCTCCAATAGCATAATCTGATGGGTCTGTCTGTAATTCAAACGGCTTCGTGTAGTCTGGATATGTGAGTAATATCTGTTGTTGAGTTGTATCAATAGCCTCTCGCAGCGCATCTTGATGTAACTGTGTCCACATTTTTCCAAGGTGGGTTGTTTTATCGCAGGCTTTTAGTAAATCTGTTATAGGTTTTACTGTCTTGCTTAGAGCTGGGATGTATGGTCTGAACCAATTGAGTGTGCCAATTAGTGATTGTAACTGTTTTTTGGTACTTGGTGCTTGTAATCTGTTAAGATCTTCTACTCGTGTAGGGTCTGCGTGTCTTCCTTTGGCATTTATAATATGCCCCAAGAAGGTAACTTCTGGTACGAAAAAGTGACTCTTTTCGTAGTTGATGATGACATTTCGTTCTGTAAATGTGTTTAGTACCTGTTGAAGGTGCTGTATGTGTTGCTGTTCGTTTTGCGAATGTACTAGGATGTCGTCTAAAAATACGGTGACGAATTCGCAGTCTTTGAGTATGTTTTGAATAATTGCTTGGAATTGTTTAGGTGCATTTTTTAGTCCAAATGGCACTCTGTTATACTCGTATATTTTGTTAAGAAGTGTGAATCCTGTGTAAGTTCGTGAATTAGGATGTACTTCCACCTGATGGTATCCTTGTCGTAAATCGATTTGAGAAAATATGTTACTCTGTGGAATTGATTTCAACAATTCTTCAATGCCTGTAAATGGATATTCGAACGTCTTCGTAATCTCGTTCAGTTGCTTGTAGTTAACCACTAGTCTACACGACCCATTCTTTTTCGGAATAATGAATGCTGGTGATATACATGCTGCATTGTCAACTTCTCTAATAATATTCTCAGTTATTAGTCTCTTGATTTCTGTTCTCACTGTCTCGATATGCTTCAAGGGTACCCCATAGGGTTTCTGGGAAATTGTTTGATTGTGCGTAAGTTCAATTTGTAAACTTGTACCTGTGATACTCGGTTGTGTTCCTTCCACTCTTGAATGTTTCTTTATCTTGTTGAGGATGCTTTCTTTTGTCTCTAAGATAGATTCTGTCGGTATTAGGTCATTATGAGATTGCTTGTTGGATGTTACTCGTCGTTTGCATAATTCGTCCAATTCTTGTCTTGGGATAAGTTGAGTTAAGTAAGTCTCATAGTTTTGTCTGATCCATGGTAGTCCTAGTATAATTTTTGGTTTGTCATATGGAACAATTGTAAATTCGATTCGTTGTTTATACTCTGGAAAGTTGGGTAAAGTTAGGAGAACTTCCGTATGAGTGTTAGCTATCAGCGTAGTATCATTGAGTGTTTCAATAGATACGCTCTTTCTTGGATAACTACAGGTAATTTTGAGTTGTAAATCGTCAACTATAGATTGCGTAATTAAGTTGATAGTAGCTCCTGCATCCAAGTGGATTGTTATAGTATTGTCGTTGATATTTCCTTCGATTTGAGGTATTCGTTCGGATGTTTCCTCTAAGAGTTTCTCAAGGATGAACGAACAGTGACTGCTTAGTTTTTTGCTTCCGCTGATTTCTCGCTTGCGGACGATTCTTTCGCTTTACGGCATTCCTCCGTGTTGTGCGTATTGACTTTATGGAAAGAGCAATATTTGTTAGTCTTTGAATGTTTCGACTGTTTGGATGACGCTGTCGAGTAAGTTTTTGTCGGTAGTTCCGTTCTTACCCTGTGTTGAGGTGTGTTTGGAAACTGGGGAATTAGCCTGTTACGGCAAGCAATGTAATGCTGCGTGCTTTCTGCTATCTGTTCTTCGTGTTGACAGATGTCTGCAAATATGCTTCCATAAGATTCTCCGGCTGTTTGTCGTCGAATAAACTCTACTTTTGTGAGTGGAGCTAATCCTGCTACAATCTTAGCTAAAGAATGTGTTGCTACGTGTTCATACGTGTCATTGTATCCGAGTATGTCTTCGAACTGTACTCTTCGCTCTGCGTCTGCAATATAGTCTTTGAAGAAAACAAAATTATTTTGCTCGCAAGGAATTCTGTCTTGTTCTCTAAAGCTATATCTCGCCTCTTTCTGTAATGCTTTCATCTGATCCGCAAAGTTGTTAGCTTTGTAAATGACTGTTTGCAAATTTGAGTCGACTATCTGCGCTAGTATTGCCGAATGGTTCTGTGCTCCGATTTGGTGCGTCTCGACCAAAAGTTTTACTTCTCGTTGCCACTGAAAGAAGTATCTTAGTCTTGGGTAGGTCAGTAGGGGAAATTCTGTTTCTCTAGAATGACCTCTTTGGTTGTTTCCGTCTTGTGTTACCCAAGCGGCTTTCTTGACTTTCGTTAATGCGTCTTTCTCTGCTGGATCGTTTCTCTGGTTTAACTCGGGCTTGTTAATAAGTGAATTCACTATGTCGTGCCTCGTCAGTGGTAACGAGTTAAACACGAGATGGTCTTCGTATAGGTTCTTGTTGGGAATGATAGTGTGTAAATTGTCATAAGTCGATGTTGAATTTGTATACTTCCTGTTTTGAAAATCCATCTTGTTTTATTTTTAGTGCATGTATTTATACTTTTGTGCGCCATCAAATTGATGGTTGATGCGATCCGCTATGCTCAATTTGATTAAAAAATATAATGCTCAGAGTTGTGGGATACAAGCTACTGGTGTACCACACGCGCAAAAAGGCTTGTGCGAGCTGGCGCAAGAAACAGGCTGGCTGCAAAAAGGACTGAAACTGGCGGCGCACACAGCCCCGCCGGATCGGCTCCAGCCAAGTATATCAGGGGCCTGCAGGCTTTTCGGGAGTAAAAGAAATGCCGGAGAGAAGCGCCCGGCCCAAATGCAAGCTTTCAGACGCCAAGAGCGCATCTTCACTCTAATGGCACCAAGAAAAATATAAAAGAGTTCTAGCTTCCATTTCTGGCCAAAGCATGCATCTGGCCGCAATTTGTCTTAAATTAGTTAGTTTATTGGTGGCTCTGCGCGCGCGGGCTGGCTTAGTAGCAGCGCCCAAACAGGCCTATGCATGTTGCATCGTTCGAGCACATGCTGCACGGGCCAGTCGGCTTTTCCTCGCCAAACGGAATGCACAGAGACTTGGCGCCTGTCGCAGTAACTACTCCATGTGCGTCCCTCTCTTCTGTGGCCTTTTTAATCTTATTCTCGCACTCCTCTGCCCCGCACCAAACCATGGTTGACATCTTTCCGCTGCGCAGCCCGCTGGCAAGGTCTTCAAGGGTTTCCCCCCTCTGCGTGCAGGAGTCCTGCAGCATCTTGGCAGTGTGGTACATTGTTTCGTGTATCGAGTCCAGCTCGCTCTTCACGGCCTCTTCGATGCCTTCTCTTGGCACTGTTTTTTTTGTTTTGTCTATGCGCCACGCCAAGCACACCTGCCCACTCTTCATGTCCTTTGGCCCTACTTCAATCCGCAGGGGAACGCCGCGGACCTCCCAGTGGTTGAACTTGTGCCCCGGAGTGACGTTCTGCGCAAGGTCTGCGTGCACCCGCATGCCGCACGCCTTCAGGGCCTTCTCCAATCCTTCTGCCTCTTCAAGCACCTTCTTCTTGTCCTCTTCGGGCGCGCTCTTGGCCAGGCCGCACGGCACAATGACCACCTGTATCGGCGCAACCCGCGGGGGAATGACAACCCCTCTCTCGTCAGAGTGCACCAGTATGGAAACCCCTATGCTCCGCGTGCTGAGCCCCCAGGAGTTCTGGAAAACCGGCATAAAGCTGCCAGGAACGTTCGGGTCTTCCACTGTTATGTTGAACATGGTGGAAAAGTTTGTGCCAAGCGAGTGCGAGGTGGCTGCCTGTATGCCCTTTCCTGTTGAGGGGACAAACACCTCAACTGTGGTGGTGTAGTCGGCCCCGGCAAACGTTTCTTTTTTGCTTTTTGTTCCCTTTATGACAGGCACCGCCAGAAGGTCCCTATACACACCCGCATACAGCTCCAAAATCTCGAACACCTCCTTGTCTGCGTCCTCGCGCTTAAGGTGTGCGGTGTGCCCCTCCTGCCACAGAAACTCTCGCCCGCGCACAAAGGGCATGGTCTGTGTGGTCTCCCACCGCAGCACGTTGCACCACTGGTTCAGCTTCAGGGGCAGGTCTCTGTAGCTCTGGATCCACTTCGAGAAGTACGGGTACATAATAGCCTCCGACGTTGGCCGGATTGCAACAGGGTTTTCCAGCGGCTTTCCGCCGCACTCTGTGATCCACGCCACTTCTGGCGCAAAGTTTTCCAGGTGGTCTTTTTCTTTCTCGAGCGACGCCTTGGACACCAGCATGGGGAAATATGCCTCTTTCACGCCCAGCTTCTCTATCTCCTGCGTAAAGTGGGTTTTTATGGTGTTCCAGATGAAGAACCCGTTGGGCCTGAGAACATAGCACCCGTTGATGTCGTGGTAGTCCAGTATCTCGCTTTTCGTTATTATTTCTTTGAACCATTTTGGAAACTCCTTTTCTCTCGACGACTCGATGGAAAACTTCTGTGTTTTGGACATGGGATAGTAAATTTGTAGAATATAAATAGAAAGAGAGCAAATGCAGCAATCAAATATATAATAAGCAAATTTTAGTTCAGACAAATAGCAAGCATGCAGGTAGGCGACAACTCGATAATTGTATTGCCCTTTGAGGTTGTTCTGGAAAGGGACACAAAAAGAGGCGAGATAACGCTGCGAAACGTTACAACGCGAGACTATGCTTTCAAGATAAAAACCACGCACCCCACAAGCTACAAAGTAAAACCGTCGATCGGAATGCTGCCAGGGGGCGCCGAGCAGATTGTGTGTATCGAAATGCACACAAAGCAGGAGTCTCCTGTTTTAAAAGACCACAAGTTCCTGCTGCAGTTTGCAGAAAGCATGCAAATACTCACCGAAAAAAGCCTCAAGCACATATTCCAAGTAAAGGGGGTAAGAACTGTGGAGCAGAGGCTGGACGTGCGATACTCTGACGCTCTCTTGGGCCGGACCTTGGACATGCCGCAGCGCATAGGCGAAAACTTTCTTGCGTGGCTCGCAGGCCTGTTTGTTTTCTATGGCATATGCACTCTGGTTAAAAAGCTGCTGTTTGGGGACTGACCCGCGGCTGCCACATCGCTGGGCAGATATGCATGGTGTGCTGCAAAGCCGGACCGCACCTCGCGATTGCAGCCTTCCCCGGCTGCCAATAGGCTCTTTTGCGCAGCAGCCAATGGTATGAAATGAATTTATATGGAAGCGCTTCTTCTCGGGCATGGACGAGCAGGACACAAAGCTGTTTGGGATTCCGCTGGAGGAGTACATCCACCCAAAGAGCGAGGAGCAGGCAGACTCCGAGCCTCGCGAGCAGCATTCGCTTGACAGAAGCATCGAGGAAATTGGAAAGGAGCAGAAAAGCATTGAGCTGTGCATACAGAGAACGCTAGGCAGGATTGCAGATAGGCTTGCAGGCCTGGGAATCGATATATCCAAATGCAGCCGGCTGGACATAGACGGAGCTGACGTTCGCGAGGATGTGGAGAGCTTGAAGGAGATGCACACGGTTCGGGAAAACAACGCGCGCGCGCTCCTCCGGCTAAAAATCGGCAAAACGACCCAGAGCCTTTTGGACACGCTTTCGGCTGTCAAGCACGCAACCGATGCGCTGGAGGCGTGGGCTGCGCAGATAAAGCGGTCTATGGAGGCGCTGGAGGAAAATGTTCTGGGCAGGAGCGCGCTCAGCGAGGTGTGGGCTGGGGAGCACATGGCAGAAAAGTACAGCCAGCTTGCGGAGAATCTGCTGCCGCTTGCATGCATTCTGGAGCAGGCGCGTGCGCTTGCAGAGCGAAACTCCGAGGTGTATACGGAAAAGCAGCGGGAGGAGCTGGCCCTTTCAGAGAGCTTCGTGCGATTTTCCTCGCAAGAAGTCCGGGTGCTCGAGCATCTTATGTCGTTACTTTAGCCCCTATAGATCGCATCTTTTTATTAAAATAAATCAATTAAAATTTTTATGGGACTATACATAGTAGCTATACTAGAAAAGCTGACGAAGGATGCAACGTTCACCAACATCATCAACGCGGCGATACTTCCCGTGTGTATTGTTGTGGAGATGTTTATTTTGCCTGCGTATCTGTACTTTCTTGCCTTTTTCAAAGGATTCAAGAACGTATTTATTTTGAGAAGTGTCTGGATAGGCACAAGCAAAGCATATAAAAACCCCACGGACTCTCTGTCCGACATGGCCGATCTGACCTCAGAGATATTTGGCATATTTCTGACGTTTTTGCCAAAAAGCATGTTTGAGTTTGGAAAAGGCCTCCAGACTCGTATCTTCGGGAAAAAAACACCCCCTTCCATAGAGAAGGCTGCCAAGAAAACATATAAGAGAAAGACGACCAAAGCCCCGCTGTTTTCTTTCTTTGAGCATCTGATTGGCGCGCTACGAACGGTGTACAACCAAACATGCAAGCACCTAGTGGGCTGGGGAATCGTTATCGCAAAATACATTTTGATGGCAGCTTTGGTGCTGCTTGGTGCCTCCGCCATTATTGTTCTGTACGCCCTAAACAACATGGCCATCTTCCTCCACCAGATTCTAAGCAGCGTTCCTTTTTTGTCGACTTTTGCCTTTCTGTTCCCTGCACAGGCAAGCCCAAAGGTAGGCGATCTGATTAATTCCATGGCGAATGCCATCACGCCTTCTGGATGGAATAGAAATGCCGCAGGCCAACCCCAGCAAGCTGCCCCTGGAAGAGGAAGGCTGTACAATGATGCAGAAAAAATCCACGAAAAAGTGCAACACGGGTACACAACCTACGTCACTCCTGCAAACAAAGTCGCGCAGTCATACCTGAAGATATGTGTTCTCGTTATCTCGTCGAGCATAGCTATTTTTTTCCGGGTATTCGCTGAGCTGGGAAAGAGCTTCGCCTCCTCCGGCGGCTACACCACGTTCTGGGCGGGCATTGCCGGGTGCATAGCACTCGCCGGCGTTTTCTTCTCCTCGCAGATTGTGGACCCCTTGGACTACTCCATGCAAGCACACTCAAAAATGTTGAACAACATTTCCGAGATCAACCTCATGCTTGTTCCGCTTTTTGCCTTTTTCTTTTCGTTTGTGGCCATAGCGTACAACCTCTACACGTCCTTGACCGACAAGGAAAACCAGAGAAACCGCGAAAGCGCGTCAGACCTTGAAAGAGACAACTTTGTGTTTGTGGCTTTGAACCTTCTGATTGCTGTGCTGGCGCTCACAGGGGCGGGCGCCATTCTGAACATACTTGCGGGCGGCCCAAACAACATTTTTGAAACGGCGCCGATGTCCATGATATATATAACCCTCATAGGCATTGTGTACGACATAAAAAACATGCTGTATGGCGCGCGGACAAACCAAACAAAGCAGTACAAGAGCATTTTAATCATCATGCTCATTGTGCTCTCCTTCTACGCCAACACCACCCAGATTAAGGCCCTGCACTACGCCTCTCTATTCGCAACGCTGGGCATGCTACTGCTGCCGGCCAAGAATGACAAAAACGCGCACTACATTCCGTACGGAGAAAGAGCGCGCGCTCAGCAGGCAATCTATCTGATTATCCGAATTCTGCTTGTGAGTGCCATTGTCACTGTGCTCGGCCCCCATCTTGGCACTGTCCTGCTTAGACCATTCCTATACGTAAAAATTGCTCTAAAGGCTTTGCATGCCATTTTGATCATGCAGGCAAAATATGTTCTTCTCTGATGGAGCAGTGCTGTAGAAAGCCTGCCCGCCGAGCCGCATGCAGCCAAAGAAAAAACACGGCTCTGCAGCTTTTTGTGGCGCCTGCCAAATTGCCCAGCAAGTCTAAAGCTGGAAACCACATATCAGATTTCGGCTCTTAAGGCTGCACTAAACAAAGGCAGCTTCAAAGTAGCAGAGCCCCTACAAAAATAATAAATTGCCCCATGACAATATGAGCCCTGCACTGCAAGCTGGCCTGCACGGCCCTGAGCCTTCTGCCGCGCAGCTTAAATACCAGTACTGCAGCCCATGCGGCGCCCCAGCAGGGCCTAGCATCTATGTTTTCTACTCGCATATAATTCAAAAGCTCTTCAAGTATTCGCACTTTTATGCAGCAAAATACCTCCTTAGGCCTACAAAATATGGGGCGAGCCCCAAGTCCTCTTAATTTAGCCGCATCCACGCGCGCCCTCTGCCTTTATTTATCTGGGACTCCGCACTGCGCGGCTTTATATTTTCTTCCACGTCTCCAGCCGCATCTGCACCGATATGCACATGGCCATCATCTCCTGCACAAGAAGCTTGAAGGCGTACGGCATGTACACCGCGCTTATGGCCGTGCGGGTTCCGCACAGCTGGCACTGGTACAGCCCTCTTTCTTTGTTTCCTGCGCAGAACACCCCGCAGTCGTTGCAAATGAACACCTCAAAGCGGTCGCTTACGTCGCACAGCCTCTCCTTGAGGAAGGACGCTGCCCCGTGCGATATCATACAGTCCCTTTCCATTTCTCCAAACCTAAGGCCTCCGTCTCGGCTTCTTCCCTCCACCGGCTGCCTTGTTAGAATCTGCACAGGCCCGTTCGCGCGCGCGTGCATCTTGTCTGCCACCATGTGCTTCAGCCTCTGGTAGTACGTGGGCCCAATAAACACCTGGCTCCGCAGCTTTCTTCCCGTGGACCCCGAGTACATCACCTCAAACCCTCTCTTCTGGTACCCGTGCTTGCGCAGCTCCTCGCTTATCTCCTCCACGCTGAGCCCCGTGAACGGCGTGGCGTCTCCCTCCTTTCCAGACATCGAGCTGACCTTTCCAAGAAGACACTCCACCAGATGCCCGATCGTCATTCTGCTGGGAATGGCGTGCGGGTTGATGATGATGTCCGGCGTTATTCCGTCTGCAGTGAACGGCATGTCCTCGGGCGGGAGCATGATTCCAATAGTTCCCTTCTGCCCGTGGCGCGACGCAAACTTGTCTCCCATCTGCGGGGTTCTTGCCGACCGCACCCGGATTCGCGTGTACCTGTACCCGTCTTTCGTCGTCAGTATGACCCGGTCAACAACTCCGCTCTCTGTGCCCCGCATGGTCGTGCTGGCGTCTTTGGACCCGTCTGGCGTGGTGACGACTTTTCCTATCAAAACGTCCTCGCCCGAGACCCGCGTTCCCGGCAGCACAAGCCCGTCTATGTCCAGCTTCTCGTAGTTTGCGTTCTTCATCCGCATCACGCTTCTCCGGTCCGGCTTCATGAAGCACTCCTGCTCCTCCGGCTTTGTTCGGCTTTCGATGTCGCTGTACGTTCTGTAGAAAAAGCTTCGGAACAGCCCCCGGTCGACAGACCCTCGGTTCATCACCACACTGTCTTCCTGGTTGTACCCGCTGTAGCATGCAATTGCAACCATGGCGTTCTGCCCTGACGGAAGCTCTCTGAACCGCAGGAAGTTCATGCTCTGCGTGATCACCAGCGGCTTCTGCGGATAGCACAGCACGTTCGACAGCGAGTCCATGCGCATCAAAAAGTTTGTTGCATACATCCCCATGGCCTGCTTACCCATAGCGCTCTGGTACGTATTTCTTGGCGACTGGTTGTGGTCTGGAAACGGCACAATTGACGCGCACACCCCCAGTATTGTTGCAGGCTGTATCTCGCAGTGCGTGTACATGATCTCCGAGCCCTGCAGGTCCTCCGGCTTGACCGCAACCATTGCCGTCTCCTCCTCCTCCACGTCCAGAAACTCGACGCACCCCTCGGTCATCAGCTCCTCCCACGTGAAGTGTCTGTGTCTGTTCTCCTCCAGGAACTTTTCTACCTTAAGCGCCCCTTTTTCGACTATAAACAGAGGCCGGCACGCGCGCCCGCTGTCCGTGTTTATCCGGATTTCCCTCTCCCGCAGGTCCCGGACTATCCCGATCTCCGAGGACAGCTCTCCGGACCTTCGCAGGTACTTCAGCGTGCTCATCAAGTCGTTTGGCGACCTGTGCACCCCCACCCACGACCCGTTCACCAAAACCTTCGTGGCCCCGGCAATCGCCGACGGGCTGACCTCCTCAAGGCCCTCCAGCCCGCACTCTTCAAGCAGCTCAATCACCAGCGACGAGTTTGACCCAACCGAAATGTGCGACATCAGCGCAAAGTTCTTCACCAGCCCACAGGCCTGCCCCTCCGGGGTTTCTGCCGGACAGACCATGCCCCAGTGGCTGGAGTGCAGCTGCCTCGGCTTTGCAAGCTTTCCGTCCCGCCCTATAGGCGTGTTCACTCTCCGCAGGTGCGAAAGCGTCGATATGTAGTTGTATCTGTTCAGCACCTGCGCCACCCCGGCCCGCGCCTGCATGCTCTTGGACTGCTCTCCCCAGTTCCCCGTGGCCAGCGAGTACCGCAGGCCCTGCGTCAGCGTGGACGTTCTCAGGCCAATCACCAGGTTCAGGTCTTTGTTCCCGTCTATGCACCGCTGCATGTGCTTGGCAAGCTCGTTGCACATTTTCTTGAACAGCATCCGGAACAGCCCCGTCATCAGCGGCCCTGCGAGGTCCAGCCTTTTTCTCCCATAGTGGTCCCGGTCCTCCTCGCTTCGCCTGCCCAGCGCCACCATCAGCAGCTTGTTTATCGCATACCCAAACAAGTACGCCTTTTTGGTTTCGCAGAACTCCTTTGTCCCCACGTGCGGCAGAAACTCCTTCTGGAACAGGTCCTTGGCAAACTTGATCCTCTTCTCCTTGCTGAACCCCGCAGGCGCCACCCGCTTTCCTATGTAGTCCAGCGCCACGCCCTGGTCCTGGATCACAAAAGCCTCCTCTATGCTCGGCCTCAGCATGCCCAGCATCTCCGTGTCCGAGAAGTCGTAGCAGATGTGCTCCAGTATCTCCTTGTCCGACACAAACCCAAGCGCCCGGAAAATCACCACCACAGGAATGTCTACCTTCGCGTGCGGAAGCAGCGCCCGGAGAAGATGCCCGCCTCCCGCCGCGCCGTCCGCAGGCTTGGAAAGCAGCCGAATCGTCAGCGACGACGGCAGCCGCAGCCCGTGGTCAGGAACCGACCGCATCTCCGCCGTGTACAGATACGGCGACGGCGGCGCCTTTTTGAAAATGTACACAAGGTTTGACGCCATTCGCTCGTGCGCAATCAGAACCTTTTCAGACCCGTTCACTATAAAGTATCCTCCCTGGTCATACGGGCACTCCTCCATCCGGTTTATGTCCCTGTCGTCCACGTTGCTGTACACGCAGTACTGCGACCTCAGCATGATGGGGATCGAACCTATCGGCATTCTTTTGTACAGGCGCGTCTCCACCTCCTCGCCCCCCACATGCTCCGTCTTGACAATGTCTATGTACAGCGAGGCAGAGTACGTAAGGCTTCTTACTCTTGCGTCGTTAGGAAACATGGGAGACGTCCGCCCGTCAGGCTCCGTTATCGTTGGCGGCTTGCTCACATATATCTGCTTGAACTTTATCGTGTACTTTCTTGCTTGGCTCTCCTCTCCTGTGGGGCTGTGCGCCAGCAACACTATGGTCGAGTTCTCGTCTACCACTTCCTGCATGGTGCTCTGTATGAACTCGTTGAATGAGTCCAGCTGCTGCCTCACCAGCCCTTTTTCCTTGAAAAACGCCGAAACTACCCTCCAGCAGTCCTCCTGTGTCAAACTCTTCATTCACTAAAAATAATTTGGTGCGCATATATATATTTTCCCGATATGCACAGATCGGCGCCAAGCCTTCTCGCACCTGGGGACTTTGGGCGTGCACGCAGCTAGCCCGCCCCCTCTCCCGCAGCTCGGCCAGCTTTTTCCGCGCGTCGAAACGCCTGCACACAAAGCGCCGCACAGCGCCCCTCTTAACGCACTGCAAAAAAATATTTGCCATGTCAGAGAAGACGCTGTTTCAAGTGTTCAGCATCCCGAGGGAGCATTTTTCCAAAGACCTTCTCAGGGCGAGCTACCATGCGCTCATAAAGCAGGCCCACCCGGACAAAACGGCCCTGGACCCAGGCAGCTCCACGGAGGCTGCACAGTTTATAAACCGAGCATACAAAGTGCTCAGCAACGACTACAGCAGAAGCGTGTACGAGTACTCGCTGGACAATGCGAAAAATCTTGTGAAAAAAGACCTTTCCACAGGGATATTCCAGAGCGCGCCAATAACCGTGCTGGATCTGGAAAAGGAGCAGATAGGATGCAACAAGGGCCTGGTGAACGCAGAGTTTCTGGACGAAATACTCAGCCTGGAGGACAAGATCGAGTGCACATACGGGCCCGAGCTGGACAGGGTTGAGCAGAGCATTCTGAAGGAAATAGAGCTGTGCAAGCAGCACCGGACAGACCCCCGGGCGCTTGCCAGATGGAGGTACTACAGCCGGCTCATCGACATTATTCTTCAGAAGAAAATGCTTGAGTGAGGCTTTACGCCCTAGGGCACCCGGCTGCGCCTGCTTGCAGGAAGCGCAGAGAGACAAAAGATAGAAGATATAATCGCCGCAAATAAGGCCGCGGCCCGAGCGCCTGCACCAAAGACAGCGCTGGCCTGGCGCACTTGGGCTGCGGCTTGCGTCTCCGCGGCCCGCTGCAAACCCGGCATGTGCTGTCATAGAGGAAAACGTTTGTATAAACTCGGAGCTATATTTAATTTAATGTTAGACAGCACTGTGGCGCAATGGCAGCGCGCTGGGCTCATAACCCAGAGGTTGTAAGTTCGAGCCTTACCGGTGCTATTTTTTTTCGGGTTTATTTTTGCCCATGCACATATTTGTTTCGCTTCCTGTTGATGAGCCCGTCTCCGAAGATGTTCTGCTTTTCAACGTCAGAAAGGGCCTTGGCTCTTTAGGAAAGGACTGCGACCTGCTCTCCCTCCCAAAAATAGAAAGTGAGTCTATAGACTGTCTGTTTGAAGCCGAGGAAAGAACCATCACTATTGAGCGTCTTTTAGAGGATGTAATCCGGAAATATCACGCCTCGTACTTTGCTCTAGCCGGAGCCGCGCTCACCGACAGCGTAGTGCTGGGAAAAAGCTTCGACCACTTCCTAAAGTCGTTCACCTGGGACGACGCAAAGTACCCACTCTGCTGCAGAATGTCGGAGCTGCTGGGGAAAATGGAAAGCGAGGTTTCGGACTCCATAGACGCGCTGAAGAAAAAGGAGAAGACATACCTTGACGAAAAAAAGCGGAGTGCTTCGGTGGCACATCCGGAGGTGGAGAGAAAAATGCACGACGTAGATCTCGACGAAATTGTGCACACAGACAACGAGGTGCTCTGCGCGCCCTTTCTCAAAAAGTACTACATTGGCGTGTACGGAAAGCTGCGCGACAGGGACGTGGATGCGCTTTCCAAAATAGACGGCCTGTTTATAGAGTCTGGAAAGCTTGTGGAAAAGTGTGCGGACGGAGAGATCTATGTTTCTCTGGGCCGGAACGACATTGAAGAAGAGATCACGCAGCAGGTCGAGAAGAGCGGATACATTGTGCGGACACCGCGCCTCACAAAAGAGCAGTATCTTCTGAAAAAGGAGGAGCAAGGCGAAATTGCGCAGCAGCTCAAAGAGACAGAGTGCACGTACGAGCGGCTGATTCTGGGCCGCCTTCCTCGGCTGTACATCCTCCTCCTGCACGTCAAGCACATTGGGCTGTACATTGAGTCTGTTCTTAGGTACGGCCTTCCCTCCAGCTTCTGCTTTTTTATTCTCGAGAACAAAAGCACCGCGAAAGTTATACAAAAGTGGAAAAAGCTGGCCGCCTCTTGGAAATACTCCGATCGGCTCTCTGCAGTTGAAAAAACAGCAATTTCCAAGGACAACGAGTCTCTGCACGACTTTGTTTATAAACTGATCGGATGCTTTAATCTAGACAAAAACAAGGAATAAAAGCTGTTTCCGGCCTTGCTTTGCGCGCAGGGCAGCTGGGCCTCCCTCGCGCTTTTGCGGCAGGCGGCCGTGCGCGGCAGCCGCAGCGTTTTCTGCAGAATCTGTTTAGGCCCTTGGCGGACAGACGCATTGGTTCCTTTTTTTCTTTTTCTGGCCTGACTTTGGGTGATTGCGCACATCTATTTGTCTGTTGTAAAACCAAAATAAACTGCTCCGATTAAGTTGAATAAATAGAAAGTGAAACCTATTCCAGGCATGCATAAAACAGTGTATGATATAACAAAACAGCAGTTGGAGAAATGCAAAACGCTTATAGAGAGCGCGTGTCTCCGGAAAAGGAACCTACCTGCGCATGCCCATGCGGCAGATCCTGCGGCCTCTGTGCAGCCTGCAAAGGCCAAAGAGCCCGGCAGCCCTGAGGACATTTCGTGCCGGATATGCTATTCGTACGAAAATCCAGTCGGGTCTGTGACGGACCTGGTGAGCCCGTGCGGGTGCAAAGGCACCATAAAGTATGTGCACAGATACTGCCTGCGCATATGGCGGTTCAAGGGCAAGATGGTGAAGGACATAAAGGTGTGCGAGCAGTGCTTCTGCGAGTACAAGGTCGACGACGAGAGGAGAGTGGGGCAGGCAGTGGTTTTGTTTGCGGCGGCCCTTATCATGATGTCTCTTCTGGTGCTCACAAGCATATTTGTGTCTTCCTCTGCAGACACAATAAAATTCATTGCAAATGACATATACACGTACATGTACGGAAACACGCGAATGGTCTCGTTCGACAAGCCCATAATCATATGCAACATGGACGCGGTTCTGGCGCTGAAGAACAGCCAAAACCCAGCGCGGAGCGCGCGCTACTCTCTGCACAGAATACAGGCCCCGAGCGAAGAGGCCGGCCACTTTGCCTGCATAAAGAAAAAATACATATACACGATGAAGAACCTGCATCTGATCGACCTGGAAAACTGCGGCTCCTTTACCTCGGTGGCCGCGCTAGGCTTTGCATACACAATTGCCTTTGAAGACACTCCTATTTTGTTCGTTAACTTCGTGCTTTCCTTCTGGCGTGTCATATCGTTTGATAAGCTGGTCGACTGGTGCCTGTACGGCATAGTCATTCTTTACATATACACCAAAATGTTTGCAAAAATACACAAGTACATTGACAACTATTTCATGTACATGGCAAATATATACTAGCATGCTGTAAAAAAAAGCATAATAGAATGTAAAATAAATGTACGGATTTAAAAAAGCATTTGGACAAAAATATTCTGCAGCCGCACGGAAGCGCGCAGGCGAAAGCCAGGGCCGTGCTGCTTTGCTACATGCAAAATAAAACAGAAAGATTTATTGTCTGTCCAGGCTAGGCCAGTATGTCCGTGGCAAGGTCTGAAAGACTGCATCGTGGAGACTGGGCGGCCACCGCCTTGATTTTTTCCATTTCGCTGCGCGCAGCCTCTGCCAGCTCTTGGACAGCCGCGTCTGCGTCGTCGCCCATGTACTTTTTGATGCACTCGACAGAGTCTCTCCCCTTGTGCGCATTTACCTCCTCAGGGGTTCTGTAGCCTGTGAACGCGTCTGTCATGGAGTGCCCGTTGTACCGGTATGTTGCGCACTCTACAATGATTGGGCCCTTGGTCAGAGCGTGCTCCCTTGCATACTTAAAAACAGAAGCCACCGCAAACGCGTCGGTGCTGTCCAGCAGAATCCCCGGGACAAACGAGAACCGGTTGTATATCCTTGTCGAGGCGCTTGACCTGGAAATTGGCGTGCCCATCCCATACTCGTTGTTTTCGCACAAAAAGATAATAGGAAGCTTCCACAGAGCCGCCATGTTCAAAGACTCGTACAGCTGGCCCTGGTTGGCGGCGCCGTCGCCGAAGGCTGCCACAGTCACGTTTTTGCAGCTGAAGGTCTCCCAAACGCGGTTCGTCCACTCTCCAACCACCTGTGTTGTCTCGGCCGGCCTCTTGCCCAGAGGGCTCTCTAGCACAGACCGGTACTTCTCGGCAAAGGCTGCGCCCAGGCCCAGCGAAATCTGAGCCCCGACAATGCCGTGCCCACCCAAAAAGTTTCTGCCGTAGAGGTGCATGGAGCCTCCCTTTCCGCGAGAGCATCCCTCAACAGACCCAACCTGCTCGCAGACTATTTCTTTGGCGTCTAGCCCCGACACCAGCGCAAACGAGTGGCATCTATAGCTTGTTATAAGAACATCTTCCGGGCCAAGGGCCAGCTCAATGCCTGCCGATATTGCCTCCTGGCCTATTGCCAGATGGCAAAACCCTCGGATCTGGCCTTCCTTGTACAGGTCGCTCAGAATCATTTCCATGTGGCGTATTCGAAGCATGGTCCTGCAGGCTGAAGCCGCCTGCTCCTTTGTGTACTCAGCATCTTTAGGCCCATCATCAAGAAGGTGCAGCTCATACTTGTGCATAAACAAACAAGAAAATTTGGGCTATTATAGGAATTTGAACATCAATATTCCAAATGCGGGCAAAGCGCATTTTCGCAGACAAAAGCATGCACAGGCAGCCTCCCAGGCGTGCCGTGCGATTTACGCCTGCGCGCACGAGACCAAGTAAAACAAGCAAATCAAGAGCCCTTCGGGGGCGTGCGCACACATACACATATGGGTGTTTATTTCTTGGCCTGGTGTGCCGCAGCAATGCCTTTTACTTTTCTATGTGCTCCGGCGTGGCCACAGGCTTTTGGCTTTCCGGGGCTCTGAGGTTTCTAAGCTGCCCGGATACGGCCCGGAATGCCCTGCACAGATACATGTCGCCTAGCTGAATAACCTTGCGCGGCTCCTGGGCCTTGTTTTTCTTTCCGCTCTTCTTGGTTTTTTCAGCGCCCTTTCCAGGGCCCACAGGCATGCACACTCTAAGCGCGTCGAAAACAACGAAGCAAAGCACAAAGGTCAGCAGCAGCGAAAAGCCGGAAGGCATGGACACGTGTGCTCCGCCCTTTCTTCCTGCCCTGGCTGTGTAATTCTCCATGAAGTGCGGGGGCGCCTCGTCAAGAATCCAGTTGTACGCCGCTCTTAGATTTGGCTGGGTCAGTATCTGGTACCCGTTCACTATGATGGTTTTGGCCTCGTTTTCCGAGAGCCCCTGCCCGATCGGCATTTCCTTCTTCTTTGTTTTTGATATGTAGCAGGCCTTTATAAGCTGCGCGTGCTTCTTTGCAAGGTCCTGCTTCTTTGCGCCTCTGCCCACATCGAACAGCGAAAATATTGTAGAGTATCCTGCCTTCTGCAAAGTGACTATATATGCAGCGACATGGTCTATGTCCTTGGGCGCAATGCACATGCAAGCACACGCAAACAGCGCCAGCACTCCCAGTACTCGAGTATTCATTGCGCAATAAAAAATAATTGAATTAAATCCACAGAAATACGGAGAACAGACAGCATTTATTCTCTAATTGAAAAAATTTCATGGATACTCTGCAGACCCAGAAAATAGTAATCACAGAGGACAAAACAGCCAATTCGATAGAAATGAGCATACGAGACGAAGACCACACGCTGGGAAACGCCATTGTATCAGAGCTGCAGACCACCGAAGGCATTGCATTTGCTGCATATAAGATACCCCACCCACTGCAGAACATACTAAAAGTAAAGGTGACCGCCGAGCAAGGCCAAGAAAGGCCGGTCGAGTTTGTAAAGGCATGCTTGGACAGCCTCATCAGAGACTGCGACACCATGCTATCCCGGGTGTACAGATAGTTAGTCGTATAAAATAGGCAGGCCGGTTCCGCTTTCTATGGTCCCGGCGCCCACCAGCCTCCAGTGGCCTCTTAGCTTTCTAGATATGCTGAGCGTGGTGCCTATCTCGGCACAGATGGGCGTGGCCAGCACAAAAGACGCCTCTGCGCCCTTTGTTGCTGTTATCTGGATGCGGCTTGAGCTGCTGCCTATGTTTATGAGAAGCTGCTCCTTTACGGCCAGCGGCTTGCCCAGCGCAGGCGTCTCTGCAGTGAGCTTTTCAAACAGATGGTACTTTATGGACATTTCCCTGTAGACCTCCGGGAGCGTGTCGGGCCTCCCCAGAACCTGCCCAACCAGCTTGTCTCCTCTGCAGAAGAAAGGGTCCAGCTCCGTTCCGATGCCAACCAGCCCGCCAGGAACCGCCACCTTAAGCATGTTTGCTTCCGCAAATAAAGATACGATTTTTGTTCGAACAGGCTTGCACGTTAGCCTTCCCTGCACTTTTTCCAGAATGCCCGGGCGGATTTCCAATGTCTCCCCTGCTTGCAGATACCCCCTAGTTAGGCACCCTCCAATGACGCCGCCCTTGTAGTTTGAGGGCTTGCACCCAGGCTTGTTTATGTCGAAAGACCGGATGACCTGAACCTGGGGAGCCTCGGTGTACTCTCTCTGTGGCACGGGGATGTAGTTTACAATGTAGTCCAGTATGGCGTCCAGGTTGCATCCAATCTGCGCAGACGTAGGTATGATTGGGGCGTTTTTGGCGGAGGAGTCCTTTATGAAGTTCTCTATTTGGTCGTGGTTTTCAAGGGCCTGCTCCCGAGTGAGCAGGTCTACCTTGTTCTGCAAAATAATCACTTTTTCCAGCTGGACAACATCAATCGCGTTCAGATGCTCAACCGTCTGCGGCTGCGGGCATTGCTCGTTCGAGGCAATGATCAAAATGGCAGCGTCCATGATCGCAGCACCTGTAAGCATTGTGTCCATAAGAACCTCGTGCCCCGGGCAGTCGACAAAAGAAACGTGTCTCTCTAGAACAATTGTTCCCGTGCAGTCTTTCGTCCGGCAGGCCTTTGGGGGCTTTTGCCCGCTTGACGTGGAAATATAGCACTCTGGGCGCTTGCACAGCCCCCCTGTGCACTTGTATATTTTTGCATTTGCATACCCAAGTTTAATTGTTATGTTTCTTTCCAGCTCGCTTTTAAACCGCACAGTTTTTATTCCGCTTATTGCCTTGACAATCGTCGACTTTCCGTGAGCCACATGCCCTATCATTCCTATGTTAACGGTTGCCTGATTTTTCATAATCTCTTGGCTAATTGGCCCAAGCTCTATCCCTTCTACAACTGTTTTGTCCATAAAATAAAAAAGGCATATTCTTAAATATATGTTAGGCCGCAGCAGTGTAGACGCATACTGATAGCTTCCAGCATGCAGAACAGCTGGCCTGCCAAGCAGGTTCAAGCACGCGTCCTTACAGCAGCGGCAGCACAAAACTAGAATGGATCTTTTATCTTTTATCAGTTTGTTTTCAAAGCGTGTGTATCTAGAGCAGGACTCTGCTCTGCGAAAAAAATAGCCTGCAAAACCGCGTTACCAAGGCCAAGCGAGTTTTCTGCCAGAATGCACCAATGCGCTACATGCCTCCCTATACTTGCCCCGCGGGCACTCCAGCGAAAGAACGTCGCATGCTTGCCTGTCATTCGGCCTGCGCCGCCTTTAAGCAGAATGTGTCAGACGGCGCATAGAAGGGAAGCTGCGGGTTGTCGCGCGCGTGCGGGCAAGATACATATGAAAAAGCATTCTGTTGATCCGTCGTTTTGTGCAATCATTCTGATGAGAGCAATTCTAGTGCTTGTTCGTACGAGAACGCACAGACAGTCTCTGCGAGTAGAACCGGGCACTCCTGCTTTTCTTCCGACAGAAGCCTCCCTACAACCAGAAGACGCGGTGTTTCTTCCACCCTGTTCTTTTTTATCAACCTGGCAGACACTTCGCTCGGGATGCGCTCTAGATTCAGTATCCCATTTCCAGAGACGTCTTTGGCAAGATACTTTGTCCGGGTTATTCTTCGCACAATCACCACTTTAAAAATCCCCTCCTCAGTTCGTTTCCCGTGTAAAAACTCTATGTTTATGTAGGGCAATATCTCGCTCTCGTCAATTTTGCTAATGCTTCCATATGTTTCTCCCTCCATATCGACTTGGCTTAACTTTCTTGTTTTTACATTTATTTATTTATGCTGATTCTTTGCAGGCTTTCAAGAGCTGTTACAGGCGCGCTTGCCGAGTACGCCGAGTTCCTGGGCGCGATGTCCGTGCAGGAGGCCCAAAACATACTAGGCATTCCGGAAAGCCAGCAGCTTGCAGCCGCCTGCATCAAAAAGCGCGCCGAGGCGGTGCGGGCAAGCAACAAAAAGGCTCTTCCATCGGCCGGATACATACTGCAGAAGATATGCGGAGCAGAAAAGGTTCTGCTCCGAGAGATTGAATAGCGCGCCTTTGCACTTTCCTGCGCACGCCGCAGACAGGTGGAAAACACTCGCGCAAATTCAAAAGAGATGCATGCATATTTATTCACATTACAGCATGCATTAAATGTGCGGGTTAATTACGGAAATAGCGCGTCCCATGCAGAAGAGGCATCAGTTTAGAAGCAGATATTTGGTGTGGCCCACTTCAAAGTCCTCTCGCATGTGCACCTCTTTGATTTCAAAGTAGTTTATCATTATAGTAAGCACAGCCCCAACATACGCAATGTTGGAGTCTGGAAGCAAGTTGTGGGGCATGTAGGCTGTGAAGTACTTGGGAAACTGGACCAGGCGGTATCCGTCCTCTGCAACGTCCTCTAGCGGGTCCTCTTCCGGCACGAAAGCAACGTTCCGCCCGAGAAGCTCCGCAGTTGCCTTTTTGACCAGCTCTGGGTCTCCCTTTATGTGCACATTCGCAGTCTTTTCTTTATAGACAGGCTCGTGCAGCATGTCGAGCATTTTGTCTACGAACACGTCGTATGCAGACACGCCGGTGTACGAGTGTGCAGTGATCAAGCTGCACTTGTATACGAGGTCAACCGACCAAGACACGCAGTTGTCTGGGCCGTTCTCTATGCTGATGGAGATAAGGCTTTGCACCCCCAGGGCAAGAGACGTGGACACAGAAGAGTACATGACAGACATAGACTCGAGCTGGGAGTTCTCAAAGAAGTATCCGGAGATTTTGCGGATTGTGCTCTTATCAATGTTGCTGTTTACCAAAATGAACATGTGCAGCTTCCCATCAAAGTGCTGCAGCACTTCTTCCTTTGTGCACTCTACAAATAAAACGCCAGTCGAAAACACCTTGTATTTGCCTGTTCCATTGATTTCAACTATTATGACTTCTGGCTCCATTAGAAACAAATAAAAAGAAAAAATTTTTGGGGAAAGCTAATATGGTGAGCGAATTCAGAGAGAGCAGCGCGGATAAATCATCCGAAAAACCCGGAAAAGAGCAGGTAGAAGAGCATGTTTCAGAGTTGGCGCGCGATGCGGAAGCGCATTCAGACAAAGACTCCGAAAGCGACCTCTCTATGGACGAGGATTTGACTGACACAGAAAATAACGAAGATGGCGCCGATAAGAAAAAAGGAGAAAAACATGAAAATGAAAGGGGGGCGCAGAACAATGCAATTGGCGAACAAAATTATGCTTCTTGGCAGGGGTACACCTCCGGAGCAGGACGGCCCGGCTTTGGAAGGGGCAACCCGCAGATGCAGAAAACTCCTATGTATGCGCCGCCAACAAGGACCGCCCGGCCGTTCAAAAGCCCGATCACCTTGCAGACGTTTTCTACGCTAGTGATGCTTACTTTTTTCGGGCTCAGTATATACATTCTATTGACCACAGCCTTTAAAGGGAGCGACTCCGGGGCAAGCGAGGCATACTTGAAAAAACATATAAAGGACCTGCAGGGGAAGTACGGGAAGGTGTCTCCAAACGACTGCAAGCAGGGCGTGTATTTTGGGCTGGACAACGAGTTCAACGGATATGCCCGAGTGGTGCTGCCGTGGGTTTTTAGAGAGGCGCTGGGCACCAGCTTGGACGACGATGAAGCTGATAACCTGGGCCCGAAGAACGGCAACTGCTTGGAAAAGAACTTGCTGGTCTATGGAATGCCGGGAACAGGAAAGTCGTTTTTTGCCCGTAAGATATTTCTGCACTTGGCTCTGAACATACAGGGAGAAAAGCTGAAGAAAAAGTACGGGCTTAGAGAAATTTTCATAAACATGGAGGACGGGATGCGCGATATTGTGAAGGAGTTGTACGAGTGCAACGACGCAATCGAAATGTATCACATAAACTCGGGAATGTTTTTGACCTCGCTGGTGGGAGACTCTGAGAAGTCTCTGCGCACGTTTATGCAGTTCATAGACTGGAGGCAGAAGACCATTCCGGTGCTTATATTCATGGACGAGGCAGATGTGCTGCTGGGAAACAGAAGGCAGGCGCGGAGCGGAGGCGAGGAGGTTTCCACAAACCTGAAGAATAGCTGGCTGACCTGGATGGACGGGATCGACACAGACGAAAACAAGAAGGTGTTTATAATAGCAGCAACAAACTTCTTTAACAGAATAGACCAGGGTGTTAAAAGAAGATTTGGGTCCCAGCTGGGTATTTCAACGCTTTCGACTAGAGAAAGAAAAGAAATAATCCAAAAAACGCTAGTGGCAAGCTCGACGATATGCGTTTCAAAAGAAGAGATGGCGAACATCATAGAAAAGACCAAGGGCTTCTCTGCTTTTGTGCTTACGAACATAATCCACGAGATGGCCAACATCAAAAACGCCAAGAAGCGGCCTGTTGACTACAAAACAGTGATGAATGCCATAAACAGGAACCGTGCTAGCGTGGACACAGAAGAGGCTGAAAGAAAAGAGGCGGAGGCGATTTCCAAAAAGCACTCGCTTCCAAACGACGGGAGCATGTCGTCTCCAACAAGCACTACTTCAACCCTGTCCTATGATTCACAAAAGCACTCAATTCCCATCACGAAGGAAAAGATGACGAAGATAGAAGACTGCATGCACATGATGACAGACAAGGCCATAAAAGAAAAGAACGCCCTAAAGAATATCTTGTCGCATCTTGAAAACAGGCGCAGGGCAAACATGGGCGACGACGAAGAGGAATTCGACACTGACGCAGAGGGCTTGAATGGCAGAAATAAGCCTGAATGCGAAGACTCAGAGGATGAGCTGGAGGCGGAAAAGCTGAGAAGAGAAGAGGAAGAGAACGAAAAAGAAAATAGAGGAAGCGCACAGAATCCAGAGGATGGCTGGCTTGGTAGGAAACTCGCCAATATTGTTGCGCAGATTACTGGCTAAGCCAAAAACATGATGCGCCTGCATAAGGTTTATATAGATCAATGGCGTTTGGCTAGATTGCAGCTTGTACTTTGCATGCGGATAGATAGAAATATATCTCAGATATAAAAGCCAAAAATGTTCAAATAAAAATCCATCAAGTATGTGTGGCCGGCCAGTTTTTGTGACCAAGCGTGCAGGGAAAGGCACCCTGCCAGGAGCGCGCCCAGGCTGTGCGCATGCCACATGCATGCTGCACTTATTGGAGGGCGGCGTTTTGTTTTGTTTCAGCATACATATAGTTTCGAACGCGGTTTGAGCATGCAACTAGACAGTGTTAGTGGAAGCTTGCAAGCGTCGCCAGTAGTAGCGTCAAATGTGCTTGGGCCCAGCCTGGCTCTAAAAGAGCGCCCGCCGGCTGGTCCAGAAGGGCTAGACGCTCGGCTCCGGCCGGAGGGTGGAAAAGCCTTGCACTTTTTAAGAGAAAACGCGCTTCGAGTCACCGTGGCATGCTTTTTTGTTGTGCTGGGAATAACCTTCTACCTTTTCATGACGGCCAAGCACATAGGCGTGTTCCCCACGCAGTCTGCGTGCATATGCTGCGTTATTGCGTGCCTGGCCAGCATTTTCTGGTCTTTCCACATACTTCCCCTTGACGTGACCGCGCTCCTTCTGATCCCCGTGGTGGTCGCATCCAACACGCTGGCGCCAGGCATGCTGGCGAGTTCTCTGGTTGTTCTCCGCATCCTAGTGTCTCCAGTGGTCCTTCTTCTAATGGGCAGCTGCCTTCTTTCCGTGTACTTTGAAAGCAACGGGGGCGCCAGGCTGGTTCTCCCATACCTGATTTCCAGCAGCGGGCCGCAGTCAACGCTGTTCAAGAGCATGCTTCTGTCGCTGACGCTTTCCTCTGTAATGTCCAACGTAACCGCGCCCATAATAATCATGTCTGTGCTGCAGAGCACCATGAAGGTGCCAGACCCCTCGGTTGTGATGGGCATTGCAATGGCCTCAAACATTGGAGGGATGATTCTGCCAATAAGCAGCCCGCAGTCGATTTTGGGCGCGGCCATTATAAAAGTGTCCTGGGCGCGGTGGCTCTTCATCTCTGTCCCCACCGCCGCCGCGTGCTTTGCCTTTGTGTACACGCTAATAGTCAGCTACTTCCCGAAAAAGCAAGAAGGCTCCGGCACGCCTGTTGTTATGCACGAGCAGGGCGCCTCAAACAAAAAGCTGATAGTTGTCACCGCAATGTGCATTCTGTGCTGGGCCATTCCCTCCCTGTACCGGAAGCTGCAGTGGGTGTACGCCCTGCCGGTGTGCGCTCTTCTAATAGCAAAGAGCGCCCGCAAGGCGTGCAACCGCAAAACCCTGGAGGTGCTGTCTATTGCAGTTGCCGGGACTTCCATAGGGAAAGGCATAGAAAGAACAAAAATGCTGGAGGGGATGATTTCCAGGCTTTTGATTGGCAGCAAGGAAAGAAGCCTGCTTTTTCTGGTGATCGGAACCTCTTTTATCATGCTTTTTGTTTCCTGCATAGTGTGCCACACAGTCAGCGCCGTTGTTCTCCTGCCTATTTTTGAAAAAATAGGGATGTTTATAGGCCGGGAAAAAATAATCGTTGGCGTGGCCTCTCTTGTCTGCTCGTGCGGCATGGCCTTCCCCTCAAGCGGATTCCCAAACATCATTTCCAGCTCGGCCAAGTCTCCAAGCGGGAAAAGGCTGATCGACCTCAAAACCTTCATTTTTGTGGGCAGCGTCTCAACAATCGGGTGCTGGATCTTTATTTTGACGGTGTCCCTCACGTTTATGACGCTGGCAAACTTTTAAAATTTTCACATGGCCGTCCAGCACGAAAGGCAGAAAAAAGAGGAAAAGCACACAGACATAGAAAACTACAAAATGGAGCCGTTCACTGAAAAGGGGCTAAAGCCGTTTTTGGAGGAGAGCGCCTTTGAAGTGATGTTCCCAAAGCACCGGGAAAAATACATCCGGGACACAGAGGAGTACATAAAAAAGGCGCTTGCGCAGAAAAAGCTGCTGCTGTCTGTGGACTACCACGAGCTTGTTCTAAAGGCGGAGACAACCGCGCACACCAGGGACCCGTACTGCATCATACAGGGGCGGGACTGTCTGAAGCTGCTGAGCAGGGGTGTGCCTCTGGAAAAGGCCATTAGAGTTTTTGAAGAGGGCATCACCTATGACATCATTCCCATCAATGTTTTCACGCGGAACAAGGAGATCTTCCTGAAGAGAAGAGAAAGGCTTCTGGGCCCGAAGGGAAACACGATAAAGTCGCTGGAGCTGCTGACAGACTGCTACATTCTCCCGTACGGAAACACGGTCAGCGCGGTCGGCCACTACAAAAGCCTGAAGGAGGTCAGAAACGTGGTTGTAAAGTGCATGCAGAACATCCACCCTATATACGAGATAAAGCGCCTAATGATACGAAGAGAGCTGGAGAAGGACCCGGCCCTAAAAACAGAAAACTGGGAGAGGTATCTTCCACAGTATAAGAAGACGCACAGCAAGAAGAAAAAGACGGTGCAAAAGCGCGAGAAGCCCGAGGGAGGCATGTTCCCGATGCAGGAGGAGAGAAAGGAGGACACGGAAATGCGAACCGGATGCCGCTCCTCAAAGACCCGCAGAGAGAGTAAAAAAGAACAATAAACAGAGAAGAGACATTTCATATTTACTTAGAAGAAGTACGAGGGCCGGGAGATGCTGACCCCGCACTCCTTAAGCGCGTTCTCCACGTCAGTGAGCGTGAGCGTGAGCTTTTTCTCCTTTGGCGCCTTCTTCTCCTTGAGCGACGCGCGCTTTGCAATTTTGTGGTATTGGTACGCGCATGTGGCGACGTCTGTTATGAGCTTCTGCGCTATGAGCGAGACAAGCTTCTTTATCTTGGGGTCGTCGGTGGTCAGGCCCGCCTTGGTGAAGCAGTAGTCCAGCACAACGTCTGGAATCAAGGGAATGAAAGAGTCGAGCCCTTCGTTTATCTTGTTGAATGCACTGTCGTCCATAAAAGAAAAAAACTAGAGGATTCTTGAACCAAGTGCGGGGGCGAGGGCGCTGACCATATCTATGCTGTCTCCCCACTTGAGCACGTTCTCCCGCCGCTTCTCCAGCTTTGTAGACTCGTCGCTTATTTTTGCGCTCATCTCGTCTTGCGTAACACTTTGCAATATAAACATGCGCGCATAGATTTTTTATGTCTTTATTAGAAAAAGAGAACGACATATTCGAAGAAGCGTCTGGCGAAGCACACCAAATAGACTACACTCCCATCGAGGTGCTGAAGGAGGGTGGCATATCGCCTGCGGACATATCGAAGCTCATTGAGTGCGGGTTCCGGACGGCGGAAAGCATAGTCTATGCGCCCAGGAAGAAGCTCATGAACATAAGAGGCTTTGCAGAGGCAAAGGTTGACAAAATCATCAAGGAAGCCAGCCGGTATGTGGAAATCGGGTTCCAGACGGCAGACGCCATCCACCAGAAGAGGCTGCAGATGAACATGATCACCACGGGGTCTGCCGAGCTGGACAAGCTGCTTGGCGGGGGGATCGAGACCAGGTCTATAACCGAGCTGTTTGGCGAGTTCAGAACCGGAAAGACCCAGATGTGCCACATGCTTGCGGTGACCTGCCAGCTGCCCATTGAAATGGGGGGCTGCAACGGAAAGGCCATATACATAGACACAGAGAACACGTTCCGGTCAGAGCGGCTCATTGAGATTGCCAAGAGATACGAGCTGGATCCGGCGGAAGTGCTGTCAAAGGTGTCTGTGGCCAGGGCGTACAGCGCAGACCACCAGACAGACCTGGTCAAGCAGGCCAGCGGGCTTATGGCAACCGGCGAGTACAGGCTTCTCATTGTGGACTCCGTGATTGCGCACTACAGGACAGACTATGCTGGAAGAGGAGAGCTCAGCGCGCGCCAGATACACTTGGGCGTCTACCTGCGGTCTCTAATGCAGCTGGCCGACGAGTACAACGTGGCCATTGTCATCACAAACCAAGTTGTTGCCACGGTGGACGGAGCGGCAGCCATGTTTGGAGGAGACACGAAAAAGCCAACAGGCGGGCACGTGCTAGCACATGCCAGCACAACCCGGCTGTATCTGAGAAAAGGCAGAGGCGACCTCCGTATCTGCAAAGTGTACGACTCTCCGTCGCTTCCTGAGGCAGAAGCCACCTTCCGAATCATAAAGGAGGGCATTTCCGACGCGGACGAATAAACAACAAGCGCCTGGCGCAATTGAAACTGCGTGTGTTTTATGTTGAGTCAGCTCTCTGCGCTTTTTTATTGAGGGGTCGCAGGCCCCCTCGGCTTCATCTTCATCTTTTATGTTCATCTCTTATGTTCAGCCCGCATGCTTGCACTGGCTGCGCGGCAGGCCACAGTGGGAAAAGGCTGGCTCTTTCGGGCTTTTTCTGAAATAAAAAGTCATTGCTGATTTGGGCTGGCTGGGAGGGCGCACTGCGTTTTTATTTTCAAATATCCGAGAACAGAGAGAAGCCTGCGGGTGCGCTTTGCAAAAAGACAGAATCTGCGCCGCCAGCATGCACATGGCAGCGGCGCTAAATGCGAGAAGGCTGTGCTTGCTGGAAAGTAGCAAGTGCCTGTAGGCAGCCCCGTCCGCCCGCAGCTACAGCGCAATATTATTGAATGATGCTAATTTATTTCTTTTGTGGCGAGCTTCTGCTCGGCCCTGCAGCTCTTGCGCCGCGGCGAGAAAGATAAAGCACGCCGCGGGCACCTGCACTTTAATATTAATAAGCCATCTTGGCAAGCTCCAGAGGAAGCTTTTTCCCCTTGGCATACGCAGCTTGCAATGTGAGCTTTCTATAGCGCCGTTGTTAGAAGCCAGCGCTGCAATCCGGCCCATGTGGCCAGCGATGCCAAAGACACCCAAGGCTGCTCTGGCAAAATCTACTCAGAAGCTGCGCGCTTCTGCTCGGCGCACCTCTATAGCGAATAGCATGTGGGCTGCTCATATGGAGTTTGTTTCCGGCCGTGTTTGGCAGGCCTCCGCGAACTACACCAAAAGTATTCCGTTTACGCACCCATCGTTTTCTGGGTTGTTGGTTATCTGCGCGTACTTCCCCCATATAATTCTTCCAGACTCCGAGACCATTCCGAGCGCGCTGGTGTTCACCTCTATTATGGTTCCCTTGGTGAGGAGGCCGAGCGTTGTCATCAAGTGCGAGTTCGGGTTCTGCTTGACCCCCATAATAGGCAGAAGGAATGTAGACTTCATCTCGGGGTGCGTTATGTTGGCTGACTTCATACGCAGCCCTGTTGGCCGCACAAACCGCTCAAACTTTGGCGGCTTTCGGGTGAAGCCCTCGCCCACAAAGCACGGCTTTGTGACAACCCTTTTCCACTGGTTTCTCTGCCTCTTTCCGGTCTTCATGACCTTGAACGCCTCTGCCTCGGATATTCCTCTTACCTGCGGGACTGGCACGTTGTACTTTCCAGCCTTGTTCTGCCTCTGCTCCTTCAGCTGGGTGGTTATGGCTTGTATGGCCGCCTGCTTTTCCCTGTCCAGCAGGTACGCGGGAATGGCGCCGTCTGCGATCTCCTCCTGCGCAACCTTCTTCTGCTTCCTCTCTGTCTGCAGCTTCTCTTTCTTCAGCTGGATCTTCTCTTTTCTTCGCTTGTCGTGGAAGATTATGGCCTTTCTTCCATACAGCTCCTTCGCCATCTTAGACAGCCTCTTTCCGGCCCTGGCCTCGTACTTCTCTTTTCTTACAGCATAGTCTTCTCTTCTTCCAGACTGCTTAATTGCCTCTTCAACGTAGTTGTGCTGTGGCATAAAAAATTTACAAATGGAGTATGCCCGACTATATTTCCAAGGAAAAGAAGAAATACCAGGACTTGTGGAAACATTCTATACGTCGATGCAGAAAAAGCTCCGGGCCGGAGCCATTTCCGTCAGCGACATAGAAAGCGGCCTGGAAGTAGACATGTTCTACCTTGAAAAGCATCTAAAAGAAGTAACCTCCTTTGGGATAGACCATTTAAGAGCTGCCCTTACCCGGATCGTGCAGCAGGCAAAGGGCGTGCTGGCGAAAGCCCACATCAAAATAGTGCCTTTTCCAGAGCCGGTTCCGTTTTCTACGCTGAGGCACTCCTCGGTCGGCCGCGTGTTCTCCCTCGTGGGCGTCGTGTCCAAAATAGAAAGCGCAAAGCCCATTCCTATTTCGGTTAGGTTTATGTGCAACAAGTGCAACGCCGAGATAGAGCACATGCCCCAGTGCGGGCTTATGGAAAAGCCCGAGCAGTGCATTTCGCCTTGCAAGTCAAAGTTTTTCACTCTTCTGGCGGACTCCCCCAAGAACGTCTTCAAAGACCACCAGAGAGTAAAAATCCAGGAGCTGTTTCTCACCGAGATAGAGAGGCGGAAGGCCGGCTCCATAAACTGCATACTGGAGCAGGGCCATGTGAACACGCTTCTTCCCGGAGACGCGGTGCACGTGCTTGGCATGGGCGTGGCGGAAGATAGCGCAGGAGACGGGTACACCGTGGGCATAAAGGCCAACAACATAAGCTTTCTCAAGCAGAAGGACATGCAGAGCCAGTGTGTTTTCTTGCCTGCAGACATCCAAGAAATAAAGGCGCTCTCCAGGACAGAGGGCGTGGTGGACGCTCTGGCAGAGGCTCTTTTTGGCGAGATTGTTGGACACAGCGCGCTAAAAAAGGGCATTCTTATGTCTCTGGTGGGGGGCTCCTACAAGAAGCACAAAAGAAAAGAGATCCACCTGGTTGCGATAGGCGACCCCGGAATGGGAAAAAGCAAGCTGATCCGAATCGCGTCAGAGATTCTCCCGCGGAGCAACTACATCTGCGGAGCCACAACGACGCCAGGCGGGCTGGGCCTCACGATGCAGTCTGGGTCAAGCGGCGAGTTCACGCTTGCAGCTGGCGCACTTGTTCTGAGCGACCTGGGGCACTGCTTTGTGGACGAGCTGGACAAGCTGAACAGCCCGCAGGTTTTGTTTGAAGCGATGGAAAGCGAAGAAGTCACAATTGCCAAGGCAGGGATTGTCTGCGCAATGCCTGCCAGAACGTCGGTGATCGCAGCCGCCAACCCTCTGTGCGGAAGGTACCGCAAGGACAAAACGCTGGCTGAAAACCTAAACCTGCCGGACGAGTTCCTGTCTAGGTTTGACCTCATATTTGTCATGCTGGACGAGGCCGGCGGGGCGGAGCATCGAAGCATTACCCAGCGCATACTAGAGCAAGGCCCCAGCGAGGAGAGCTCGCAAAAAACACCCAGGTGCCTTGCGCAGAAGTACATACAGTACGCAAGAGACCAGGTCAGCCCTGTTCTGTCCTCAAGCGCAAAGGAGTCTGTGGTCGCGTTTTTCACGACGATCAGGCAAGAAAAGGTCTACAAAGGCCGGATACTGCCCCAGCCGCTCACCCCGCGCGTGGTCGACTCTGTGGCGCGCATTGCAGAGGCTCTGGCAAAGCTGCACCTGCGAAAAATCGCCACAAAGTCGGACGTAGAGCATGCCATTGAGATAATAACCGTGGACAAAGCGCAGGTGCAGAAAAAGCCCGCAAGGAAAGAGCCGCCGCACGCTGCACTTATGCGCCGGATCCAGGAAACGCAAAGCTCCGAAATATCCGAAAAAGACGCGCAGGCTTTGGGCGAGTCGCTGGGGCTGGACAGAGAGCTGGTCAACCGCCTTATATACAAGTTCAATCAGGAGGGGCTTCTCATTAAAAAGGGAGGAGGCATCTACAGGATAAAGATGTAGAGCCCCTCTCCGGCAGATGTGCGGGCGCATAAAGCGCTGCTGGCCTATAAATGCACCCTGCCATGCACGCCCAGAATGTCTGGCGTGCTGGAGGCAGGAGGCTTCGTGCAAATAAATACCCACGCACCCATGCGCATTTTCTTCTTTGCGAGCAAAGGGCTGGCACGCCCCCTTTGGCGCTGCCAGAGATTCCGGGCATGCCAAACTCCGGCCTGGCATGCAGCTATCACAAAAACACGCCTAACAAAAGTATAAAACTTTCAGCAAAAATATTCTTTTACAAACATACAACAATGTCGGACTTGCCATACTACTGCCATGTATGCGATATGGTTATATACATTGAAGACCGGCTAGAATGCCCGCAGTGCCGAGAGTCGTTTTTGGAGGTCCACACCGAGGACGTGGACGATGAAGAAGAGGAGGCCGCGCCGGTTTGTGTGCGCACATTTTTGGGCTTCCCATTTTTCGGATGCGGCAAAAAGCAGTCTTCCTCGAGAAGGCACAAGTCGATTTCCTCGGACAGGAGAAACTACGCGCTTGGCCCGGAGCTGGACGACATAATAACCAGGCTGCGCGACGAAATGGGCGCGGAGGAAAACCCAGCAACAGACGGGCAGAAGCTAAGCCTAGAGCCAGTTTTTCTCACCAAGAGCGACGTTTGCACAATATGCCTCGGGTCCTTTGAGGAGGGAATGGAGGGGTCCAAGTTTCCATGCTCGCACTTTTTCCACCAGGAGTGCACAAATGCGTGGCTCAAGCTGCAGTCGGACTGCCCGGTGTGCCGAAAGCCTTTGTAGCCAGCGGCACGCTTTCACTAAACACAAAAGTAAACCAAATATCTGCCTCTGCCCTTGAGCTCTGCGGGATTTCTCTGGGCTCCAGGCCCAGTAGGCCGCGGCAGGCATTTCTAAAAAATAAATATGCACAGGCCTGCCCAGCACTCTGTGATCGCATCATTTATGATATGGAAATGCGCAGTAAATTCCAAAAAATATTCGCAAAATGGAAGACCAAAAGAAGTCTGCGGAGCTCTGCGAAGAAGCATACTGCGCCCTGCTCATTCGGAAAATCAACGAGCGCAACGAGCTAATCTCGGTGCAGGACATCAAGAAAATCGACAAGGCGCTAGACTTGGTCATTATAGACCCGTACATGCGCATACAGAAGATGCAAAGCCATCTGAAAGACGTGAAGTTTTTTCACATTATGCCTAAAAAGCCGTCAAAAATGGATCGGAGGACCGAGCGGCTGGGACAGCCGAAATGCAAAAGACTCTGCACGGAAGCAGAAAGGGCCTCCCCAAAGCTTTTTTCATCTGCTGCCTTGAACAACAACGACTACCAGTGCATGCAAAGGCATCTGAAAAGCGAAGATATGTACAGAAGAGAGATTGAAAAAAACAAATGGGTGCTGGAAGAACTGAAAAAAGAGACGTCTGTTCCAAGAGGCCCGCACACGCTGTACCTTTTGCTTGTGGAAACAGAAGAGCTCTTTCTTCCGATTAGCCTGTGCTGATTCATATCGCATAAATTAACAGAATAAATTATTTGTTTTATTTATTTGAATGGAAGAAGCAATTAGGAGCGTGGAAGAGAAAGAAGGCGTTCGCCTCACTTGGAACACCTTCTCAAACATAAAGTCCGAAACTGCGAAGAACATTATTCCTTTGGTGTGTCTGTACAAGCCGCTGCACGGGTACCACAACGACTCGCTTTTGAAGGTAGGGTACGGGGCCGTTCGATGTGCACGCCCTGATTGTGCGAGCGTGCTGAGCCCGTACTCGTCTTTGGACTTTGGGTCCAAGCACTGGGGATGCATCTTCTGCGGGCGCATGAACATGCTGCCTCCGCACTACAGAGACATCTCAGCAGAAAACCTTCCGTACGAGCTGTTTGGAGACAACAGCACCGTGTTCTACAAGGGCACCCAAGTGTCTGGGTACAAAAGAGTCTATTGGTTTGTTATCGACGTGTGCAGCTTTGACGAGGAAAGGCACCTTCTCCTGAAAGAGGGCCTTCTCACTGCGCTGGAAAGCCTGGGCGAGGACGACCACATTGGAATAATTCGGTACAGCGCAAACATAGAAATAATCAGCCTGGAGAATCTGGAGGTGCGAAAGCTGCACGTGTTCCCTGCTGTTGACTACACAGTGGCTGTGCTGCAAAAGGAGTTTGTTGCGCCTGGAAACAGCATCTCGCCACTGTCCAAGTTTACGCGAAGAAAGGGGGACTGCCTGCAGCAGGTACAGCAGATTTTCAAGAACCTGCAGATAAACGCGTTCCCCGTGCCCACCATGGAGAGGCCCAAGCGGTGCACAGGCAGCGCCATCCAGCTGGCCAGCAGCATTGTGCAAAGCACGTGCGCAGAGGGCACAGGCCACATACTTCTGTTTACCCAGGGGCCCTGCACATACGGGCCGGGCGCGATATCCTCGATTAGCCTGAAGAATTCGCTGAGAATACAGAACAAGGACTTCTCCAAGCTGTTTACAAAGGAGTCGATATACGAGACCATCGCGAACAACATGGGGTCTCGGGGGCATGTGATCGACATCATTGCTGCCGGAATTGACGACTTTGGGTTTGCGGAGATGCGGAGCCTGATTGAGAAAACCGCTGGAACCTCTGTGTTTGCAAGAGACTTCAACCCGTACATCTACAAAGAGTCTATCAAGCGAATGTTTGCAAAGGACGCGGCAGAAGGCGCCGCAATGAAGCGGGTGTTCGACGTGCGCACAACAGCCAAGGTGACAAAGGGCTACCAAATCAAAAACACGCTGGGGCACGGGTTTGAGCAGAGCGCAGACAAGAAGCAGAACTATGTGTGGAGGCAGGGGTCGCTTTTTGACAGGTCCACAAGCGCCTTTGTGTTTGAGCAGACCAGCGACGCGCCTGCCGGCGCATCTGTGCACGTGCAGATATGCACCAAGTTTATAGACAGCAACGGCGAGTCCTACGAAAGAGTCACCACCATTGCAAGGTCGTTTGGAAACTCGTCAAACCTGGGCCAGCTGATTCTGGGCTTTGACCAAGAGGCAGCGTGCGTGTACAAAGCCAAAGAGCTTTCTGTGAACGCGGACAACGGAGACGGGGTGGACGTCATTCGCCAGGCAGACCGGTGCCTTATCCGGTTTATGCAGCGGTTCTGCCAGTTTGAAAAAGACAGCGCAAGCACCATACGGGTGCCGCCCTCAATGTCCTTCTTTCCCGAGTTTATGTTCTTCCTCCGAAGGCTCCCTGCGCTGCACACAGACGGGCTGAGCTTGGACGAGGTTGCGTACCAGCGAACAATTCTGCTGACCGAAGGCTCTTCGTCCACCATGTGCATCATCCGGCCCTCTTTGGTGGCCTTCCACTACACTGGAGAGAGGTCTCCCGTTGAGCTGGACTCGAGGTCTCTAAAGCAGGACGTGGCGCTGCTTGTGGACACCTTCCACGATGTGGTTATATGGTACGGCGAAAACATCGCCTCGTGGATAAAGGCAGGCATAAAGGAAAACCCCGAGTACTGGTTCTTCAAGGACATGCTAGAATCGCTAGAGAAAGAAGCAAATGAAATTGTTGAGAAAAGGCTTCCTGTTCCCAAGCTGACAAAGTGCGATCAGTACAGCTCGCAGGAGAGAATTCTGCTGTGTAAAGTGAATCCAGCGTCGTCAGTTGCAAACAGCGTGTCGGGGGAGGGGCAGACAATTGTAACAGAAGACATAGACTTTGCCAGATTCTATGAATATTTGATAAAACTTGTGGTTTCTACATAATAAATCTATGCTAAAATCAAACAGATGTGTGCGTTTTTGGGCGCACTAAGCGCGCGGCAGCATGGTTGCCCATATTTGGAAAGCCGCCCACTTGGCAGGCGGGCGCCTTTGCCCTTTCTGGCGCGCAGCAAGCAGCGCATGGTACAAATAAAAAGTGGCAGTTCTGGTTTAAACTGTTTAAAGCGCATGCGCTTGTGTTGTGCAACAAAAAGAAAACTGGCCAGCAGAAGTTTAATTTAAGCAAGCGGCACGCAGGCCGCTATAACAGTTTGTGGCGAGACACCAAAATCTGCGGGCACTGAAAAAAGCCGCGCGCCCAGGCAAGCTGCAGGAGAACAGAAAGCACGCACATGGCCTTCTTTTCGCACACGCTATTCCACGGGGGTTGCAGTGGAGTTTTCTGCAAGAGGCGTGTCGAGAGGCTGGTCAGCTTGATCCAGGTCTTCGCACATCATGTGTGTTTTGCACAGGACGTCCACTAGGTTGTTGTATGCCACAAACTGCACATGCGCAGAAGTTTCCTTTTCTACCAGCTTCTGCCTTAGCCCGTAGATCGCCACCATGAGGGTTTTAATCTGGCTTGCATCCATTTTCCCCATTAGATAGACTGTCGACGGGGCCGTTCCGAGCTCAGCCTTTAGCTTGCTCGCAATGCCGTTGATGCGGTGTATGTCTGACTGAATGCTTTTTGTTGGGTTTTTGATGACAGCCTCAAACACAGACATTATTTCTTCTGTGTTGTTTTTCTTAAAAATCGTGGAAACTGAAGGGCGTGCAACTGTCTCGTTCAGGTGTATTTTGGGAATTGCCATAAAGTCTGCCAAGGAGGCCTTCCCTCTGATAGTTTGTGGGTTTTGGGTGTCTATCTCCATTATGCACCGATGGCTCGCGTCTTCAGCAGGATGGCTCTTGCTGGAAAACACGTTTTTGAAGTAGGCATCTAGCTCGTCAAACTCCTCCAGCAGCCTGCGCACCATCTCTAACTCAAACCTCACCTGGATTGCAACCATCTCAATCAGGTTTTTCATTTTTTTGGCCTGGAGGTTTTTTATAACTTTCAAAATGCCGTTGGTTTTCTTGGTGATAATAGTCAGCGAATCAATTATTTTGTTTCTGGCCGAGTCGTGCACCATCATTGCTGTGGACCCACACATGGCAACTTTTTTGTCTGTGCTATGCTTGGTCTCGCCCTCCATCCTCAAGCAGAGGCTGTCCATCATGTTTCTTAGGGTAAAGAAGTAGTTGGACTCCAGCAGATACTTCTTTGCACACAGCTGGAGCGTTTTAGAAACATACTGGATGGGGAACCTCTGTAAAATGTGGTTTACTTCTGGGGTTTCTATCTGGCCGCTCTTGGAGAACACAAGCGGGCCCTTCTGGATGATGTTGGCGAAGATCTCCATGTAGTCGACTATGTCTATGCTGTTCGCCATTTTGGACAGCTCCGGGTCGACAAAGAAGCCTGCATAGCTTTCATTCGCCGGCAGGCTTTCGTATTCAATTCTTTCCGGGGTTATCTTTCTGTTCAGCTCGGTCCCGTTAATAACATCGTATGTCAGCATCTTGGTTCCGGCAGGCTTTTGGGCCCTGTACGAGGGGCTGCCAATAGTCATGGCCGCAATAAAGCTCATGTTTTCAATGGGTGCCGAGGCGTTATCTACTATGCAGTATGAGCTCATTTTGTCAACTCCTGCCACCCACGTGGACCCGTCCTCTGTGTAGTCCTTGCACTGGTAGGGAACCTGCCAGACATCCGCCAGGCTAAAAATCGCACCTCCCATGCTGGAGAGCGCATACATAAGCAGTCCGAATATATTCACGTTCATGCATGCATTTTCTTTTTGCATATATATAGTTTTATTCTGATATATCTGGTCCGATTTTTAGAAACGCGGCCAGAGCAGAACTTGCAGCCTCGCACAAAAAGCCGGGCACGCGCGCCTCGGCATAAAAATACCTACCCACTATTTATTCATATTACTCTTCCAGGGCCCGCCTTTGCATTTAAATTGTGTCACAAGTATAAGGTGGTCGGAAGGATAGTGGTGCGTAGGAAGACCTACAATTTTAGATACATACTCTTCGTCAATTGGCCCCAGCGAGCACACAGGCTTTAGCCTGCTGTTGTACCAGATGTAGTCGATAACGCCCGAAAAGCCGGGGGTACAGTTGGTGAAGCCCATATTTACAAAAGAGTAGCTTTCCGAAAGCCCCAAGCTGTGCGAGTACCCTTTATTGCTGTACGGCTCGTACGAAAGGTTCATCAGGTCTTTGCTGTTGGGCTTGAGCACTCCGCTCGAGTACATCTCGTACAGGGACGAGTTTGGAAGGGAATTGAAGTCTCCGCAAATCACCAGCTCGGCCTGCGGATACCGATTCATAATAGTGTCTATTTCCTTCAGAAGCATAATCCCCTGCAGCGTCTTCACGTCCGGATACTCGGGGTCCCAGTGGATGTGCGTGTTCACCACCACGGTGTGCTTCTCCCCCTCCCGCACCAGCACAACTATCAGCCCTATGTTGTCCTTGCTTAGAAATCTATTTGCAATGTGCTCGTGCTCTGAAATCGTCTTCTGCGGGAAAAGCTGCGACAGGTATATGCACCGGTGCTCAACCAGCTGGAAAAACGAGCCCTTCCAAAAGGTTGCGCATCCGTCCACCATCCGCTTCTCTCCCTCCACCATGGTGCGCGCGCGCGACTTCTGGTAGAAAACCGAGTCGTAGTCCCCGCGCGCCTTGAACTGGTCCCGGAAGTAGTCGGAGTAGCTCCCCGTGTCCATTTCCTGGATGCACAGAATGTCTGCGCCATACGAGGTTGCCTCCTGCAGAATCGTGGGCTTTCTTGCCTCCCACTGCAAAGCCCACGCAGGAACATACGAGAAGCTCTGGCTGCTTGCATATGTGGGGCACAAAATGTTGTATGTGGCTACAGTAATGGTTTCGTTGTACTCTCGCACGGTGCTCTCGTCCTGCAGGGCGAAGATCCACTCTCTCTCCCAGTAGGGGAAGTTCATTGCCACGTTGTCTCTGCAGTACCGGATCACCCCCAGGCCCCCAGACGTGTTGTACACCGCCTGTATTTGCCCAATCAAAGGGTTGTCGTCCAGGTCCAGTCTTTCCATTTGGTACAGCATGCCAAAGTCCAGCGGCACCGAGGACAGCAGATTGCTCCCCAGCTTGAGCTCTCTCAGGCTGTGCAGCCTTCCCAGCTCCTTTGGAACTTTTTTTATTCGGTTGTGCGACAAGTCCAGCACGGTAAGGCACGTCAGCTTGCACAGCTCTTCCGGAATCTCGGATATTCTGTTGTACGACAGGCACAGCGTGGTCAGCGTGTCCCAGTTTGCTATTTTGTGCGATAGCATCCGCAGGCCCTGCATCGACATGTCCAGGCCTGCGGTTTCATCAAGTATCTTTTCCCCTCCCGTTTTTCGGCCCTGGTATGCCTTGTAAAAGCGCAAGGGCCGAGGCACAGGCGCCACCGCTCGGGGTGCGCTGTTACTGTTATGCTCTTCTTCCATCCAAAGAAAACAAAAATAATAATAATAATAAGAATGGTATTTAATAGTAGTTAGCTTGGAACACTGCCTTTTTCCCAAACATATCTTCAAATACTAAGGACATTGGCTCAAATCTGTTTGCCATGTCTTTCTTGCACTTTGAGTCAGTGATCATCTTCTCAACTCTTGAGCCGTCCTCTCTAACAACGGTTCTTCGGTCAACCAGGTGGGATGGCGAAACCAAGTCTTCTGCCACTAGCTCCTGGTAGTCTGCGTACGAAACAGAGGATCTGATTACAGACTTTCCTCCTCTTCCTTCCACTTCCTCGATCACTCTTCCTCTGACGACAAACACAGTTCCGCCGAGGGCCTCCTCTACATTCTCAATTATGCTGAGTTTTTCCTTCTTTATGGCTCTGAACATGTCTTCCGGAACGAACACAATGGTGATAAGCACGCCGTTCTTCTCCAAAACCCTCACCTCTGTGTTGTTGTACGCCTCTTCTGTGATGTCGGAGCTGCCGATTGTTTTCTTGATGACTTCAACGACCTCTTTGTTGTCCTTTATAACTGCTGAAGATTCTTCTCTCTTAAATGACATGACAGGGTATAAAAAATAAAAGAAATAAAAAGAGCGAGCAAATATGCAACGTCGTTAAATAAACGCCAAGAGCTCCTTGCACGAAGACTTTGGCGTTCGTATGCACTCCGCAGTGCGCTGCGAAATTCTCTGCTTTTCTGAGAATATTCTTCTTTCCACTTCTTTCTTTATTTTAATTTTTCATCCCCTTGCAATAATAAATGGCCAAGTCAAAGAACCACACAAACCAGAACCAGAGCAAAAAAGCCCACAGGAACGGAATCTACAAGCCAAAGTCCTGGCAACTGCTTCCAACCAGAGGAGTCCCAGCAGCTGCGCTCAAGAAAACCAGAGAAGAAAACATGCGTCTGCACGGCGTTGGAAAGAAGTCCCAGATGACTTTCGAAGAAAGGTATGCGAAAGAGCTTGAGAACCCAGCCATCAGCAAGCGAAGAATGATCAAGCGAATTGGCATTAGAAAGATGGCACTCAACGGAGTCTACTTATAATTGGTGCCCCTTAAATAAACGGCATATACCTATAATGTTATTCGTGCGCTTTGCAATCGCGCTGTCGTGTTTTCCGTGTGCTTCCTGCGAAAAGAGCGCACAGGGCCTGGAAAGAACGCCGTTAGCGTGCCCTGCAAGGGCGAGGAGGCAGGGTGCTTGGAGCGCGCAGTGCCTGCGCCCGCGCTTTGCTGTTTTCGCGTTGGCGGGAAATGAATAAATATTATTTCTTATTTCTTTGCATCCATGGGAATAGCGGGCTTGCTACCTATGCTGAAAAATCACATGGAGTACATCGAGGTGTCAGACCTCCGGGGGCTGACAATAGGAGTAGACGGATACTCCTGGCTGTACAAGGCCATCACGGTGCATGCCTCTGACGTGTATTTAAGGCCAGCCGACCCTAGCGTTGTAGAGAAGTATGTCTCTTTTTGCATTAGAAAGTGCAAAGCGCTGCAGGCGCACAACATCCAGCTGTACTTTGTGTTTGACGGAGAGGAGCACCCAATGAAGAAGGAAACGAACCGAAGACGGCGGGAGAGGAAGCAAGAGGTGCAGGCAAAGCTAGAGGCTTTGCTGCGGAGGGGGAAAATGGCGGAGGCCAAGCCCCTCATGGGAAGATGCCTGAAGGTGGACGAGGCGATGGTCAACCACCTAATCGAAGCTCTTAAGAAGATAGGCGTGCCGCACATGATAGCCCCGTACGAGGCAGACCCGCAGCTGGTGTACCTGGAGAAGCACGGGCACATCGACTGCATCGCAACAGAAGACAGCGACCTTATTGTGTACGGCGCAAAGCGGATTGTTTTCAAGCTGAACGAAGCGCATGGCGGAGAGTTTTACAACCGGGAGAGGATTCTTTCCAACTGCTCTCTCCACATAAAGTGCCTGCTCATGCAGCTTAAGGAGATTGTATCGCTGTCCGGGTGCGACTACACCGACGGCATTAGCAAGGTGGGCCTTATTACAGCGCACAAGCTGATCATGGCGCACAGCACCGTGGAGGGCGCAATTCAGCACCTTTCAAAAAAACAGGGAGACTTGGGCGAGCACATTCATGTGTGCTCCAGAGTGATATGTACTTTCAACATGCATGTGGTAAAAGACCCAAAGACCAACAAGAGAGTCCACCTGGCGGGGCACAGCGAAAAGGAGAATCTGCGCCCAGCCGGAGATGCTTCATTTTTGGGGGTGCTAACTCCATATAGCTAGTCAAATGCAAAATAAATTGAGGCAAATGCCGAGTCTACATCCTGTGTTCGGGCCCTTTTGCCAAAACTGTGCTCATGCCTGGAAGGATGCACAGACGGCCCACTATATTTTTCCAAAGAAAGAGGCTGGTCTGGGCGTTCCTCAAGTCTACGCTTGTGCTAGCCAAAATATAAAGACGGCAAAGTCCCGAGTTGCGCCTTGGCTATGCTGCTCCTGCTTGTTAAGTGATTACACTGCAAGATCACAATGGTTGTGCTAGGCTGAAAGTATAATTCTGCAGGACACCATTACTAGGGCACAGGCATACTATGTGCTGGCTTCTCTGCTGCTGCTAGGTGAAGGCGTGGCTGTGCCCACAAAGCTTGCTTTTTTCACGGGCAAATTTTAAAGTGTGTCTGAATTTTCACTTTGTTTTGGTTTTATTTTGCACTACCATACGTCATATAAAAATAAATAGTTCTATTCGATTTTTCTCACGTTTGCTAAACATTTATATATTTATAGCGTGCCGTTTTGTTGCTGCGATGGAAGCACCTCGAGCAAGCAGGGCTGGTCGTGTCTCTTGAGCATCGTGCTTTTCATCCAGTAATATCCGAAAAGCAGAATTATAGACACACAGATTAGGTGCGTAAAGATGCCGCATATATTTAAGCGGTGCCGGCGGGACCCGGGCGCGGGTCTGGATACTTGCGTGTACGGTATTGCCGACGCGGCAATAGGCACTATAAGGTTGAGAACAGATGAATACGTAAGCCCCACAAGCCCTACAAACAGCAAGAGCATGCCCTTTGTTGCAAATATCTCCAAGAGCAAAAAAATGCCCAGAATAAAAGCGCATAGGAGGATTTTCAGAAGCAGAACATGTCTTTTATCCGAGGTGCTGTGCGCTCTGGGTATGCCTTCTTCACGCATGCTTTTATATGTCGGCAAGCCCATTGTTTGATATAGTATCTGCAGATGCCGCACGCCAGTTATAAAAAAGCCTGCCAGCAAAGAAATTTCAAACCCAACCACCAGATAATACAGCGATTTTATGCCCGTGATGTGCGGCGACAGGGGCATTTTTCCATTTTATCTTCCAGCGCCATCTTAAGGTTTGATATGATGTCTCCATACACACTATTCTGTATGATTTTTTTAGTCGTGAGCATCAAAAAACACCCGAATGTAGAATATGCTATGCACAGGCAGACCTGCGCAGCAAGCCTAGCCCATGGGTGGGCATTTGCCCTCTGTTGGTATTTCCTGCTTCCTGCGGAGTTCACTGTGTTGTGCGCTGCTGGAAATATAAACAGAAAAACCCCCAATGCTTGCAAAACACTAGGGTAGTTAAACCGCATAACATCCTTGCACAGTGGGGCCGGGCACTCTTTAGCGCCCTCGAGTGCCCCGTCTAGGCGCGACAGGTATATAGAGACGCAAAGCACAAGCGCCACAAACGCCACAAAAAAGACACAGCTGATTGCATTTGTGATTTTGTTGGTGTAGCAGTGCCCGGTCTCCACACATGAACACATAAAGCCCAGCAAAATCATTGCAAGAGGCAGCAGAGGAACTATTATTTTGAGCGCGAAAAACATCTTCACAGAGAAGAACGTATCGAATATTGAAATTGCTCTCAACCCTATAAATGCTAGCATAAGAGCCACCAAAAATAAACTTTGTGCAAACTCCGCCGACCTATGCAGAGTGCTTATGTGCGTGAGGTGGTTTTTCACAACGCTCCTATAGTCGCTGAGTGCAGCGGGCTCTCCCTGCCCGGGCGCAGGAATATCTTCTTCACTGCACGAAGGCGCGCTGTTGGATGCCATCTCGTAGGCACGGGTGTTTCTCATTCTTTTTTGCATGGAAATGCTGTATAAAATGCCTATAGAGGCAAGCGTGCCCGTGCTGGCTGCGATTATCGATCCAGTCCAGGTGTCTTCTACAAGCGCATACAGCGCAAACATAAAACCGAAGCTGCTGGTTAACTCTCCCATCGCGTCCAGGAACGAGCTCAACTTGGGCAGCAGGCCGCTGCCGCAAGCAGCATGCTGCTTGCATGTTGGGCTTTGCTTCTCTAGAGTGAAACTCTCTCTCACTGGCGCGGCCTCTGTGGCGGACGCATGCGCTATTTCTTCTGATGCTCTTTTTTGCATTTATTAAAGTCTGCATAGATACGTATATATATAAACTGCATGATCGTATCAATTTGTTTGGTTTGGCGTCTTGCATAATAATCCAATATATTTCGAAAATATGCTGAAGATCACGCACATATGCGCTATTCTTGGAAGCCAGCAGCGGGCGGCTATGCCCGCATTTCGATCGCGCTGAAACCATACACGGTGCTGGACTGCGCAGGAACAGATGCTGTAGTATAAAGCGCAAAGGCCGCCCGTATGGCTCTGTGTGGTGGGTGCTGTGCAGCTAGAAATAGATGCGGCGCAGGTATGCTTGCGCAAACTTGCATTCCTGCAGAGAAAAAAGAGCACGCTTGAAGCTTTTCCAGCACCCGCTAAGTTCCAGGCGCACCAAAGGCTTTAAACGCACAGCATGCTTTTATTTTTAGATGCTGCAGCAGCCGTATAATTTTAAACTAGTTAGATTTATTGGTTAGCGGTAGAATTTTCATATCCCAAAAAGTGCCAAGGGCAAATATCTGCCCATCAGACGCAGCATGAGCCGGCTTGCTTCGCCAAAGAGTGCATTAATTTGGGCTTTGGGCGGTCCGAGCATATCTCTAGACCTGATGTGGGGGCAGTGCGACTATGCCCTTAGCGTGCCAGCTTTCTGCCCGCTTTTGCGCTTACACTCCACTCGCTGCTTTTGAGCAAGCACATTATCTTGTTCACTACAAGCTCGTTTTCTCGGTACATCTCTAGAAGGCCTGCTGCAAAGAGCCTGTCTTTTCGCTGGAGGTACGGCACAATATAGAAAATGCACTGCGGCAAATACTTGAAGTTGCTTCGAAAGGGGTCACTGCCCTGGGGCTCCAGGCTTTGCTGCAGGCTGCATATAGCCTGCTTGAACGGAAAGTGCGTAGAGTACGATCCGCACTTCTCAACCTGCACTATGAGCTGCGTGGTCACATACAGCTGAAGCATGCTTCTCGCTCGGTCTGCAAACCTAGTGTCGTACGACAAAAGGTGCTCAAGCTTTCTGTCTAGGATGGTTCCTTTCACAAGCAGCTGGTCAATAGTCACTTTGGCGAGCGAAAGCAGATGTGACATAAAGTGCCCAAACATTTTGTTGGCCAGGCCTGCGGCTTTTTTCTGCAAAGCTCTAGCCCGGCTCTCCGGTGCATCTCCAGCCCGGCCCTGGGCGCTTTCTTTGCCTCTGGCCTGCTCCTTAAGCCGAGATATGATCCCCAGCGCTCTTTCCGGCAGCGAAATGAGCTCCGAGACAGCGCAAAACTTTTTTCCTGTGTATCCAGTGAATATCGACGGCCCCAGCACGCCTGTCTCTTTTTCGGGGCTGTTCCATCTGGCGATTTCCTGGAAAACAGCCTCTTCTCGGTAGTACTGGATGTCTAGGCCAAAAGACTCGCCGCACCGAGAGACATACCGAAAAATGCTCTCCAAGGAGGGCAGCATGCTGCTCAGAACGTCTTCTTGAGCCGCTACTACTTCTTGCCTAATCCCGCATATTTGGATGGAGGCTAGGCTCTCTAAGTCCAAAAGCACCTTCTGCATGCTCTTGCAATACGTGTGCAGAAACGAGGACGTGTGGTCTGTGGTCGCCTTCTCAGAGGCCCGTTTTATCTGCGCCAGAAGCGCGTCTTTTTTCTTTTGGAAGCATTTACCCAGCTCAAGGTCGTTCACTTTCTCGGCCAGGCGAAGGTGCGCCGGAAGGATGCTTGAAAGTATGCTCCGGAAAACAGAAGAAATCTCCATGGCGGCTCCATGCATGATAAGTATGGACTCTTCTGACGTAACCGAGTACACATTCATCACCGGAGCTGCTGCTCTTATGCTTTCGTCAGCCACCGCGATCTGCCCATACTTGTTCTGGAAGAGCTCTCTGTACATCAGGTTTGCTGTTTCTGACCGGTTGATGTTTTCTATTTTGTACCCCAGGATATCGCCCGACGTGTGCTCGCTTCCCCCGGAAAGCCGCTTAAAAAACCTCCTGATCCACTCGGCAACGCTCTCAAAAAGATCCTTCTCTCTTGCAGACGTGTCGTACAAGGGGAGCTCTACATGTATGGATCCGTGCGGCACCGCTTTGTCCAGAGCGATCTTTTCGTACAGCTCCGGGTTGTAGCGATACTTGCCTGCCAGCTTCTCTTCAGACTGGCCTCTCTTCAGCAAGATGTCCTGGATGCTGTGCAGAAGGCCCGAAATTTCTTCTGTGAACTGCTGCAGCGCCCGAGAAACTGCCTGGATTTCGTCTTCCTTTGTGAACATGCTCTTTTTTTCTATCGACGCTCTCAGCTCTGCAGAGGCTTTGTTTACTATCTCTATTGTGCAGCTGTTCACCGCTTCGTGCACGGCGACCAGCGAACAGCCTGCGATTATTTCCAGCACCTTAATATCCATTGAGGGCAGAGAGAGCTTTCCTGCCAAAGCGGCCTTTATTCTGGCCTCGATTTCCTTCTTGGTTTTCCATAAAGCGTTTTCTGTGTGGTATTTTATTTCTAGTCTGGCGCTTTTCTCGGTTACGTACTGCAAGTTTTCCATTATGGCGCTGAGCCTGCCTGCGTATATGTCCTTGATTGTAAGCGTGTCCACGGCAAGCGCCTGCTTTATGGCCGACTCTTCGACGCTCCGCTCGTACTTTACCTGGCTCGCCTTCAGCTGATCTATGTGTCGAGCAATGCTTCCAGACTTGACTGCAGATATAAGAGCAGACAGATGGCTCTCTGCCTCGGAGACGTCTTCAAACGCAGCTATGATTTTCTTGTGGACGGTGTAGTACCGAACCGCAGAGTCCTTCAGCGGGTCTATGTTGCTCTCGATCAGCGGCTCTATCCCGCTGGAAAGCATTTGGTGTGTGTCTTCAAAGTCCTCATACGCCTTCTCGGACGCGTACACGTTCTGTATGACCGGGCCCGGCACATAGTTCTCCTGCAGGAGCTCAGGAAAGTCTATCCGTATCTTTTTCAGCGCATTTTCAAGCCTTCTCAGATCTTCAACCATTGCAAACAAAATATTCAAAATATTAAAGACTGAGCGCTAAATTAAACGGAAGTGCGCTGGAGCCCTTTCCTAGCACATGCAGCGCCAGCACAGAGCACAGCCAAGATGGGCGCATGCATTCGCGCCTTTTGCGCGGCACAGGTGCTAAAGCCTCAGGTCTCACATTCGCTTTCTTTGTTTTTTTCCTCTCTTTTTTGGTCGCTCTCCTTTTTTATTATCCGGTGGTAGCGAATCCGACACTGCCTATCGTTCCTGCCCTCAAGGCCTTTGGCAATCTTGCTCCATACGTGCTTCTCCGACTGGGCCACTGCCTGCAAAAGCCTTTCGTCCTCCTCTTTCGTCCACGGCTCGGTTTTTATGGACGGGTCTATGTAGTACACATACCTTTCCCTGCACTGGAACTGCGTTCGCTTGGACAGATACTTGCACACCTGCTTCCAGTTCCCCTTTCTGCACTTTTGCACTGCCTCCAGCAAAGCTGCATCCTCCTCGGCAGACCATTTGCCGTGCTTTATTTCTGGGTTCAAAACCCGCTTGTATCTGTACATGCACTGCTTTGGGGTTTTGTTTTTGAAGTAGGCTGCAATTTCCGTCCAGCTTTCCTTTCCCTCTTTCTGGACCAGCGACTTTAGAATCGCGTCTTCGTCCTTTGACCACAGAGAGGTGGGCCGCGACTTCTGCAGCTCCAGGTATCTCATGTACACCGAAATGGGCGCGCGCCGGACTGTTTTGCACACCTCAGACCAGTCTCCCTGGTGCTTCAGGACTTCGGCGTCCTCCTCCAAGCTGAAGCTGTCCTGCCGGTAGTGCGGGTTCTGCGGAAGGTGCCACAGGCTAATGCACTCAGAAACAGGCCTGTTTGTCTGGACGGAAATGCTCTTCCATGCTTTGCTGTCTATGCTGAGAAAAGACATCCCACGCGACGCCAGATATCCTTCTATCTGTGCGATCACCTCCCTTGAGGCAGGAGAAAGGACCTCTTCTACTGTGTCTTCAGCCGGCACGGAGTGATACTCGCTTTTTTTCAGCCCGATTGCTGCCCACGCCTTCTTTCTTCTTTTCTTCTTAAAATCCTTTAGCTGCCTGCGAAGGGACACCAGCTTCTCCAGCCTGTCTGCCAGGCACAAGTACTCGACGTGCAGCTGCTTTTGCAGGCTCTTGTTCATGTCCAAAAGGCTGCATTCTTCTGAAGCTGGGCGTGCATCATCCGAAAAACTTAGCAATAAATCTTCGTCCATAGAAAAATTTTATCATGAGCATAAAGAGAGGCATAGACGGTTTTATTGCCCAACTGGCAGGAGCTTCTGGGAGGCACGGCTTGCGCAGGGGAGCTTCTGATGTGATGCAGGCCGCGCTTCTTGGCAGTGAAATGTTTCGAGGATACGCCGAAAAAGTCCTGGGGATCGACCTAGGAACAACGAACTCGTGCGCAGCCGTGCTGAGGGACGGAAAGGCAGAGATAGTACACAACATGCTCGGGAAGAGAACCACGCCCTCGGTGGTTTCCTTTTCAGGCGGGCGCGCAAGCGTGGGGGAAAGCGCCCGAAGGGAGCTGGCCGCAAGCCCACAGTCGGTGATAAGCTCTTCCAAGCGCCTCATGGGCAGGAAGTACACCGACCCCGAAACCATCGAGCACATAAGCACCGTGCCCTACAAAATTGTGCCGCACACAAACGGAGACGCGTGGATCGAGGTGGAGGGAAGAAAGTACTCTCCCCAGGAGGTTGGGTCTGAGATTCTCAAGTATCTAAAAAGCTCGGTTGAGCATGTTTTGAAAGAGCAAATAAAGAAAGCTGTCATAACAGTTCCCGCGTATTTCACAGACGCGCAAAGAAAGGCCACAAAGATAGCGGGAGAAATTGCGGGGCTTGAGGTTATGCGGGTGATCAACGAGCCCACCGCAGCAGCTCTTTCGTACGGGATAGACACGAGCAAGGACGGGACTGTGGCGGTTTACGATCTGGGCGGCGGGACTTTTGACGTGTCCATACTGGAGATCAAGGACGGAATATTTGGCGTGAAGGCGACAAACGGAAACAGCCATCTGGGAGGGGAGGACTTTGACGCTGCGCTGTCAAACCATCTGATAGAAAAAATAGAGAGCCGGCATGGCGTGCAGGTCAGGTCTATGCCAGAGCTGCTGCAGGAGGTGCGGGCGGCTGCAGAAAGAATAAAGTGTGCGCTATCTGAAAAGGAAACCGCAGAAGCCCGGTTTTCGCACCTGCCCGCAACAAGGCCGGGGGCAACGTCTGAAGACGCTGTGTTCCAAGTTACCCGGGCAGAGTTTGAAGAGATAATTGCTCCGCTGATTGAAAAAACGCTGGGGCCGTGCAAAGAAGCCATGCTGGACGCAGACATAAAAAAGGGCGGCATAGACAGCGTGGTGGTGGTTGGAGGCATGACCCGAATCCCTGCCATCCGAAGAGCTGTTGAGCGCGTGTTTGGCAAAAAGATAACGCTGGGGGTCAACCCGGACGAAGCCGTTGCAGCAGGAGCTGCAGTCCAAGGGGGGATACTTGTTGGCGAAATGAAAGACTATTTACTAATTGATGTGGCCCCGCTCAGCCTGGGCATAGAGACACTTGGAGGCATATTCAGCAAGATCGTGGAAAAGAACACCTCAATCCCGATCAAGAAAACACAGACCTTTACGACGTCCGAGGACGGACAGACCTCTGTAACAGTGAAGGTGTATGAGGGGGAGCGCCCTCTTGTCGCACACAACAAGTATCTTGGCGAGCTGGTTCTGTCAGGGATCCCCCCGCTGCCCAAGGGCGTGCCCAAAATAGAAATAACGTTTGAGGCGGACGCAAATGGCATTTTCACGGTCACTGCGCGGGACAAGGAGACACACGCAGCCTGCAACGTGAAGATAGAGCCGTCCGGGGGGCTGTCCCGGGAGGAGATAGACGCCTTGGTGAAGGAGGCAGCAGACGCCAGGCTGGAGGACGAAAAAACAAAGCTTCTAATAGAAACAAAACAAAAGGTTTCTGATTACATTAAACAGCACAGAGAGATAAGAGATAAATTAAAGGGAGAAATCTCAGAAAGCTCGCTGAGCCGTCTGGACGAAAAAATTGCCGACCTAACTCTATACATGGAAAAAAGTTACGCAAACAAAAATGAAATAGAGAACAGGCTTTCCGATCTGAGAAAGGAGGCAGGGCATGTGTGGAGAGAGCATAAATAAATATAAAGAAAATTAAAAACAAAAAAATGCCAGACACAAAAGACACTCTAGGCCTCAAGGAAATAATTTCCAGCACGCCAGAAAATAAGAAATGCATAGACTGCGGGATGGCCAGGCCCCAGTGGGCCTCTACAACCTACGGCGTGTTTCTCTGTCTGAACTGCGCAGGAAGCCATCGTTCGTACGGCGTGAAAGTGAGCATGGTGAAAAGCATGAGCATGGACGTGTGGAGCTCGGCGGAGAAGAAAAAGATGGAGGTTGGGGGAAACGCCCGTTTTTTAGAGCACATTAGGAAGCACGGGCTCGAAAGCCTGCCCAAAGGCGAGCTGTACGGAAACAGCGCGGTGCAAGAGTACGGAAAGGCTCTCAAAGAAAAAGTCGACGCAATATTCCCGGAGAGCAGGGCCGCAAAGAGCTCGCACGCGCCCAGAGAGAGGAGAAAGGTGCATAGCACGCCGTCGCCCCTGGAAGTGGACGTTAAAAAAGCAACAGAAAAAGAGACTTTTGACACAGGCAGCTATGTAAACATGTACAACCAAGCTGCGTCTTCTGTGAGGCCCACGCTGGAAAGCATCCAATCAGGACTAACAGAGGCCTTTGGAAAGGCAGCCGGATACTTCTACTCTGCCTCTAGCACGATTTCAGAGCAGATTTCCGAAAAAGTGCTGGCTCCTGCGTCTGCAGCTATCAAAGAGCGAGGGCTCCAGCTGTCCGAGTATGTGAAGGGGAAAGACACCAACCGGCGAGCAGCCTCAAAGGGCGCAGAAAAGGAAGCTAGGCAGAAAAAGCCCGCTGACGCCCCGCTAGCCGGGAAGCCAAAGGCTTCTTTTGACAAATGGGATTAGATTCAATAAATAGTTGCCATGCGAGATACACATCATTCAACGACTATTGCGCCCTGCAAGCTCAGTGTGGACTTGCTTCTTCTGCGGGCTCTCTTTAGGCACACGCAGCCTAGCGCATGTAGAATAAAAGGCCGGGCCTTCCTAAACAAGCATTTTCTGGGCCACGCTTTAAAGGCGCCGCTTTCTTGCTTTTTCAGTTTGCAACGTCCCGCGCACTCTTTGTGCAGTTTTCTGGCTTCCGCCCAGGCAGCTGTATCTAAAAAGCGCGTCCGGGGTTGCTGCCTGTGTTTTTAGCGCGCACTTTTCTTGCAGCCGAGCACGCCATAAAAATGCTTAGTATAATTTTTTTGATCCTTTTCCCATTTCAAAACAATAGCCATCTTTATCGACAAACTAGGAATATAATTTGCGGATTTTTTTTAACTCCGAATGGGTAGTGAAACTGGTTCTGCCAAGAAAAAGATAAGCATGCTCCTCACTACCAAAAACATACAAGAAATAAAGGACTACCATATGCGAGGTACTTTTCCAGTTTTCGGTACACGATTCCAAAAGCGAGATTTCAAGAAGAAGGCCAAGATGTTTGTTACTACTAGCAAGGGAGTGCTTATGCGGGAAGTAAACGGTGGGCTTTTGGCCGCGGTGGGAGACGATGACAAGGCATGCATAAGAAACATATGCATGTATGCGCACGACTTCCACAGCCACTCCAAGGTGGGAAGCAGCTGGAAAAGAATCCGCGCGCACTGGATGGGCTTTAAAAAACAGCACCTGCTGGACTGGGTTTCCAAGTGCGCATACTGTATTTCAAAAAGCCAAAGCCCGGAGAAAAAGGCCGAGTTCAAGCATAAGATTCCCGTAATCAAGCCGGTAAGCGCCAGCTTTTCCATGGAGCGGCTCCAAATTGACTGCATTTCTATGGCAGAGTACGCCGAACACAACGACGGCTTTATGTACGCCATGCACGTCATGGACGTATACTCCCGATACCACTTTGCATATCCGCTTCGCGACAAAAGCGCGCGCGAGATAGTCGCATGTCTGGGCCTACTGTTTGAGAAGGTGGGGTGGCCATACATAGTTCAGACAGAGCTGGAGCCGATGTATTTCTCCTCCGAGATGGCCGATCTTCTTGTTTCCAATAAAGTTCTCCATGTCTACCCAAACGAAGAGTGTGCGCCATCAATGAAAATAATTACAAAAACGCGGATGGCGTTTAAGAAAAAGCTCACGGGGCTGATGGACGGGCAAAAAACAGAGGGGCGCTGGATTGAGGTCTTGGGCGAGATGATCGCAGCGTGGAACTCCGAGTTTCTGCTCAGCACCATGACCCGCCCGAGCAGGCTGTTTCGAGTAGGGCCTCCTGACCTAGAGCAATACATGCAGCCGCCCGAGCACAGCGAAAGGCATATATAGGCCTGTCTACGTGCTGTTGAAAGCTGATTAATAAATATGAGTTTTCTTAATTTTATGTGCGGCGATTGCGTCTGCACATGGTGAGCCCGCTCACTGCAGGACACTTTGCAGCAGGCAAAATTGGGCCCTTCTCGCGCTGCTTGGGGCCTGTGCCATCCGCAGCCCCAAAGGCCAGAGAAGCATTCCAAGCTTTTTTCGGGCTTCTGCCCGAATTCTCCTATCCGCACCCAGGCTAAAAACTCCGGCTAAGCACTATGGGCTGGCTTTGAACCAGCAGGCTGCAAAGTGTGCGGGCGTTCCGCCTACTCTTTAGAGGGCCCTTGAGCGCCTCTTCATAGACACCAACGCAGAAGCTTGGATGCGAACAGAAGCCAGCCGGAAGCGCTCATATTAGCGCGCGCCGCTCAAATATTTTAGTAAATGGAAAACAAGAAGGCCGACCAGAGCCTAACCGTGCAGGAGAAAAAAACCATGGGGAGGGCCACCTGGCATTTGTTGCACACGATTGCAAAGTACTATCCAAGAAACCCAACCCCCCAGGAAAAGAAGGCTGCAAGCGGCCTAATTGAGTCCCTTTCTATTCTGTATCCCTGCCCGCCCTGTGCATCGTCGATTGCCCACTTTCACAGCAGCAAGCTTCTAAATGTTGAGAGCCAGCCCCTTTTTGCACTGTCACTGTGCGAGTTCCACAACTTTGTGAATCTTAAGATCGGAAAGCCGCTAGTTGACTGCCACAGCTACATAGAGAAGCGCGAGACTAAGGGCGGGCGCATCGCAGACAGAGTCACAGAGCTGAAAGCCTCCGTTGCGTCTGTCTGGAATCGGGTAAAGGCGCTATATAACGCGGCATAGATGGATTGCCCGCGCCTGCATCCACCGAGTTTTCCAGCATCAGTCCGACATGCATCTGCTGGCTGCATGCGGATCTGTCGTGTAGGCACAATAAAGACTCTGTAAATCTCTTTGCATTTTGGCATTTCTTTATGTAATATAAAACCTCTTCAATTGTGCATTCTGTACACAATTAAAATTGCATGCATAGAGTAAAAACGCGCAAATTAGGCAAAAAAGCAGACAGCCCAAACCGGCACATATAGCATTCTGGGAGGATACAGTGCGCAGGCTGTCTTACGCTGCACATTTTTAGAAAAATAGAGCACAGGTCTTTCGCACGCACGCACGGCACGCCTGGCCTGGTGGGCGCTTGCTTGTAGTCACACAAGTCAAAAAAATGCGCCTGCTTGGGGGCATAGTGATGCAGTGCGTGCAGGGCTGCTTGTTGGAAGAGTGGATGAAAACAGTTCATTTATGCTGAAGTTTATTGCAAGCCAGGGAGGAGTCACGCCGTTCTGTGGCACTGTGTTGGCTATTGCGAACTATGTGCCAAAGGGGCCCTAGCCGTCTTAAATTGAAATGGGCGCTGGGCAGCAGCCCGAAAAACAATGTCCGGGCGGGTACTTCTCAGGCTTCAAGCAGCGCCAGAAGTGCCCAGTTTTCTTCGCCGCGAAATATGCTGCAGTAAGCGGGGCGCCCAAAATTTTGCATAAGAAAAAGAGCGAAAGGAGGCAGCGGCAATTGAGCGGCGCCTCCAGAAGCAGTACGCCCAAGGGCTGCGGAGTTTATGTTCTCCACGTCACATCAACGGTGTCGGTCCTGTACTTCTGCGTTATATTGCACTCCTTGCCTTGGCACACGTATCCGCTGAGCAGCATTTTGTATGCAGTGTGCGCAATCATAAGCCCATTGTCAATGCAGTATCGCTCGTCTGCGCTGTATCCCTTCCCGCCTCTCTGCTTGGCCATGTCCGAGGCCATTTTCTGCAGCCTTTTGTTGCACCCTACCCCGCCAACCACAAGAACCTCGTTGGAGTCTGTGCATGTCATTGCTCGCTCCGTCACCTCGATGAGCATAGAAAAGCATGTTTCCTGCACAGAGTAGCAGATGTCGGCCTTGAGGCTCTCAGTCATGGCCTGGGTTTTCACGTAGTTCTCGACGTGGGAGAGGAGCCCCGAAAAGGAGACATCCATCCCCTTAACGGAGTACGGAAGTTTCAGATAGCGGATTCCATTCTTCGCGATCTGCTCTATGTTGTATCCCGGAGACGGGGTATTGGGAAGATCGAGCAGGCGCGCCAGCCTGTCCAGACAGTTTCCCACAGCGATGTCCAGGGTTTCTCCGTACACGACGTATCGGTTTTTGTAGTATGATATGACCTGCGTGTTCCCCCCGCTCACGTACAGAATGGTTGGGTTGTCAGACTTTGTGATAAACCGGCCCATTTCAATGTGTGCAACGCAGTGGTTTACTGGCACAACGGGGATGTTGTACTTCTCAGCAAGCACCTTCACAAAGATGGCAACACTCATCAGACACGGCGCAATCCCAGGGCCTGCAGTGTATGCCAGGAACTCTATGTCCTTTATTTTAATTTTTGCTGTTTCAAGCGCGCGCTTGAAAACCCCCATGATGTTCGCCTGGTGGTGCATTGCTGCGTCTGTAATTTTAAATCCTTCTCCCTGTGGCGGCGTGTATGTAGCCCGCTCGTTTGCCAGGATTTCCTCGCCTCGGACAATTCCAACACCGAGCTTGTTTGCGCTTCCTTCGAATCCTACAATGAGCATAAAAATCTTTATTGGTTTAGATTTGCATTTATTGACTTATTTTACATCAAAAGGCCCAACTACAGGAAAAATATGCTGGACATGCAGCCCATGAGAAGAATGGGAGACATTGCGCTATTCTTTCTGTCTGTTCCAGTTCTCTCCGACCTGTCGGAAGAGGACCCAGCGCCGGCTGCCCCTGCAGGCCCGTCCATGGAGACGCCGCTGAGGCAGTCTTCGATGTTCACAAAGCTGTATCCTGCGGCGCTACCCATGTCAACGACCTCCGGGACAATTCCCAGCTCAGACTCTCTTTGGTCGTGCTGGAGAACAATGTACGAAGAGGACTGCGGGCGCACAGACTTCAGCTTCAGCTTCCACCTGTTGAGCATGTCGTCCTGGTCGTCGTCACTTGAGCCGTACATGTCGTAGTTGTAGTTGATTAAAATTAGGTCCAGGTCTTCAATAACCTGCAGCACAGTCTGGTTCATAACGTCTGGCTGGTTGATGGATATGTACTTTGTTTTCTGCCCAGAGACCTCGTCAAGCACGTTCAGCTCGCCCACGATGGCCTCTCTGATCTCGGTCTCGTTCATTTCGCTGAAATCGTATATGGGGTTGGTTCGGAGCCCAACCGTGTGCCCCTCGTCCACAGCCTGCCTAATTACATTGGACACGCCAGGGTGGTCGATGTTCACGGTGGAGAACATAAAGGTTGCAGCAATGCCTTGGTCAGCCAGGGTCTGAACCAAGTCCGGGCTGGTTTCAACAGGCCCGTCGCTGAACACAAGGGCAATCTGGCCAGGCTTTGAGCACTGGCTGGGAGCGCGCAGACACTTTGCAAGCCCAAACAGCAGTGGTAATAGAGAAATCTTCATAGGGAGCAAAGCGCACAGGTATTAATACCCTGCAATTATGCCCGCACAAGCACTATTGGCAGACCTCTGGGTCCTGGCCGCCTAGAATGTTCGAATTTCATGCAATCGACAAACACGCTAAGATTAAATGAAAGCAATATGCACGTAGAAGCAATTAAGCACGCGCCCATGTGCTTTTAGTCAAAGAAAAGTGCCAAACATGCTTTATTTACGTGCAAGGTAAGGCGCAGCCGCAGCAGCCCGCAGCGCTAGTAGGGAAGGTCCATTGAGAAGGGGCGATCGCAGTCATTGATGCCGACCTTTCTGTCTTTTCTGTGCGGAAACCCGTCGGGCTTTTTAAGAAGGCTCTTTATTCCGCTGTCGTCCAGCAGCAGCCCCTCGTATGCGTATATTTTCTTTTCCACAGAGTGCAGCTCCGACTCCAGCTTCTTTTTTTTTGCTATGTAGCTTTCCAGGCGTCTGTGCAGATCGTCTGTAGTTTGGCTTGAGAGATTCTCGGACGCCATTCAAATTTTTTCATGCAAGTTCGGCATATGGCGTTTAGGGACATACACCATGTAAAGGAGTGCAACCGGAGAAACCTCCCGGAGAACTACCATCTGATTCTCCTTATGTACATGCTTGTGATGTACCCTGAGTCCTGCTTCGTGGCAGAAAACAACAGGGGAGAAATCATAGGGTATGCAATGTCCAAGCTCAAAGACAACATGGAAAGCGACGAAAAAACAGAGACGGACGCAAACTCCGGGTACGTGCTTTCGCTGGCTGTGGACAAAGCATACCGAAAGGTGGGCCTGGGAAGGATACTCCTGGCAGCCTCCTTGCACGGGGTCTGCAGAATGATGGGCTCTGAAAACGCGCCGTTCAAGGTGTATCTGAACGTGCGGCCGTCCAACCACTCAGCAATAAGCATGTACAGGAGCGTGTTTGGGTTTTTCGAGGAGAGCGAGGTGCCGAATTACTATTCGAACGGAGAAAGCTCGCTTCTTATGTGCAGAGTTTTTAATTCGCATGAAAGTAAGCGAGCTCCAGAAGGGGAACCAGCTAATAAAGTGCATTAGGAGAATAAACATTGAGTACCGGTACTCTGTATACGACTACGAGCCTGGTGAGCACTTTGGAGTCATCCACGTTTCCCTCATGCTGCACATGCACTCGCCGCAGTATGTGTTTGGGCGCATAGAAAAGATAAAGGCGTCGCAGAGCAAAAGGGTTCCCGTGGTGCTTCTTCTGATAAACGCAGACATATTCACAAAGTCGATTGCCGCAGCGTTCTCCAAGCTGCAGGTCGACTGCATGGCGCTCTCAGTGCAGATAATACCAGCGCACACGCCCATGGAGTGTGCCAGGTACATAGAAAACATGCACCTGCAGAAAAGCGACCCAGGGCATCTGAGAAACTACAAGGCGTCCCTGGAGAGGGCAAAGCGGCAGATCCCAGGGGGCGCCACAGAGCTGGAGGCGCGGAGGCACTTGTTTCTCACGGCCATACAGAAAGTAACAAAAACAGACGCGGTGCGGCTTCTTTCGTCTAAAACCATTCGGGAGATCTCCAACGACTCGGTGCAGTGTACAATAGAGGAAACAAAGAGCATAGGCAAGTCGAAGAAGAATTCGCTAAAAGAGTTTTTCATGCAGAAATTCAATTAGCTGCTCTTTTTTATTTTGATGGAGTGTGAGGGAAGAGCGCTCGAGCCAGAGCCCAAAATACCAAGAGCGTCGATAGACAAGATTATTTCAGAGACGCTGGAATCCCCGCTAATATGCAGCCGAGAAGTGAAGCAGGTCCTTCTGAACTGCTGCGCCGAGTTCGTGCACATAATTGCCACGGAGGCCAACGAGGTGTGCGAAAAAGAGCAGAAAAAAACGCTTACGCACGAGCACGTGTACCGAGCGCTTCGGCATCTTGGGTTTGAGGAGTACATTGACCAGTGCAACGAGTCATACAAAGATCACATAGAGCAGTCCAAGCTGCGCCCGTCAAGGCAGAACAAGCTGAAGGACTCGGGGCTGACCCAGGATGAGCTCGAAAGAGAGCAGGAAGAGCTATTTAGAAAGGCAAAAATGTACGCTCTGAATGAGGATAAAAAAGAGGACGCTTGAGAATAAACACATTTTTATTTAAATTTTTATGTCCCCTGCATGCATTCAGAAAAAGACTATGAAAAAGAGGTAGAGCAGACCAACGAGCAAGAGAAGCAGACGCTGAGAATCACCATGGTCAGCAGAAACAAGAATGAAATAGAGAGAGTTGCGAACAAAATATACCAGCTAGCAAAGGCAGAGGACCAGTCTAACAGGGGGCCAGTCGCGTTCAAGAACAACAAGCTGACCATTACAACCAGAAAGGCGCCTGGTGGCAACGGTACCAACACATACGACAAGTACAGCATGATTATTAGAAAGAAGTACATCGATGTAACATCCACATACGATGCGTTCAAGACCATCATATCGTCTGTGACCTGCCCAGAGGTGTTCCTTCAAGTAGTTATAAAGGGATAGGCATGAAATAAACAGTTGCTTAATTTAAGTGGGCGTGTCTGACTTGTGCAGGACGGGGCTTGTGCATAAATGTGTGCGCGGCGGGGTTTTTTGTGTTTATTCTTTCGCGCACGGCTTGCGCCGGTGCTTCTGTGCTTGGATAGGCTGCGCGTGGGCCTGCGTCTACTGCTCTGGGGCGTCTGGCTGCGAGCAGTCGATCGTTACAGCATGCAGGCCTTGCTCGAACTCGCCTTTTATTGCTTTGTTTATTTCTCTGATCGAGTCAATGGGCCTGGAGCCCTTAAAAGACTCGTCCCACACCTTTATGTCCAGGTGCGTCTCCTGCGGGTTGTCCAGAGAAAGGATTTCTTTGTGCCCAAGGTGCTCTTTTGTTTTGTCTGTGATGCGTATGCTCGCGTTTGGATACTTTTCCCGTATAAACTTCTCTATTCTTTCTATGCGAGGCATTTGGAAAATTTGAAGAAAATCGAACAAAACAATATCAAACTGAAGCTGCTTAATTCAAAACGATTTCAATTTTGTTGTGAGAAAAATGGAAAGAGAAAGCAGCGACAGCCATGCATGTATAGATAGAACAGGCGCCTGCATAGAGGTGCTTTTGGGGCTTATATCGCATTCCAGTATGGCCTTGAAGGAAGAGGCTGTGCAGATTGAAGAATCTATAATATCTCTGTATGGGGCGCAGGAGGTCGTGGACGAGGAAGGCTACGGCACAAAAGACATTCTGGACCGGATCCAAAGCGAAATAAAAAAGCTGGAAGAGTACCGGAGAGAGTTTTCGAACAGAGCTCCAAATGCGCAGCCCAGAAGCTCCAGAGAGCAGGAAAAGGCCCGAGAGGAGGAGGAAAGAATCAACGCAATTCGGGTGCAGGTAGTAAAGGACATGAACCGGGTGTTCACCGAAATAATCCAGTACATCGAGCGCGCGACAAAGATGAAGGCAGGCAGCCTTTTTGACGCAGACAGAGCAGAGAGAATCCGCAGCCTGCTGTCGGACCGGACGCTGCAGCATTTAGAGTCCATACAGAAGTTCCGGTACGTGGAGAAGATCGAGAGTTTTGGGCCCATGGAGGACGTGGCCATTTGGACGCACAGGAGGGTTACTGCGCCATACACTCTTTTCATGCAGTTCGCGTGTGTTTGCGTTCCCGGAGTGCTGATGCTGTTTGGCACGCAGCTCGGGATGCTGCACATAAAGGAGATATGCAGAAGGTGTGCGCTGCCCAAGGGCATCGGCATCGTGCTGGCTATCCCCGCGGCTCTCCTAAACTGGCTGTTTATACTGGGAGGCACCATCGTAACAAACCACGAATATGCCATAGCTTTCCCGCGGATGCGTGTTTGTCTGTTGCTGGAGTGGGAGCTTTGTATTTTCCTGCTGTCCATGATAGGGATCTATAAGATACTGGGGGTGTTCATAGGGCAATCCCCCGCAACATACAAGAGCCTCTACATTGTTATGCTCACACACGCATGCCTAAGCATAGCCCTTCTTGTGTGCGGGTTCATCTGCGGGCACAGCTTCTTCATAAATGCATGCACAGGCATAGGGAGGCTTCTGATGTGGGCATTCATGTATGCAGGCTCGTTGCACTTTTTCCTCTTCACGCACACGTGCATGCTGGCAAGCTCCCTTTGCAATGGAAAAGTGTCTCTGTCTTTCATTTCAAAAGTTCTAAGAAGTCTGAAGGACATCAAAACATGGCTGTACTAGCAGGCAAAAAGCAAGGGCAGGGCGGCGCCTTCAGAAAGCTGCTGCTGCTAGGCTTTCTGGGCGCGAGTTCGGAAAAGCGTGGATAACTAAGGCCTATTTATTACTAACCCTACACACATGCTCTAATTCAATGTAGGCATATGCAAAAATAAAGATGCTTCTACTTTGGCTCACTGCACAGGTGCATTTACTTTCTCAAACACGCCAAAAGGAAAGCCGTGAAGCAGGGCCTGGGCATTCCCGGCTTGGACAGGAACTCAGGGTGGAACTGCACGCCCATATAGAACGGGTGCTCTGGCATCTCTAAGGCATCGATGTAGTTTTTGTGTCTAGCGCCAACCTTGAGCCCGTTCTTCTCAAACTCTGAAACATATTTAGTGTTCACGCCGTATCTGTGCCTAAACCTTTCGGATATAATAGATCCTTCTATGCTTCCATACAGCTCTGCCGTGCGCGTTCCAGAAATGGTGGCGGTCTCGTGCCTCCCTATTCGGATTTTTCCAGGGTGCTTGGAAATAATCAGTGAGTATGCAGACTTGTCAGAGGGGCAGTTTTCGTCGTTTATCTTGTCGTCGATGATCGTGTGAATGTCTTCTTCGGTCACAAGCTCCTCGCTTGTTGCGTTTTGTATGTTCAGGATGTTTCGTGCATACTCTATGGCAATGATCTGCATTCCGAGGCATATGCCCAGGAGCGGAATCTGGTTGTTTCTTGCGTACTCAGCAACCAAAATCATCTCCTCAACTCCTCTGCGCCCAAACCCGCCTGGAATGACTATCCCGTCAAACGCCTTGAGGATCTCCAAGGACTGCGCGCCCTTGAAAGAAGACGTGTCAAAGTATGTGGTTTTCACGTCTGCGTCGATTTCGTCCGCGGCCCCCGCAATCTTGAGCGACTCCTTAATAGACAGATACGCGTCTTCGTGGTTGCTGTACTTCCCAACAATCGCGACCTTGCAGGTGTTCGCCTTGGCAGCAACTATCTTCAGCAAGTGCGCGTCGTCTTTCTGCACGTTTTCGATGATGGGCAGATTGAGCCGCCGGTTCAGATACTCCAGGACGCCGGTGTCTCCAGCCAGCTGCGCAGGAACGTCCAGCACGTTGCAGTTTGGCATCTCCACCACCTTCTCTGCGCCAGTAAACAAAATTATTTTGTCCATTGGGTCTTTTTCTATTTTTGACTTGGATCGGCACACAACCATGTCGTATGGAATCCCAAGCTCGCGCGCCCTCTTGGCAGAGGCCTGGATTGGCTTTGTCTTGTGCTCCCCGTTGATTTCCAGCGAGTAGTCCACGCCAACCACCAAAAACTTTTCGCGGCCCTCCTCAACATGCATCTGCCGAAGCGCCTCTATAAACGTTATGGACTCAATGTCTCCAACAACCCCGCCCAGCTCTATGATGCATATGTTTGGAGGCGTTGTGTGGTTCTCCACCGGAAGAAAAGCAGCGTTTCGAATGCTGTTTTTTATGTGGTCTGTGACATGCGGAACAACCTGCACGGTTTTTCCCAGATACTCGCCCTCTCTTTCTCGCTTGATTACCTCGCTGTACATACGTCCGCTTGTGATGCTGTTGAACTTTGTCAGATTAGACCCCAAAAACCTTTCGTAGTTGCCCAAATCCAAGTCTGTTTCTGTGCCGTCGTCCAGAACAAAAACTTCTCCATGATCTCTTGGGCCCAAAGTGCCTGCATTGAAATTCAAGTACGGGTCTATCTTGACGATTGTCACGTGATGCCCTTCATTCTTTAGCATATGCCCTATGCTGCTTGATATAACGCCTTTTCCCACTCCGGAAATAACTCCTCCGCAAACTAATATGTACTTCATAAAGTTAAAAAATTTATTCTTTTTATAGATTTCTCTCGATCCCTTGCGTTATTGTTTTCTTTCTTTTTCACCAAACAATTGCCTCTTTATTTAGAGATATTAAATACTCATTCGCGCGTTTGAAGTGCCCACTCCCTATAAAGCCCCTGTGGGCGCTGAAGGGGCTTGGGTGCGTTGTGCACAAAACAAGATGCTTTTTGCTATCAATCAGCCCTTTCTTGCTCTGTGCGTCGTTCCCCCAGAGCATAAAAACAGTGCCCGACGACTTTTCGCTTACCATCCGGATTATTTCGTCTGTGAACTCCGTCCACCCTATTTTAGAGTGCGACCGGGGCTTTTTCTGCGTCACCGTGAGTATGCTGTTCAGAAGAAGAACCCCTTGCTTCGCCCAGGACGTGAGCGACCCGCCTACGCACGCGGACTTTGCGCCGGTGCTGCTGAGTATTTCCTTCCGTATGTTCATCAGGCTGGGTGGGGCGCGCACGCCTACGGGAACCGAAAAAGACAGGCCCACTGCCTGGTCCACCCCGTGGTACGGGTCCTGCCCGAGTATAACCACCTTTGTGTCTGCGCACTCGAAAAAAGAAAGACACCGCAGCACGTGCTTTGGCTGCGGGAAGAACTGCACGCCGTGCAGATATTCCAGAATTCTCCTAAAGTACTCCTTTTCAAACTCTTTTTCCAGCAGGGCCCTCCACCCGGGAAGAACGCCTGCGTGCATTACGCATATTTCGCACTTGCATTCAAATTCCATTGAATTTTAATTTTAAGTTGTTTATGGAGACTAACGAGCTAGGAAGCATAGGAGCAGACGGCTCAACGCCAATAAGAAAAATACTGAGAGAAAATAAATCCGAGGAGTGGACAGAGGTGCTGGAGGGGCACGGAGTGCACTGTGTCCGGGACCTGAGAAGAGTGAAGTATGCGGACCTTGTCCAGTTCGGGATAACAGAGTTCGAGCCCAGGAAGAAGATATTTGAGCTTATCAAGCAGCTCAACACCCAGTTTCCGCAGGAGCCTGGGTGGCGCGCGTCTATATACCAGAAGATGCAGATGCTTTCCCGGGGCAGTGTGGAGCACGCGGGGGCAGGCAATGTGCAGGCCCCCCAAAGCACGGGAGGCAAGGCCGGCGCCTGGGGAGAAGGCAGCCCATCTGGCCTGTTCTCGGAGCGCAGCCCAGATCCAGGCGAAAAGTCGGCGCTCTCGAGAGCGGGGGTGTTTTCCCCGATAAAAGGCGCGGAGGAGCATCCGGAGAGCGACCTTGGGCTGGCTGCCAGCCATCTGGAGGGCGACCGCAGCAGCCTGCAGATGGACAATGCGTCGCGCCTAGGCGCTGGAAGGAGGATTTCTGTGCTGAAGGAGGGGTACAGCCCAGGAAGCGTCTGGAAGAGAAAAAGAGAGATGATAGAAGAAATAATGAAGGAGGCAGAGGACAGCATTATCGAAGACGACTTGGAGATGGAAGAGCAGACGCATCTGTCAATAGCAGACCCGGACACCACCACAGAGTATCTGTCAATAGGCTCCGCGGAGGGAAAGGCAGACTTAAACAGCTGGTGCGAGCCCAAAGAAGAGGCAAGCAGCCTTCCGGAAAGCGGGAGAATATCGGTGGTCGTCAGAAAGAGGCCGATAAAGAAGGGCGGAAAGAGAGACACAGTGTCTATATTCGGGCCTGAGGTGGTTCTCACGGAAAGCCGGCTGAAAGTCGACTTGACCCCGTACATGGAGCCGCACCGATACACGTTTGACCGGGCGTATGGGGAGAACAATAGCACGGAAGACATATACCGGGAGTGTGTGCAGGGGCTGGTTGAGTATGCGCTGGGCGGCGGAAGTTCTACATGCATAGCCTACGGGCAGACGGGAAGCGGAAAAACATACACCATGCTGCACGAGCACACGGGGGTGATTGCGCTTGCGCTTAGGGACCTTCTGCGGCAGAGAATCCGCATTTCTTTCTACGAAATATACTCGAACAGCATATACGACCTGCTGGACGACAGAAAAAAGATATTTGCACGGGAAAAGGACGGGGTGGTTTCTATTGTAGGCATTAAAGAGTGCGTGGTCGGAAGCCTGGAGGAGGCGTCGGGGCTTATTAGGCAGGGGCTGCAGTGCCGAATGACGGGGAAAACCGGGGCCAACAGCAACTCGTCTAGGTCGCACGCGCTGGTCCGCGTGCGCACAGACACGGGAATATTCACGTTTGTGGACCTGGCGGGCAGCGAGAGGGGCACGGAAAGGGGGTCTGAGTGCCAGCAGTTGCTCATAAAAAGAGAAGGGGCAGAGATCAACAAGAGTCTTTTGGCGCTGAAGGAGTGCATCCGGGCCATGGACAAGTCGGCCACACACCTTCCTTTCCGGCACAGCAAGCTAACGCAGGTGCTGAAAGAGTCCTTGGTTGGCGAGTCCAAGTGTTGTATAATAGCCACAATATCCCCAGAAGAGGCTTCGACCGAGCACTCTCTAAACACGCTCAGGTATGCGTACCGAATAAGAGGGCTGGGCCTGAAGGGAGAGGGCGCTCCGCCAAGCAGCCGCCCAAAGAGCGCGCTGAAGGCGCCTGCAGGCCAGACAAGATCCGCGCCGCAGGCTGCGCAGGCATACGTTTCGGGCGCACCCCCGCCAGCCAGAAGCACAGTGCCTTCCACGCCTATAAAGGAGATGCGCGCTGCAGAGAGGCAGTCGCCTGCCAGGCAGAAGGGCCTGATTCAGCAGGCGTTGGCATCCGTTGCGAGCCGAATAGTGAGAGAGACCGACCCTGAGGTGCTAGAGGTGATGCGGGAGGCGCTGCTAGACATTGCCAAGTATCAGAAAACGCGGTAGGCACAGCCAACAAGAAAATAAATATTCATACGTCAGCCTGGCGCCATGGCGCAGAGCCAATTTTGAAGACAGCGCGCGCCAAGCTTATGTGAATCTTTAGCATTTTATTGTTTTTCATCGGCACATTTAAAAGCATGCCGCGCCAGAATGTTTTTCTTTCCAGCGCATGCTGATAGAACAGGAAGCGCGCTGCACGCGCACAAGACAGCAGCGCACAGCGCCCTGCACTTGGTTTGGGAAAGGCGCAGCTTTGGGCGCCTCGGCTGGCTTTAATAGAGGCCCAGCTCTGTTTTCACGGCGCCAGACGACGCCCGCCCCGACTCAGACGCAATTTTGTTTGCGCGCGCGTTGCACATGCTGTAGAACTCCTCCATAAGGCCTGTCTGCAAAACCTCCTTCAGGGTGATTTCCTTGCTTTCCGCAGGCTTGTTTGAGTGCCAGTGCGACTTTGGATTTGTACCCAGCGAGACCCAGTGGCTAGACTCGACTGCCTGCTGCAGGTCCAGAAGAGCAACATACCTGCTCTGGTCAACCACCTTGTGCGAGTACATGTATCCGTTCTTTGTGTAAAGGACCGTCCGCACAATGCCGTTGGCCTCCACTTTAATGGACCCGGAGATTTCGTCTGGCAGCTTGCACTCGCCCCGGGATATGAGGCGGGTTCCCCCCTGCGAGAGAATGTGCTGTGGCGCATACGTGTGTATGGACACGGTCCTGGCAGAGTCGTACGAAATAAGGCTCAGAGACGTCCCGTACCGCGTCATGCCAATGCCCTTCAGAAGATACGGGGTTCCGCTGCTCTGCGACAGCATGTGGAGAAGCGGCGGCTCGCTCTGGTAAAAAAGAAGAAACGTGCCCTTGTACGCGTCTCCGCAGACAATGATGTTCCGCATGACCATGCACGACGTGAGAAACACGTGGATGTCGTGGAAGGCCACTGCCATGAGCCCTTCGTTCCGGTCAAATTTGTATATCATGAGCTTGGTCCCCACGCAAACCACAATGTTGCCCTTTATAATGTCGCACGCGGTTGTCGCGCCCTTGGTCTTCTCGGCGGCGAGCGCCTTCAGCTTGTGCCGGGTTTCCCGCCGCTCTCTTTTTGGAACCACAGAGGCTATTTCCAGAACAATCAGCCGCCCCCTCGCCATGAGGTCCTCGTCTGTTATGTATGTTGTGCACACAATCACAAACTCGGAGTGGCCTTCTGTGTTCTGCTGGTCTGGAAGGCTCGCAATCATGTGGTATGCCACATACTCGTTGTCCTCCAGGACATACTCGTCCACAGCGGTAAGCACGGAGTCGCTGCGGCTGTACTGCCGTATTTCCTCGAGGGAGTATATCTTTAGAGAGTACGCGCGGGTCAGCGGGTTTACGCTCGAGTCCGGCATAGACGGCAGCGGAACAGGCTCTGCGTCCAGCTCCGTGGTTGCCTGCACGGTGAAGGGAATCATGCTCTGGGTGTACTCTTTTTCCGTGTAGACAGAGGCCACCGCAACCTTTTTCGCGCTTGAGTATGCAACCTTCTGGCATATGCTGTCCACCCATGTTTTTTTGTACAGAATGGACTTGTCGCACTCGTAGTCTGGCATGGTGCCTATGGCTATGTTTCCCTTTGCCATGATGATAAAGCTTCTGGGCCCCGGGCGCCCTGCAGATATTTCGCCTATCGACTCTATGGGCATTCGGGCCCAGTGCAGGCTTAGCGAGTACTGCGAAAAGACCAGCACCCTCGTCCGGTAGTGCCCGGGTATGAAGACCAGGTCTCCGCACACCTTAAGCCTGTTCAGCTTTCGGTTTGCCTTGTCTGCGCTCTCGTAGTAGAATGCGTTGTTGCTGGCCGTTTCCTTGAAGAAGACCTCGCCCCTTTTCTTGTATATCGCAATTTCGTTGTTGATGGTGCGTGCCACCAGGTACAGCACAGACATGTGCTCAACAGCCGCGATCTCGAATATGGCCAGGCGGTGCTTGGCATTTACACTTAGGTCCGCCTGCTCCAAAACAGAAGGAAACACCGAAAACAGGCTGTATTCCCTCTCAACTCTGCGCTCTGGGATCGAATACTCCACCAGGCTACCGTCTCCAGTGGCTACAAAAAGCGTGTCTCCGTGCAGGGCCATGCACGCCACTGCCTTTTCAATGTGCACCTTCAGCCTTTTCGCGCCTTTATACTGGTAGATGCCCCCCTCCGCGCCGAGCACAAACACCACGTCCTCTATGTTTATTGCAGCCTTCGCCTGCTCGGGAAGCACAGCTTTTTTCTTCTTTTTGAAGCTCTTTGTTAGATGCACAATTTCCGTGGTGCTCACCTGGAGATACCCAAACGACGTGGGCTCAAACAGTATCGTCTTGCTCGCAGATATCTCCGACTCCACCAGATCAAGGTCCCCGGCCCACTGCACAACTTCGCTCTCACCCTCCTTGGTCATAAGATACATGTTTTCCTGGGCGTCGACCACAAACAGATCGGAGTATCCCCGAATCTTTGCAGTCTGCGTGTACAGCAGGTCTATTCCCTCGCGCATTTCGACAAGCAAGGGCCGTCCCGGAGAGCCTGCAGCCACCAGGTACCGGCACTGCTTGTCAACCAGAGAAATCGGCTCTATGGACATCACCTCGCCCAGCGACGGAATGGCCTGCGAAATAACGACCCTGCTGGTGACTGTCTCTTTGCTGACCGGCTCGCTCTTTTTTTCAAACTCGCCGGCCATTTTAAACATTTTTTCGTACTCTCTCTCGTAGGACTTCTCCTCGGGCCCGCTGCCTCCCGCCTCAAGCCCCGGGCTAAGCTCGGCAGCGCTGGAGGTGCCCTCGCGGGCTCTTCGCGCGGACTTCGTGATGTACTTGGTCTGCACACGCCCGTCCGATGCAGCGGGCGCATTTTCGTCCAGCCCAAAGCTGTCCTGCAGAAACATGCTCGCATACTCTTCTGTAACCACGTCTGCAGGCTGCTGCTCAACCTTCTCTGTTATGATTTCCGCCTCAAACGTGACAAGAAACATGCCTTCCGCCGTGGAGACACACCCGTAGTTCTGGTGCACCGCCGTGGAGTATGGCCTGTTGTAGCAGATGCCCAGCTCGATCTTTGTCGGAATCACGTTGTGTATCCGGGAGTTTCCCCCCAGAATCGTGAACCTTAGAAAGATGTTCTCCGAGAAAACAAAAATGTCCTTCTCCTTCACCAGGCACTTCCCGCTCTCCATCATAAACTTTCGGCCCTCCAGGAGCCTCTCCTGTATCCCAAGCGTCTCAAAAGACCAGAAGTCGTTGAACCGCACCCCAAGCATCTCCCACTGGCTGTAGAAAAGCGCCCCGCACGCGCCAAGCACCATAAAGGCCTTGTCGGGCGTGGGCACAAGCATGTAGCACCCGTGGGGCACCGACGTCACCTCAAAGAAGAACGCCAGCTCCCGCTCCTGGTTCAGCACATACACCAGAATCCGAGACCGCTCCGCAACTGTGTCCTCAAAGAGAAAGCACAGCGTGGGCGAGGAATAACCCTTGAGAAAAACCACGTCCTTTATTGCGCAGTGCCTTGGCCGGACCTTCTGCATTTCGAAAACCTTGCTTTCTCCGACGGAGCTCGAGGAAAAAATTGCAAAGTGCGTGTTGGAAATCTGCAGGTACGAAAACTCGTGCTCCTCGTCCACCCGGATGAACGAGTTGTTTTTCTCCGGCCCGGTCACAAACCCATACTGCTGCTTCTCGTAGAACCGCAGCGCCTTGCACACAAACTCGTTCTGCTCCTCCCGAAACACAACAGACGACACGCGCGCGTGCTCAAAGTGCACCAAAAGAGAGTCCGGCTCTTCGCACGTAGAGGGCACAGACACAACCCCCAGAATGTTTCCAAAAACTCTTTTTTCTTTTATCTTCACCAAAACGCCGTTCTGAACCCTGTACAGCACAATTCTGTCACACCCTGCCGAAAAAAGACACACCTCCCCCTTAACAAACTCGCCCATTGCCAAGTGCTGGTTCGCACTTCCGAAATACCTCTCCTGCAAAAGATGGCCCATCCAAAATAAATTTATTTAAAATATATACCTCTCCGCGATGCACCCATACAACCCCCACTTTTCTTTACTGCCGTGCGAGCTTGGCGCAGTTGGTAGCGCGTTAGTCTCATAATCTAAAGGTCATGGGTTCGAATCCCATAGTTCGCATTTTGTTTTTTCTCCGTGGATGCTTTTTGCCCGCAGCCTGCTTACATGGGCGCAGCCAGCCGGCCTGCAGCGCGTCGTGCAAGCACGCTGCCGGCGCCCCACTGCCCCTCCTTTGCTATGGCGTGCACGACCATCGAGACCCTGCCCACCACAAACAGCTTCAGAGAAAAAACGACCGCTGCAGCAACCCACCCAACCACGCCAAAGCTTCCTCCGCCCAGGTATACTGTGAAAAGCGAGAAAGCCAGAGCTGCTGCCGACAAAGCAACCCCAGACACGGTTAGCCCCTTTTTGCACACCATAAAGCAGAAAACGTACACGGCCAGAGGCAGCGCCTTGATGTACGTCGGAAGGGCGAGCACAAGCAGGGCGCACTGCACTCCGCGGAAAATCACGCCCAGCACGTACTCGTACCGCAAGACCTTCCTTGTGGTTTTTCGCAGGACGTACGACAGCGGGGCTATCGACAGATACTTCAGACTTTTCCCCAGCTCCAGTACTATGCGCAGAATCTCGATGCACGCATGCATGCAAGCCAAGACGGGCGCGCTAATGAGCCCGTCCAGATACAGCGCGAAGAAGACGACCGTGCTTAGGCCCAGCCCGGCCGTGCACGCATACGCCAGCACTTTTCTCTGCACTCCGTCCACTTTCAGCCTGCATGCGATGCCTGCAGCTATGCCGTACGTGACGCAGTGCGGGGCCAGCGTTGCTGTGTAGTAAGGAAGAACCCCCAGCCCCACCATAAGAGCGAGGTACGGGTAGAAGACTGTCGACAGAAGGGCGCACGCGCCCAGAAGAAGGCCGGCCACCAGCATCTGCTTGCAGAGGAAGGTTTCTATGTACGGGGCGTATCGGAGGTCCAGCAGAATGGGAAGTATGCTATCTCCGAACGCGTTGTACAGAAGCCTGTTCTTTTTGTTTGTGAGAATCGTGTATGCTTTGTTGACTTCCTCGAACTCCCCCTGCTTTACCTCGTAAATGTCTGGGTGTGTTCTTTTTGCTGCCTTCTTGTACGCCTCCCGCACCTGCTCGGTGCTGGCCGTTCTTGGTATTTTTAGGACTGTGTAGAGGCTTCCTTCGCTTGTTTGTGCTTCAGCTCTTAACATAAAAAAATCTATTGGAATCTCATATATCCAGCTTTAAATTGATTACGAAGTATTGACATGAGGTAAACAAAGGGCGCGCCCAGACGCCCGCTTTAGTGTTGGGCGCCCTGCGCTGTCGGGCGCCTGCCTTCTTCTTTTCTGCAAGAAAAGACAGCAGAAAGAGCCTTCGCGGTGTGCATCGAGGAAGCGCGCGACCAGGCATGCAGCAAGCTGGAGGGCCCAGAGGGCTGCGCAGCAGCAGTGTCCACGCCGTGTGCGCGTTTCTGGGGAGCCCACCAATCGCAGCTGCACATTAAACATTATGATTCTTCCAAATGCATGGGCATGCACTGCAGTCCAAACACAGACAAAACAAAACCCGCTTGCACTGTCATTCCGGGCCTGCACAAGCGGGAGCAAATACAGGCAGTCGTGGGCACAGCGCAGCCCACATGCATAGCAGAGGCCGTCTCTATGCTTTGCTGCAGGCCGGCTGGGCCTCTTCCTTTCTGCAGAACACACGCTATATATTGCCAATTTATTGTCTTTTTGTGTTGCTTCTGCGCGACATAAGACCCGCTGTTTCAGACTCTCATGCCAGGCAGGCCGACAGTTCAAGCCAGTCTCTTTCTTCTGGGCAGGCTAGACACACGCCGGGCTTTCATGGGAAAGCCTTAGCAGCATGATGTATCCTGTGTGCCCGCGGTTCAAGTCGTCGGGCTTTGTTCCGTAAACCTTTGCTGGCGCCGTCTGGATGGTGGCTGGCCGGTGCAGAATCTCAACGTTCTCCAGGAGCCTGTCTATGCGCATCGCTGGAATCTCCTGCACAGCCTGCATGATGCGCTGTATCTGCTCGATGCACGGGACAAAGCACACCACCACCCCTCCTGGGCGCACTGCGCAGGAGGCCGCCTTGAGAGCGCCTTCCGGCTCTGGCACGTCGAGCACCAGCCCGTCGGCAGGGCTTTCCTTCGCGTCTATCCTGCGCTGGAGATACTCCTGCACTGTGCCAAAGTGCGTTTTTACGTTGGAAAGGCCCGCCCTCTGCACGTCAGCCTCGGCAGCTGCAAACCGGCCCGCATTGCACTCCACAGTGTCGACACGCCCCTCGGAAAAGTACCTGCTCAGCACGTATGTCAGGCCAAGCGTGCCGGTGCCTGACTCTATGACCCGGGCCTTTCTGCAGAGCGCCATGTGGTAGAGTATAATTGACGCGTCGGCCCGGTATATGATCTGCGTTCTCTGAGACGTTGTTTTGATCCATCTGTTGCAGTCCATCTCCAGCAGGACCGGGGGCGCGCTGGCGCTGCCTTCTGTGGGCGCTTTCTCCGTGTATGCTCGCTTTAGCTTTTTGTTAAAGTACTCTGCATAGACGCGCATTTTTTTATGCAAGGAAACGAAAAGGAGAATATTCTTGGCGCATACTACAGAAGCGCGTTTCCCACCGCGCTCATTGCGAAGTGGCTGAGATACACACGCACCCGGGAGTTCTCGTTTACGCTGGCAAACGACATATACATCCGGTACATCACAATAAGCAGCGCGCGCGAGCTTGCCAACAAGCTGGTTGCGGATAGGCCGCAGAAAATAGACATTGGGGGTGTGTACGTGCACAGGCCTGCGTCTGTCACGGCAGAGAACCAGTGCGTCATAAAAGAGCTTGTTTTTGACATCGACCTGACGGACTACAAAAGGGCGTGCTGCACGGACAAAAACATGTGCAACACGTGCTTTCCCATAATCAAGTGTGCTGCCGAGATACTGGACATTGTGCTGCGGGAGGACTTTGGCTTCAAAAACATTCTTTTTGTGTACTCCGGCGGAAGGGGCGTGCACTGCTGGGTCAGCGACTCAACTGCGATGACGCTCACCGGGCGAGACAGGTCGAACATTGCCGAGTACTTCGCAGAGATGCCCAAAAGAAGCAACGAGGAAGTTGAAAAAATCCTCAGAAAATACCAGGCCAGCATGGGCATCGACGAGAAGGCGAGTCTGGGCAGCCTGTACGACCTGCTCTTTCCGAAGCTCGATGCAAATGTGACAAAGCAGATGAAGCATCTTCTAAAGTCCCCCTTCTGCATCCACCCAAGGACAGGGCGCGTGTGTGTTCCGCTAGACCTCGCGCGCATGGAGAGCCTGCAGCTGGAAGACATACCAACGCTGTCTAGCGTGCTGGAAAGCCCGGGCGTGCTTGCTGAGCACATAGAGTACTTTGAAAAGTTTATCCAGCTGCCTGCTGTGTGAGCGACAAGAGCAAGCGCGGCGCGGTCTGCAGCCAACAAACCGCTTAGGCCTCAGGGGTGTTGCGCGGGGTGTGCGGCTGCGTGAGAGCTGTGCCTTGGCCCCCGCGCATCTTTGCAGTGCCTTGCCAAAAACAATGTAATAACCAAAAACCTAGTACTTAATAAATTTTATTTTTAAGAATTGTAAAGATAATGGTTTTGTCTTCGGCTCAAAACGAGGGAAAAGATAATGCAAGTGCATCAGATGTGCTCCATCTAAACGAAATCAGAGAGGCCATGCAGAAGCAGGAAAAAGCGCGAAGCCAGCGCTGCGGGGTGTGCGGAAGCACAGAGCATGTGGCTGCCCAGTGCGCCCGAGCAAAAAAGCAAGAGGAGGAGAGCGTGGACAGGGAAAACGGCAGCCAAAGAAGCCCGAGCATTGACATCGACATGCGCATAGGAAGCATCAGCACGCAGTGCAAGCTGGTTTCCAGCTCAGACCTCAACACAATGAGCTGGAAGCTATACACGGAGCTTACGCGCACAGATAGCATCATCCGGGACGTGCCAACCCTCCGCAAGATCCGGCTTCCGATGCAGGCGGGAAGAGACTGCTCGTGCCGGGAGATTCTGGTTCAAGTGGCATGCAAGGGCAAGGAGATAGGGACGCATCTGTTCTATGTGATGCCCCCCAGCAGCACGCAGTACACAACCCTGAACGGAAACCTGTTTGGCCTGCTGGCGTCGCTGCAGCTGCTGGACGCGCAGGAGTGCAGCAGCGCCCGCTTTTGCGGGGTCCGGCAAATTTCCAGCACAGGCTCTGGGTACACCGCAGCATACCATGCGTCTTTTGTTGAGAGCGTCGCCAAGCAAAGCGAGGGAGGCGGCATGAAAGACAAGAAGAAGTGCACGTACCTTTCGCAGGACACGATCTACAGCATTCTGCAGGAGGTCGACCAGACCAAGAAAACAGGCGAAATCTTGCCCGTCCACATCAGCACAAAGCCCGGCGAAATTGCGCACGAGTTCAAGCCGGTTTCCAAGCCCAAGGAAAAAATTGCGAAGGAAAAGGTGCAGGAAATGCTCCAGGAGGGGCTTATCGAGGAGTGCAGGTCGTGCAAGTGGCTGTCCCCCGTCCACATCGCAAAAAAAGACGACGGGGAGTGGCTGTTCTGCTTGAACATGCGCGCGCTCAACGCGCTGACGGTGAAGGAGCCGCACACCATCCCCAAGGTGTCTACGATCATCGACGACCTGCACGGAATGAAGTACCTCTCCAAAATAAAGCTGAAGAACAGCTGCTTTATGGTGCCGCTGAAGAAGGAGTCCATGCACAAAACCACGTTCAAGCTTGGGAAGTCCTTCTACCGGTTCAAAGTTCTCCCGCTGGGGTACAAGAACACGTCAAAAATATCGCAGCGCGTGGTTGAAAGCATTTTGGTCGACTTTGTGGGGAGGTTCTGCCGGGTGTACATGGACGACATCCTTGTCTACTCCACCGACCTGGCCTCCCACGAGAAGCATCTCAAAGAGGTTTTGAAAAAGTTCAAGCAGTACGGCATGGATATATTCTGGGAGAAGTGCGAGCTTGCAAAAACAGAAATGAATTTTCTGGGGTACCACATCGAGCACAACACGGTGGGGCCGCTCGAGTCTAGAGTCCACTCGATCAGCGAGTTTCCCGTGCCCAGAAACAAAAAGCAGCTTAGAAGGTTTATGGGGCTGCTCGGATACGACCGGAGGTTTTTGTACAACATTTCAGAAACCCTGCTTCCTCTGAGCATGCTGGCCAAAAAGAGCATTCCGTGGTGCTGGAAGGACCTGCAGAGCAGCGCCTTTGAGGAGGCAAAGCGGAAACTCATGAACACGCCCGGCCTGGCCGCCATAAACATCAACAAAAACTTCACGCTGGAGGTTGACGCAAACTATGCAACTATTTGCGCTGTGTTGGTCCAGGAAAACCGGGCGGTTGGGTACTACTCGAAGATTTTGACAGACGTGCAGAAGAGGTACGCCGACGCCGAGAAAAAGATTCTTTCCATTGTTTGGGGCTGCAGCAAGTGTGCGCGGTACCTCTACGAAAGAGAGTTCTACCTGCAGGCCGACCACCAAGTCCTTGCCTACTACCAGAAAAACCCCGAGGATGCAAGCGCGCGCATGAAAAAGTGGATTGACACGCTGAAGCAGCACAGGTTCTTCCCGAAGTACAAGCAGAAAAAATAGGCTTTCTGCTGCCAAGCGCCAGCTCTCAGGGGCCAGCCGCGGGCTCTGGAGGCTAGAGTGCGCGCCAGCAAAGTCTTTCATTGGCGCAAAAAGCCTTTGCGCGCCCGCATGTGCAGGAGCGCCTTTCGCCGGGCATAGCAGCGTTTGAATGGCTTGGCGGGCTGGGCCTGGCTATTCTTTTGCAGAGAACGGACTTGCGGATTTGGCGTTTTTCTATGCAGTTGCATCTGAAAATAAACACTGCTGCGCATTTTACACGCTTTCGCCTGTACTTCAACTTGATTTTGAAAAGCTCCGGCTCTGATCTTTTCTTTTTCCAAGCTGGCATGTCACATAAAGCGCGACACTGCGTCCAGAGGACCGCAGGCTTTGCGCGATGCCGCCGGCTCGCCAGAAGGTGCGCGCCTTGCGCCCAGGGTGCTTGGGCGCTGCTAGAAAACAGCACGCGCTGAGGCGCTCTGCCCGTGCAGGTGCTGATTTTTAGTCTTGCCTAGAATCAATTCATGCAGGCACAGGACGCTTCCAAAAAGAATCTTGCGCGATCAGAAAAAAGAATGGTTTTCTGCGCAGGCGTGGAGCCCATTTGGGCTCCGCTGGATGGGTGCTCCACAATGCACGGCGCATGCCTTTCTCGCGCTGAAAAGTTTTTAAGTCTGTGCAGAAATTTTACAGTTTATGGAGAAGGAGTTTCGGATCGCCAACTACGGGGTAAAACCTCCGAAAACACGAAGCGTAATAGAATTAGAAAGAAACATTCCAGACTGCCAGGCAGTGCTGCTAACAGACCCGAGCACAGCCGTGTACTCAAAGGGCGGCGTGCTCTACAAAAAAGCCATAGAGGGAGAAACCGGAAAAGTCTTCTGCAGGTCGTCTGGCAAGAGCGCCAAAATAGCGGTGTGCGACTCGGTCGTCGCGCTGTTCAACAGTGAGGGGAGAATACGCTTTTCAGACTATGCCGGAAACGGGCTGTCCAGCATAGACACGGGGAGCCGCCCTTTGCGCGCTCTTGCGTTTTTGTCCAAAGACGTGATTTGCACGGGAGGTGAGGCGTGCAGGCTTATGGTGTACTCGATATACGACGCCAAGCGGCTGGCAGAGCTGTCTTTTTCAGAGTACATCGACAGCATCACGGCGAATGGAACACACTTGGCCGTGTCTCTGTCAAGCGGAGAAATACACATATACGCGTACGCGCTCCACGAGACCGGCACGCCCGGGCAGGAGGGGCAAAAAAAGCTGCAGATGTCGCTCGAGGAGGTCTCTGCCTCGCACGTGGAAAACCCGTGTCTGCTGCAGTTCATAGACCGCGACCAGCTGTTCATAGGGCTGTCCACCGGAATGGGATACGTGTACAGCATGGAAAAGGCTGCCATAAGCACATACTGCTCCATGCACTCGAAGGGGTTCACAAAGGCAGAGGTGCACGGGGACTTTCTGATCACGTCGTCGCTGGACGGAAGGCTCAGGGTGTCCACGCTGTCTCTGAAAGAGGTGTCCTCGCTGTATGCGGGGGCCGCTGTTCTGGGGTTCAACGCGCTGTTCTGCAGAAGCGAGGGCAGGAAAGACACAACTGGGGTGCAGTACATAGTCGCCACTGCAACAGGAAATGTCATTGTGTACAGAGACAGGTGGACGCCAGAGCCGCAGAAGGAGGCTCCGGTTATAAGAAAGTCGGGCCCGCAGAACCTAAAGGAGTACACGCGTGCAGACACCACAGAGATGCACACGGTGCCTATCTCCCTGCAGGAGGAGCACAAGAGAGGAAAGTACGGGCGGCTTATGTTTACCTTCCAGTACCGAAAGGCGCTGGGGGCCTCGCTCAAATCGGAAAATCTGGAGCTGATTACAGGTGTCATGGACTACCTGCACAAAATAGACAGGCTGATCACATCTCTGGCCACGCTCACAGACGCAGAGATCTCTGTGCTGGCAGGAATATCTGTGGATCTCCTAAAGACCAAAGAGTTTTTTGGCATGGCTGACTCTGTTCTTACATACTGCAGCAAGGTTCTCTACGGCAGAGCGCACACGCGTGGGACGCCCATCTGCGAAGTTGTTGACAGAGCTCTCCAGGAAATAGAGGAAGAGTTTCTTGTGCAGTGCACGCTGCTGGAGGTAAGCGAATACATAAAAGGGTTGATGCGGCCTGCGGAAAAGACCAAATTATTATAGAGGAGTCAATCAATGCCAATATTTACATCCACAAATAAATTGAATGAAAGACTTTTATTTTGTTATGCAGAAAGTTGAGGAGTTCATTAGCGCATGCATAAAGCACGAAAGATTTAAAGACGCAATTTATGCTGTAGAGTCTTTAAGCATAAAGCAGCAGAAGGAAGAGTCTTTGCTGCTGGGGTATTTATTCATGAGAAACATGGAGCACCGGCGCGCCCTTATGTATCTGTCCCGAGACAGCTCGTGCTCGTCGCTCTACTACCAGGCGCTCTGCCACAAGCGGCTGAAAGAGCACAACCAGGTGAAGTACATTGCAAGCGAGCTGCTGAGCCGGGTGCACAAGCCCGTGTGCAAAAAGTCGCAGAGCGCGCTGGAAAGTCTGTACGTTCTAGACATGGACAGGTCGTTCATACTTGCGCTTCTGGCGGAAGCAGAAGCGGAGACGGGTTGCCCGGAAATAGGGCTGAAGCGCTGCCTCGAGTCTATTGAGGAGGGCGGCCTGCTGTACACTGTGTACAGGCCTGTGCTCGACGAGAGCATCCGGTCGGTGGGGAAGCAGGACAGGGGAAACGAGAACATATCGAACAGCGAGCTTAGGGAGGGCAAAAAGACGCGCGCCGACCTTCGCACAAAGGTTGACAAAAAGCTGGAGAGGCGGCAGGAAAAAGAAGAGGGCCGGGCCACCGAGTTTATTATAAAGAGCATCATGCAGGAGGCCTCCCTGCTGAAGAGAATATCTGCAGGCGTTCTGAAGGCAGTCCCAGACTACCTTTCTTTGTTTGACAGCCTCCCGATCTACAGCGTGGCCATGGTCGCAGTGCACATATTTGAGTGCGGATACATGCAGAAGGCAGGGGCTGTGTTTGAGTACATCCGTGCCAGAGACCCCTGCTACCTAGAGACTATGCACTACTACTCGAGCATTCTCTGGCACAACCGGGAGAAAAGCCTTCTCACAACACTAAGCCGAGACGTGTTTGGCATTGATGCAGGGTCATACGTGTCTTGGGCTGTGCTGGGGAACCACTTTAGTCTGAAAAAAGAAACCGAGAAGGCGCTGGAGTGCTTTGAGCGGAGCCTGGGAATCAACCGGGACCCGTATGTGCTGTGCCTGCTTGGGCACGAGCAGTTCATGAACAGCAACCTAACCGAAAGCCTGAAGTGCTTCATTGAGTCGATGAAGATCAAGTCAGAGAACTACAGCGGGATTGCAGGGTGCGGCCTAATATACGAGAAAATCGGGAAAAAGGAAAGCGCAGAGTACTGCTTTACACGGGCCATGATGGTGAACCCGCAGAATGTGCTGCTTGTGTATTTGATGGTGAAGTATCTTGTCTCGCAGACAAAGCTGGAGAGCGCGTACAGCCTGCTCCAGAAGCACCTGCACATAAAGGAAAGCATTAAAGACATGGCGATGCACGTCCTCAACGACCCAAAGTGGGTGGAAAGAGTGTACGACCGGGTGGCTGGCAACGAGCAGACTGCAGGGCTTGCCGGCTCACTCCTTTTGGAGCTGTCGTATGTGCTGGTGTACAACGGATACTTGCGGAGCGGAGAAATTGTTGCGAAAGAGTCTACAGGAAAGGGCCAATACTTCCTGGCGCGGCGGGCGTTTGTGTTCGACCTCATAGTCTCAAAGGCGGCTGAAAGCACGCATACGCCTGCTTAGAGATGCTTGTCAGCTGCTGCACACGGCATCTCTCTACAGGTTTATTCTTTGCAGAATTGCAAGAATTGTTCAATAAATGAAAATTAATTCAGTGTCTTGTGCGGTCTGCCTGCTCTAGCCCATTCGGCGTTGATAGATGCAGAGTCCCCGGAAAGACGCAGCAATGCGGCGCACGCCTGACTTTTCCGGGAGTCTGCACTTCAGTAGAAGAGCGTGCTTGCGCTTCCCCTTTGCAGAATGCCTTGCATGCTTTATTCTGCACTGCAGAGGAAAGAGCGCATGAAAATCGAAAGAGCATGCAAAGCTCTCTGGAATGCGCTTTTTTGCGCCAGGGCATGTGTCTTGTTCAGCAGCTGTGCTCCGCCCCGCAAAGGGTTAAGATTTTCCGCTTTATCGTGCGTGCGTACCTTGCCGGCGCTGTGCCAAGAGCCTCTGTTCTTTGCTTGCTGATCTTTGTCTTTATCTGTGATTTGCATGTGTTTGTTGTGCTTGCACGCACGCCCCTGCGGCTTGCTGGATTCTTTCTATGTGGGAGGAAATCAGCTGCACATATTTATTTATTTGCACGCTTTTATTTACAATGTTTCAATATTTAGCATAAATAGCAGCATGCAGACCCCTGGTATGTCATACCGTGTTAGAAATCTAAGAAAAGAAGACCTGAGCGAAAAGTACTTCACTCTTCTGTCCACGCTGACAGAGGCTCCATACCCGGGCGAGGAGGACGTCCAGAAGCTTTTTAGATACATGAAAAAGAACAGAAAAACATACAAGACTCTTGTGGTTGTGTCGCCAGAAAACGAGGTCGTTGGCTCGGGATCGCTTTTGATAGAAAAGAAGTTTATTCGATCTCTGGGCAGCGTGGGCCACATAGAGGACATTGTGGTGTCCGAGGCCCACCAGGGAAAGGGCCTGGGCCGCCTTCTAATAAACCATCTGACAGAAAAGGCCAAGGCCAGCAACTGCTACAAGGTCATACTTGCATGCAGCGAAGAAAATCAGAAGTTCTATGAGAAGTGCGGGTACACCAAAAAGGAGGTTTTAATGGCGCTGTACACAGCCCCAAACTAGACACATGCGCGCAGCCAGCACATAGCTATATTTAAAAAGGAAAAAACTGCTTTCAGACAGAAGAAAAACAAAGCCATTAGAGCTCCCTTTGGGTGCACGATGAACCCTGCCCCTTCTTGTATTCGGCTGGCATGCTCTGATCCGCAAGCGCACTTCATGCGCGCGCTCTGCGCACTGCGCTGCCTCTCGGCACATGCAGCCTGTTTCAGTATAAAATAAAGCGTACAGCTTGTGAAACATATGCTATAGACTTTTAGTTTATTTACCTTTATATCTGCAAGAAATCATTCAATCTTCGCCGGCTATCCTCTAAGTCTTCTAAATGCACTCTGTACAGCGGGTCGCGCGGGTTTTTCAGCTCTTTGATCTTTTTTTGCACCCTCGCTATTCTGGCCTCCAGCTCCTCCTCTATCCGGGTTCTTTCCTTGGCCTTGGCCGCGTCTCGGGGCCTGTGCGGCTCTTTTGCCGGCGCGGCTGCGCTGCAAACAGACACCTGGCCCGGAGAAACCCCCGGGTGCGGCGCCGGCGGCTGTGCAAGCTTGCTTTTAAGCAGCTTTATGACCATGCGCTGCTTGTTTATCAGCGCGTCTTTTTCTTCTCGGATTTTTTCTGCCTCTGCTAGCATTTCCCGGTTTGCCTTTTTGGCCTCCTCTATTTCCTGCGTGAAGCTCTGGATTTGCTTGTTTATGTGGGCCCTTTCCTCCTGCATGCTGTCGAGCGCGCCCTTCTCCTTCTGCTCGCTTGCCTTTATGTGCTTTTCAATCTCCGCCAAGCACTCCACCAGCCTGCCTGTTTCCCCAGCCGCTATTTCCTGGTGCATCTGGTCAATGTCTGACGGCATGCCCAGAAGAAGCAGCATGCGAGCCATCTGTATAGACACAGAGGTTGCCAGCTTGCCCAGCGACGCCTCTGCAGTGGCTGTGCTCGTGAAGGAGGACTTTATTTCGGAAATCTCTCTTTTTCGCACTTTCAGCTTAGACTTGTATGCCTCCACCTTCTCGTTTGCCTCCTTTAGAGCTGCCTCTGCGGCCTCCGCTCGGCTTTTGTGGCGCATGATCTCTGCGTCCTTCCGGGCCTTCATCTGCTCCATGCTGGCCAGCGCCCCGGCCTCTTCGCCCCGCCTCCTTCTGTGCAGCAGAGACTTTATCCCAGCCTGCTCCACCATGTTCAAAGCACTTCCCAAGACGCTGGCCCCTCCAAGCGGCTTTTGTGCAGGCGCACAGGCCTCCTCTTTGCCCGGCCCTCTGCTCCCGCTCGCAAATCGCCCGTCTTCCTCCTGGGCGCGCCCGTCCTTCCCGTACACTATCTGCTTGATTCTATCCAGCCAGCCCACCTCCGCGCTCTCCTCTATTATCACGCTGTCCAAATTTTCCTTTCTGTCTGCAGGCGCTGAAATGTCTGCGGCCTCTAGGGCCCGGTGGATGTCGTCTATTTTTCTGCACACCTCCGAAAACGCCGTGGCCACGTAGTGGACCAGCCCATCGTCTGCAAGCGTGGCGTCGCACTGCGCATGCACGCTGCTTAAAAACGTTTTGTCTATGGTGTGCCCCCCCTTCAGCATTTCGTCTTCTTGTGTGAGCGCGCCAATGGACCCCGTGGCCATGTTCGTAAAGTCGCTTCCGTACATCTGGCTACTCTGCTGCCCAAATGACTCCATGTGCTTGCAAATTAAAATCTGAATTTATTTTCGAAATATTTCCACGCGCGCAAGGCCTATCTCTGCGGCCTGCCAAGCCGGCGCCCTGCGCATTTATATTTGAGTTCTGATTGTTGCCAACTTAACTCTTTTGTCTTTTATTTTTTCTAGAATGCATATTGAGCCAGTGGAAGAAAAGCTGTTTAGCCAGCTGCTAGAGTACAACAAAAAGCTTAATCTGGGCATCGTGTACAGAGTCGCAGGCGGATGGGTGCGGGACCGGCTGATGGGCATAGCTAGCCACGACGTCGACATCACAATTGACAGGAGCAGCGGGGCTGTTTTTGCCAAGGGGTTTATGCAGTATCTCCACGAAAAATCGGAGAGCGTGCGCGGGTACTATGCGATGGCAGCAAACCCCGAAAAGTCGAAGCATCTGGAAACCGCCAGCCTGCAGTACAAAGGGCTGCTCGTGGACTTTGTGGCGCTGCGCACGGAGGAGTACACAGACACCCGAATCCCTGCAGTGCGCACGGGGACGCCCCAGGAGGATGCAAACAGGCGAGACATCACGATAAACTCTCTTTTCTACAACATAAACACAGGCGAGGTCGAGGATCTTACTGGGAAGGGGCTGGACGACATAAAAAACAAAAAAATACGCACTCCGCTGGATCCAATGGTCACGTTTATGGACGACCCGCTAAGAATACTAAGGGTTCTGCGGTTTGCTGCGCGCCTGTCCTTTGAGATAGTTCCGGAGGTGCTGGGCGTGCTGGACAGAGAGCGCCTGCACGCAAAGCTAAAGGCGGTGGTGTCGAAGGAAAGGGTCGGGCACGAGATAAAAAAGACCTTGGCCCATTCCGGATACAAAATTGCGCTGCTGGCAATGGTAAAGTACCGGATTGCAGCCGCGCTGTTCCCCGGCATAGAAATATCGCATGCGGAGGTGCAGGAGTACACACACGCGCTAGAGGCCATGGAAAAGGAGGAGGGGCACCCTCTGCACAGCATAGAAGAGAAAAACATGTACATAGTTCGGCTGTTTTCTTTGCTGCAGAACAACCAAGGAGTCCGAGCGGGAAAGGCGTCTCTAACAGAGCATGTAGTGGCAGAGTTTCTTCGGTGGACCAAGGCAGAGCGGGCGCACATTGTGCAGATAGAGGCAGGCGTGTCTGCCATGGAGCGCCTGCTAAAGATGGATGTGGAGGAAAGGGACAGACAGGTAAGGATGGCGCGCGAGCTTAAGCAGTGCCTGCCCGAGGCGTTCTGTGTCTACGATGCGCTGCAGCGCATGGGGAAGCTGAGGCCAGCCAGCATATGCGCACTGTATGCAGACATAGTAAGCAGCGGATACATCGATGCCTATCTAAGAAAGCCTGTAGTGTCCTATGCCTTGCTGAAGAGCAAACTGCAGCTCTCGCCCGACAAGACTGCCATGTGCGTGAATAGGTGCGTGGAGCTGTCCATTATACACAGCACCGAAGACACAGAGCAAATAATCCGCATTTTGTGCAAGGAGATGCAATCCAGGCCACTATAGCGGGCCCGGGCCGGAAGCATGCCTTGCTGCCCTGCAGGCATAGCATGTGCTCTGCGGGCGCTGCTTTGCTTAGTTGGCGAGGCTATAGCCGCTGCAAACCGTGCGCAGGCTAACGGGAACACTCTCCGAGCCCTCTCTTCTGGAATTCCGCAGGCTTCCTGCCACTTTGAAAGATAAAATGCGCAATGTTTTTGTAAATTAATTCGCCATTTTATCTATTGATAAATAGCAAGTGTGATCTCATAAGACTGGCATGAACAAATTCTATCATAAAGATGCAGCCAAAAACTATAAATACAGAGCGGGCTTTGTATTTTAGATGCAAGGGCGCAAAGAAGGAAACGACTCAAAGGATCCCCAGTCTAATAATAAGCCGTTGCTAAATCTAGTTTTGAATCTGGACCGCAAAAAGAATATGGTTTACGACATAGTGACTTCGCTTTCTGACGATGATGACAAATAGGCAAAGAATAAATAAATTTTCCAAGACCAAGAAAAAGGTGAGTTTAAACAGGCTGCGCCCAGGAAGTCCTGTATGTCGCAAGACAGTGGGTGGGCTCTTAGGGAAATTGTGTGTTTAGTGGCAGGGATGTTTGCTTATTCGCAGAGTTCGCATTGGTTGAGAAATCCAGCTATCGCGAATATGGCAAGCAGGCGAATGCATGTTTACAACTTGCAGGAGATCTTAATGATTTTTTTATTTTATGTATATTGGATGGTTTGATAATTTGGTTCATCAAATTCGATCAACTGATGGCGCTTTGCTGTATAAATTATGCAAAAATAAATTCTCCATGCAGACTACATTCACAGATGCAATTTCGAAGTCAAATCAAAACATTGAAACTGAGATAAAAAGAGTATTGCTATACATAAAGATAGGCATGAAAATGAAGAAAGACCTATGGCAGATAATTGAGAAGATGACAGACAAGGAGGTGCAGATGATAATCGTCAATGGGCTAGAAAGCGGAGACATAAGAAACGAGGAATCCAGCAGAGCACAAGACGTGAGGTTCATAGAAAAAAAGGTCCGAGAAAGGCTGGTCGAGAAAGAGAAACCCAAGGAAAAAGCGGAGAAAGCAGCAATGATAGACGCGGAAAGGAAAATAATGGAAGCGGAAATACATAAAAAAGTCAGAGCGGAAATAGAAGCAGAGTTCAAAAAATGGGCGGCACAGCTGAAGTTGGAAATGCGCAAAAATGAGAGCACGGAGTTTTTAGTGGGGATCCAGAAAAGGGTAGCGAGATTGGAAGTGAAAAACAGAGCATTTACTAAGAGGTGCTACACCTGCGGAAAACTAGGACACATATCGACGGCCTGCTATTCGGCGGGGCTGAATGGCCCCGGCAGCAGCATTAATAAACGGGAAAGTGCCCATTTGCTTAAAAATGGTGGCGAGAGAAAGTCGACAGTAGTAGTTGAAGAGCCGAAAGGCTTCAAAGATAAGACAGGTGGCCGCCAATAAAGTGGAAAGAGCAACGCGGGCGATTTACTGGTGGGAGCAGTAGCAAAGCAGCAGTTCTCTGTGTGTCGTGTGAAACAAAAATGGCAAACTGAAGGAGAGACGGCATTGCGGCCTGAGGAATTCGGGCGCTTGTACGGGGGCTTTTGCATGCCAAGGCGCGCACTAACAACGCTGGTATAAGCCATGGGATAATTTGACCGTGTGCATTTCTGGCATATAATAACAAATAGCAAGCGCGGTTTCATAAGAGTGGCATGGTTTGATTCTATTGCAAATGTGCAGTTGAATCATGAGAACACGGGCCTGGCTTATGTTTCAACCGCGGAAAGATATGAGGGAAAGCTGCTTGAAGAACTCGTAATATAACAATAAATGTTTGCTATAATTGGTTTTGCTCCGAAGGATGCGGCTAAAGTACTTTATGACATTTTTATTTTTATGCGCAGGCGCTTGCTTTGCTATATATAATATGGCCGGATGCTTGCAGCAAGCACAAAGAAACTGGCTCTATCCAGCCCATGACCGCAGCACGCTCTGGGCTGCTGCACAGCCTGTGCGCCTTGCCGTGGCAGCAGGCATGGAGTGCACGCGGGCCGCTTTGTGTGTTTGCTCTAAAGATGCGGGGCCAGCCCGGCTGCTTTGCGCACTATTGACTTGAGAATGCCAGCGAGCACGTCGCTGTCTGCATGCGCGCTTTTTATCACAGATAGAATGTGCGCGCATATTGTGTGCTCGCAGCATGTGCAGCCAGCCTGCATGCCGCTTATCACAACATAGTCGCGCTGGACGCGAAAGCACTCTATCCCGCCTGCTTCCATCCTGACAGGCTGCATTTCTTCTTCCTCGCCCGCAATGGCATAGAAAACAGACCGGTTAAACATAAAAGAATGTGAAAAAATTTTATACATGAAGCATACAGTAGAAGAACATACTGATAGAACAGTGAAAATACTGGAGGGAAAGATAAAGGAGGTGATAGAAAAGGGGAAGCAGGAGGCCACCAAAGAGGCCATGTGGCTGGGTGCCTTTGATCTGCTCAAAGAGTCGCTAAACAGCACGGGCATGTACGCCGAGGAAAGCCTTGTGCTGGCAAATAAATACGCGCCTGAGACGCTGGGCGAGAGCGCGAACGAGGTGCGCGAGTGCCTAACCCGAATGGCGCACGCGTCAAAAGACAAAGCCTGGGAGAACCGAGGCTTTTGCCAGCTGATGCTTAAAACGGTGTTTACGCCCGAGGCCTACGCGGACGCAGACCTGGTGGACCGGGTGATTGATCAGTGCACATGCAAAATGCCAAAGTCTCGGAAGCGGGCGCTTTCTGTTTTGCGCAGAATTGTCGAGCACGAAAACACCACGTATGGAGAAAGCAAGACATTCGACAAAATTATTAAGACGGTTGAAGCTCTTGCAGACAAAGATATTGAGTACGCAGGGCGAATCATTTCAATACTTGGGCAGCTGAAGCAGGAAATAGCAATGTACAACTCGACCGAGAAAATGCTGCGCATTGTGCAGCGCATGCAGGCGGCGTCTCCCAACGCAAGCATACCGGTGCTTACGTTCGCAGAGTCTCTTTTGCTGGATGCCCCGCTGCAGCACATAGATCTGCACGTGGCTCTTATCGAGTCTGCTGCGGGGAAGGGGTGCCAGACTTCGGAGAGCCTGTCTATTCTGCTAAAGTACCTGGCTTTGGTGGCAAAAAGCAGCTCTGTGCGCTCTATGCAGACAGGAGAGCCGTTCTTTGTCGAGGCAGAAGGGTCTTCGTTTGAGCTGAGCATCAAAGAGCTTGTTTCCGAGGCAATTGAAAAGGCAAAGCCGGCCCGGATAGACGTGTCTTTGTGCGAGGCCGTGCACAGCCTGATGGTGGCGCTGAACGAGCGAGCCTTCCCAGCCTTCAAGCGGGTTGTTCTTGTGCTTGCCCAGTACTGCTTCAACGAGAAGGACCTGCGCATGGCCAAGTGTGTAGAGCTGATGATAGGGGCCATAGGCCTGGACCAGTTTATGAAGGCGGTGAAGGAGCACGAGTTCTTCTTCTGGCTGCCCATGATAAGGTCCGGCGTGCACTCAGAAGACATTGAGGTGTTTATGCGCAGATTTATGCCGGAGATTTCGGTCACTTGCAGAACGGAGAAAAAGGCGGAGTACGAAGCGCTGTGGGCCTGCTTCCCCTCTTTCTGCCGAGGCATGAAAGACGAGCGCGGGCTGTTTGGCAAGCTCATGGAGAAGCTTCCCTTCCACCTGAGCAACCCCTCGGTGCGGGGGTATATTTCGCAGGGCATTTCCGTGCTGGTGGAGGAGTCGTACAGAGAGATGGAGCGAAACCCTTCGGCCATCCCCTTCAGAACGGCCCTGCTGAGCACGCTGTCCAACGCAATTGACCTGTTTGAGAGGCTGCTGCAGAAGTTTAAGCTGGAGCAGACCGAGAACGATAGAGAGGGCCTTCGAAGCCTGATAAAAGTGCTGGACGCAGACTGGCTGCGCAAGTACTACGCGGAGATAGTAGAGAGCGCGTTTTTGCAAACCGAGGAGATGTATTCGGGCGAGCTGAGGCCAGACCTCAACCGAAAAGAAACAGACGTGCCAGAGCATGAAAGAGTGTTCATAAACAACGCCCCGCTTCTGGAGGTATCGGCGCACATGTTTGTGGGCAACGCCCAGGTCACAATGGGCGTTCTAAAGTACGTGATGTCCACGCACTTGAGGACCCAGAAGATGGCGTACAAGGTGCTGCTTGGCCTGATCCACGGAGGATTCTGCCCTGCCTCTCTTATAGACTTCTTTATGGACCCTCGGGCAGACGCAGTTCTTTTCCAGTGCAGCAGGCATCTGAAGCTGCAGGTCATGCACGAGCTGGTGAAAAAACACAACGTGCAAGAAGGGCCGGTTATGTGCAGGCTCTTGTTTGAAATCATCCGGGCAGTGCGGACCGAGGGCGGGCGCAACCGAAAAGTCGCGTTCGACATTACTAACGAAATAGCAGTCGCCTACCCCGCGCCCGTCTTTGCGGAAATATGCAAGATGGCAGCCGCCGGAATTCCGTCGGGCAACTCGGACTACCAGGCCGGGGGAATTGTTGTGCTGTCGTCGCTTTTCTACCAGGGAAGAGACAACGTGACTGTTGAGATTCTGGATATGGCGTTTGACATCGTAGACAGGCTTTCAACCGAGAAAAAGTATGCAGTGGCAAAGGGCTCTATCGGGTTCCTGTCGGTGCTTTTGATTGAGCTTGGCCATATGGACAGATACCTGGAAAAGGCGCTGGTCTGCCTGGACAGGATCATTTTCCACTTTAAGGCAAAGCTGCACGAAAACATAAAGCTGATTCTTAGAAAGATTGTAGAGAGGCGAGGAGTCTCAGTGCTGACATGCCCCCAGTCTGCCCTTCTAGACTACAAAATAGGCCGCTCCAGGCATACAGAGGAAGAGCGAATAGTCACCGACGCCAGCGGAAAAATGAGGATAAAGGAGCAGAAGATCGTCAAAACCACAGGAAAAAAAAGGGTCAAGAGATAGAGAACAAATAAACCGTTTTAAAAGTTAGTTTGCACCCATTTGCAGCGCGCGCTCTTGCATGGGCTCGAAAGAGCCCGATTGCTGGCGCTGGGTTTCTCTCAGCCAAAGCAGGAGAAAGCTGGTTAGTGCATGCGTCTTTATTGAGGGCTTATGCTCTCAAGTGCCTGTTGTGAATAAGCCAAAGAAGCTGGTTGTGCGCCCGAATATTTCTGTTAAATCTGCATGTGCTTCGCACAGAAATAAAAAAAGAGCCGGTGCCTATGTCTTTGGAGTTCAGCGCCCCCCACCCATAGAATGTTTCTAGCCCTTTGTCTTCCTCTTGGTTTGGGAAGAAGAAAATGGCGCGTGCCTCCTTGCCGTTATTGGTATGGCACATTTTCAGCTTCTGCATGAGCATGTCTATTTTTTTCTTTGTCCTGTGTAAATTCAAATCGGGGTTTTCGTTGACAAAATAATGCACATACATTTCGTTGCTGGTGTGTGCTCTCGAATTCCAGGAAAGCACAAGGCGCCCTTTATGCATTGACCTATGCACCTTCAACGCCATCTCCCAGCACCACTCCTGCAGCCTTGGGCTCTCCACGTACAGGTCTTTATAATAGCATTGCACTATAGTATATCCATATGTGTTTATCGGGGTTTTTTTGCGCCCGGGGTCATTCAGATACTTGTACACGCTTGGCTTTACGCTGCAATCTGTGAAATCGTGTATAGTCACCCTTCTGTGCTCCTGCGGGTCCACCTCAGCAAACGGCGTCATGGATATCGCGCTTCTCATCAGAGGCGACAAAAACAGCGGTATTTTTACGCCGGGTGCTTTCGCAGGGTCTGCAGGGCTTTTGAACACAGAAAATGTAAAGTACGCATGGTGGCTCAGCCCCTCACTGATGTAGTAGAAAACCACCGAATGCCCGCTCTGGGCGAGGCTCTGTATGCTTTGGGACATTTCGGCCGTGCGGGCCAGCCTCCACCTACATGTCTCGACGTTGCACAGCATCGGGTATATCTTTTCTTGGGGGACAGCGTATATGTTCGCTATGTGCTCGGCTATGTCCTTCAAGTTATGCACTTCTCTATGCTTGTTGTTTATTATGCACATAGGCATGCATATCTTTCTGCAGTTTTGCGTGTAGTTGTCCACATAGTGGACGTGGTAGTGCTTGCAGAAGCTGTCTATGGTTATTGGCTCGTCCACTAGCACATGGTGATCCATTTTTGTAAAGATGATTTTCTCTTCAGAATACCTCACAACAGCGCGGTGGCTCAAGCATCTCTGCTTGACCATTGCTCTCTTCCCTAGAAACCTGTGCATTGTCTGCAGGTTGTTTTCTCTGTTGCGCCTGGCGTAAGTCCACGGGCAGTATTTATAAAACAGCTCAAGCGCATGGCACTGGCGAATATACTCAAGTGCGCTGCAGGTAGGCCCCATCAGCGGCAGCACAGACGCGCCCTGCGCATCCCCGCTATTTGCCTCGTCCATTTTCTCAAAGGTGTTTTGTCCATGCTTCTGTGCCTGGGCATATATCGCTTTGAGCCTGTTCACGATGATTTCCCATTGTTTGGTGCTGTTTTTTTCCACTTCAACCGCCGCCATAAAATCTATAGTGCGCTGGAACGTCTCTTTTTCCATGTTTGCAAAGTCGTGCATCACTTCGGGTATTTGCAGCGCGAAATCGAAGGCCTGAGAGCTTTTTGATATATTTGATGCAGCAGGCGCCGTGCACTGCTCTAAATCTTCGTTTGATTTGGGGGCATGCACAAATTCATCGCCCAGCCTGCCTTGGTCTTCAATATGGAGGCCCTGCTGGTGGCTCGCTGGGTCGTAGTATTCCTTGCTTGCGTGCTTCTGCTTGTATAGCATGAGGTCTGAAATAATTTCGCTGTAGTACCCAACGAAATTCTTTTTTTGCAGCTCAGCACAGTTTTCCTTTTTGCTCAAATGCAGCGCCAGATTCTCTATTTTCACTCCCTGCCTGCATAGGTCAATTATAAAGCTCCAGATGTTGGGGTTGGGGGGGAATTCTTCCCTTGTTAGGCAAAAACAAGGTTGCCTGTATTCATTCTGTTTTTTGACACCATGCGCACTGCCCCTGCAGCCCTCTATTTTAGTGGGGGCTCCCATGGACAAAAGGGCTCCATTGCATAAAATATTTGCTTGAATACACTCCATGGTGTGCAGGCGGCCTTTCAGACCCTCTAAGCCCAGCGTTTGGGGATTCGCCAAGGTTTTTTGTTTTTTTGGCGTGTGGGGCCCAGACTGCACGCCTTCAGCTGACTCTGGGCATTCCATTTGTCTCTTCGGCGCGCTCCCAGTCTTCAAGCATCTGCTTGAGGGACCGGCCCCGCCTTTTCTCTCGATTTCTACTATAACTCGGATTATTTCAACCACTTTGTATCTCAATTGCGGAATGCTCTCTGCATTTTCTTGCCCGCAGCGGTCTAAGCCCCGCTCTCTCTTTGGCTCTAGCTTGTCTGGAAAATTTTCTTCTAACGCAGGGTCTTCTGCGCCGCCCTTGGCTTTTCTGGCAAAGCATACCAAATAGAAGATGCCTTTTATAGACTTTTTGTTCAGCTGCATCCACGTTTTTTTCCTTTTTTAAAATGATATGCAAGTCAGAAAATACTCTTGTCATACAGTTGTGATCTGGGAGCTGGCTATTTTGACGTTTTTGCCCATTTTCAATCTTCTTGAATAAACATGGTTTAATTGCCCACATCGGCCACGCATGCAAAGACTCTTTGCAGGTCTTTCTAAGCAGAAACAGATTGCGAATGGCTATCCTTTCAGAATACAGAACGGCTTATGCGGTTTTTTGGTGCGTCCACTTTTTCAGTCCTACCGTTTTTAATAATATTTGCACTATGCTGAAGCTCCCCGCACAGGGTCTTGTGTGCGCGCAGAACCTTCTGCTGCCAGCAAATTCTCGAACTTCAACAAAAAGTGAAGAGCTCGCCAAATGTGCGAGGCTTCCAACTATACTAGGCATGCCAAAAAGCAAGCATATTGCAGCTTCAAAGCTGCGCGGACTTACAGCGGCTTCTATGGAGACTGCAAGCTGCCGCGCAGTTTTGTTCCGGCTAGAGCACTTCTGGCAAGCACCGGCTGGATGGCCTGCCTCTTTTTCCTGGGATTTTTGACTATGCCAGCACGTGCACAAAAAGCGCTTGTTTGTGTATACTGATCGGTTTGTTTGCCTCCAAACAAAAGTCGGTGTTGTGACTCCAAAAATGATTTTTGGGGGGTATATTAAAGGCGCTCGCACATGCATCTAAATGCAAAACTACGAAGGCTACTATAACCCAAACACTCACTACAGCGACTACGACACAAGGACACGCGCCGAAGACGACACCCCGGGATATGTCGGGGGGTCATGCGTCAATGGAGAGTGCACAGACATGGAATGCCTATATATACCGTGTGGCGATGGTGTGGTTAGCGGGGTCTGTGGGCCAGATGCCAACCTGATCACGTGCGAATGCGACCCTTTATCTGCATTCCGCCGTGGATGTGTCCTGATGTGGGTCTGCATTATCATATTCTTGCTGCTGTTTGGAATTCTGGAATTTGCTGGATCTCTTAATTCTACCCCAAAAAATGGCACAGACCTCTTGCTAAACAATGTTCTCATGTAGTTGTGCCTGCTTTGAGCCGGCGAATACCCCCCGAATATGCAGGCGCAGGCCTCAGAGTGGCTCTAGAGCCATTTCTGGCCTGTGTGTGAAAATGCTGCGTCATTTGGGCACATGCCCCGATGCTGCCACTCAGAAATTAATCAAGAGCCGGCCAGAATCTGCATTGCTTGGGCTTCTTTTTTGGCTTTGGCACGCGCCCTCCTTTTGTGCGTTTGCAAGAAAAACAGGGCCGTCCAGAATAAAAAGTGTCCGGGTTGTATGTGCTTTTTGTAAGCAAAAATAAAATGTACTGTTTGAAATTATTGTGTATATTGCGTTTTTAGACACGATACTAGAACCGCTCCAGAGAGCAGAGGTTTGCAGAGACAGCACTGCGCGCGCACAACACGGCTCTGGCAGGCAGCGCGGTGCATGGAGGAATATATCGTTCCTTGATAGAGGCCGCGTGAACAGAGCGCATGCGTGCGCGTGCAGGCAAACCACGCTCTTCAAACGCGTGCCTGTGTCGGCCTGGAAAAAGGCACGGCAAGCAGCATGCAAACAGCAAGGGCTGTTCCGTTGTTAAATCGCGAAATTCTTTTTTATTTTTAGAATGTGGACAGCAGAGGCGCTAAGAAATGCATTTTTGAGGTATTTCGAGAAAGAGGGGCATGTCCATTGGAAGTCGTCGTCTGTCAGCCCAGAAGACCCCACGCTGCTGTTTACGAACAGCGGGATGGTCCAGTTCAAAAAGAAGTTTTTAGACCTGGCGGAAGAGAACACGCAGTACGGCCTGCTCAAAAGAGCATGCAACTACCAAAAATGCATACGGGCAGGGGGGAAGCACAACGACTTGGACGACGTGGGAAAGGACACATACCACCACACGTTCTTTGAGATGCTGGGAAACTGGAGCTTTGGCGACTACTTCAAAAAGGAGGCCATCCACTTTGGGTGGGAGTTTCTCACGGAGGTCTTGAAGCTGGACAAGGAGAGAATATATGTAAGCTACTTTGAGGGCGACCCTGCGCAGGGCCTCCCCGCGGACACGGAGGCGCAGGAGCTGTGGAGAAAGTATCTGCCAGACTCGAGGATTCTTGGGTTTGGCTCAAAGGAAAACTTCTGGGAAATGGGCCCTGTGGGGCCGTGCGGGCCCTGCACTGAGATCCACTATGATAGAGTGGGAGGGCGGGACGCGTCGGCAATAGTAAACCAAGACGACCCGGACGTGCTGGAAATATGGAACATTGTGTTTATGCAATACAACCGAGAGGAAAAAGGGCTCACAGTTCTTCCAAAAAAGCACATTGACACGGGCATGGGGATGGAGCGTGTTCTAAGCATTCTGCAGAACGAAAGAAGCAACTACAACACAGACCTGTTCATGCCGCTGTTCAAGACGATCGAAAGGATCCTTGGCGTTCCAGAGTACACAGCAAGGCTTGACAGCAAGGCGGACATTGCGTACAGGGTTGTGGCCGACCACTGCCGAACCATAACAATAGCGCTGATGGACAACGTGATGCCCAGCAACGACGGGCGGGGATACACGATCCGAAAAATACTTAGAAGGGCGCTGGGGTTCCAGTACCTGCATCTGAAGAAGGCTCCGGGCCTGCTTTCTGCGCTGGTCAAGCAGGTGTTTGAAGACATGAGCAAGGTGTATGCGCCAGAGCAGCCGCTGGAGACAATTCTTCAGGTGGTGGGCGAGGAGGAGAGCCAGTTCACAAAAACGCTGACCCGAGGGCTGGGCATTCTCACAGAGATGCTGGAGACTGCTGCAAAAAGCACCAAAAGCCTCTCAGGCGAGTCTGCTTTCATCCTTTACGACCGGTACGGGTTCCCCATCGACCTGACAATGGCGGTTGCCGAGCAGGAGGGGGTTTCTGTGGACATTGCGGGGTTCAAGGCGGCACAGGCGGCGGCCAAGGCGCTCTCCCAAAACACGCAGAAAGGCGCCGAAGGCCTGCACTTGACCGTGCACGACCTGTCTCTGCTTGACAGCCACCTGGAGAAAGCGCCAACAGACGACAGCTACAAGTACAGCACAGCTGCAGTGGCTGCAACGCCTGTGGCAGTGAAACAGGCCGGGTCGCTGGTGAAAGTGTCTGACATGTTCGGACTCGAGATTCCAGAGGAGTTTGGGCTTGTTCTGAACAGGACGCCGTTTTACAGCGAGGCGGGCGGGCAGGAAGGAGACGCCGGGTCTGTTGTGTTTTTGCGGAGTGCGGAGGGCGCCCAGAGCATGGCTGAAAGGGTGCAGAGCCTGAAGATTCACATGGGCGCTGGAGACTCGCAGGCGGAAGGGGTTTTCACAGTAAAGGACACGAAAAGGTACGGACGGTATGTGCTGCACTTAGGAAGCCTGCAAGGCGTGCTCACGCACACAGCTGTTGCAAAGATCGACGCAGAGCGGAGAGCGAGACTGACCCACGCACACACGGCCACGCACTTGCTTAACTACGCGCTAAGCCGGGCTCTTTCCAAGAACGCAGGTGAGGAGATAAAGCAGTGCGGAAGCTTGGTCAGCGAGGACGCGCTGAGGTTTGACTTCCACTGGGGCAAGCCGCTGACAAAAGACGAGGTGCAGAGCATAGAGGCGATAATGAATGGAATAGTGGACCGGGGCGAACGCGTGCATGTAGAGCACATGCCGTACGAAGCAGCTGTGGCAATCGAGGGAGTTCGGCACATGAAAGGCGAGGAGTACCCGGAAAACGTGCGCGTGGTGAAGGTAGAAGACTCAGCAAGCAAAGACGGAAAGCCTTCACACACTTCTGCAGAGCTGTGCGGAGGCGCACACGTGGAGAACACCAGCGAAATTGGGCGCGTTCGGATAATGAGCGAGGCCAGCATAGCTAGAGGCATCAGAAGAATCAGCGCGCTTTGTGGAAGCAAGGCGGCCCTGGCCGAGCAGCAGGCAAGAGACCTTCTTTCGGAGGAGGTGACGGCTAGCAGCATGCACAGAATCCGAGAGCGCCTGGACGCGTCCACTCTTCCGCTGGTCGAGACATGCAGGCTTCGAGACCTTTTGGACGAGACGCAGAAGCAGCAGATCAAAGAGCGAAAAAAACACTTTGACGGAGAGCTGGCCAGGCTGAAAAAGCGCCTTTCAGAGGAAAAGAGCGAGGGCGCCCCAGGCGTCCTTTTTGTGTGCTCTGGCCTGGAGGGAACAACAGCCCAGCAGGTCAACAAGCTTATGGGCCCGTTTGTGCAGGCTCTTGAGAAGGAGAAGGCTGAGGGCCTTGTTGTGTGCGAGGCCGAGGGGTGCACAGTTCTGAACGGGTGGATGAGCGACGGCGTGGAAAGAGTGCGATCTCTTTTGCACGCGCAGCCACATGCAAAGATAGGGGGAAAGTCCCCCAGGGTGATGGGCTCTGTGCCAGACAGCATTGATGGTGTTGCGTCTCTTTTGGAGAAAGAGCTTCGCCCGCTGCAGTAGGCTAGAAGGCTGCTGCTTTGAATGCCGTCGCGCAGAGGCGTCTCCGAGACAGCACGCAGCTCTTTTTATCAGGAAAATAAATCAGCACTACTTATTTCGCACACTGCAGGAACGCTGTGGCCCAGTCGGCGCTTTGGACGCAGGCCCGCTTGCGCCTGGCTTTTTAGAAAAAGAGTTTCTGAAATGGAGATGCAAGAGCAAAGCGTGCGCAGCAGAGTGCTGGCGCCTTTTTGAATGAAAGTTGTGTTTATTGCGCTGGGCGCTACTTGTTGTGCGCAGCCGCTGTTTCTATTTTTCTGTGGTGCTCTTTGATGCAGCGCACTGCCTTTATAGAGGATGCGCACACAATGGCATACAGGCTGATGACAGCGAGCGCTAAAATGGCAGCCACTCTGTTGCAAACGTCGTATGCGGGGGAGACAACGTTGAGCGCGTCTAGAACAGCCAGGCAGATCCATGCTCCTCCTGCAAGCACCAGAAACAGCCCAAGATATTCGGCTTGGCCTTTTTCAAAGAGCGAGGAGAGAGAAAAAGTATTTGCTTCCTGCATGCTTTTAAAAAAATGAAGATTTGTGTAATGGGGGCCGGCCCAGCGGCTGCATATTTTATTAGGGAGGGGCTCCTTCGAAGCAGGTCTGCGCAGTTTGACGTGTTTGAGAAGAGCGCGGGGCTGCTTGGGCGCCTAAAAACAGGCGTGGCGCCGGACCAGTCTGCAATTCGAAAAACCATCCCAGGACTCGAGGAGGTGTTCGCTGACAAAAGGGTAAAGCTCCACACCGAAACAGGGCGCGGCCCGCCTCTCCGGGTGAAGGATCTGCAGTCAGAGTATGACGCCGTGGTGCTGGCTACTGGCGGAGCGCCAAGGAAACTGGACATTCCGGGCGCCCAGCATGTGGTGTCTGCAGACAAGATGATGGAGAGCATCTCAAACAGGCGCCCGGTTGCAGCAAAGGGAAAAATTGCGGTGATAGGGAGCGGAAACGTGGCGATGGACGCCGCCAGAATGCTCCTGCACTCCAAGCACATGCGGAAGTACACCAGCGCGCTGGAGGGCGTGTGTGTGGACCGCGTGGACATAATTGGGAGAAGCCCCCCAGAAAGCTCCAAGTTCACAAACTCGGTGCTTGCCGAGGTGCTGAAGTACCCAACAACGGTGCAGGTGTCCAAAAACGCAGAAAGCTGGATGTCCAGCGCGCGTGCGCAGGGCAGCAAAGCAGCGCGCCGGCGGGCCAGCCTGCTGGCTCGCGCAGACAGCAGCAAGAAGATTCTGCAGTTTGTATTTGAAGAAACCCCAGTTCGGGTGGAAAAAGTGTGCAGCGGAGGCGAAAAGAACAAAAGCGCGCTTGGGCGCCCAGAAGCATCTGCGCCAGAGGAAAAGTTCCGCCTCACAACAGAGACCAAAGACGGGCAGCGCACAACAAGAGAGTACGACGGCGTGGTTGCCGCGCTGGGATACGTGCCACACGACCACGCGGACATGCTAGAGGGCGTGTCTGCGCCCGTGCTTCGAATAGGGTGGGCAAAGAGCGGGGCGCAGGGCACGCTGTCAGACGCATACGCCACCGCCTTGGAGGCCGCAGACACAATATTTGCGCAGGAAAGAGCTGCTGGCTTGGAGTGATGGGCCGGCGCGGGCGGGAAACGTGGCTGGGCAGCCAGGCAGGCCGTGCTTCGGGTCAAGTAAAGGGCATTTGTGATTTTGATTGTGCTTGCACGGGTGCTTTTTTATTAATTAGCTTCTATGTATCTATAAATTCTTCTTTTATTTTAATTTTATTGTATGTGGAAAGAACAAAACAAACCCCCACAGGAAAAGGATAGAGGCAGCTCGGGCTCTTTGGCTGTGAACAACAAAGAGATGTTTGCCAGGCTGCGGCGCGTTTTGAGGAAAGACCTGGAGGAAAGGGAGCTGTTTGTGCAGGAGCTTCTGCAGACGGAAAGCCCTAAGAACACTCTTCTGCAAATCGACAGTGGGGAGCCGATAGTGACTTCAAAGAAAGAAGCGCAGGCGTACCTGGAAATGTGGAAAAAAGTGAGTGCAGACCCGTATCCGTACAAGAAGGTTTTGAAGAGGTGGCAGCACACAAAGGCGCAGTCTTTTTTTCTGTTCCATGTTCTGTCGCTGCCCCCAGACATTACGCAGATCTACAAGGGAGACACCGCGCCGTTTATTGACAGAGCCAAAGACACGTACGAGTACACGCCCTTTATTAAGGAGATGGCTGTGTCGAACTACAACTGCGAGGAGCTTTTTTCTCTTTTGTCGGAAATAGACACGGAGGACGGGCTGTCTATCCTCAGCCACGGCGTGTCAATGGTGCCCGAGCTGATTGCGCTGGGCCTGGTGAAGCATGCGCAGAAGTATGACAGGCTTTTTCTGGACACGTTTTCCTGCTGCCTGACGTCTGCCGACAGAAGCAGCCTGGTTCTCAGAAAAATATTTGACAGAAAGCCGAAGCTTACGCTGGCCACAATGGAAAGGCTGTATCTCTCCGCGCTCTCCTTGGACGACTGCTTGGCAGCGTGTCTGGAGTGCAGAATCCTGCCATACATCATCCGGGAGCTGGACCCGCTGGAGTTTTCGCTGGACCTGCTTTTTCTGGCAGTCACTCGGGGGATAATCGACCTTGCGGTGGTCCTGTGCATGCAGTCGAACGACGAGTTTATAAACAATTTTATCCACCACATGATAACCCGGTATGGAAAGGGCTCCACAAAGGGGGTGGGCATATACCCGCTGACGGTGGAAATAATCATATCCACGTGCATCACGCTGGAGGGCCTCTCCAAGGGGCTGTCGAAAAGCACAAACATGCTGCTGTCCAAGCTGAAAAGCAACCTGATTCCGGAGATCCGCACGTGCCTGGTGAAACGGGTCACTCTGAAGCAGCAGGCCAGCGAGTTTCTGCACAACGTGATCTCTAACAGAACCGTGAACTCGGACGCGATAGTGTACATGACGCAGGTGTCCTCCAACAAGAACTCGTACGACATGGAAATGTTTGACTGCATTCTCAACGAGATGGAGCTGAAGTACAAAACGCTGGACCGGCTAACCCCGCACGAGGTTATGGCAATGTCTCTTTTTTACGGGAGAATGATCAAGTACGAAATAATGCCTGCAAAGCGGACAAAGACGGCCATGCGCCGGATATTTAGGTTTCTCCGAGAGGAGCCGTGCAGCAACCGGTTTAAGTTTGCTCTGAAGTGCCTGGAGTCGTTTGGAGACATTTTGGAAAAGTATCCGTTTTACGCGCAGGAGTACTCCAGGATGCCGCAGGTGTATGCAGCCAACAAGTCCCTATACACGTTCATCCGGGGGCACCTGAGCATACAGGAGCTCACCTCCAAAAACGAGACAGACGGATACACGCCCTTCCAGGAGATCGTGGCGGAGGCGCTGGGGCGCGTGGAGGCGCCGTCCAGCTGGCAGAAGTCTTTCAACATGCTCACGCTTTCCAACATGCAGGCGCTGACAGAGACCATACACGCGCAGAAGCCGAAGGAAAAAGACTTGGCCAAATACCTGATCAGCAAGAGAGTGTTCAAAGAGACAAACCATCTTAAAATGTACGTGCAGTTTATTCTGGAGTACTCAGACACGCTATATCTTCAGGCGCGGGAGGTTTTCTTTTTGATTCTGAAGCGGTACTTTGAAAGGCACTCGGAGGTCGACAGGGCCGACAAAGCGCCCTCTCTGCGGGTGATCGGAACGTACCTGGGCATGCTCACGTTCAACGACAGAGCCCCCATCAACAAGGCGGACTTCAACATCAAGGAGTGCTTGGTGGAGAGCGCAGGCAAAGAGTATGTGTACTCCGCCGTTGTTTTTGTGTGCAAGTACATAGAAGAGACTGTAAATAGCCGAATATTCGGGAAGTTCTGCCCGTACATAATGTCAATCCTGCGGGTGCTTTCTGAGATCCACTTTTTGGCAGAGGGCAGCGACCTGCTGTCTCTGGAAATCGAGATATGCTTTTCAAAAATAGAGGTGCCCATCGAGGATGTGCACCCGGACATTGCGGTGCAGGAAAGGCGGCTGGGCGCAAAGCGAAAGGCGCTCGGCATTGCAAACTACATAGAGCTGGAAGGGGTGCGAAGCATGCTGGCGCATATAGCAGTGATGGGGCTTGACCTGGCAATCCGGGACGTCCCATACCTGATAGTGGACAAGATATTCAGCATAAGCAGCACTGCGGCGATCGAGGCGGTGAAGAGGGACTTCCCGGGAAACGTTCAGGCTGCACAGCAGGCGTACACAAACATGGTGTGCGACCTGGCATGCTCGCTTGCGCGCGCATCCACAGCAGGCCCCATAAAAGCCAGCGCCGCCAACAACATTGCACACTTTATGCGCCTTGCGGGAATGGAGGACGCGCTCAGCCCCGAAAAAATAGCCCACATTGTGGACTGCAACTTGGGGATATGTCTGGGCGTGGTGGAGTACATCACGCGGAAGCGGGTTGCTCTGGGGCTTGCAGCGAAGCTGGAGGAGCTCAAAGAGGAGATATCTGGGCTGCCGCCAAAAAGCGTGCCGGTGCACGACATTGACCTGTACAACCCAAAGGCATACGCGAAGCCGGGATACATTATAGCAGAAGAAGTCCAGACCATAACAGTGGGCGAGTACCACGAAATATGCGCGTATCTTTCGTCCATCAACTACAAGAACAGAGAAAACGCCGAGTCGCTTGGGCCCTTCACGGGGTCTTCTGCGCAGAAGAAGTGGGAGGACGCGCAGAAGATTTTGCAGGAGATAGAAAAGTCGGCGGACGAGCACGTCAGGCCCAGGTTGGCCATTGAGCTTCTGGAAAGCATGCACGGCATCCTCAACTTTGTGTCCTCGGGCGCGAACGAGATGGCGTGTCTGTTTTTCTGCCAAAACATCATTGGAAGCATTTTCATGCTCAACAACCAGTGGGCGCGCGCCGTGTGCATAAAGGTTGTGTACAAGATCTGCAGAATCTCGTACAGCTCTATGCGCGAGGTTTCGTCCTGGCTTATATACGCGGAAGACGAGAGAAAGTTCAACCCGAAAGTGATCATGCAGATGCTTGACCACAAAATAATGAACACGCTTGAGTACGACATCCATCTGGGGAACACTCTTGCCCGAAACGCGCAGAGAATGAAGTTTGCGGTGGGCCTTTTGAGGGCCTGCATTCTGACAGAGTACCCCGTGGGGAGCCCGTTTGACTACATATGCACAATAGAGGCCATCTCCAAGAGCACAAAGGGCCCGTTTGACGAAAGAGTGCGGGAGCTTCTTAAAGAAATTGCGAAGCGGATTTTCCTGCTGCGCAAGGACGACTCTGACCAAGAGCTGTTTGAAAAGTGGACAGACGTGTACTTCTACAAGATTCTAGGGAAGGAAAGAGCGTCCGCGCTGGAAGCCGTTTTGGTGGCCATTCGGGCAAAAACAGACACGCCCGCCGGGCGGCAGGAGTTTCTTAAGAGCGCGTTTGCCGCCTCTGTGGAGTCCTATCTCCGCGCGCGCAAGGAGTGCTCCCCCATTAAGTACATGAAAATCGAGTCGCTGGCCCTTTTGATTTCCACCTTGGTGAAGACCCCCGGAGAGCTATCGGACTGCCTCTGCATTGTGTCCGGGGTGTTCTTGGACGGGATTGAAATGCAGTACTACCAAATACAGAGCCTGTTTACCCGGCTTCTCCAAGTGCTGCTGGAAAACATTTCGGTTTTGTACGAGGACGCGGTTTTCGAGTTTCTCTCTGCCGTGCGCCCGTCTTTCCTGGGGTTCTTCCTCTCCGGCTTTGTAGAGCTCCTCTTTTCTAGCTACATCATCCGAAACATGTTCCTGCGCAACGCGTTTAGGGGCGTGTGCATCCTACAGTGGAAGTACCAGGCGCTGCGCACGCTGCCGCCTTCCGAGCATCTAGACTCCCTGGTGTATGCGTGCTCTGCGTTTGCCCTGCAGCTGAAAAAATACGCGCCCAACTTTTATTCGCACTACTCGTACCTTGCACTGCTGATGATTCCAACGTGCCCATCCGTGGTTTTGCTGCGCAACGCGTGGTCTCTGCAGAGACACCCGGCCTGTATGGAGCTTATTTCCCAGCACAAGCACCTCGTGCTCAACACAGAGTACTATATGCTGCTGATCAAGGTGAACGAGGCTGTGCAGAAAAAAGACCCAGATCTGCTTTTGCTGTCCGCAAACGAGGAGCTGCTGTCGCACATACTTGTGGACTCCCTCACCAACCAGCAAGACACGTCCAGAGTGTACTACGATATTATTCTTAATTTATTTGCACAGCCTGGAAAGATATCTTTTAAAGAACAGATCTTGGCCAGGCTGCTGGAAAAAAGCTGTGCGCCGCCGCCCAGGCCTGTATACATTCGGAAGGTTCTAGACACTCTGCTCAACGCGCAGATGTACATGGAGTCGCTGGGCGAAATTGTGCGGCGAGACAAAGATGTTCTTGGTAAGCTTATTGTCAGAGCGTCCACTTTTCTGGCAACAGAGGCCGTTCACAACTAAGGATTTGTGTTTATAAATGCATAGTATACACCTTTTCTCTGCTTTTTGTCTTTTTGATGGCCAAGCACTGCGCAGCCGCGCCAGCTTCTACGCCTGGCCTGCAAAAGGCGCAGGAAAATGCGCGCACAGAAAGCGCATGCGCTTGCTATTTCTTTCGGTTTTTCTTTTTCTTTTTCATGCTGCAGGATAAATATAGGCCCCAATCTCTCGAGGCCATGCAAAGAGTGTCTGCGGCGAATATTCTGAAAGGCCTTCCGCTGAGCTCAGTGTCCAACCTTATTCTGACGGGCCCAGAAGGAGCGGGAAAAAGAACTCTTTTTTCTGCCTTTATAAAGCACACGCTCCAAAGCACGCCGGTGTTCCACGCATACACGTCTACGTACGAAGTGTCTCCCTCCAAGTCGGTTGAGGTCGAGTTTTTGGAGAGCAAAGAGGTTCTGGAGGTGAAAATAGAGGGCCTTGGGGGGTACGACAAGAAAGTGCTGCAGAAGGTCGCGTCAGACATTTCGGCCACAAAGTCCATCAAAACCATAATAAGCATGAGCAGCAGCGGCGCCCAGGCCGGGACGCCCAAAGAAGCGGGAGCGAGCGCTCGGGCAAACATGCCAAAGATACTTCTCATACCGGACGGGCATCTTCTAAGCACAGGGGCGCAGATGGCGCTTCGAAGGGTTCTGGAAAAGGGTGCTTCGAACTTCCGGCTTGTTATTTTGACCACGTCGGTGTCGCATCTGATTCCTGCATTCCGAAGCAGGTTTCTGGTGTGCAGAGTCCCGTCTCCCACAGACCAGGAGCTGGCTGAGATGGTGCGCGAGATAGCTGTGGCCGAGGGCATGCCTGTGCCGTGCGAGGCCGTCAACAAGATAGTGAGCCTGTCGAATGGAAACATCCGAGTTGCGCTTTCGCTTTTGGAGCTTGCTATCCACCGAGAGCCTGTGTCTGAAGCCCCCTGGGACGCAACTATTTCCAGCCTGGTAAAGGGGATCCAAACGTCTCCAAGCATAAAGTTTCTTATCGAGACGCGAGGCGTGGTGTACTCTCTGCTGACGCAGCACCTCCCGGCAAACCACATCATGCTGTCTATAATGCAGGGCCTCCTCAAAAAAGAGAAAGCCGTTGACAGAGCCAAAACAATCACGGAGCTGGCCGCAAAGTACACGGGCAGGCTGTGTGCAGGGACAAAGGACATGTTCCACATCGAAGCATTTATAGCCAACGCCATGGTTCTGTACACCGAGTAGGACCGGGTTTGCTGTTGTCCCGCCCGCGCAGCATGCCACGCGAGGGCTTTTCTTTTGCGTGTGCAGCCTCTCTGGGCGCCCGGGTCTATGCGCGTGCAGGCGAGTTTGACAACCGGTCACAACAAATAAACATGCCATGTGTATTTACTCCCAGATGCCATAAACAACATAGAATGCTATCCAGAGTGGAAATAGAAACAAAAGACGGGCATTCCCTGCTTTCGTACACTGCGCCAAACCAGTTCTATGAGCTAAAAAAAGCCCCAATTTTTTCGCATTCCCAGAAGTTTGGCTCTCTTGTTTTTAAAGGCGTGTTTCTCAACTCAGAGGACCAGCTTATTGCCAAGCACATCCTCCGCTCAATGGTGGCCGACCTGTCTGTTGAGTCGGAAGACATCATTCTTAAAAAGCACGCCACAATATACGCCTACATCGACAACTATCTGTCTTCCAGAAACCTGGCGTTTCCGATTCCTCGGAGGAGAGTTGCATGCTCTGCGCCCTCTGTCTCAGCGCTGACCCCGAAGAAAAAGGTCTTTGTCGAGGTGACAGACAAGGTTTTTTTGCGGCTCTCGCATGGAAGAACAATCAGCACGTGCTACGGGCAAATTTCCACACGGCCCTCTGACGACGTGGGGCAAATGTCTCTGAAAATAGACTCAAGGTCCCTGTGCGGCCTCAAAAACATACAGTATGACTCTTCTGTGTGCAGACACAGAGAGGGCGTCACCACGCTGCTCACGTGCCCCTCAAAAGAGGCCGCTCTCATGACGTACACTTACTCCGGAAGCATTTCTGACCTTCCCTTGGCAAAGGCCATCCTGGTGGACACCAAGACAATAGAAATACTCCTCTGCTTCACCGCGGAAAAATACCCAGACTCGTTTAGCACATCTCTCTCGTTCGACTATCCTGTGGGAAGCATCAGCGTGGAGTGCAAGGAGGGAACATACGACTACAACAGCAGCAGCAGAACCCTTGTGTGGAAGCTGGGGGAGGTATCCGGGAACGTGTCGCTAACAGTGCACACGGCAAACCCGCACCGCTCAAGCGCGCTGGTCAAGTATGCATGCGTGTATGAAAAGACCGCCATCTCCAGCGTCATCGTAAAGAGTCTTGCGTCTGACGCGGATGAAAACTGGATAAAGCACAGCACGCAGGTGTCTGGGCTTATGCGCCTGCATGGGTAAACACGTTTTCTGCTAATTTGCATAGGCGAATAAAGACTCAACTGGGCACCTCTGGCTTTGTTTTTGTGTTCTGCGGGACAGGGTGTTTTGTCGCGCCTTCGGCGCTTGGCCTTCTTGGAGCTTTCTATCCACGGGCCGCAGCGCGTGAGTGCGTCTTTTCTTTTTTTCTAGCGCTGTAAAAACAAAGCGTATATTGCATGCATGGTGATGTATAGTTTATTTTTGCATTTGAACAAAAAGATTTCAATAGGGATAGAGCGCACATTTGGGTGCTTCTTCTACGAGTGGGCTGCCATGGTTTAGAAAGCAGCTAGCTGCAGCGGGCACTCGCACACGTAGCACTCCAAAGACAAACGTTTGGCAGGTAGAGGCCACGCGCAGGCTCATATAAGTAAGAGGGAGCGTATATAGACTCTGCCTTTGGCGAAGCATGCGCCTAGCGCAGCGCACTCTGCCAGGATTTGGCAGAAAGGGCAGAGGCCTAGGCATTTAGTCTGCAGGGAAGGCGCCTTGGAGAAGGCTGTAAGGGCGAGAGCCAAAGGCAGGGCTGAATGAAAAGATAGTGCACCATGATTTGCGCTGCCAAAGCCTATGCGAGTGGCAAAAAAACATTAATTCGGGGATCTTTTTGATACAATGCGCGAAAATCTAATATATATTTCTGTTATGTTTTACTTATATATTTCTTTTTTCTTTTTAATTATGGCAAAAGATCCTACACTTTCTCTTAGAAGGCACATAGCTACTCATGGCTCTCCTGTGGTGTCCTCGAAGACGGTCAAAATAGGAGCCGAATCGTACCCCGCAAACGCCAAGAGCGCATATAAGAACGCCCGAAGCCAGTATTATTCAATATCCTCCATATGCTATCTTTACAACACCAGATCATTAGACCACGGAGACTACATTATTTCCTGCAGAAGCGAGCAGATAGAGCCGGTTTCATACATGGACAGGGAAAAAATACTTGGCGACCTTACGCTGTCCTTTAAGCTCCCAGAGACATTTTCCATAAGGGCATCGCGCGAGAGCCCTATAGACGCCAAAGGAATGTTTCAGAGATACTACAAGCTAAAGAAGCTGCAGCCGGCAGGCTTGCAGTGCATACTGCTCCCCAGAGAGGAAGAAAACATCCGGTCTATACTATTCCCAAATGCGAACGGAGACATTGTTACACAAGGCGAGCACAGGTACAGGCTGGTGCAGGAGCCTTCCGAGATAGAGTCCATGGACAAGGTGGCAGCCGTGTTTCTAGATGGGTCGATGTGGCAGTTCAACGACTGGCCTTCGGGCCTGGTTGACCGAATGAAGCACATCCCTGTGTTTTTCTTGGCCAATGATGGCGAAGCCATTTTGCCATCTGCGATTTCCGCACCGGTTACTATCCTGGAGATAGACGACACGCCTGATTGTAACAATAGAATAGCAACCGCCTTTTGGTCTGTTATGGGCGCACCTTCCTACTCGGAAGGTGCTCAGAGCGGTGGCTATTCGCCATAGCATAGCATATTAATAAACGCAAAATTTAACATAGATTTGGCTGCGCCGCAGCCTTTGTGCAGACTCTGGAATAACTTGTGCTGTTTATTTTCGTAAATTGACTGCATGCCGCAGCATCCCAAAAAAGTGACACAGCCCTCCAGACTTTGAATTGCCATCTTTCGGCAGGCTTGGGGGAGTTCCTGCAGGGGCATTGCCTGTTGGCAGGCATATCCTCCGCAGCAGGTGACTCTGCTATAAAGGCTCCTGGATTGCATGCTGCTTGGCTGCTTGCTTTGTTTTTCGAAAGCGTTGTGGAAAGGAACGCTGCCTGTGCATAGAAAGACTGCCTGAAAACAGAACGGGGCTGGGCGGGCACAGTATGTATGCCCAGCAGCAAAATGAAGCCAGGCTATTTGTGGCGGTGGGCTGCGGGCTTTTGCATGCCTCTTCTCTTTTTGATTTCATGGTGGAGCGTAGCCAATCCTGTGGAAATTATGGTTATTAGGTTGCTCCAGCACAGAAAGTTCATGTTTCCTACGCCGCAAAACACAAGCATGTACCACACAATGCAGTCCAGGAAAAAGCCCAGCAGGGCAACTCCCAAGCAGGCGCCAAGTATTTTATCGCGAGGCTGCCCTCTGGTCAGCATGCACCACAGAAGAAGATAGCCTCGGTACCCCAGGTCCTTGAAGACCATTGCCATGTACAGCTTGCTGCTGGGCAGACTGGACAGCGTAGACATGCCGAGGAGGAAAATGTGGGTGGAGAAAAACAGCTCATGGAACATAGGCCTGTACTGCTCGATCATCTGGATGTTTACATACCAGTAGGCGTTGAGCCCAGGCGTGGTTACAGTGTGCGTGCTTTCTACACACACAAGCATAAGAAGAGGGGCCAGATGTTTTGCAAGGGCGCCGCTGTAGTACATGGAAAACAGAAGGCAGACAAGAGATGAAGGGTCGCTGGGAAACAGCGCGGAGAGCACAAAATACCATATATTTCCAAGAAAGTAGCTGGATATAAAGTCGCAGACAAGCGACATAATGCGGAAAACAGCAGGCGGGTTTTTGCTGACCAGCGATATCGCGCGGTGCAGAGCATACACCAGAAAAAAGGGCTTATCTGCTAGTGGATTGCCTGAAAAATACTCCTGCGCCTCTTCCACATCGTAGTATGAGTACTTGGACAGCATTTCACACAGAGAGAAGGGCTTTATTGCCACTGCTAGCCCTATCCAGAGCACGTTGCTCTTTATGTATGCAGCCAGGCTCCTTTTCATTTCCCAGAAATAAAAATAGGAGCAATTTATGTCTCTTGTGTGCGTGTTTTCAGCGCGTGCAAAAGCATGCAAAAGCGGCTCTTGGCAAAGGCGCTCCAAACACAGGCGAATTTGCGCTGCTTGCTTATTCACACATGCCAACAGTAAAGTACGCAACCAGCGCGCTCTCCTGCACCGCCTCGCAGGCGCCGCGCGCAAGCCTATGCTCGGCTTCTGAAAGGTAGGACATTTTTTTCCAAGCATCCTCGTGCTCTTCCTCTTTTACTATTTTGGCCATCTCGTTAATCACCTCTTTTAGCCCCAGGCCATACTCTACTCTAAGCGCTTCGAGCTTTTCCTTTGCACTCTCATACCTTTCTGTCCCCATCGCCGCCAGCACCTTCTTTACTTCGGTGTGCCTGGCTTCTTTGTAAAACTCGTTTACTTTTTCCAAAGACACGTCTTTGACCTCGCTGAGCATCAGCCCGTTGATCATATTAACGGCTCTTCGCAGGTCGCCTTGCGCCAGCTCGCAGATTCTCTGCACGCCGGGCTCGCTGCTGCGCCCGCCCTCCTTTTCAATGATCTCTGAAATAAAGCCTTGCATCTCCTCCGGCTTGACAGGCCCAAACCTAAACGGCGCGCACCGAGACTTTATTGCAGGAATGATTTTTGTGGAGTAGTTGCATATAATGATAAAGCGCACGTTCTTAGAGTACATCTCGATCACTCTCCTCAGCGCATTCTGCGCGTCTTTTGTCATGGAGTCGGCCTCGTCTAGTATGACCACTTTCATTTTGGACCCCATTCCAAACGTAGAGGCAAAGACTTTGATTTTGTCTCTGACAATGGAAATCCCTCTTTCGTCCGACGCGTTCAGCTCCATCACGTTTCCGTCCACCCTTTTTAGCGCCTCTCTGCATATTGCTTTTGCTGCAGTTGTCTTTCCCGTGCCGGGCGGGCCAAAGAGCAGAAAGTGCGGGATGTCTCCCGAGTCGACTATTGCCTGCAGAGCGTGCGTCACATGCACGTTCCCCACTAGACTGCGCAAGTACATAGGCCTATACTTTTCAGTAAGCGCTTGATTGCTAACAGACCCCATTAAAATAAAATAGGCAAAGAAATATAAAACAAGTGCAGAGCGCGCGCAGCCAGCCGCTTGCCACTTCGCTGCTGCTCAAGACGCCCAAACGCTTGCGCAGGGGCAGATAAAATAAAGGCACCTTTATTGAAGAGAGGCAGTTGCAGCGTGGAGCAACTCTTTTTGCTGTGCAACGCGATGCTGGCCAGCAAAAGCCCACTGCTGGGCACGGCAGCCAGCCAGCATTTATTGAGCTCTCTATGCCGCTGCGTGTGAAAATAGAGGCACGCTGCGCATTTCAAGCCTTGCACAGCTTTGGCACATCACAGAAAGCCCAGAGCTGCGCTTGCATTTCCCAAACGCACATAAATGCGGCGGGCAAGCTCTTCACAAAAAGCTTCCTACTTTTTCGGGTTGGTGTAGGCAGGGAATATTTCAGACACCTCTTTAACCTCCTCAGAGCCCACGTCTTTTCCAACTCTTGCCGAATATACATCGAGGGCAGACAAAAGGTTAAAGGCATACCGAAGCCCATGCTCTACAGCGAGCTCCGTCAGCGCAGCCACCCCGTCTTTTTTCATTTTGTCACATTCTTCGTTCACCCGGATTTCTATGATTCTTTTTATTTCGTCCTTGCTGTACTCGCCCAGGCGTATCTCAAGAACTCTGGAATAGAAGTCTGCGGAAATTCCGTACTTTTCTGCGCCTTTGCCGTTTTTGCTGGCCCAGGCATCCCCGTCGCTGCTCAGCACAACCACCGGGGACACGGATATCTCTGACAGGGTGTTTAGGAAGGCGTAGCACTCAGAATCCAGCAGCTCGGCCTCGTTTATGAAAAGAGCGCCGGTGACCAGGGTGCCTCTTCCCTCTTCGACCCAGTCCTTCATGGTGGTGTTCACAGACTCTCGTACTTCAACAGGTATTTCCCCAGTGCTCTCTCTCAGCGCGCTCTGCTTGCTGTTCAGCACATCGATGTCATGGAACGTCACCGTGTGGGTTTCCATCTGGGTCCTTAGGACCTCGCCGTCCGGGCATGGGATGTACTGGCCCATTGGGCCAATTGCCTCGTAGTCTCTTGCCTGGCCGAGCGACTTTCCCTTTTTCTTCACAGACCCTGTGGTTTTGTTGACTGTGATAATGTCCCCGGGCTCAATCCTTTCGGCGTGCATGGACTGCATTATCCCCACGCCAAAAGTGTACGCAGCCTCCATTTCGGTTGTTTTCAGAATAACTCTCCCCGAAGAAGCCCTTTCCCTGTCTGTCTGGATCTCTACAACTTCTCCCTCGAGAACCCGGTATGTTTCCTGCACGCAGATTCCAAGAGTTTCCCGAATGGCCTGCATGAGCGCCTCGGCCTTTCCCATGGACGAAGAAACAATTTCGCTTGCAGAAATGGCCTTGCACGGGATGTTTTTCTTTCGAAGGTCCATCATAAAGGCATGCTCCAAGGCGGACTTTCCCGACCCAGACGGGCCTGTTATCAAAATGGCCCTTCCCTTGTGCTGCTCCACAAGCTTAGATATCAGAAAAAGGGTTCTTCTCTCTTGCTGCCTCCCCACCAGCCCAGAGTGCTCAAAGTCCAGTTTCCTTGGGCAGTTTTCCTCAAACCCCGGAGAGGACGCGTTTTCCTCTCTTTCTCCGGATATTCCAAGTCCCAGTATGTGCGAGTGTGTTCCGACCCTCTCTAGTAGCGCAAGTGCATTAACTTTTTCAAACATAAAAAATATTCGGAAATGGAAAGTATAAAGAAGACACTGCAGGCCGTAATTTCCGCCCTGCTGAAAGAGGAGGGGTTTGAAAAAATTGAAGCACGGGCAATGGAGTCTCTTTCCACAGCCTTTTTCAACTACGCCATATACACGAGCAGTCGGCTGAAGCGGCAGTGCGAAATGAGCCGGAGGACGCTGCCCACCCTTGTGGACGCTGCAATTATGGTGCAGGAGATGTCTAACCAGAGAGAAAAGCAGAAAAAAGACGAGGGCTGGAAGATAGAAGGCATAGAGCTGGAAACGCTGAGCGAAACCCTAAACAAGTACAACGAAAACAGCACAAACCCTGTGCAGGTAAACATGGAGGACTCGTTTGAGGAAGAGAAGGAGTTTGCAAGCGAGGCATGCGCCTACGTTGAGTATCCGCAGAACTACTACGAGTTCCTTCCAAAGTTCCCGCCCGCGCACACGTTCAAAACCAGCACAATAAAGAGAAAGATAACCGACGACAGAGCGCAGAAGGCTCGCCTGCGGAACGAGCAGACAAAAAAGGTGGTTGAAAACCTGTTTTCTATAATGGAAAAGAGCGGAAAAACCCCCAAATACGCGAACTATCTTATGTAAGAATAGGCGCGATGTACGCATAAACACTGAAAGCAATTCGAAGGAGCACACAGAGCGGCGAGAGCGGGCCTGATGCGCGCAGACACACGAACATATTTTTGAAGCGCCAGCCCTAAATAAGACGCGCGCATCCTTTCTCGGGGTTGCTTCCGCCGCTTTTTGGCTTTTGTGCTGCGCACATGGCATGGCCTTCCTGCCGAGACTGGCGCCCTTTTGCGCTGCGCGACAGCCTGTCTAGCCTGCGCATATGATTAAATTATTTTGCAAAATCTACCTATGCGTCTGCAAATTGCGCTTTCTATTATGTTTTCGAGCTTTCCTATGATTTAAAAAATCAAAATGCAACATATTACATGATTTGCTTTTTATATTGGATCAAAAGTATAAGTGCATTTAGCATGGTTTTAGCGATATGAAAATGAACAAGAGAAAAACAAGAAAATGCATAGGGTGTTTGGCTGCCGCGCTTGGGGGGTGCTGGGTGATGGCAGCAGGCGGGCTTACGCCTGAGAAGAGCAGGGCCCCGGGGCCGAAGGGCCGGCCTGGCAAATACAGCCCACCTACGGGCAATCTACTCCTGGGTGCTTCTCTAGAAAGCGAAAGAAAGCCCGCATATCCCTTCCACATTCCTACAAGACAGCGCATGCCAAACGCAGCAATAGCTTCCAAGCAGTCTAACAGAGCGCCTGCCCTAGCCCAGAATATAAATTCCATGCAGGAAATCATTCGCAATGCGTTTAAAGGCCTAAAGCAAAACACGTTTTTGGAGTTTATAGCTAGGCTTGGCGCTGGCATTGACGTAAAAAAGCGTGCGCTTTTAGAAATATACAAAAACCCCCAAAAGTATCTGTATCTTAAGGCAGTCGCAGAGTGGGACATCAGCATAGTTTTCCAGGCGGTTCGCTTTGCCTTCACACACTCTCCGGATGCAAACATTAAATTAAGAAAAGACACGGCTCGGCCAGAACTCGCTGAAACCTGCGCGCTGAGCAGCGGAGACATTTTTTTGTTTCTCAAAGACCAGAGAAGTGACGACGCGCTGGTTATGGAGTGCTGCATGCAAAAGCTGGGGGTGCTCAAAAGGATAAAAGCCCTGCCAGCTGCAGTGCGGTCTTTGCTCAGCATACCCGAAATATTTCACGACCTCAAAAGCTTCAGCCAAAGCTTTTTCCTTTCGGCAAGGGCGCAGTGCAAAGACACGGCGGGCGAAAATCTGCTCTGCGCAGCGAGGGATAAGAGTTTCGGCCTGCTTTTTATTAAAAATTCGGATCTCATTAGCGTTGTGGAAGGCCTGGCAGACATAGCAAAAGCAGTTGCCTGCCCAGAAGAAGCAGGCGGGTCTGAAAAGAAGTACATAGACGCGCTTGAAAAAACAGAAAAAACTCTATGCCGCGTGATGTTTGGCGAGGAGGAAGACTCGCTAGACGCGCAAAAGAAAAAAAACATACAAAACGTGTATAGAATCCTATACCAGGCCATGGCATTGTTCTACGAGCTGTGCCCGTACTATGGAGAAAAAGCCAAGATTCAGGGAAAGCAGGTGATATTTATCGAAAAGCACCGCAAAAGTACATTCAATGTGTGCAGCCAGACACAGAAGGCCTTCTACAGCAATGTTATGCAATGGGAAACCGAAGCAAGCCAGCTTGGCGATTACGAAAAATGCAGCATTGGGGTAAAGCTGCATAATGTGTACTACGTTGACAACGAGGAGCAGGTGCAGATGTCTGTGATAGTTCCCAAAACAGCGCAGGGAATGGCGTGCACAGAAATAATAAGATACATTTCCGATATGTATGAAAAGCCGATAGAAAAAATACATGTGTTTGGGTTTGACAAAAATCTCCGCACGTGGTCGTATAAGGACCCCAGCCGCACAGTGTACTTTGGCGCCGAGAAAAAAAACCCAGAGCTTCTTGTGTTCTACTACATATGGGAGACAAACATGGGCAGGACGCCGGTCGATCTTGCAATGGTTGAGTTTAGGCCGGCCCGCAGACAAAACGCGAAAAAAGAAAACACGCTGCATCTCCCCTTGTTCTTCAACAGGTTTCTGGTCCAGGGCATAGGCCTCTCCCAGTGTGTGCAGCAGCCTGCTTTCCCGGAAACAGGCCTGTTTTTTTTTGAGAATTTAGAGCAGGTGAAGGGGGTAAAGGCGAATGTGTTTTTTTCTGCGTCTAATAGGCCTGAGCTTTACTACTACCCGCTGCTTTCAATAGACATGGAGAACAACAAGAACCACTTGGACATGCTGCTGGCCAGAAGCCTTACTAGATCGGCGCCGTGCGCGGACTGCGAAAAAAAAAGCTGGACAACTGTTTCCTACTACACCAAAGCGCACAAGCTCGGGCAGTACTACTGCTCAGAGCTTCTTCCGGACATGACGGATGCGTATGGCACACACAAAGGGTGGACCCTATATGGAGACGAGGCAAAAACCGTTGTGGCCGCATGGGAGGAGGAGCCAGCCCAGAACAGCGTTATAGTATCTTCCAATGGCCAATATCTGGTGCCGAAAAGCATTTACATTATTTCGAATCAAAGTAAAAGCCCGGCGCTGCTGAGCCTGCTCCACATAGAAAGGTATTTTTCGCCAAGCAGCAAGTTTCAAAAGTATGTGATTCTGCACCCCTCGCGGCGCCTGCAGCTTTTCCAGATAGGCGTGTACAGTGATTTGCTTCAGCATATGCTGGCATAAACCCAATAAATACACACAGGGCCTTTTCAGATTTCATAAATTCACATGGGGAAGCGCCGCCACAAACAGCGCGATATGACTGCCAGATTTTCTGCGTGCTTTATCAGGCTTGCACTTGGCAATTAATAAGGTAGAAAAACTTGGCACGGCCGCAAGCCAAACAGCCTTCATGTTGCGCTGCAGTCTGATCTTGACTAATGCTAGTTTATTTCATGCTTCAAACAAAGCGTTTGGATTTTATTGCAATTCCTATGAAATCGCGCTTTAAAGAAGAAACCAATTATACATTGCATGTCTGCGCTTCCACGTTTGGCCCGGTATGGTAGGCCTGAAAGGCCTCTGCAGCACGCCCATTTCCTTTATAGCTGGGTTGTAGGCCTGCGCAGTGCAAGCGCTGCAATGGAAATTTCCAAAGAACGGACCCGTCTTTGCGCCGATGCTTTCGGGGGAAGAAAAGTGTACCACGCAGGCGCGCAGAAGAGGAGGCGACTGGGCCCAAGCAGTGCCTAGCGCCTTTTCCGGCTGGGCTTGCTTTAAATAGCCCATTGCTAGGGCTTCTCTAGAAAGCCCACGCCTCATTGAGTTGCTTTCTTTTCCGTGCCCAAAGCGGGCGCCATCTAATGCAAAGGCATCCATGAACATTTTGATCTACAAGAGCCGCGAAACAATTAGATCCCCACAGCATGCAACCATCATAAAGATACGATCACAATCCACGGAGAATACTAGCTGGCTGGAGCTTTGCACACACTGTGCGAAGCCACTTTTGGCCTGCTGCCAGCCTGCAAAAAGGCCGGCGACAGGTCCACGCCTGCGCATCTATATTTTCTGGCACAGGCACCGCCGAATCCGCTATGTTCCTGGCTGCTCTCTGTTCTGGTCTTCTGTAGTCTTCTGGCGTTTTTTGTGCTCGCCCTCGAAGAGAATTTTCATTTGCTTTACAAATAAGAACAGGTCGTGCCCGCTCTCAAGCTCCTCCAAAAAGGGCTTGTACGCTTTTTCCTCCACGCTGGCGCTCAGTATGCTGTACGTGTCGCTCACTGTGATTTGGAAGTAGTGCTCGCTCTTCTCAAGCCTAAACAGAAACAGCACAGACCCGTCTTCAACCGCGCTTATTTTCATGTTGAGGAGCGCAGAATAGCGCTGCACGTCTTTCTGGACTTTTTCTCGGGCCTTTTCCTCCCGCTCCTCCTCCTGCTTAAGGGCTCTGCGGAGCTGCGCCACCTGCGAGGACGCCTGCGAAAGCGAGGTTTCCAGGCCGTGCTTTTTCATGTGCGCCTGCCGCATCCTCTCCTCCATGTTTTGCTGCGCAAGCTTCATGGTTTTCACCTCTTCGTGCTCGCTCTCGGTTTCCTGGGCCAGCTGCTGTCTCTCTTCCAGCAGCTTTGCGTTTTCGTCCTTCAGCTGCGAAAGCGTGTCCTGCAGAAGAGCCTCTCTTCGCATGCACTGCTGCTTCTTCTGCTGGTGCTGTCTTTGCGTGGCGTGCGCAGTCTCTGTGATCCACTTTCCCATCGCTTGGGCCTGCCGTATTATATCTTCCCCCGCCTTTTTTATCTGCTCAAGTGTGGTCTCTGTTTTGCCCCGCATTCCGTCCACTGCCGCGTCTTTTCTTGCGTTTTCTGCTGCCTCCATCTATAAATAAATGGATTTGCATAAAAAATAAGAATGAATGAAGAAGACAGCGTATTAAGGCATTGTGCTTGCTGCAAAATGCCTCCAACAATACTTCTTGCACAGAGCACCTTCTGCACAAAGTGCTTCCTGGACAGGCTCGAGCGGGGGTTCTTCTCAGAGATTAGGAAGGCGCTTTCGCACACATTCCGGAGCAAAATGCGGAAAGTTCTAGTGGTGATTGATGAAACTCTGTCGTCGCAGGCAGTGCAGAGCCTCACCAGGAGAAGCACTGCCGCCATGATAGCGTACGACTACTGCACGTTTTCCCAGGACAAGCCCGACTGCATACATCTTGTATCAAAAGATAGCAGCCACAGCAGCAGGGTAGAGGCTGCGAAGGAGTACGGGCTAGAGCATGGGTACGACTGCGTCATATTCAGCCACTACTCGGTGGAGGTTGCATACGAGATTCTTAAAATGATCACGGTTGGCGAAATTGTGCAGTACACCACGGCCTTCAAAGGCACCAAAACAATGACAGTGTGCTACCCATTCTACGCGCTTTCCTACAAGTCAATTCTCTACTTCTGCTTCCACACAGGTCTGCTGCACGCTCCGTTTGGGATAAAGGCAGACTCCAGCAAGGAAAACAAGGCACACAGAGTTCTGCTGAGAGACTTGCTAAAAAACTCGCCGGCAAGCATACTGAATCTTATTAAAATACAGAGAAGAGTAGAAGAAATGTAAAGCAAACGCAGAGTTGTCTGCTACATTGCGAGTCTTCTTCGCATCATCGAACATTCTATCTTAATAAAGCACTAGGAGTTCTTCAAGGCAGGCTCATCCAAAAAATGTTTTTTGGCAGGGCTTTCCGCCTCTTTGCCTCAAGCTTGGCTTTTGTTTTTTGCCTGCATGTGAAGGGCACTCCGTGCGAAACTAGGCAGGAAAAAGTATTTTTGGCTCTCTTTAGTTTGAAAATAAAATGGAGGAAGACTCTTTGGCCTGTACAATTCCCCATCTTTTTCGGGCGCTGGACCTGCGGAAGAAGTACATGAGAATAAGCAAGCAGAACAAATCATGGCGCGAATACGGCGTGCCCGCCGGCATATCGGCGGTTAAAAAGGACTCGCACTGGGTTTTGGTTAACGATGATGTTGCGATTCCCTCCGTGGCAGAGTACCACAAGGACCTTGAGTTCATCACGTCAATTATCCACAACGGTCCGCTGAAGTCGTTTTGCTACCAGCGGCTGGAGCACCTGGAGCTGCAGTTCAAAATCCACCTAAACCAGTCCCATGGGAGGGAAAAGAAAGAGCAAAGAACGCTCTCAAATAGGGACTTCTACACGGTGTTCAAGGCAGACACTCACCTGCACCACTCGGCGAGCATGAACTCAAAGAAGCTTCTGAAGTACATTAAGAAGAAGCTAAGAGACTCGCCGGAGGACGAGGTGTACAGAGACAAAGCAGGGGAAGTGCACACCCTATCCAACATCTTTTCTGGAATAAACAAGACAGTGGACACGCTGTGCCTAGACAGCCTGGGCACGCACTCCAACCTGGAAACCTTCCACCGGTTTGACCGGTTCAACTCCAAGTACAACCCGTACGGGACGCCCATTCTCAGGGAGGTTTTTCTCAAGCACGACAACTTTATCCAAGGCAAGTATCTGGCGGAGCTGACGCAGGAGCTGATCGAGGAGGTCGAGGAAAAGGAGTATCTCAAGTGCGAGTGGGGCGTGTCGCTCTACGGAAAGAAGGAGAAAGAGCTGGAGGTGCTTAGCACATGGGTGCATGCAAACGGGCTGTACAGCCGCGACATTCGGTGGTACCTGCAGGTGCCAAGGCTCTACGGCGTCTTCAAAGGATATGGAAACATCGGCAACTATGCCGAGTTTCTCTGCAACGTCTTCAGCGAGCTCATAGAGGCATCGCAGCGCCCAAAGGCAGGCACGGCGGACGGAGCAGACGCGCACAGCGTCATAGACCGGTTTTTGGACGATGTGGTTGGAATCGACTCGGTGGACGACGAGGGCGTCAAGGACAAGAGGTCCGGCGCAGAAAAAGACCACCCCAGCGCATGGAGCAGGCCGGAAAACCCGCCGTACTCTCTATACATGTACTATATGTACTACTACGTTTCTGTTGCGAACAGGCTGCGGGCAAGCCGGGGGAAAAATCTTCTGTGCTTTAGGCCGCACTCTGGGGAGTCTGGCGACCCTGACCATCTGGCGGCTGCTTTCCTGTGCGCCAAAAGCATTGCCCACGGCGTCAAGCTCCGAAAGTCCCCTGTGCTCCAGTACCTGTATTATTTGGCGCAGATCGGCATAGCCATGTCTCCGCTGAGCAACAACTCCCTGTTTATAGAGTACCGGAAAAACCCGTTTCCCATGTACTTCTATAGGGGGCTGAACGTGTCTCTCTCAACTGACGACCCTTTGCAGTTTCACTACACACGAGAGCCGCTGATGGAGGAGTATAGCATAGCGTCCCAGATATGGAAGCTGTCGTCGTGCGACCAGTGCGAGATAGCGCGAAACAGCGTGCTTTTGAGCAACTTTCCCCGGGAGGAAAAGGAAAAATGGATAGGAAAGTACGAGGAGAACGGGCGCTCTGCAAACGACCACACCATGTCAAACGTGCCGCCAACAAGGTTTCAGTACAGGATGAACAGAATATCGGAGGAATACGAGATTCTGGAAAAGTACGCGAGTAGGCCGGGGCTCTCTGCCTCAAGGGAAAACTAGGCGTTTAACTGCTTCCAGACACGGTGCTTTATTACAAATGCATTAAATCGACTTCTGGGTATGCACCCCACATAGAGCGCCCCTGCATGCTAGTAGGATATAAAGCTATTTCTGCTCGGGGGGATCAGTTCTGTGTCCCAGTTAAAGAGATAGTAGTTTATGGTTCCGTCCCCCTTTATAAACCCCGAGTCGGCAAATATGCTCTGTGTGTTGCTCTCAATTTCCAAGGCGTTCAGCACGTCAAACTCGTCCGTGCCTCGCAAATACTGGATCAGGCCCAGCATGCTGCCCACGCCGTGCTTCATTGTGTGGTACGACAGATACGCCGTTTCTATGGGCACCTTGCTGTCCACAGACCGGGTGGACAGGTGGAAGAACGAAACAAACTCGCTCGCGTCCTCGCTCACCAGCAAGCGCGACAGGCCCCTGCCGTCTCCGTACACGTAGTACTTGAACTGCTCGTATGTGAACGACGCAGAAATGTCCAGATCTTTGTACTTGCTGCAGTACATTTCGTATACCCCGGGAAGCTCGCTTTCCTGCGCTGGGCGAAAGTGGACGGTGGGCGAGTCCTGAAATATCATGCGGCTTTCCGTTATTTTGTCAATGTCTTCTTGGTCGCAGAACCCGCTTTCCACAAGGTCTCCTTCTCGCAGTATTTTGTGGTAGTATCTCGACCGGGTGAATATGTACGGCAGCTTGTCGCCAGACGTGAATAAAGCGGTGTATATCCCTTTTAAGTTCACCCTCTTTGTTATTTCCTTGATTAAAACGGGCGCAAGCCGCCTCTTCCGGTAGTCCTTGTGCACGCACAGGAAGTTCACCACCGCCGTCTTGGGCGTAGACTCTTTGATTTTTATGTCAATTGCGGCTGCAGATATAAACCCAACCAGGCGGCTGCCGTCAAACATCCCAATATTCCACTCTGGAAAAACACTCGGGGACTCTAGCTGCCATCTAAGGAACTCCGGCGAGTACTGCAGGCGAAACCTGGCTTCTGCGTCCTCAACATAGTGGTCCATCAGAAACGACGCAACCGCAGAAAGCTCGCACGCAATGTCCACGGTCCGTATGTCCAGCCCTGCGGCGCCTTCGGCAGAAGAAGACCCGCTGCCTTTGCAGGACGCCTGGCTTTTTCCAAGCGGCTCCTTAGACCAGAAAGCATGCTCCTTCAAAAGCACCTCGTTCACAACTTTGTATGCAGTCCTGTTTTTTTCTTCTCTTGTTCGCTCTTTTATTTTATCGTTTTTCTCGATTTCGCTGCTGCTTCTTTTCCCTTCTTCAGACATTTGTTTATAAAAAAAGGAATGGCGAAAGAAAAGAGAAGGATTTTCATTAAAGAGGAGGACATGGCAGAGGACATAGAGAGAATAATAAAAGGCTGGAGGTCTGCCGAAGTGGGCAGCATGCTGGAGGAGATAAAACGAGTTGAGAACGAATAAACTTTTTCAAGAAATTTGCAAAGAGTATGGCACACAAGAAGAGCGAGTGCGGCGCGCACACAGAGAAGAGCACGGGCGCTGTGCAGAGCGGACGCAAGGCAGGAAAAAAGGAAAATTCATCCGCGCACGATGCGCTTCCGCTCTCCTACATAGACAGATACTCTAGACAAATGGTGATAAAGGAGGTCGGGCTTGAGGGGCAGAAAAAGCTGAAGAGTTCGCGGGTTCTTGTGGTGGGTGCTGGCGGGCTGGGCGCACCCGTTCTTACGTATCTGGCAGCCATGGGAATAGGGCACATTGGCGTTGCAGACTCGGACCTTGTTGAGGAGTCAAATCTGAACAGGCAGGTCCTGTACCGAGAAAGCTCGGTCGGCATACCCAAAACAGAAGAGGCTGTTAAGGCGCTGCGCGCGCTGGGGTCGGCTATAGAGTATTCGGAGTACCCCAAAATCACGCCTGAGAACATTTGGGCAGTGGGGGCTGGATACGACTTGGTGCTGGACTGCGGAGACAGCAGGCCGCTGCGGTACCTGCTAAGCGACTACAGCCGCGTTAGAGGCATTCCATACGTGGGCGGCTCGTCGCTGCGCTGGGAGGGGCACGTGTACACTTTGAGCAGCTTGTGCTATAGGTGCGTCCACAAGCCGACAGGATTCTACTCAAGCGGAACGTGCTCGTCTGCTGGCATAATAGGAAGCATGTGCGGGGTGGTTGGGTCAATAATGGCGACCGAGGCCATGAAGGCAGTGCTGGGGGTGGCGGCCGGAGATGCCATGCTGTACATAAATGGGCTAAAAAGCGACTTCATGCGCCTGCAGCTGAACAAGAAGAAGTGCAATGTGTGCAGCAGGCTGCCGATGCTGACTCTCCCAGAGGCAAAAAACGCAGTGTTTCAGGAGTTTGCGAAGCTTGAGGCAGTAGAGGCAAAAGCCGGCGCCTGCCTGCTTAGCGACGTTTTGGAGAAGCTGGAGGCGTCTGCAAAAGAAAGCGCCCCCGGGAAGGCTGCAGCTCGGGAAAAGACAAAATCTCAGGGCGAGGCGGAAGAGTCTGTCCACGACCGCCTGGCAGACATGAGCATATATGGACAGAGTCTAGACCCAAACGTGGAGGTGGCGTGGGCAGGGGTTTTGGAAAACCCAGGCAAATACTTTGTCCTAGACATGCGGTCGGCGGCCGAGCACAAGATACTCCCCATTCCGCGCGCGACTGTGTACGCGCTTGGAGACATAATCGACAACCCGAAGAAGGCCCGAGACTATGTTGCCAAGAAGGCAAAGAGCCGGAAGGTGGTGCTTTGCTGTAGAAATGGAAGCACGTCCAGAAAGTTTATAAGAATATTTGGCGGATTGAGCATACACGGAGGCGCGCAGGCATATATCGAGCACAAGAGACATGCAGAGGCAGGGAAATAAAGACACAGCGTTATGCCAAAGACCAAATTTATTTCAAGGAGGTTTCCAGGCAGAGGCGCCGGAATGTTTGCTACAGAGCAGGTGTGTTTTGGGTTTTTCTTGACAGGAGTGCGGCAGAACCCAGTTTTTATTTTTATGAATTTTCTCCCTTCTCCATCTTCTCAAGGCCGTTTATGGTTTTGAGGATGTAGTTTGTGTATGTAACCACGATGTGCGCGCTTTTTATGAGACGCCCCGACTCCTCCACACGGATGACTAGATCCTTTCCGTCGTCTACTATCTCCAGGCCTTCAACAACGCCCGAAAGCGCTTCTTTCAACACTCTGTTGTTCTTTGTCGATATTCTTAACTCAAACCGGCTCTTCATTTAATTTTTTAATGGAATACATATTAAAAGTAAGCAGCAAAGAAGAGCTCCGCGGAAAACTGGTTTTTGTGGACGAGTATCTGGGCGCAAACAGCGACTCTTTTATTTCTGAGGTGATGGAGGCGTTTCCGTCGCACCGCGTGGTTTCCTACTACAAGCTGCCGGCAGAGTACAGAACGGAAAATGCGGTGTCTTTTCTGGACAGCGAATATCAAAAAGATGGTTTCACTCAAGACAGTGACATTTTGATAATTGATGGGTGGAGAAACCGGAGCAATGCAGTGGAGAGGGGCGAGCTTGTGCTGCAGGACAGCGAGGACAGAGAGTGCATGCGCGTTCCGGTGAAAAACAAAACAGTGTTTCTTATCAGCAGGTCGATACAGCAGGCCAACTACTCCGACCTGTACAAGGGCTTCATGCTGGTCAGCATGCACCCGCTGAAGATATCCACAGAGCACACGCACCGCCTGCAAATAACAGTGCGCGAAACTAGGAAGGAGGTGGCTCTCCTGTACCACCACAAAGCCCCCAGAAAATACACACTGTGTGCATGAGCGGCGGGTTTTATTGCGCCCTAGCAAGGGCGAGTTTTCGCGCAGGCATGCGCACGCGAAGCTGCGGCAGGCGCAGGAAAGTCTAAGTATTTAGTTTGCTTATTTTTTTTATGCATGAGCAGAAATGAGTTTCTATCCCTAAGTAGAGAGGGGGAAAACATGCAAGGCAGCGTTTACATGGTGAGCGGGCCTGTTGTGATTGCAGAAAACATGCTGGGGTGTGCCATGTATGAGCTGGCCAAGGTGGGGCACCAGGGGCTTATGGGCGAGGTGATTAAGATAGAAGGCGACAAGATTACGATACAGGTCTATGAAGAAACATCTGGGCTTGGGGTGGGCGACCCGGTTGTTCGCCTCGGGCATCCTCTGTGCGTTGAGCTGGGCCCGGGCCTGCTGGACAACATATTCGACGGAATACAGAGGCCGCTGCGGCAGATATACACGGAAACAAAAAGCCTGTACATTCCCAACGGGATATCCATGCCTGCGCTGGACAGAAACAAGAGGTGGAGGTTTACGCCATGCGTGGCGGTGGGGGACAAGCTCAAGGCCGGCGACATCTTTGGGACTGTGCTGGAAAACACGCTGCTGACTCTGCGGCTCATGGTTTCTCCAAAGAGCGCGGGAGGTGTTGTCACAAAAATAGCGAGCGAGGGCGAGTACACCGTGGAAGAGGTCCTTTTGGAAATAGAGGCGAACGGGAGGGCCAGCCAGGAGAAAATGTACCAGGTCTGGCCAGTTAGGTCCCCCAGGCCCATAAAGAAAAAGCTGACGCCTGTGCAGCAGCTTTTCACGGGGCAGCGGTTGCTAGACTCGATGTTCCCGTGCGTGCAGGGAGGAACCGCAGCCATCCCGGGGGCGTTTGGGTGTGGAAAGACCGTCATATCGCAGTCTCTGTCCAAGTACTCGAACTCCGACGTGATTGTGTATGTAGGGTGTGGAGAAAGAGGGAACGAGATGAGCGAGGTGCTGGAAGAGTTCCCCACGCTGAAGACCCAGATTGACGGGCGGGAGGAGTCCATCATGAAAAGAACTGTTTTAATAGCAAACACCTCAAACATGCCGGTGGCTGCCAGAGAGGCGTCTATCTACACGGGGATAACCATAGCAGAGTACTACCGAGACCAAGGGTACAACGTGGCCATGATGGCAGACTCGACGTCCAGGTGGGCAGAAGCGCTCAGAGAAATAAGCGGGCGGCTGGCTGAAATGCCTGCAGACAGCGGATATCCTGCGTATCTGGGCGCCCGCTTGGCGTTTTTCTACGAGAGGGCAGGGTACACCGAGTGCCTGGGCAGCAACGACAGAAAAGGAAGCGTCACCGTGGTGGGCGCAGTGTCGCCGCCGGGCGGAGACTTTTCGGACCCGGTGACAGCGGCCACGCTGGGAATAGTGCAGGTGTTCTGGGGGCTGGACAAGAAGCTTGCGCAGAGAAAGCACTTTCCAAGTGTGAACTGGAACCTGAGCTACTCAAAGTACATCGACCTTCTTTCGGGGCACCACATAAAGTACAATGCAGAGTACCCGCAGTCGATGCGCACCATCAAGGAGCTGCTGCAGAAGGAGGAGGCGCTTAGCGAAATAGTGCAGCTGGTTGGAAAAGGGTCGCTGGGCGAGCTGGAGAAGCTGGAGATGAGCATTGCCAAGGTTGTAAAGGAGGACTTCATGCAGCAGAACGGTGTGTCCTCATACGACAAGTACTGCCCGTTCTACAAAACAGTTCTTATGAGCAACACCATTGTGTCGTACTACAATGTATGCAAAGACCTAATAGAAACGAGAGTGGTCCCCTCCTGGGAGTTTCTGCTGAACGAAACCCAGGAGATATACTATAGGCTAACCCGGATGAAGTTTGAAGACCCAGTAAAGGGGGAGAAGGCAATAACGAGCAGCATTGCAGAAATAAACAAAAGCATATCCTCTGCGGTCCGTGTGCTGACTGAGTAGCCGTGTGCGCGGAAACACGCAAGGCCCGGGCACGAATGCACCCCAAAATAAACTCTTTAATTGAATTTAATCTGGCCTTTGGGCGCTTGTCTTACTTGCAGCGTAGGAAAAAGCCTGGGCATGCGTGGCCGCGCGTGCTTGGCACATAAGGCTGCAACTAAAAGCCAACAGCTCAACCCACATTTAGTTGTGGCGCGTGCTTGTTCAGAACTTTGTTTCAGTTTATTGGTTTTCTTTTACTGACCAACGCTGCTTCTTCGGCTCCTCTTGGCGATCATTTTGAGCTTTCGGCGCCAGGTTGGCCTACAGTATGGGGGCCTGTTTACGCCTTGCCCTCCGAAGGGCCACACGCAGAAAACTCGCATACCTTGGCATGCGTGGCTCCAGACGCTGCGCCCAATCTCCCCTTGTCTGGGGCTCACAGTCAGGGGCTTTTCCGAGCTCTCTTCCTCGACTATTGGTAGAGCCACACGCTTACACCGAGCAGGCTCCCCTTAGCGTTTCGCGTTAGACCCACCCGGGCACCCGCACTTAGAAGTGGCGGGAAGTGCCTGCTGGCATTCAGTCCCGGCGCCCTCTGCCTTACAGCCCAGCTTGGCCAAAGCAGGCTACCGAAGAAAGCCGTTGCACTCTGGCCAAGCGCATGAGCCGTAAGCCCCTTCTTGCACGCGATTAGCGCATTCGGTTTGGCCACTTGTCATTTTGGGGGTTACGGGGGATTTATTAATTTGTGCAAATTTGACTGATTGCTGCATCTTTCCCCTAAGGATCTAGTTTACCAATTACTTGAAATCTACACATAGTAAAATATTTTAGAAAAAACAGTAGGAAAGAAAAATGTTCTCAAGGATGGGTGTAAAGAAAAATAAAATACTAGCCATGGCGGCTGCAGCGCTGCTGCTTGTTTTGTGCATTGCCGCGTTTTTCTCGATTAGAATGTACATGGGAAAATCTAAACCGAAGAAGGTTTCCACCAAAGCGAATGCTGTGCCAGTAGCCACAAACTTTTGGGTGGCTACAGATATGCAAGACTTAGACGCAATTCTTCTGTATACCGCCGAGAAGATAGGCGACAAAAAGTTTCTGCAGAGGCCTCTGCTGACAGCAGCGGCTAATGACGCTGCAAGCGATGTGGAGAAGAGAAATGAGGCCAAAGCCCGGCAGGCCAAAATGGAGAAGGCGCTTGCCAGTTTTATAAAAAAGAACATTGACTTTGTGGAAAAGAACAAAAGCCCCATGAACCGGATTGTCAGAGACGTTTTGAAGAGCCACACGTACTTAAGATACATGCTGCTGGCCAGCGAAACTCCGGAAAAAACGCTAATTAATCTAAAGCTTCTCGACAGCAGAGGGGAAGTTTCCCAGAAAACCATTGAAAACACAGTTGACTGGCTGCTGAGTGGGCATAAGAAAAGGACCATTGCGGTCATAAAGAACTTGCTGTCTGCCGAGCTTGCAAAGACCGAAATAGGCGACCGCATGGAAGCCACAATCACGGTTCTGCTGCAGATCATTGCAAACAGCCCACCCCGCGCCACAGCCAGCAGAGCAGTGAACGACTCCGACACGCTCTGCACTGTTTTGTGCCAAATTGAGAAAGAAATACAACGGCTGATATACTCGCACAACATGTGCAACAATAAGATAAACGCAAAAAACAACATGCAGTATACCCAGACGGAGATAAACGAGATTGCAAGCAAAATGAAGAAGTTCCACAACATGCAAAAGCTGGGACACATGACCGAGCAGGAGTACACGCTGTATGCAATCATTGGGCTGGTTTCTGAGGTGCAGTGTGCAGCGAACATGGACAACCAAATGTATCTTGAAACGCTCTCCAGCAGGCTAAAAAAGATTATAAGCGTGGATATTCTAGGCAACGACCTCCTGGATGTAAACAGCGGCTTCCCGATGTTTACCGCTGAGCTTCAGGAGTACATTGGAGTAGACTCCGGTAATGGCGACATGGGGGTTTTTGTTAAGAGCATACACGATAGAAGCAAAGCCATAGAAAAGCTGGTGTACGAAATAAGCCAAGGAAACGGGAAAGTCGATGATATTAAAAAGCTGGGAGATCTAAGCAACATGATAGACATGCGGCTAAAGGAGATCAAGCAGGTTGCAGGGTTCACAGGGATATTTGTTACGTACATTTCCACATTGGTAGACTACACATTGGGAAGCAATGCACACGAGTACATGCTTGTCGAAATGGCTAGGTGCTATATGTCGCTCATTGAGCACAAACTTTCCTTGCCCGTTGAAGACACTCTTCTGTTCAAGCTAGAGAACAGCACAATTGCTCGCAAGCTTGTTCAATTGGAAGCCGAAAAAGGAAAAATGCAGTGTATTGACATGCATTCCCAGGAGGTGTATCTTTTCAAGCGCGAGGAGAAGACAGGAAGCGAGCCACAGTGTTTGGTAAAGAGATGCATCGAGGGGTGCGCACTCAAAATGAAAAATGTGATGGCCGCTGTCAATGCAGGCAAACAAAAATAGGCAGAAAGTCCTGCGAAAAAAGTAGAACTTGAAGAATAAAAACTATTGAGCGCCAATGTCTTCCACCATATGTGTTTTGCAAAAAGCAAGAAGGGCTTTGGGTGTTTCTATGCTGCGCCACAAATCGATGGGCGCGCTTTTAAACGCTCTTTTTGGCGGCAGCCGCGCAACTGCAACCAAAACGCATGCCAATGGAACAAGAAAAAACTCCAGGGCTGCTTTGGAGTCTGCCAAGCTGCTATCAATCGAAAGCCGAATAACACACAGCCAGCTTTATTTTCAACCAGACTCGCCGAAAGTGCAATAAAAGGACGGCGCGCCTGCCCAGAACAGCAATGCATTGCAGCATCTGTTTCATTCTGCGCCTTCATGCGCTTTGCAGGCTACTCATTTGTAAAAACATAGATGCGCAGGCCGTCGCTTTCTATCACGCCGCGCGCAACTCCCTCCTGCACCCTTCTCTTAACAACAGCGAGCGAGACCAGCTCCGCATCTGTGGTTATGTACAGATATTTCCCCAGCTGAGTGGCGTTTTTGAGGCTTATTTTCTTGCTTGAGCGCTTCAAGCATTTTAGAAAGTTGTCCTCTTCTGAGTTGGATTTTCCTATTAGCTCTTTCGCTAGGCTAAATCCATCCATAAAATATTTTTGCGCTCTTGCATATAGCTGCCTGCACCTTCAACAGCCCGCCGCCCACACACTGACCGCCATAAAACGCCCCGGCTCCCTGCGGGGGCACGGGCAAGGGCACGTGCAACAAAGAAAAACTGCCATGTGCATTGCTTAATGTGTGATGCCAATACAAGCCGCTCCAAGCGGCTTCAAACTGTGCGCTGTCCAAAGAGCATGTCACCAAAAAGGCATCCATCCAAAATACATTTGGGATATAGCTTCTATGGAGGTGGCCCTTCTGTATATGTCCTTCAGCGCGGCCTCTCTCTCAAACTGGGGCACGCCCAACTTCCTGCCGATCTCTGCGCACACGTCCTCGTGTGTCAGCTTTCGAAAATGCGCTCTTTTGGAAAAAAGAAGAGCCAGCATGCTTTCTATTAGCACAAAGTCTTCTCTGTACTGCCTGAATATGCGCATCCCGACACAGACCAGTCTTTCCATGGCATCTGGGCCAATCGCAGAGAGAATCATCGGCGTGAGCCGCATCGGAACTCTTTCCTGGTACTTTGTCCGCATGCTGAGGGTGTCGAACGCGTCCACATAGTCGATGTGCATTGCCGACGCGTCGGACAGAATCAAAATGTTCCCGGGGTGCCGGTCTCCCACGCCAAGGGCGTACGCCACAAGGCTATTGTACAAGTACGTCCTAGAAAACTGCCGCGCCCTTTCCATGTACGAGTGCACAGTGGGCGTGTGCTTGCATATCCAGTGCGCAATTTCCTTCGCTGTAAAGTCTGTCACCTTTCGGTAGATTTCGAGCTTTTCTGCCTCTTTCAGGTCGTTGTAGTTCGCGCACAGCTTCCGCACCTCTTCTCTCTCCCGCCTTTCCAAAGACCTGCCCTTTATGCCGCGCTCTGCCTCCTTGTCTCGTCTGATCTCCAAAATGCACTCTTTCAGCGACTGGCTGTTGCACACATACTTGGCCACAAGAATGCTTCCGCGCAGTATCTCGTACGCATCTGGAACCAGCGCGCCAAGAACCCTGGACATGCGCGCCACCGCCCTTTCCACCTCTGCGTCTTTCTCCAGCTTGACCAAGTACTCTCGGCAAATCCCGTCTTCTCCCGTGAATTTGATGATTCGGGGGCTTTTCAGCGAATAAACAATAGGCACGCTTTTCTCCACCTTGAAAATCTTTGTTCCCTCTCCAGGAAGATACCCGTCCGCAAATATCCTTTTTGCTCTTTTGTTCAGCACGATTTTGGCTTCTCTTGTCTGCAAAAGCATGTTCACCAGCACGCCTATTCGGTTTCTGCACAGTATTTTCCAGGCTTCTGTTTTCTGCGGAGCCTCCGCAAAGTCCTGCATTTCTGCGTACGCCTTCTTCACCATGCTGTCCGACGCGGTTTTTTCCCGGTACTTTGGCGTCTTTAGAAGCCCCTTGTTTTTTTCTAGCAGGCTTCCCAGGCACGCGCTCAGATTTCGGCACTCAGCGTCCTTCCTGGGGTTCTCCAGCCCTGCCTGCCGCAGCGTGGGCGCTTCAGGCCTTGCATATCTTTTTTCTCGGAGCTTTAGATGCGGCAGCTTTCCTAGCAAGAACTCTCCTGGCGTCTGCGCAATCTCCTGCATCGCGTCTGCATACTCTTTTCCTGCCTGCATTGCAGCGCACACAGCCAGCGGGCTGCCTGCAGGAGGCCCGCTCCTATGGACTGCCCACGTAAACACCCCCCAGCCCGGGCTGCAGCTTATCATTCTTTTCATTGCAAGCAGCGCATACTTTGGATGCATGCTTTCCAGGCGAGCCACCTCATGCATGCTCTCAAACAAGTGCAACGGATTTATCGTTTCAATCACTTCCTCTATGCCGCAGGGCGCCTCCTCCTCCGGGGGTATATCGTTGATCACGCGCAAAAGCATCACTGCATCATCTCTTTCATTTCCACACGCAACTATTTCTTTGAGTATTTCAACTTTTTCCTTCAGCCCCGCCTTTGCGATGCGCAGCTTTCCCCAGCGAGCCAGCGCGCTGCGCCGCTCTTTCTCAATGGCTCCTGCCAGGCCTGCGTCGGCAAATCCGCAAAGAAACGTGTCCAGCGCGGCATTGCACTCGTCTGCGCTCCCATAGCTGTCTGTGCATGCCTTTGCCACCACTCTGGCGCAGTACTGCAGGCTCTCTCCAGACTCGGCCTCCATGAAGAGCCTAACCAGCCTTGCGTCGCGGAGCTCAACCGCCCGCCTCAGCAGGCCCTCTAGCGGCAGCTTTCGCTGCGGGATAAACGGGGAAAGAAGCGAGCAGGGCTGTATCGCAGCCGCCAGAATTTCGTTTCCTATGCGCTGCTTATACTCCTGGCATGTTCTCTGCACGCTCAAGTCTGCGCCTCTCTGCTCCTCTGGGAGCTTCCTGGTGCTTTTCAGAACGCTTTCTGCCACCTTATTGGTTTTGGCCATGATCCTTAGCCACCCCGGCGTGATTTTGCCATGCAGCTCGTGTGTAAGCGACAAGTTCAGAGCCCCAACCGCCCTGAGCATGCCTGCAGCCGAAGAGCGGTAAACAGCCAGAAGCTCTGGCACATGCGGGGCATCCCAGGTGCTCAGCAGAGAAGCAGCAGCGCTCACTGCCTTCTCTAAGCTGCCCAGCATGCACGCCTCTTTCAGCGCCTCTTCCGAGCAGTCTGCAAGCGGGCCGGCGTCGCTGTCGTTGTTTTTCAAATACATCTGGAAAATGTCTGCCTCCTCAGGGTCATGCTTCTGCAGATACTTCAGCTTGGCAATGTTCTCAGCTGGCGCCAAGTTTCCTGCATACAGGTATCTTCGCTCTGGGGCGATGTACTTCAGCATATGCTCGATTTCCAGCGAGCCCATAGACTCCCTTATCACATACTCTATTCCCTCCTGCAGCACCCCTTTCATTTTCTGCGTGCTGTCCAGCAACAGCGCCACCTCGCCCAGCGCGCCCAGCATGTTTCTTTTCAGAGTGCGGGGCATCTCCCTGAGCGCGGTGTCGAGCGCAATTGGGAACAGGTCCAGAAGCAGCTCGGGCGACGCCTCCGCGCTATTTGCAAACGCTGCAAGCAAAGGGCTGGGCGACTCCTTCAGAAAAAACAGCATAATTCCCTTGGGGTTTCGGGCTGCGCCGAGCTGCTCGGCATGCTCCTGAACCAGCATATACCGGCTTGAGTTTATAAGCACGCTCTCCTCCTGCCGGAGCAGCTGGACAACTTCGGTTTTAACTGCAGGCCGGAGGCTGTCTGCAAGCGGGATATTCACCATCTCGGGAACTTCTTGTGGGCCCTGCATCTTGTAGAGAATAGGCAGGAAAAACGGCGCGGTCTTTCTGTTTACTCGCCTCTTGATTTCCTCCTGTATCCTCTCGGGGTCCATGCACGTGCTTGCAAACAGGCCCGCCACGGAAGCAAACAGCTCTTTTTCCACCCCGTCCCTTTCTATTTTCTTCAGAATGGCCTCGACTGTGCGCTCCGCTGCTGTGCTGCACAGCCGCGCCTCTGCCGTCTTTAGGGATATGTACTGCTTGTGCGTGTTGCGCTCCAGCTTGATCATGGAGCTGTACTTTTCGTCAAGGCGCTCGATTCGCCTAGCCAGCTTATGCGGCTCTTTGCATAAAAGAAGCAGCATTTCCGTCATTGTAAGATAGTCTGCCGTAAGAGCCGGAGGGGCTCTTTCTGTGAAGGCAAGCACGTCCTTCCATCCGTCTGGGTATATCGACAGAAGCGCAGCCAGAATGCGCGGCTGTGTGTGCTGCAGCCGCTGAATTACATATTTAAACAGCCCGTGCCTGTCTTTGGCGCTGAACGAGGCGCTGGACGCTGCACCCGCCGACAGCACCGAAAGAAGGCTTGCGTCCTGGTGCGCCTCCATCACGTGCATAACGCACAGGAGGATCCTATCTGTAATGTTTGGCATGCGCTTGGCCTCTTGTGCGCACTGCGGGACTCCGGCCTGCTCTGAGGCGGCGTTTTGTGCCTGCAGGACCTGCAAATTGTGCAGCGCAGTGTTGCAAGACATAATGGTGCACCGCACTGTGCTGTGCCTTCTGATGTGCTCTATCGAGCCTGTGCATGCTATTAGGTATTTCTCCGAGTAGGCGCACAGCGCCTCCAGGTAGCTGTTCAGCGAGACCACAAGCTCCTTTTCTCTGTAAAGCCACATTGCAACCTCGTTCGTGAATATGCCGCAGTATCTAGCGTCTGGCGCAACCTCCTTTTCTATTCCACATCGCAGTATGCGGAACGAGTATGTGTAGTCTTTCACCTCTCGCCGGGCTATGCTCTCGCAGATCGCCATGTGCACGCCCATGTATGCATGCTTCATCTCTTGCGGAAACATGTGCACGCCCCAGTAGAAAAGCTTTGTCCCCTTTTTGAACTCTCTGTCTCTCTTTATGCTCTGCTGTATCTCGTGCAGGGCGATTTTTTCCGGCGTGTTCTGCGCCTTCAGTATCCGGTAGTGCTGCTCAATGCATTTCTTTGTTTTTTCTGTGTCTATGCGCAGAAGCCTAGGAAGCCTCTCCATTTCCACTATTTCCGCCATCTTCTCTGCAAAAAGCACCTGCTTGCTCTTTTCCGATGCCCGGTCTAGGCGCGCCTCCAGCGCCTCCACCACCTTCTGCTTTGCGCATATGCTGAGCGTGTGCGCTTTCTGCACGAGCCTGGAGAGCTCTTCCGGCGCAGCAGCGAGCACGGCGTCCAGGAGCCTGCTGCAGTATATGGCCTGCTCCCTCTCTGATAGAAAGTCGGGCTCTACTGTGTGGAAGTACGCGCTTGGCTTTTCCTCGGACAAAATCCGCCTGGAAAAGGCCTCCTGCAGGCCCGCTGAGCGCATCCAGGCCTGCGCGACATCGAGAGCGCCGCCCTCTCTGCTCAAAAGAAGCACCTCTATCAGGCTTGCAGCGGTCTCCACGTCCACCAGCGACGCGTCAAGCTCCTTTATAATGGCCAGCGCATGCCCACATACCTGCCCTCTTTTGGCAACTATCCTGACCGCCGCCCTCCCTATGCTTTCTTTTTTCGGCCCTGCGGCCATCCTGAACACCTTCTCCAGAGACGGGAAAATGCCTGGCCAGACGCATGCCCCGTGCAGCACTGCAAGCTCCTCGATGAACGCGCTGCCAATGTCCCCTGAGCAGTACAAAAGCCCCATCGCCAGAACGTACAGCGAAACATAGAACCCTCTGTGCCGGTTCAGCTTTTTCAGCGACTGCCTGGCGTCCTTGCCCAGCAGATGGTCTTTGGCTGCCCCCACCGCGCTGCACAGCCCCACGTCCAGGGCGCTGCACGCCAGCGCCGCCATGCAAATGGCCCCATATAAATGCTCTCTTTTGTAAAAAGACGCCAGCGCGCTTATCATGCCAGAGGAGCTGAGCCGGCTCAAAATGCCCCCAATCAGCTGCACAGACTGGATCTTGTGCACGTTGTAGTAGTACGGAAGCAGCGCCACAAGCGCGCCAAACACAGGGCTGGACACCGCGACCTTCTTGGCAATGCACGAGAGCACCTCCATCGATGTCTCGTCTTTTGACTTTAGATATTTTCTTGTTTCTTTTACAAGCACAGACTCCTCTTGCTCGAGGAGCAAAGACGCGACTATCTCTGCGCTGTCCGGGAGTTCTTCTACGATCCCCAAAAACACTTTGTAGTGCTGGGACGTTGCCGCCCTTTTGTTTGCAACAACCTTCATAATGAGGCTTTTAAGGACTTCAAACCCTGGTGTCTTATCTTTATCTTTCAATATGCACAGAGCCATCCATATTTCGTCCTTTGTGGAGAACTCTATCTCGCTGGCGAGAAGGCAGCAGTAGTAGTCCTGCGCCTCAGCCTTCTCTTTGACCAGCTCACTAACAACCCTCTTTATGCTGCAAAGTTTATTAAGTTCATTCATTGAAAAATTTTAGCATGCATACAGAGACAGAAAACAGCGCAAAGTATGACAAAAAACACAGAGTAATTGCCACAAACATGCCGTTCAACGTCGCCGACCAGCAGATTCTAAAGCACTTCAGGGGAGCCGTTTCCATTGAGAGGCATCGAAAAGGGGGGGTGGCCACCGGGGCCGTTTTTATACAGTGCGAGAACGCTGTTGATGTCAGCCGATTCATAAAGACTTTGGACAAGTCGCGCCTGTGCGGAAGAGAGATCCGGGTGGCGCAGCTGCACGATCGAGAAGTTTTCAAGGCCCGGCAGAAGACCGGGGCTCTGGACGAGGAAGAGAACGAAAACGAGAACGAGAGCGGAAAAAGGAGCGAAGATGACGAAAACGCCCGAGGGCGCAAAAGGAGATTGGAGTTCGATAGCATGCAGAAGAGAAGGATGCCAGACGGCGAGGAAGAGCGGACTCTTTTCATCACGAACATTTCGTTCAAGGACACGGAGGAGCAGCTCGTTGAGGTCTTCTCAGAGCACGGAGAAATTGAGCAGTGCACCCTGGTGCAGAACAAGGAAACAGGCGTGCCAACGGGAAGGGCGTTTGTTCTCTACAAAAACAAGGAAAGCTGCAAGGCTGCGCTCAAGCAGCCAATCTCGCTGAACGGGCGGAGTTTGGTTGTGCTGAAGTATATTTCCCCGGAGATTCTGAAGCAGAAGGAGGCCCAGCAGAAAGAGAAGGACTACCAAAGAGAAAAAACAATAAAAGACAGAAAAGAGGGCAAGCTAGAGCCCAGAGACCCTAGCAAGCTGAGCACGTGCAGGGTGCACATCTCGCACATGGACAAGAAGCACACAAGAAAGTCTATCTCCAAGGTGATCGAAGAGCACTTCCTGGAGAAGCACGAAAAGAAGCTGAAGCTTAGAGGAGTGAACCTGACTGCAAACTCTTCAAAGAGAAACCCTGGATACTGCTTTGTCACGTTCAAGTTCCCTGAAGACGCCGAGACGTTCATACAGGAGCAGAACAGGATGAGGCGGAAGATTGGGCCTAGGATGGTCGCCGAGTACGCAATGGAGAGCAAAGAGTTCCTGGAAAAGGGGATAAAGAAGAAGCCGTCTAAGATAGAGAGGGTGGAAAAGAGAAACAAGAAGCTCATGAGAGAAAAAAAGCCCGAAGCATCCCAGGAGGAGTAGCTCCGGCTTAGACTAAGCCATAAATAATAAACATAGTTGGTTTTCTTGTAGCACAGGCCTGGTGGCTTTTCTGCTTGCAGAGCCTTTGCCGGGCGCAATGGAATGTGGGCGCGCTTTAAACAGCATGTGTTGGTTTTTATTTAAACAGGCCGGGCGCTTGCGAGGCTGCCTATGCCTATTCTGATGACAGTGCCTCCAGCTCCTTCAACGTCTTTTTTAGAATCTCCTCTGTGCTCTTGATGACCTTCTGTGTCTCCTCGCGCCTTTCTAAGATTGACCTTAGCGTGTATTTGTTGTCCTCTTGTTTCTGCGCCTCGGCCTCCTCTTTGCTCTGCTGCAGCAGCTCCTGCTCGTACATTTCAAGATCCTTCTTCAGCCTTTTTACAGACTGCTCCTTTATTTTGAGTGCACGCTCCATAAAAAATGTGCGAAAAATCCTCAAATATATGCACAAACTTAGACGTCCAGTGGGCCCTGGCCTGGACGCGTGCATGCTGAGCTGCATTTGCGTTTGTTTTGGCTCTGCGGCAGTGCCTCACCCAGAGCCCTTGATGGAGTTTGCAGTGCGGCAGACTTCTGCACAGACTTGCTGGCTTTGCTGTGTCTGGGCATGCAGAGCTAGAAAAATAAAGCGTGCTGCCTAAGCAAAAACAGAACAGAATAAAAATTCATTCTTCCGTAATCTATTTCAGCAGAAGCGAGCAGAAAGAAAGAAAAGAGAAAAAAGGAGAAGTATTTGCCCTGGAACCTCTTTAAAAAGAGGATGCTTGGCCTTGCAAAATAAACTGCTGTATGCACACAGTCTTTATTCTAGTTGTACGTGAGGTATCTGGGTGTCGAGGAGAACTTAGCATATCCCTTGATCACCTTCTCCACGGCCATTAAAAAGTCTTTTTCGGTTGCCACCTTTCTTCTCTCTCGGATGGCAAACATGCCCGCCTCTGTGCACACGCTGCGCAGCTCGGCTCCGGTCGCGCTGGGACATAGCCTGGCAATCAGCTCGTACCGGATGTTCTTTTCCACACTCATGGGCTTTGTGTGTATCTTGAGAATGGCCGTGCGCCCGGCCAGGTCCGGAAGCGAAAACTCCACCTTCCGATCAAGCCTTCCCGGCCTAAGCAAGGCAGGGTCAAGCGTGTCTGGCCTGTTCGTGGCCATGAGCACCTTTATGTTTCCCCTTGACTCAAACCCGTCCAGCTGGTTGATCAGCTCCAGCATGGTTCTCTGCACCTCGTTGTTTCCTCCGTCGAATCGCGTGCTTCCGAACGCATCCACCTCGTCAAAGAAGATAATACATGCCTTCTTGGACTTCGCCAGCTCAAACAGCTCGCGGACCATTCGGGCGCCCTCCCCCACGTACTTCTGGACCAGCTCCGAGCCAATCACGCGGATGAAGGTGGCGTTTGCCTTGTTTGCAACCGCCCTGGCGCACAGCGTCTTCCCTGTCCCGGGAGGCCCGTACAGAAGGACCCCCTTTGGCGGGTCAATCCCCAGCTTGATAAACTTCTCTGGGTTTATCAGAGGAAGCTCCACAACTTCCTTGATTTTTTCAATCTGCTCGGCACAGCCCCCTATTTCCGAATATGTTACATCAGGCTTCTCCTCGATCTGCATAAGAGTGACCGCGTTGTCTATTTTGGCAGGAAGCGGCAGCATGATCTGATACTTCACTCTGTCCACGCCCACGCGGATCCCCTCTGAAATCTCTTCCTTGGTGACAGACTTGGCCCTGCCCACTACAAACTTTGCAATCTGCTTGATGTTGATCATGTACCTGTCGTTTCCAACAGGGTCTTCCATGACCTTGCAGCACCGCGCCACCTGCAGAGTCTTCTCGGTCTTTGACCTTTGCGAGTCGCTGGACAAGTTCCACAGCATGGGGGGCGCCAGCCCTGTCTCAACCTCCCGGAGCCCCAGCTTGGCGCTCACTCTGTGGTACAGCCCCTTGATTTCGCTTTCCAAGTCCACTATTTTATTTGTGTAATAGCTCTTCCCATAATTTGTGATCAGCTCGACCTCGCCTTCTGTCAGCGTCTCTTGCGCGTCCTTCATAAAAATAAAAACAAACGAAAAGAAGTAGAAGTGCAAATTAATTCGGCAAATAGGAATCCACCAATCGCCAAAGAAAATATCATAAGCCATATTTATACATAAAATAAAGGAGACTTATTTATGGGGCAAGAAAAAAGAATTCAAATGCAAGAAACACTAGAAAGACTAAAAAAGCAAATAGTTCACGGATGTGGCGGAGCACTATGCACGGGTATATTCTGCAAGCTGTCAGACATAGAAGGAATATCAGATGAAATAGCTGCGCTCCTCCTGGAGTACAATGACTACTTTACATGCGAGTCTCTGTACTTTGTGCAAGGAAGGGCTGCGCACGAAATTGAAATAGAAGAAAAAAACACGGCTAAGCTAGGGCTGCACCCGAATATGAGCACGGCGCTGCTTCCGCAGATGAAGGGGGCGGCTGAGCGGCAGAGAAGCCGCGGACACGCTTCGGGCCACTCCCAGGGGTGCATTGATGTGGCCAAGAAAGTTCTGAAGTACTTCTATTTGTCGATCCGCGGGAGCGGGCACATGTCGCACAACTCCAGCCCTTTTATAAGAGGCATGGATTTCTCATGGGTTGACGGGAAAAGAGGCACATTAAAACCTTACTTTGACGAAAACTCAAAAAAAGAATATTTGAAAATGGAGCTGGCGCGGATAATACATAAAAAAAAGTCCAAAGCAACAGCAATCATGCTACAGGGTCTTTTCTACCACGAGCTGAACCGGCTGAAGACATCGTATTCTCTGAACGCCACCGTGCGTGCGGTCAAGCTTTTTAACTCGGTGAAGGAGTGTGTTAAGTTTGAAAAGAAGTACTTCATCAGATTCCTGGAGGCGGTTGAAAAGCTGTGCGAGGTTTCCAAGGCCGAAGAGCTTCTGTGCATGGAGGGGTGCAACAAGCTTCCGGGCGGGCTCAGCTACAAAAAGTCGCCAGACTGCGGGTTTAAAGAGCACGAGGAGTTTCCCACCCCCCGAAAGTACATTCCAAAGAAAGCCGCGGGCGGCCGGATGCTGGAGACGTGCCCGATGTGCAGCGGGTCTTTGGAGGACTGCGAGTACACCCACTGCGACTCTCTGTGCTTCGGGTCGGACAGCCTCTGTGTGAACGAGCTGATCGACTTGATAAAAAGCCTGATTATTGTGATAGACAACACAAGCGTGGTAAACATGCGCGAGGGCACGCTTCTTTTGGCAATCCTTAAGTGTCTGAAGGGCCTGTATGCGTTTTCTGTCCAAACCGGGGTTATCCACCACTCAATATTTGTGAACAAGCGGTTTTCGCGGCTTCTCAACTACAAGGCCGAGGTTCGATACCACAAGGAGGGCGGGCACAGCATTTTTGACTTTCCGTTCATTTTGGACATGGCGGCAAAGTCAGACCTCATCCAGATCGAAAACACCGACCGGATGAAAACAGAGCTGCAGGACGCGTTCTTTCGGTCTATGTTCGAGGGGCGGATTCCGCCGTATCTGAACCTGGAGATCGGAAGAGGGTCCGTTGTGCAGGACTCGATCAAGCTGCTTGAGTCGCTGGAGGCGGGAATGGCGTGGAAGCAGCTCAAAATCAAATTCCAGGGAGAGGACGGGGTTGACTCAGGAGGCATAAAGAAGGAGTTTTTCCAAATACTCAGCCAGAAGACGCTTGGCGAGTGGGACATCTTCACAGAGAACGAGGGCTGCCTGTGGTTCAAAGCATTCACGCCCGAGGAGATAGAAAAGAGAAAGAGCCAGTACAAAATCCTGGGCAGCATTTTGGGGCTGTCTGCGTACAACGGGGCGGTTCTGTGCTTCTACTTCCCGCAGGTGTTTTACAAAAGGCTTCTCGGGTATTCCGGCACTGTAGAGGACTTGAAAAAAGTCGAGCCAAAAATATACCAGACGCTCATGAACATGAAGAAAATGTCTGCCGAAGAGGTGTCCTTGCTTGGGCTGGAGTTTATGTACAACGGGATGATGCGCGAAGTGAACGCGAACAACCTGGACGAGTTCACAGAGGCCTACTGCAAGGAAATACTAGAGACCCGCCTGGAGCCTGCCTTTAAGCTGATAAAGGACGGGCTGTGGTCGATATGCGGTGACACTTTTGTGCGGTCTCTTCTTCCGTGCGAGCTGAGCATACTGATTGGCGGAATGGAGTGCACAAACATGGAGGAGCTGGAGAAGTACACGGTATACAACGGGTACAGGAGAGACTCCGCCCTCATCCAGTCTTTTTGGGAAATATTCCGGCAGTACGACATGCACATGCAAAAGAAGTTCCTGCGCTTTGTGACGGGAACGGACAGAGCGCCTTCTGGAGGGCTTAGCAGAATGGCGCTCGTGTTTATGAGAAACGGCGGAGACACGGAGCGGCTGCCCTCGTCGCAGACGTGCTTTAACACATTTCTTATCCCAGAGTATGCGAACAAGGAAAAGCTCAAGGAAAAGCTTGACCTTGCAATAAGCAACACTGAGGGGTTTTTCCTTTTATGAGGGCGTTGAGAAGGCGCCGAGTAGAACCGCTGGAGTTCATTTTGAAAAAGGCCAGCTCTATTAATTGGTATTTAGGCTATTTATTATTAAGCAAGAAGAATTTCCGAATTAAACGCCAGCAAAATCTCAACAAATAGTACAATAAAAGCAAAAATTATGGAGCAGTCGCGTGCGACGGTTTGTTTACTTGTTTTTGCCCTGCATCTGGCAGCATCCCATTCCCTGCTCGGACAGAAAGTATGGGGCCAAGGCTTGGGCGTGCGGGTGTGCTTCACTTCGGTAACAGCTGCGCATAAAGACAGCCCAAGAGAGCAGAGCGCCCTGCAGAAACAGGCGCCGGCTGCCCGCACGCACTCGCTGTCGCCGGCAGCAGCAAGAGCCGTCTGCGCAGCCTCCGCAGGCCTTTCAAGAGCTATAAAGAGAGAAGGCAAAATTTGCATATGGGATTCACCAGAAAAAAAGACCAGACAAAAGGAAAAATATGCAAGGAAAGGATAAAGTCCTTGGAGTTTGTGGAGGAAGACCGAGAGGCGTACCTTAATTCCATGAAAAAAAGGCGGGTGACCGCAAAAAAGAAAAGGCATCTAATGCGAGAGGAGGAGAAGAAAGAGGCAAAAAGAGAGAAGCGGAGAGAGCAGAAAAAGAGAGAGCTCGAAAGAGCAGACCTTGCACAGAAGGTTTTAGAGTCCACACAGGGAGAAAAGGAAGAGGTGCGGATGGTGATAGGAAGCTCAATTGTGACAATCAAGGAGCTGTAGGACACAAGGCAAAGCGCGCGCCAAGAAGATGCAGCGGCCGCTGGGCAGAGAGAAAAGGCTCCATGTGCGGAGGCAAGAAATAAAGTGTACGAATTGGGAAAGCTGCTTGGCGCGGATATGCATATATTTTTAATTACGAAGGCGCGCAGGCGCCAAACGCCTTGGGCGCTCCTGCTACACTGTATTTACCATTATGGAAAGGCCTTCTGGGCTTTGCACGCTTTTGTAAACAACGGTTTCTAGCGGGCGCACATGCGTGATTTTCATTCCTATTATGCAGACTATGCTGGCATACCTTGAGTGGTTTTGTACAAATATCACCGAGCCCTCGCCGTGCCTGCTTGCCCGGACCACTGCAGCGCTCGAGTACCACCAGACGCTATCGCCCCTCCGCTCCTGTGTGAGCGCATCCGCGCTTCCTTGGGCTCCGCCCAGCGAGGCCATCCGAATGAACGCGTCAAGCTCGGCCGCCTTAGACTCAAAAAGGCAGTGGCTCTTCAGGGCGTGCAGAGACCTCCAGGAGCCTAAAAGCAGGGCGCGGTTCGGGAGCTTTTTTTCCAGAGGCAGCTGCTTGACCACCACTGCGTGCTCCAGGTGTATTATAATAAGGGGGGACACGCCTGCGTAGTTTGGGAGAAGCTCTAAAGCAGGCCCCACGCCATCTGCGCAGAAGGGCCTAAGCATGTGCAGAATCCTGCTTTTTCGGTAGAAGTAGTGCCGTATCAGCATTTCCTTCGCGGAGCACGCCTGCCCTGCTCGGCTGTGCGATATAATCTGGCACACGCCGGCCTCTATGCTGCTCACTGCGCTCTGCGGCTCAGGGACCGGGTCATCTGTGCCTTCGCGCGTCACCCGCCTGCGCTTCACCCGCACAGTGAGCCTTCCTTCCTGGTTTGGGCTTGCAGCATGCCCGCACAGCACCTCCACCCGCCGGTAGGAGCCGATGATCCGGCACTTGATGTCCGCATTTTTCCCTACTCGGTACTGCACGCGGGGCTTTTCCTGCAGCGTGTACTTGTGCGGCGTTTTTATTTTGATCCGCCGGCCAAGAAAGTCCGTGCCGTAGAAAGCCTGCTTTTTTACAGACTTATACCCCCTTCCGTCGGCAGAGATCAAAAGCCCCTTTTCTTTTGAAGCAACGCCCTTTGTGGATATTTTGGTCATCCCGTGCAAAGAAACTTCCCTGCTGTAGCGCACGCGCGGCCGGACAAACTCCGTCGGCAAAACCCGGATTTTTCTGTCTATAGGAATCGCCAGCGTGCCATTCTCCATTTCAAGCGTTACTCTGGAAATGTGCACAATCCGGTCCTCGCCTGTCACGTTCTTAAACGCCAGCCGAATTTTTTTGCTCTTCAGCAGCATCTGCCTCGAGTCTACTTCCAGCACGGCCCGGCACTCTCCAGGCACGTCCGGGATCTGAAGCGTGAAAACAGCGCGCTCCCCAGAGTGCAGGGCGTCTTTCTCCTCCACCAGGCGCTGCACATATCTGATGCGCGCCTGCTCCAAGTGGCTGGATTTTTTTCTTTTCGCCACGCACTCGCCTCTTTTTATGCTTCTCTGCACGCGCACGGGCATGCGGGCTTTTGCAGAGATGCAGACGCGCGCCTTCTGTGCCGTGCAGTACTTCATGATTGCAGGGAGGTCTTCTACCCAGCTTTCGGCCAAGCACTCCGCCATGTGCGTTTCCTCGCCCAGAATGGAAGCAGCCGCAACCGCGCGCTTCGCCAAATCCCTTTTGATCTCCGGAGACGCAGAAAAAGCCTCTGCGCTGGTGTACATGAGCAAAGCACCGCGCAAAAACACTTCCCGGCTGCTCTCGGGCAAAGCCGCATCCCCGGCGAATTCAGATAGAATTCTGCCCGAGTCCATCAGAAGAAGGGCGCGCCGCGCATCGCACATCTGCAGCTGCTCAAACACGCGGAGCAAAAGAAGATTCAGCGCCACGCGAACCGCCGGCTCTTCCCCGCACTCCAGCTGCAGAGCCTGCTCCACCATGGCGTGTATGCAGCGCCCCCTCCCCTCTTCGCTTGTGTGGCTCAGGCTTCTGTACAGCAGGATCGAATATCTCACCATGTCCGGAAACGCCCATCCGGAAACCACGCGAAAGTCTTCGTCCAGCGGAACGCCCATTGACACTTTCCCGCACATCCCCATCTCGGTAATTGCAGGATGCACTCGGCCTGTGCTTAGCACCCCCAGAAAAGACGCAAGCTTTTGAGGGTCGCACAGCCCCAGAAAGAACTGCTTTTCCAGTATTTCCTGCGCGTCCGTGAACAGCGCCTTTCCAAGCGCCCATATCCCAGACAGGGAGAACGCGCCCCCAATCTTTTCCTTTGCAACTCTGTCTATAAACACGCGTATTTCTTTTTCTATGCTCTGCACGCACACGGTCTCGGAAACCGTGATGTCTCCGGCCTCGCCCTCCCTGGAGATCAAAAGAGGCACGTCCTCGATTCCCGTGCAGGAGTACGTGCAAACCTCCTCCCACAGCCCCTGCGCCAGGCAATCCGCCCCCTCTCTGTGCGCATACTCTGGGTCCAAGAGCGCACGCTGCAGGAACTCCCGAAGAAGGCCCTGCGCAGCCAGAGACATCTCCCCGGGGGCATACCTTCGGCTGGTAAAGTGTGCGTCCAGCACGCGGAGCAAGCTGTCTTCGGCTCCTTCTTTCTCCTGCAGCAGACAGACAACGTCGTCGCTCACAGTGTAAAGCACAGGCATTTTAAAATCTTTCATGTTTTTGTAGAAATTGAATTATTTATTCGTCGGCAATGGATATTTCTCCCTCTTTGATCTTTCTAGTGATTTCCTTGGGAGACTCTCCGTCAACCAGGCACCCAATGGACAGGCAGGTTCCAAGAATCTCCTTCACCGTGCCGGAAAGGTGTTTTGCGTAGGACTTTGATCTCTGCCTCTTTGCAATTTCAACAATGGCGTCAAGCGAGACAGATCCATTGTGCTGGACGTTTTTTTCCTTCTTTCTGTTTCTGGGGGGCTCCTTGAGCTCCTTCAGAATGAGAGCAGACGTGCCAGGCTCGGGGGTTATGTCCATCTGTCTTCCCTGGATCGTCAAAAGCACTCCTATTTTGTATCCCATGTACTCCTTTGTCTGCTTTGCAATGTTTTCTCCAACCTGCTTGGCGTTGAATCCCAGAGGACCCACCTTCTGTGCAAGAGAGGCACCTCCTGCTGGCTCGCCTCCGACTACTCTCAATCTAACGTACTTTACTTCCTCACTCTTATTCATCCGGGTATAAAAAAAATTAAAAATAAGTCTTTTTTTACATGGAGAAAATACTTGAGTCAACAGAAGAGTTCGACGTAGACCTTTTTGACAGCATAATCCAGGCATTTTACAACCCAATGGACAAAAACCACAAAAGAGCCGAAAGCGTGCTTCTCCAGTTCAGAGAGCATCCGGACAGCTGGGCGCGCACCGCGCCAATTATAAGCGAAAGCAAGGACCATCGCTCCAAGGTCTTTGCAGTGCAGGCCTTGGAGAGGGCGGTCAAGATCCGGTGGAGCATGCTGACAGAGGAGCAGCAGAAAGGAGCAAGAGAGTACGTGGTCGACCGGATTCTGGAATATTCCATGCAGACGTCCCCGGAGGGGAAGGTGCTTGTGAAGCAGTTCAACCAGGTGCTAATAGAGGTCATCAAAAGGGAGTGGCCCGAGAAGTGGCCGACTCTTGTGGGCGACCTGATGGACGCAAGCAAGGGAGACTGCGGGGTGTGTGCGAACAGCTTCAACCTGCTCGCGCACCTGTCCGACTCCATCTTCAACTTCAACGAGTCCATGATCAGCGAGAGAGTGGACGCGCTGCAGAGCCAGATGAGAAACGAGTTTCCTGCGCTGTACGAGATGGTGCTAAACGTGCTGGACAAGGTCAGTACTGGAGAGGCGTCGGTGCCGAACGACCTGATTGTTGCCAGCCTGAACCTGGTTGTGATTCTTGTTCCGCACCTGCCGCCGCCGTATCTGTTTGGATCTCCCCTCGTGGACGTGATTTCGCGGTACGTGGAGACGGAATTTGTGGTGCAGGCAATTCAGGTGCTGCGCGGCGTTTTGGCGCGCAGAGAGGACGCAGACGACCCGGAGGAGTTTTTATCCGCGCTGAAGCGGTCTTTCGTGACTGTTGGGGCATTTTTTGAAAAATACTGCCAGATGTTCAACGACACGCACAGCGGCGGGTTCAAGGAGCACTACGCGTCTTTCCTGCAGAAGGACGTGAACTTGGTTCGCGAGCTTGTGCTGTTCTACGGGCTTGTGTACAAGCATGCAAAGGAGCTGGAAAAAGCCGCGTGCAACACAATGATCCCGCTGGAGCTGATGCTGGAGATATCAAAGGTGACGTGCTTTGAGCTGTTCCGGCTGTGCCTGGAGTTCTGGTCCATGTTCATAAAAGAGCTTCTGCTGGAGTTTCCGTTTGTGCCTGCGCCCAGCAAAACGCCTGCAGGCCTCAGGCGGTCGTACTACATGGAGATCATGGGCGCGCTGGTGCCTGTTCTGGTGGCGCAGATGCAGAGGCCCCAGGAGGTCATCATCACCGAAAACGAGGACGGGGAGATTGTTTTGGAGAAGCTTGCAGACACAGAAAGCATTCAGCACCACAAGGACATGAACGAGCTGCTGTACAACATATCTGCAATGACTGTGGGCGGGCTCGGGCCGTACTTCTGCAGCGAAATAAACAAGCTGCGCGCAGGGAAGTGGACCAGAGACAGGCTGAACAAGGTGTGCTGGGCGGCCGGCAGCATCGCAGGGACTTCTTCTGCAGTTGGCGAGAAGGAGTTTTTGACGCAAAGCATCCAGGCGCTTCTGTCCATGTGCGAAGAGGCCGTCCAGGAGGGAGACAGGGCTGTGGTTGCGTCCTGCCTCATGTACATTCTGGTCAGAAACCCCGCGTACCTTAAAACATACCCGCTGCTGCTGGAGGCAATCTGCAACAAGATGGTCCAGTTTATACTCGACGTGGACCTGGTGGGGGTTTCGGAGATGGCGTGCGACACGCTTCTGAAGATCATGTCCTCGTGTGCGGACGTCCTCAGAAACCCGCTTGCCGCAGGAAAGGACCAGTACATCACGGAAGTAATCCCAAACATCCCGAAGCTTCTCCGCGTTCTGAAGCCGTACCTCGCAGAAGTTCTGTACGAGGCGCTTTCGCACCTGGCGGTCGACCACATAGGCGACCTCCTGCAGTACCCCACAATGTGCATATACACGCCCATGCTGGACACGCCAGAGGCTGTGCAGAGAATGGTGCAGGCTGTCCGCCTGATCAAGGTTGTGTGCAGCGTGGACATTTGCGAGGAGTTCGCCCGGGAGAGAGAGGAGGTTGTCGGGAAAACACTCGCGCAGCTGCACCTGGTGTACAACAACCTGGCAGGGCATGCAAGCAGCGGATCTCTTTTGCTGGACAAGGCCATTATGATTCTTCGAAAGGACTTTCTGTCGCTGTTCTGTACAATCTGCAGAAAGTTTTCGATCCGGTTTATCATGGGAGACTTCCTGGGCGTGTGCAGCCGTGTGATTATGCAGCCAGACAGCGCGTCAAGCGGGTGGAGCGTGGAAAGGCTCAATCTTCTGGCCGAGCTTTGCGGAAGAACAGTTGAAGGCGTGGCCCCCCTGGTGGACTCAGTCGCAAGCTGTGTGGCGCAGGAGGTGTTCTCGGCGCCGGAGGAGAAGGAGGAGGAGCTGAAAGCGTTCTACAGAATGATCTGCTCCTCGGTCCGAACAAACCCAGACGTAAGAAACCTGCAGATAATCGAGTGGCTGGCGGTTGGCGTCGGCAACACAAACCGAGAGGTCTACGAGGGGTGCATCGAAGCGCTGTGCAAGGTCATTGAGAGAACGTCGATCGACATCATACGGGAGGGCTTCCTGGGGCTGCTTGAGTGCATCCTGGGAACAGCCTTGGACAAGGACCACGAGGGCGGAATCAACGCGCTGCTGGTCTCGCTGTCTCTGCTGCTCCAGTACAGCATATGTGGCAAGTGTCCGGTGCAGGCCCAGGTCACGGAGGTCTTTGTGGCGAAGCTGCACGGCATTTTCCCACACATCAGCCAAAAGGACATCGAAGAGTTTATTTCGCGGTGCTACCGGGACGTAAACTCGCACCAGGGGCTGCTCACGAACATAAACGACTTCCGGGTAAAAATCAAAACCGTATAGCCTAAATGGTTCGAAATAAAAGCCGCTATCTTAACGTGTTTCTTTTCGCGCTCTGCCGTAAACGCGGCGCAGGCCTGGAATGGCTCTTGCCCTCGCGCCGCAATCCGCAGGCCCCACAAAGAAAAAGCTGGCTGCGAAGCCTTTTCTGGAAGCGCTTGGTTGCTTCGAGTCCGCGGCGCATGCATGCACGCCCATCCAAAAAGGCCGGTGTAAAATCCAAAAAGGCGCCCAGCCGCTGGGTTATGCCACATAGAAGCAAATGTACATAATCTTTTTATTCTACGCGCATGGCGTTCGCAGCTTTTAGTATATAGTGCACGGCCTCTGAAACGTGCGCGTGGGTGTCTTCCTGCATGCTCCAGCCCTTCAGCAGCGGCCGTATCTCGTGCATAAGCGCTTTAAGCCCTTCCCGTATGCTTGCGCATGCCTTTTCTTCGTCCAGGCTGCGCAGCGGCTGGCCAGAAGGCTCTGCCTGTGCTTCAAGCGCCACATACTCCTGGTGTATCCTGTCCAATCTTAATACAACGGCTTCTCTTACTCTTTCTTCGGACCAGCCCAAGACACTCTCCTCGCAAAGATACTCCCCCACCCTCCGGTCTGTCACCAACTTGCACTGCAGACAGAGCGCGTCTGAAGCTTCCCTTTCCCCGCGCTGAGACGCTTGCACAAATGCTTTGTCAAATGTTTCCGTTAGATTTGCGCGAATGTATGCGGATATTTCGCGCGTGGCCAAGCTCCGCAGCGCAAGGCTTTCCGGCGAGTGCTGGCGCTGTGTTTCTCCCCTCTTTGGGCGGTGCGCCTCGACAGAGCTTGCTCTGCTCCATCTGGCAAGCATGCTGCACACGCCCGAGAGCCCACTCGTGTGTACTGCTCTCTCCCTGCATGCGGGTCTCTTTGCTTCTTCTGTATACATTTTCAAAAGTCCTCTGTGCACTTTGCTGTACACGAGCTCGTTTTTTGCTAGGCAGATTTGCAGGGCGCAGCCTGACTGTTTCAGAACGCAGTTATATGCAGAAACTGCTTCACTGAATATCTGAAACACGTCCAAAGACATGCGCCCAATGGACAGAAGCGTGCATGCGTGCTCGAACGCTCTACTTTTTTCGCCCATACTTGCTTTTTTTTGCTTGTCGCCATGTTTTTGCACATGCATTAAATAAACAAGAATGATTTGCGCATATATTCAAATATAGAGCAAAAAGCTGCACACGCCTTTGCGGCGCAAGCAGCTCTTTCAGCGCGTCTAGTACAGCCCCATTGTGTGCATTATGTCCAGTATAAACTGCTCGCTCTTTGTTTCGCCAAAGTCTGGGCAGCCCGTAAGCAGCTGCAGCATGGTGTTTCGGAGCGTGTTTATGTCTCCGCCAGAAAGCCTCTCCTTTTTTATGTGAGACAGCGCATTTTCCAGCAGGCTCGTGTACTTGCTTCGGTAGGGCTCGGTTTTCCATCCGCTTCCCACAAAGGAAACTATCTGCTGTATGAACAGCATGAGCATTCTGTTGTTCAGATTGATCTCTGCGTCTGGCGGCAGCTTGTTTAGGAGGAACATGAACGCCTCTGGGTCGTTGGACTCTATCACATACGCAAAACACTCCTCTATGTCTGTTTCGAGCAGATGCGTAATTATGTCAAACGGCCCCTCCTCGATGTGGTTGTACTCGTGCAGCGCGTCTGCAATTCGATCGAGCGTCTCGTCTTTGCTCTCCGAGGCTGCGTCGTCCACGCTCTCCATGGATATCGGCATTGTCTTGATTCTGTCCAGCACCTGCAGGCGGATTTCGTTCATTCCGTTCTCAATAACAGGCACAATCCCCTCCACAATGGCGCTTTTCAGGGTCCGGCCTATGAAGTTCTGCAGCGCCTTGCCCTCTATGCTCGACTGGATTGCAGACGTGCACACGTTCGGAATGTTCCCCATTTTCTGGTCTATTTTTGTCCCTAGCGCCTTTTCTATTTTCTGCTGCAGCGGCCCCCGCACCTCTCTCTGTATTATGGTCTCGAACAGAGCCGCCACGTTTCTGTTCAGCTGCTCTGACACCGTGACCAGCAAGCGGTCCATCCTTTTCTGCTCCTTTTCTTCTCTTTCGTTCAGCATGCCCTCCAACTTCGTGTGTAGCCCTGCAAACTGCATGCTTATCTCCTGCGCAATTTTTACGGCCATTTGCTCGCTAGCAGACACTTTGGCATCTAGCTGTTCTTCTGAATGTATCATAATAAATTATTGCAAAAGAAAATAATGTGAAATATAGTGTGGATTGCGCGCGAAATGTGCGGGGCCAGCCTGCCTTGGCAGATGCACACGCCCTCTGGAGGGGGAAAGCGCGCCACCCCTCGCTGCGCCCGAGCAAGCCGCTCTCAGAGAGTCCGCACACGTGCGAAAAAATATGCCTCTGCAAACCCCATCCGCACAGGCCGCATAGAGGCATTGTTTATGCAAAGCCAGCAGCTTGCCTGTTTAAAAACACGCCGCAAGGCGCTTCTGTCGGAACGCGGGCCTTGCTCCCGGTGCCTTCGAAATATATGAAAGTAAAGCTGTTTATTATTGCGATGCAGGCCATTTCTTGTTTTTTGTGCTCTGGGCTATCCAATCCGGATTATCCTGTCCACGTACTCTGCAACCTGTGGGGAATGCGTTATTATTATCACGGTTTTTTCTGACTGCAGAATAGGCCTTATCACCTTCTCTTCGGTTATGCAGTCCAGCTTTGACGTGGCTTCGTCGAGTATGAGCGTGTTCTTTTCGCGCAGAAGAGACCTGGCCAAGCAGACCCGCTGTCTTTCTCCTCCAGACAGGTTTCTTCCGCTTGCCCCCACGTTGTACTCGTATCCCTCCTCCTTGGAGGATGCTATTTCGTCGATTTTTGTGCTTTTCAGAACGCTGCGCACCAGCTCTGGGCTTGGCGTGCTTCCATACTCTATGTTGTACCTCAGCGTGTTATTGAAGAGGCTGCTTTCCTGCGAGACAACGCTGATCCTTTGCGTAATTTCTTTCTTCGAAAGCTCCCGGATGTCCACGCCCTCCAGGATAATTTTGCCCGTGTACGGCTTTTGCTTCAGCAGCAGCGAAATAAGCGTGGTTTTTCCACACCCGCTTCTTCCAACAATGCACACCTTTTCTCCCCTGTACACCTTGCACGAGAAATTGCTCACAAGCCTTTTCGTGCTCCGGCCGTGCCAGCAGTTCACGTTCTTAAACTCCAGAGCCGGGATCTTCCCGCACTGCACCTCGTTTTCTTTTTCTAGCATAAGCTCCTGCGGGTCCGTGTCTGCAGCCTTCACAGGCGGCTCCCTGTTCTCGCGCAGCTCGTGGATGTACTCAATGTACGCCTCGCAGTCTATGTAGTACACGAATATGTCCTTGGTTGCCAGCGCAATTTCCATCAGGCTCCTGTCCAAGTCCTTGACATATTCCAGCAGCTTCACGGCGTTGCCCAGGTCTGCCTTCCCGCTGAGGTACAGATGCAGCATGAGAAGCATCTGCAGCACCGTGTATATGAACTTTTGCACTATGTTCAGAGCCGACACAATTCTCCGGTCTGTGAAGGACAGCTTCAGATACTGCGCCATGTACCCGCCAAACCGCTTGCTTTCCTGCTCCTCCGTGTTTCCCTCGATAATTGCGTCCCTGTTCCCGATGCACTCAAGTATTGCGTTGCTGTACAGGTCGTCGTATGTGTTTTTCAGAACCTTGTTCCTAATGCGGATCTTCAGCAGAAAGTAGCTCACCGCGACATATATGATGTTTGCTATGGTTATGACAAAAATGTACATTGCGCTCATCTGCAGAAGGCCCACGTGTATCAAAGCCATGCTCATTCCTCGGTAGGTAAGGACCACCAGAAGCTTCGTCAAAAGCTCCCGCATCCCTCGGATTCCCCGGTTCACCGTCCTGTTGATGCGCACAGAGGCTACGGGAAGCACGCTGTGTATTGTGCTGTTGAACAGCGCCAAAGAAATATTTTTTAGCGTGTGGTTAATAAACAGAAAAAATAGCAGCCCGTACACCTCGCGCATCACAGAAAACAGCGTGATGCACGCAGCCGTTCTAAGCATCGAGCGCATCAAAGCCTTGTCCTGTTGTATGAGCCTGGCCACCGCGTCGGCCTTGCACGATATGCTCATTACTTTTGTAGTGCAGGTCAGCATGCAGATTGAAACGCCCGATACAAGAAGAAATATAGCATATAAACGGCGCTCCCCGAAAGAAAAGCGAAACAAGTCTGTAATAATGCGCAGGCACCTGAGCACGCTCCTGTCCTTGGCATTTTTGCCTGGTTTTTTGCCTTTCCTCCCGGGCTCTTCAACACGCGAAAGTTTTTCTCCTTTCCCCACATGGACCGAGAAATCCTTTTCCATGGAGGAGTGCAAAGGATTTTACTTTATAAAAAGCGTGCGTGCTGCGGAGTCTGCCTGTGATGGTCTGATTTTACAGACCCGGTTAGCTCAGTCGGTAGAGCATTGGACTTTTAATCCAAGGGCCACGGGTTCGAGTCCCGTACTGGGTGCTTTTTTATGCACCATTCTTTTTTTGCAGCATGATGCAGTGCAATGACACTCTGGTTGCAGTTGACACAAACGTACTCATGGGAAAGCTGCATGTTTTGAAAGGGCTGTCGCACATTTTTGAGGACATAGGCATGGCGCTGTTTGTCCCGAAAACAGTCAGCCGGGAGCTGGACAGGCTGAAAACAGACAACGCAAGCGCGCGGGAGGCGCTCCACTTCATAGAGCAAGAGACCGCCAGAAGCAACCGCAAAGTTTTTATGGAGCCATTTGTTGAGGAAACAGGCTCTACCAACGACGACTCGATTGTTATTTCCTGCTGGAACAACCGCATACCCATTCTCCTGTCGGACGACAAAGCAATGCGGCTTAAAGCGAACAGCGCGGAGGAGAAGGGCCTTGTGTCGATTTCTGTCGGGGGCAAGACCGCAGCCGAGCTCTTCGATGAAATGGCGCAGCTTCTAGGCATGCACTTTATGGAGTGCGACATGAAGGAGGACGACTTCGTGGGGGACATAAAGAAGATGACGGCCCGCGCCGCCTTTCTGATATACCACAGGAGGGTGCTTCCAACCGTCGAGCGAGAGCTGGGGAAAGACCTCGCGCAGTTCTACCTTCCGGAGGGCCTAGAGCACTCGCTGTCCTCCTTGCTTGAGTATGTCCTAAAGAACCACCAATTATTCAGAGGAATGCTTTCGAATGCTTCTATTAAAATCATCACGAAGCTCCACAAGAAGTGTGTGACCGAGCAAGAAATTGCTTTGCTTCTTGATGTTTTTGGCGTTTCATTTGGCGGATAAAAGCCGGGGCCCGCTCCTTTTTATGTCTCAGAGAAGATACTACAGCACAGACATAGCGACATGTGCTCGCGCGTACTGGGCGGCCAAGAAGCCTGGGCGGCAGATTATCATAAGCGACTCGGCGTTTGGCACCACCTGCATGTCCAGCAGGATTTACGCGCACGAGAAGATCTGCGGGGTCCTGGTGCACAAAGACCTGCTGGGCGAGGAGCCGCCCTTTCCTATTGAAACAGAGGTTTGCCTGCTTCGCCCAAGCGACTCGGCCGTGCGCGCGCTCGTTGACTCGGAAAGATACGAAAGCATCCCTTTTATTTGGGTGAGCATTATATACTACAAAGACGAAGGGGGGAGGGAAATAAAAATCCCGAGCACGCGAGAGGAGATGGCCTACAGCAGGTCGATTTCTCCCGAGGACAAAATGACAGTGTACAAAATGGGCATGGTGTCCTTTGACAAAAACTTTGAAAGTCTGTCAGAGGGCTTGAAAAAAACCTTTTTGGACGTGTTTTCTGACAAGCAGGGCGTGCGGGAGTATCTGGAGCACTTTGGCGGAGCACAGTACTTTTTTCCTGCATGCCCGTGCAGCGAAGTGTCTCGGGCCCTTGTCCAGAGCTGCCCAAACATAGTGGTCGACGTATCTGGGCCCAGAAGCCCCCGCAAGGAAAACAGGGGGCAGAACGCAACTAAAAAGCCTGCGCAGGAGAGCCCCAAGGAGGACAGCGCCCCAGACTCTGCCAGAGAGACCCCGCCCTGCAAGGAGACCAGCTCTGGCACGGCCTCCCCGTGCACAAATAAATCCCCTTCTTTCAGCGACCCTGAGCCTGCGCCTTCTGTTTATGTTAATGTGTTTATACTTAAATTTCCGATTTCTCCGATCCCTTCTCGGCACATACACTCCATAAAGGGCGTGCTGTTCCACCTTCTGCACGTCCGCGTGTACGGACTGCTGTATGCATATGTGTGGGCGCCCGTGCAGATACCTCCCGGCACTCTGCACAGCTTGGGCATTGTTTCCATGAACGTTCTGTTTCACTGCGAGTTTTCATTATACAAATAGAAAGTTTAAAAAACCGCACGCATGGAAAGAAGCAGCACAAAGAAAATAGTCACTGCCTTGGAAGGGTGTGCGCCCTCGCAGGAGCACCTCCACAGAATCCCTGCCGAGGACATGCCTTTTGTGTGCATGATTTGCAAGGAGGTGCTTCTGAAGAAAAAAGTGCAGAGCCACTTGTGCGAGCCTCAGGAGAAGAAAACCGAGCTTGAAGAGAGCGCGTTCTTCAACACACACTGCGGGGTTTTAGATGCAGAAACGGGCGTAAACTGCACGCGCAGCCTCAACTGCAAGGTCCACTCCGTACTCATGAAGAGAGCGGTGTGCAAGAGAACGCAGTCGTTTGACGCTCTTCTGAAGAAGTCCATGGAGGAGAAGAAAAAAAGGAAAATCGAAAGGGAGGACGAGAAAGCTGAAAAGAAGGAGAAAATACTCGACGGGTGCATCAAGCTGGAGGAGCAGATATGCGCAAAGCTTCTGTCGCATGTGCCGGTTGTTGAGAAAACGTTCTATCTCCCGGAAATAAAGTTTGACACCCTCGCAGTTCGGAGCTTGTTTTTCCAGCCTTTGAAGATATGCAGGGCGCAGCAGGAAAGAAGAGGGCGCCCTGGCAGGCCCTAATTGGTGCGCGCGCACAAAATAAAAATGTTTATAGGCTTCAGATAGACCTTTCGCTTTGGGCCTTACGCCCGCAAGAAGGCCTGCAAGAACTGCAGGTGCCCAGAACTTCTCCATGCGCTTTTTCTTGTTTGCGCCTGCTCCACCGCATGCCAGCTGAATAGCTCGGGCACACCAGCTTCAAGAAGCCTCGTCTCTGGAGGCCTGAAGCTGCCGCTCATTGCTTTTTATACGCAGGCCATCCGGCAAGGCTGTAGGGCGCTAAAATGCTCGCACACAATATATGTGCTGGTGCAGTGTGCTTTTGTGCCTTGGCTGGCCCATAGCATGCCTGCGCTTGCAGCAACTTTTGCAAACACAAAACTGGAGTTTTTGCGCACAAAAAAATCCTCCAAGCTTAGACACAAAGTTATGCTTTTTATGTTTTGCACAGACAGAATTTAAACAAAAACGCACTGCATCTGCAGGCCACCACAAGAAGATGCTGCACTAAAAAGAAGCGCCTAGCAGAGTTTCCCAGGAATGTGAACATTGTGTGTTTATTGTATTTGCATATGATAGATGCGCATAAATCGCGAGGAGGCTTTGCCAGCGCATGCGCACCAAGCAGCACAAAGTTCACATAGACACTTACACTTCACAAGCAGACTCTCCAAGCAGGTCGCTTCCTATGTAGTCCAGCGCAGATTCTAAGAGAGCTCTGGAGCCTATAACCCCGTCCAGCGTATAGCTCCACAGCTTCTTTGTGTGCAGGCAGGAGTTGAGGAGAAGCGCCGTCATCAGGCCGTCTCGCCTCCCGGCCTCGCAGCGCCCCAAAAGCTTGGCATATGCCTCGCACAGCCGCATATGGCTTTCCAGGGCCCGTATGCTCACGTTGTTTTCCTCCTTTTGCCGGCTGTAGTATGCCTCAATCACCTCCTTGCACGCACCTGTGAGCTTCACCCGAATTTTCTTCCTTTCTTCCAAAAGATCGCGTATAAACATGGCGCATCTTTCCTCTCCTTTTTTCTCTATGTTTTTTTCTGCAATCTCGCGGTCGGTGGCCAGCGCGTCGTCTAGTCCAACTATGAGGTCAAACCTGCTAAGCAAGGGCGCGCTCAGCTTTAGAGACTGCAGCGCTCCTTCTGGCTCGGTGCAATGCCGGGCAGCGCCCACCACTGTGCACCGCGTGTCCAGCTTCAGCAGGATCCCAGCCTTTGCAATTGTTATTGTTTGCTGCTCCATGGCCTCAAGGATTGAAGACTTTTCCTCCTTGCGCAGCGCGTTGAACTCGTCTATGCAGCACAGGCCTTTGTCTGCCTGCGGAATTGCCCCTGGCTCGATCATCCAGTCATTGTTTTCGCGGGTCGCGCACGCGGTGAGCCCGGCAGACGTGCACGAGTTTCCTGTGGTGCAGATGGCCGGGGAAACCGTCTTTGCTGCAAATGCAAGCAGAGTGCTCTTTCCCGTCCCGGTCCTCCCCACGAGAAGAATGTGCGAAGACGTGCGGTTTCTGCTCTGCGAGTCCTGGTACATCTGCTCGGTTGTTATGCTGCCCTCTTCCCGCTCCGTGTCCTTTGCACACCCCTGCCCGCCCAGCGTGCACAGCACCATTGCAAGCTTGCTTTGCCTAAGCCCGGCCAAGGACGGCGCATATGCGTCCACCACCTTCATAAGCAGGTCGTACTCGCTCTCGGGCAGCTCCAGCTGCTTTCCCTTGTTGCGAGGCTTCTGCTGGCTTATTTCCAGCGCGCGTATGGAGTACTCGCAGTTCACAGGCTGCCCCAGCTTGGCCTTTCTCCATAGAACCTCCACACAGCCCGTCACCCGGACAACTTCGCCGGGCTTGCATGCCCCTATCAGCGCGCCAAACAGCTGCACGTTTATTGTGCGCGGAAGATACACCGTGCTCCTTTCCTGTATTTTTATCTCTTGGTAGTCCGTCTTTGCGCCTCCTGCCACCTTGAACTTGGAAAGGCCCAGCTTCATCACGGTCCCATACACAGACACAATTTTGTTGTAGTGGCTTGCGCTTGGATACCCCTGCAGATCGTACGCACACGGAATGTTGTATATGCCCATATCTACAGAGGCGCTGGATAGGGCGCGCAGAGTCTCGTCAGGGTTTTTGTCGTACTCCTCCATTACGTCCATTTTCTTAATAGAACCGTGCTCTTCGCGGAAGTGTGCTCTGCTCTGGAAGTAGCGTTCCCCTTCACTCTCGCTCTCGCTGGTCATTTTTTTCTTTTTTTTCCACGTGCGCTTTGCTCTTTATGTGCTGCCGAAGCTCTGCCTTTGTTTTTAGGTCAATTTTGTGCACTATTAATGTGTAGTATATCTGCGAGTTGTTGTATGTTATGAAGCTGGCGGAGGGGTGCCCGATCTTGTGCAGGATCACAAAGAAAGACATGGCTTTGATGGAAAGAGAGGTCTTGTACGAGTGCATCAGCTTGTTTGCGTTCTCCTTTGTCCAAGGGCCTTTCAGCGTAAACGGCCTGATTCCTGCCCGCTTTCCCTTCAGATTGTAGCATCCAAAGAATCGGTCGTATATGGCTCGGGTGCTTTTTATGCCGAATTTATTGTACAGCGCCTCCTGCTGCTTTATTTTGCTTTTCATTTTCTCTTTCTTCTGAATGGTGTTTATGATGTTTTTGAAGTCCTCGGGAGAGTATCCAAACGTGTTGCTTTCCTTTATGGTCAGAAGCCGGCACTCTTTGAGCATGCAGTCGCTGCAGGTGCACCGGGTGTCTGTCACGTACCCCAGCCTTGCAAAGGCGCCCGTCTTCAGATTGGACATCAGAATGCCTGTGCTCACCAGCTCCTTATTTGCTATCTTCTCCAGGAGAAACTTGCTTTCCTTTGACAGCCGGACCACTTTCTTATCTAGACCGTAAGCACCAAACCTCTTCACAACACACCGAAAATACTTTATTGCCACCTCAGGGCGTATCAAAGAGTATCTCCTGAACCGAACCTTTAGTATTTGGTTGCAAGCGGTATGGCACACTAAATGTTCTCTTCTTATATATATTCTCTCTGAGAGGTCCACTACACACTCCATCATGCAAACAATCTAAATAATAATATAAATAATAATACGAGCATTAATATTGGATACTTAGAGCGAACCAATTAGATAGAACAGAGGCTGGGCGCCCGAAGCGGGCGGGCACGGGCGTGCAAAAGAGCCAAAGAAAGGCCTCGCTGGTGTGCGCGCCTCCTGCATGTGCTGCGAAAACGGCACACAACCTGCTCCCTGCAATCAAAAGCAGCCGGGCAGCGCACAAGAAAACGCGCGTAATGACGGGCACGGGCACATCTCGCTGCAAGGCAGCTGCAGCAGCACGTCCAGGCATAGGCACGCATGCACCAGGCGCAGCCTGCCCAAAAAAGAAATGCAGCACGCCGAACCTGCCGAAATAGCATTATAAAGGATTTATTGCTTCAGTTTTTTAGTTAATTATACTAGAAAATAATTTGTATGTTTCAGTGATAGAGAATAAGATGCTTCCTCCGAGTATTCCGCATGACAATATAGTGAACAAAAGCCTCTTCTTGTTTGACAAAATATATGATATGCTTGGAAGCGCAAACATAATGTAGCAGCTTGCTGTGTTTGCTATAAGGTTCATAACAAATGTGTATTTTATGTTTCCTAGCGAACCTATAAATATCAGTGCAGTTAGAACAGCGGTTGTGAATATTTCAGCCAACCTTTTGTTTTGGTCTATTGGGTTTTTCGCGATTAACCGCAAGAACGTGATGGCAGAGTCGCGGGTTGGGTGCATCTGCAGTGGATATGCGCCCAGAAGCACAATGCTCATGGCAATCATTGAAACGGTTATCAAGTAAAAGTATGCGCTCCCCATGGTGTTTCCAAAGTTCAGCATAATCACTTTGTAGAAGGCCCGCTCCTTGTTCTCCAGTATCTCCAGTATCGAAACATTCTGGTCGTTTCCGCCAGCAATGTATCCGCCGTTTGCCACCAGGAAGTACGCAAACGATGCAATGGCAATAGCAAACGCGCCCACCTTGGCTCCATTGGCCTTTGTCGGCTTTTCAAGCAGGGAAAAGACCCTCACCATGTTCTGCTGGCAGCCCAGCCCAAATATGTATGACGAAAGCGCCGCAAGGATGTCCGATGGGCTTGTTGTGTATGCGCGCAGCGTGTCTTTCTGCACCCCCTTTGAGGGAAGCATCAGAGACAGCGCGCCAGACAGCATAACCACAGCAGAAAGGAACACTACCGAGGCTGTCGACATTATCGAAATGAAGGAAAGCTTTTTCAGGTCTTTCTGCATGGCCAAGGCCGTTGGGACGAGTATGAGCAAAAGACTGAATATAATGTTGTATGGCAGGTACACTATGGCACCGTCAATGCCCAGAAGTTTGGATATCCACGCCTTCAGCAGCAAAAAGTATACGAAAACAGACCCCAGCCCCTGTACCCCTATGCACGCGTCTGCTATGTATCCCAAGGCCGGAAACGCGTTTTGGCACACCAGAAAGTACGAGGGGTCGCTTTTGCCCAAGTTCTTAGCGCAGTGCACGAGCTGAAACAGGGTAAAGGCACATATCGATGAGATAAACAGAAGTATCGGCCCGGATAGAAGATACCCAGACTTTTCCACGGCTTTTGGAAGCGTCAAAACTCCCGCGCCTAGAATAGATCCCACCATAGGAAATGTTGCTTGCAAAACCGAGAGGCCTTTCTCTTTCGTTGATGACTTCATATTAAATTTTTTCATATTTTCTGCTTTTATAGTCCCTGTCTGGCATATAGCCGAATTTATATAGTGTTTTCCCCCTGAATATCCCCACCCGTGCGCCATAAAGACATGTGCAAAGTGCATGCGCGGTTTGCCAATAGAAAGAGTGTGCATTTCAAGCGCATTTGGCTGGCGCAAAGACTCATGCTAAGGGCTTCGGCGGCTATCAAGCGCCCAGAGTGGGTGCCCACGCCTGGATAGAAGCCTGTTGGGCGCCTCGGCTGCGCGCAGCCTCCAGCGCCGCAGTCTGTTTTCCATGCATATGTATGTAAATATGTTTGCTTTTTTATTTTCATGGGCATAATACCTCTATTCTTTTCTCTCCAAAGCATATCGGAGTGTCTTGCGCACGGGGCCCTTGCGCTGTATGTCCTCTACAGCTACAAGAAGTGCAACGTGTACGACGCCCACTACACGGGGGCGTCCATTTACATAATGTGCAGCGACTTTTCGGTGGACAAAGTGCTCAAAATAGCATACTCGTACTTCTACTTCTATTTCCTCGTGCTGTTGGCTCTTCTTGTGATGGCGCTGTTCACGCTGGGCTCCTGCTACACCATCACAGACAACATTGTGGTGGCCGGGTCTTCTATTATTTGCTCGTTTGTGTTTTTGATCCTGTTCTACACCGCAACAAACGGGGCCATGGACATGTTTTCTCTTTTGATCAAAGCATCTGCTTTTTTTGTCTTTGAAATGGCCATAGTTGCCATGATTGTTCTGAGCCAGAACTTGTAGCGCCCCTGCAGGCGCAGCTGCGTGCCAAACTGCCTATGCACGCGGCTCGCATTCTGCCCCTTCCGGCGGGCCTGGGTGAAAATCTGCAGGGCGCACGCGTGTCCTTCCGTGTCTGGATTCCACAGAAAGCGCTAGCCCTGGCCAGCTAAATGCCGCCGGACAAAAATAAAGTACATTACAGACACTGCACATTCTCGCCGCAAAGGCAAGCTTCTGCTTTTTCGCATACCTGGTGCAAATGTCTGCGCATGCCCATAGAAAGCCGTTTGTGTGCGGGCGCCTGCTGCGCGCCTGGAAGCACAGCGCAAGGACTGCGTTCAGGCAACGAGCAGGGCCCCTGCGCGTGGTGCATGTGGGCTGCCGCCTTGCTTCTTTGATGCCTATCCTTAGCCTTGTATTATGGGACAGAAAGTATTTAAGCAGAAAGATATTTTCTTTTTGGATGGCACATAAAGGAAAAACAGTGGAGGAAATATATCAGAAGAAAACGCCAATTGAGCACGTTTTGCTGCGGCCAGACACATACATAGGTTCTGTGCAGCCAGAAAGCAGAAGCATGTATGTGTGGGACAGCGAGAAAGGCAAAATGGTTCGAAAAGAGGTTACGTACACTCCAGGCCTGTACAAAATATTCGATGAAATATTAGTAAATGCAGCTGACAACAAAACACGGGACAAAAAAATGAAGGAGATCCGGGTAGAGGTGGACCGGAAGGCGTCTACAATTTCTGTGTACAACGACGGGCAGGGGATTCCTGTTGTGGTGCATGCGAAGGAGAATGTGTACGTTCCAGAGCTGATATTTGGACACCTTTTGACCTCGTCGAACTACGACGACGCAGAGAAAAAAATGACAGGAGGAAGGAACGGGTACGGGGCAAAGCTGTGCAACATTTTCAGCAAGGAGTTTATCATTGAGACAGCGGACAAGAAGAACAGAAAGCTTTTTCGGCAGGTCTACAGAGGAAACATGCTCTCCCGAGAGGAGCCAACAATCACGGAGTACACGGGGGACGAGTACACGAAGGTGACATTTCAGCCGGACCTTGAGAAGTTCAGCATGAAAAAAATAGACGACGACTTTATGTCGCTGATTCTGAAAAGAGTGTACGACCTTGCAGGGACGGTTGCAGACATTTCTGTGTACTTCAACGGGAAGCTGATTCCGGTGAAGAGCTTCAAGGAGTACATCGGGCTGTTTTTTGACAGCGACGTTGAGATTGTGTACGAGTCCAAGGGGCGGTGGGAGATAGCGTATGTTTTGGGAGACGAGCAGTTCCAGCACGTGAGCTTTGTAAACAGGATCTCGACGCCAAGGGGAGGAACACATGTGAACTACATTGCGGACCAAATCGTGTCGGCTGTGGTGGAGCAGGCGAAAAAGGTCGAAAAGGGCCTGGTGGTGCGACCTCTGCAGGTGAAGGCAAACATTTTCCTGTTTCTGAACTGCCTGATCGAGAACCCGGCGTTTGACTCGCAGACGAAGGAAACACTGACGTCCAAGCAGACCACGTTTGGGTCCAAGCACACGCTCGGGCCGCGCTTCATCTCGGACGTAATGAAGAGCGGGATTGTGGAGAAGTCGGCGTACGCGGCCAGGGCCAAGCAGACGCAGCAGCTGAAGAAAACGGACGGGCACAAAACGTCAAAGCTCCGCGGAATTCCAAAGCTCGACGACGCAAACAACGCGGGAACGCGGTATGCAGCGCAGTGCACGCTGATTTTGACGGAGGGAGACTCTGCCAAGTCCTTGGCGGTGTGCGGGCTGTCTGTGATTGGGCGCGACAACTACGGAGTCTTTCCCTTGCGGGGAAAGCTGCTCAACGTAAGGGAGGCCACGCACAAGCAGCTCATGGAAAACCTGGAGATAAACAACATCAAAAAAATCATGGGGCTGCAGCACGGGCGGGAGTATGAAAGCACGGAAAGCCTCCGGTACGGCCACATTTTGATTATGACGGACCAAGACCACGACGGGAGCCACATAAAGGGGCTTATCATAAACATGCTGGACCACTTTTTCCCGTCCCTGCTGCGAATCAAGGGGTTCCTGCAGGAGTTCATCACTCCAATTGTGCGCGCCACAAAGGGAAGCATGTCCCGAGACTTTTTCACGATCCCAGAGTTTGAGTCCTGGACAGAAACAGGCGAGGGCCGGGAGAACGGGTGGAAAATCAAGTACTACAAGGGGCTGGGTACCAGCACGGCCAAGGACGCAAAGGACTACTTTTCGAACCTGGGGTTCCACATAAAGGAGTTCACCACGGTGGACTCTGCAGACCGGGACAAGATCGAGCTTGCGTTCAGCAAAAAGAGAATTGAGTCCCGAAAGGTGTGGCTGAAGGAGTTTGTGCCCGGAACGTACTTGGACAACAGGGTGCAGGCGATTTCGATAAAAAACTTCATAGACAGAGAGCTGATACACTTTTCGCTCGCGGACAACATCCGGTCGATTCCCAACGTAATTGACGGAATGAAGCCCGGGCAGCGGAAAATTATTTTCTGCTGCTTCAAAAGACAGCTGAAAACCGAGATAAAGGTTGCGCAGCTGGCTGGTTATGTGTCGGAGCACTCGGCGTACCACCACGGAGAGCAGAGCCTGTGCTCGACCATTGTGAATCTGGCGCAGGACTACGTTGGGTCCAACAACATTCCGCTCCTCCAGCCAATTGGGCAGTTTGGAACCCGCCTGCAGGGCGGTAAGGACGCGGCCAGCCCCAGGTACATATTTACAGCGCTGGACCCGATCACGCGGCACATATTCAAGGAGCAGGACGACCATTTGCTGAACTATCTGAAGGACGACAACCTGCTGGTGGAGCCAGACATGTATGTGCCCATTATTCCGATGGTGCTGGTGAACGGGTCTGACGGAATTGGAACGGGGTGGAGCACGTCTATTCCCTCGTACAACCCGCTGGAAATTGTGGAAAACGTAAAGAGAATGATTCGCGGAGAGGAGCCTGTGGACATGGTCCCGTGGTACAAGGGGTTTTCCGGGGAAAGCGAGGACCTGGGGAACGGAAAGTACAGGACAAACGGGGTGTACGAGTCGGAGCCCGGGCGGATTGACATACTTGAGCTGCCGGTTGGCGTGTGGACGCAAAACTACAAGGACTTCTTGGAGACGCTTATAGAGTCGGGCGAGGTGAAAGACTTCCGCGAGTACAACACAGACACAAAGGTGTACTTTGAGGTTGTAGTGCCCAAGCAGAAAATAAACATTCCAAAGGTGTTTAGGTTGAGCGCACAGATGTCCACCGCTAACATGGTGGCGTTCAACAGCAAAGGGGTTCTGCAGAAGTATGCGAACACAGGCGAAATCATAAAAGAGTTCTATGCGGTGCGCAAAGACATGTATGTCCGAAGAAAGGATTTTTTGCTGAAAAAGCTCCTTGTCGAAACAACAATTCTGGAGAACCGGGTTCGCTTCATTGGGGAAGTCGTGTCCGGCGCTATGAAAATCCTAAAAAGAAAGGCTGCGGAGATTGTGGCCGAGCTGGAGGAAAACGGCTATGACAAAAAGGACGACTCGTACGACTATCTTCTAACCATGCAAATTGCCTCGCTGACCGCTGAGCGAATGGAAAAGCTTAGCAGGGAGGCCGAGACAAAGAAGGCAGAGTATGCTGCCTTGAAGGAAAGAACAATAGAGAACATGTGGCTGGCAGACTTGGATGAGTTTTTGGACAACCTGGACATGAGTGTGCGGGAGGACAGCGACTCCGGCAAGAAGAAGGGGAGGCGGATAAAGTCCAAGAAGACGCTGCCAAAGCAGGACACTCTGCCGAAGAAGCCGAAAGCTTCGCAGGGAGAGGCAAAAACCGCCAACACGCGGGCCCGGAAAGAGCGAGTCTCTGTGCTGGACAGCGACAGCGATATGTCCCACACCACCCTGGGAGACAGCCCAGACAGAGCGAAAAAGAAGCCGGCCGCATCTGTAAAAAAGCTTGGGGACAGCGCAAAAAACAGGCCGTGGGACAAGATTATTATCAGCAGCGACGAAGACGATGAATAAAGGTGTATTTTCTTAGCACAGACAGGCTCAGGCAGGCAGAGCGGACATTCGCAGGCCTTGCGCTGTGCGGCGTTTCAGGCTTTTTGTTTTCCCATCCTGCACTACACTGCTTTGCTTTTCGGCTGAATGGCTGGATACTGCGGGCTCAGCTGGCCCAAGCAAACGCAATAAATCGGAATGTGTACAAACAGCAGAGTCTACTAGCAAGGCGCGGCATGCTATTTGCGGCTGGCCGCTTGAAGCGCTCGCATGCGCCAAGCGCTGCGCAGATTCGCCGCAGAGCCCAAGCCAAGCGAAAAGAAAAAACAGTCCAGAGCTTTTTTCAGAGACTACACATTAGCTGCAAAGAAAGTGGCTTGACAACACGGTTTGGCATGCTTTTATTTTCAAGCAAACCCACACAAAAACAGCTCCAGAGAAAAAAGCCATTCTGTTGCAAAGCGGACAAGTTCAAATGGAGCACAAAAGACGCAAAGGCGCTGCAGAAGAAAAGTAGAGTATCATGTTTATTTACTGCTTTCAATCTCGTTTAGAAGCACAACGGGGCGAACCGTTGCGCATATAAAGCTGTTGACGTCCAGCTTGTCGATGTACTCGCCCATCTCGCCAGGAATTCTTCGAGGGATGCTGTTCATTAGCTCCTGTATGGAGTTCATGCTTTCCCTGTCATACTTCATGCTTCCGTTCTCCACGCTCAGAAGATACTCTTCTATTGTGGCAAGGCCCTTTGACAGCTCGGCCAGCGCCTCTTTTGTGCGAGTTATTTTATTCTCTACATCCCCTATGTTGACGTCTTTTACGTCCTCCACAAGCTGCTCGACGCCCACCTCCTCGGCCTCCTCGGCCTCTATGACAAAGGGGATGTGCGAAAACACAAACTGCGTGGACTCCGTGTTAGTGCCGCTTTCTCTCTCCAGCTTGTAGCACTTGACAGGGCTTCTTTCCTTAGCATGCTCAACGTCAATCACTGCAAGTATTGGGTCGCTGCAGTAGCTTCTGAAGGCCTGCGTAATCTGAAGGTCGTTTTTTTGCAGGCATGCGCCTGTGTGGTACCATCCAACAATGGTCTCCATGTTGTTCACCTTGCTAAACAGCTTGTACATGTTTTCGTTGTAGGACGTGTCGAAGAACCAAACATCCGGGTTCTCCTCCAGCTCGTCGAAGGGCACTGCGTACGAGTTTGTCACGTGGACAACTCCGTTTTCGAGCTTTCCCAAAAGAGTTCCCACCACCCTGGGCTGGTCCATTCTCCTGTAATGGTCTGTTGCCGAGAGCAAGACTAAAGGGTGAACTACGATCGTCTTTGCAGATAAATGCATGCAAACAAAACTAAAATGAAATTATTTTAAGCCAAGCCATAATATAGGCAAAACCTCACAAAAGGCTGCCGCCGGCGCGCCCGGGCGCAGAGACACTTTCCGTGGCAGGGCGCAAGCACAGGCCGCGCTGTGTCGCTGTGCAGAGTCGGATCCTTCTTGAGAGCATTTCCGGCACGCCACGCCGCTAGGCACCCAAGGGGCGGCGGTGGCAGCGTGTGGTTGTGCGTTGGGCTTGCCAGAATGTCCCAAGAGGCAGGCTGCTGCGCCGGGCCTACAGACACTTTCTCCGGATGTGCCCGGAAAGCGTCCATCTGGAAAGAAGGATTGTGTGCATATTTATGTTGAAAAGGCACCCTATAAACATAAGGAACACCCCAGACACGTGGCCCAGGTTAAAATCGTGGCCGTAGAACATGACAGACAGAAGCAGAGAGAAAAACTTCATCCCTATTTGAAGCCCCATGCGCGTGTCGTCCATTTCTGCGCAGAACTCTTTTGTGCAGAACAGGCGTATGTACAGGAATATGATCGAGGACATAACCATGTCCTTCCTAATGTTCATGTTTGCGTTTTCTAGGCTGTGCGACATGCCTGCAACGACGGCAGCCCCAACAGTGGCCGACAAAAGGCTGACTGCGGTGGTGACGAACTCGTACGGTATTCCAAACTCTTTACACAGGAATATCTGGCCCGCCTCAAAGGCCACCTCCATCCACGAGTGCAGGGCCAGATAGAAGGCCGCGTCAAACTTTCTTCTTTCCAAGAAGGCCTGAAAGTACGCTGTGTTTGGGCGCGTGCATATCAGCTTTATGAAAGAAAGGGCCAGCTGGTCTGCCCCGCTGCCGCCCCTTTTCTTTTCCACGTCGAGCACGCGCTTGAAAACCTCGCGCGCAGCACGCTTGTCCTCGGGGATGGGCTTGTTCCCGTACAGGAGCAGAATGCTTCTGTAGTATCTGGCGGCCTGGTCTTTTACGGGAAGCGAATAGTCCTGGGCGGGCTGTTTTCCGCTGAGAATGCACTCCATGTATGCACTCTCTTCCTCCGGGCCCTTGCCTGCCAGGAGGTCTGCCTTTGTGTAGTAGTACATAAACTGCAAGGTCATTCGAATGATCTTGATTTTGTCGTGGTGGCACAGCATTCTAAAGTCCTCCAGCGAAACAAGCTGCCGCAGAAAGTGCAGGCTCTCCACGCGCTCCTCGCACGAGAAAATGTAGACGTACATCCCCGCGGTTGCTAGCAGGATGGAAAGCATGCTCATTCTCTGGCGCCGGTTTCGCACAACCCCAAGCGGCGTTGGGAAAAGCCTGAACGACCGCACAATTGACATCGTGGGAAACGACACGTACTCAAGGCTTTTGCACTGGAGAATCTTGTTGAGAATGTTGAGGCATGCAAGCACAGCCAGCAAAAATATCAGAATGATTTTTTCTACTCTCTCTTTTTGATCTTGCGTGCTGCCCGGGCCTTTCTCGGCGTACGACTCGGAGACCTTCTGCTTCTTTGTGGCCCGCGCGGTTTTTGGAAAGAGCGAGCCCAGCTTGCATCTTTTCACGACGAAGTGTTTCTTTCTGGTTTTTGACACTAGACAGAACAAAGATGCCCAAAAATAGACAATTGATTGCGCAGAAAACATTGCAATATCTCTCAGAAAGTGTCGCTGTGTGACCCCTGGTGTGAGCATGCTTTCTGCATAGTACGAGTTGAGTATCTTCAGCGCGTATTCGCCAAGATTGTTCGCATTTGTGAGAAAAATCATTCTTCGAACTTTGAAATTTATTTTTATGAAGTTTATGCCACCAAGTTCGCGAAAACGCCAAAAGTTTCCGCCTTGCCCCTGCATAAGTGCCCGCTAGCCAGACTCTGCCTGCTTTCCTTTTTGGCTAATAAAATGACAGTGCACGGAAATAGCGGCAGCTGGCGGAGGAAGGCTCCGCTATGGCGCGCCCTTTCCGCACGGCATGTAGTCTTCCAGGTGGAAACACGTGTAGTTTCTTGAGGAGTTTGGTATGCCCAGCTCCTCCGACACAAAGTAGTACACGGAAAGAAATCTCCACAGCATTTCCCCGGTTATGACGTTTGGTTTTTTCATTTTTCTAAGCGTGCATGCAACAATAAAGTGCCTTGCCGGGCCATCTGGGAGCATTTCCCCCAGTGCTTTTAGAATGCGGATGTTCATTGCTATTTCAGATGGCACTGTCATTCTGCAAATATTTTTGTCTGGCTAAATAGCCGCACAGGAAGACCAAGCAAAATATTTTCACCCTTGTAAAAATATGCAAGACCACAAAAAGAGAGGCCGAAAGGCAAAGGAAGGGGAAAGGCTGGACAAAGCCGACGCGATTTGCTTCAAGTGTCCGTACACGGCCTGCGATCTGCACTATCAGTCCAGCCTTGGATACAAGCGCCATCTAATGTATTACAAGCACTCCGTTTTTACGCCGTCGAACAAAAAAATTGTGTGCGGGTACATGGACTGCCAAGTGACCGAAAACATACGGGAGCACATAAGCCGAGACCATCCGGCAGAGGCTGCCGACCTTCTGGAGGCGCACGAAGCCATGCTGAAGGTGGGCGAAGAGACCGAGGAAATCAGCACGTCCGGCCTTATTGGAGACATTGTGCACGACGAAGGCCTTTTGGACATCTCCAAGGTGATGGAGGAGGGCGGGATAATCAGAGACATTCTTCTGTCCACGTTCCCAAAGGGCGTCACGCAGATTGTAGACATGGACACGTTCAGCGAGACAAACCAAACCTTCTACTGCCGGATCCCGGGCTGCGGCAGGCAGTTCAAAAGCCTCATGGCGTACAAGTACCACTGTGGAAAGTTCACGCACCTGTTCAAGTCGATTGTAGACGAATACACGCGCACGCACGGGCCGCTGGACTACGAGGAGGTAAAAAACATTTTCCGGCGCAAGTTCAATCTGGAAAACCGGTTTCTTCTGGAGGGTGTGTCGCACCATCTCATGAGGATGCCGGACCAGCACTACAACGTGATATTTACGTTTGACGACGCGCAGATTGGGCACGAGAAAAGGCGGATGAAGAAAAGGTCTGCGGAGCCGATTTCCGAGTTCAGCCTGGGGGGCGACGACAGGCACGACTACGAGGACGAGATCATCAAGCGGATGAAGGAGGACGCGGAGCCCGAGGACAAGTCGCAGTTTAAAATAGACTCGATTGTGTTCAACGGCAGGCAGCTCAGGCACCTGCAGAGCTACGAGCAGGGCCGGCTCTCTTTTCTCAACGTGTACCTGGAAACCACGCTTCTGGCTGTTGTGAACGGGCGCGTTTTGGTGGGCACGAAGGGCGAGCAGGAAGAGGACGACGAGCACGCAGAGCCCGGGAAGCCCAGCAACATATTCTGCTTTTCGGGGGGAAGCGCCACGTTTTTTGCCTTGAACAAAAATAAGATACACAGCGAGATAGTTGTGGAGGGGCACGGGTTTCCGCGGAAGCTTGTGACTCTTGACGAAGAGGCCGGGACTGTTTTGGTTCTGTTCAACGACGGCGTGCTCAGAGAGCTGAAGATATCGAAGGAGATGCGGCTGGAAAGCATCACCGAGGTAAAGGCAAAGGCGCAGATTGTGGACTTTGCTCTGTTCAAGGGGCAGATTGTGATATGCAGCCACCGGGTTCTGACAAACCTCTCCACAAGGAAGGAGCGGCCGTTTGAGTCCCCTATCATCTCGGTGGGCACCACAAGCGAGAGCATTCTCGTTGTAGACTCGAATGGAAGAACATACTGCATAAACGAGCAGTTTGAGGACGTGTGCAGCATACCGTCCAAGGTGGGGACGAACGCAGTGGCGGGGCTGGGCGATGAGCACGACCTTCTGTTCATAAGCAACTCCCTCTACGGGCTGGGCCGGGTGTTTTCGATGCGCACGGGCGGCAACCTTCTTGTGTCGCCGCACGCATGCTCGCACGCCATGCTTATTAAGCCAGGGTTTATTATTTCGTCAGGGCTGGACGGGTCTTTGTGCGTGTCTGCGTACGAGGCAGACCCGAAGGTGTACATGAAGGTGCTGCGCACAGAAATCAGAGGAGACGAGCTGTTTATAGCCACCTCGGAAGAGGAGCACGCGCTTTCCGAGCAGCTCCAGCCGGTGCCGTGCATCGACTACCGTGTCACAATACAGGGAATAGTCAGACACGGAAACAGCTTGGTGGCTGTTCTTACGTGCGGGATTGTGATTATAATCGACGAGTTTTTCAGAATTTCATAAAGATGCGAATATTTTTTATTCTATGAACATAGCACTCGTCTGCGCAGGCATGCCCGTGCTGCCCATTCTGACATATTTTGTCTTGACAATGTACAACGTCACATCTGTGTACAAGGTGATCATTCCTGAAATAATTGTAGTCGTATACACTGTAGCCATAGCCGTGCTTCTCATAAAGAAAGTTGAGGCTGAAGAGAGAGAAAAAAGAAAAACTCATTAGGCCAAGAACAGGCGAGCAGCCAGGGCTTCCCGAGAGAGAAAGCGCCCTTGCCGGCCTAGCGCGTGAGCCGCTTGGAGACAGGTTCTCTGCACTTGAAATAAACATGCAAATTAAGATTAGTGCTGTATGCTTGGCGAGGCTCTCGTCCGGCGCGTGCTGCTGTTTTTACCAATGCCAATTTATTTTCTTTGTACGCCGGCGCCCGGTTTGCCCTGAGGTTGCTTCTATGCGATAGCATTTCGAAGGCGAAAACACGCTGAATTTATACTTTCAGAGTCGACAATACATTTAGATTCTGGGAATAGGCTATGCAGCCATCTTTCTTTAGGAAACTTATAGAATTGGCGCCGAAGGACCAAGGCCATGCCTGTGGATGCTGGCGTGTGCTAGAGCCAGGGCAGCCCTGCTCTAAGCAGCTCTGGGCCGCCGGTGTGCGCTCCGAGGGCTCAGGACGCTGGCGCTTTGTGCGGCCCTGCTGAATATACACTGCGCCATCGGTCTTGGACTCTTAGAGCGTGCAGGCGCGCCTTTGCAGGCCTGCTGAATATACACTGCGCATATTGTGTTTACATTCTCTCTATGTGGACAGTGCGCGTTTAGGGGCGTGGCCCCGTGCAATAATATCAAAAATCTCAGCTCTACATTTGGTCTAGCTCGTTGTTCAAAAACTCATCTATACTGATGTCTTCTGTGGTGTCGCGCGCGGATGGCATGTCGGACAGGATGTTGTTCAGGTCTGTGTTGTCTTCCAGCTGCAGGGTTTCCTTCTTTATTTCCTGCTTGTTGAAGATTCTGATGAACGCGCGCACCAGCTCGTTTATCGTTCTGTCTTGCTGATCCACCTTCTTTCTAAGCAAAAACACGTCGCTTGCCAGCTTCCTGTTTATTTCGTTTATTGCCGACATGTTGCTGTGCAGAAGCGCCTGGTTGTCCTGTATAATCGCCATGTTTGGCGACTTTTCGTGGGACACCGAAGTCTTTCTTTTTATGTGCTCCAGCATGTGCGGAGACCCCCGGATGAACCGCGAGTTCACAAACTCGTCCAGGCCCAGCCGCTTCTCCTTTGAAAACCCGTAGTTGTTGAGCTGCCGTATGAGCGTGCCGTACTCGTCCGACTTGCACAGCAATGGAAACGTCTTCTGCATAAAGCCCGCCTTGTCCAATATTACAAACCCGTTTCCTTCTTCGTTCCAGCCAATTGAAGGATGCTCGCTTGACGAAACCACCGTGTACAAATTTCTCAGAAATTTCAGCATGTGTATAAAAGAATTTGTATTTTTATGTTTTTATGAAGGGAATACTTGGCAGAGTCGCCATGGCGGTGTACAACACAGTGGAAAATGTTGCCGTGGCTGTATTGACACGGATGAAGTCAGAGGAAAAGGACCCGCTTACTCCTGTGACAGATGACGCGGAGAACCTTTTGTTCCTAACACCGGGTGAGTACAGCGGGGTATACAAAAGCTTGCACTCCGTGATCGCAAAAGGGGGGAAAAATCTCAAGCCCAAGCACATGCAGAAAATATCTAACTTGCTGGACACTGTCGTGGACGAGGCGGAGTTTCCGGAGTATGTGGAGCAAATGGGATTTTTGCAGAAAATGTGCCGGGGCGAGGAGGTAAGCCCGGAGAAGGAGGCTTGCTTCCTGCAGTACGTCTCAGGTGGATCGCGGAAGGAGGCGGCGCAGGCAGAGGCGGCGCAGGAGAACCTGCAAGCCGAAGTGCAGGCAGACACCCAGACAGACACCGCGCAGAAAAATGCTGTGCAGGCTGATGCCACTTCGGAAGAAGTCCGGCCTAGCGAGACAGAGAAGGCAGAGGCGCGCGCGCCTTACTCTGGCCAGAAAAGGTTTTCCGACGAGGAAAGGCTTCAGATTCAGGAGAGAGAGAAGGAGGCTATGCGGCAGACGCTGGTTGCGCTTGGCGAAGGAGAAATCCGCACTCTTTACCCGTACAGAAGAGCAGACGGAGGATACACAAAGATCGAAATACCGCCGGAGTACTCGCAGTACGACCCAAACCTGGAGCAGGTGAAATACGAGCCGGAGACCGGGTGCTGGGTGTACAGAAAGGCCGACAATGTGGGAAAGAGGGCGTACGGCCCGTGCATAGCCATGCATCCAAAGAAGCAGAAAATGTGCCCGTATATAGGAATCGCTCCCGGCGTGCTTCCGTCGAAGTGGTACATGCGGATGAAAGCGCAGGGGCTCATAAAAGAGGAGCGGGAGCTGGACATTGACACGTACTATTCAGAAAAAACAAGCAACCTGAGCCGGATGGTGCAGGAGCAGGAGGAAAAGACGCGGAAGGCCGAGGAGGCGCGAATCGCGGAAAACCGAAGAAAGTTCCGGGCCAAAATGGCAGAAGACGAGCGGCTTGGGCTGGCTCCGTCTGCACAGGCCGTGCGAAAGGCAGAGGAGCCGGAGCAGTGGAAGCGAATGAAGGAAATCGAGAAGCAGATCGAGCAGGAGCGGAACAGCGCGCCTGCCCGAAACAGGCAGATGAAGCAGTCGCTGGGAGGCCAGAAGGCGTGTGAAGACATGATCTACGAGGCGCTGAAGAAAGCGTCGCATGAGCCGTATGAGCCGCGCGCCTACAAAAACGCGATGGGCGCGCAGGAGGGGCACACAGCTTCTCTAGAAGACAAAAAGCCGGAGCAGGAAAAAAGCGAAGCATTTTCGTTCGGAGCAGGCGCCTCCTTGGGCCAGCCTGGGTCTGGGCTAGGAGGCGGGCTGTTCCAGAACCCGCCCCAGAGCTCCATGAAGAGCAGCTTTCAGGCAAGTACGCTGGGCCAGCAGCAGGCTGGAACATCTTCGGGGCTTTTGGCCGGCTCGCAGGCAGCCCCTATGGGCGAGCTGAAAAAAAGCAGCTTCCAGATGGATGCCCCAGCGGGCTTGCAAGGTGGATTTGCAGCCGCTACAATGAACAGCGCCCCCAAAAGCACCGGCAATCCAAGCCCTTTGTCGAGCGCGGATTCAAGCCTGAGCACAAGCTTTATAGCCAACCCCATCCCCACCCGCGCCTCGTTTAGCAACTTTGGAGAGCTTGGGGCCGGCCCAAATGCAGCGCACCAGTTTGGAAGCAGAGCCAGCCTGGGCGCGCAGAAAGACGCGTTTAGTTTTGGCGCAGAAAGCCCAGACTCCTCCTCGCCAAACACGCCTTCCCTGAGCTCAGCGGACTCTATTAACCTGCCGAGTGAGATCATGGAGAAGCCCGACATGCGCGCCAAGGCTGCGCCTTTAAGCACGCAGAAAGCAGGCTTGTTTGGAGGCTTGCCGGAAGACACGCTGCATAAACAAAAAACAAAAATGTTTGGCAGGCTTGCAGACGCCCAGGAAAACGCAGCTGCTTCGGAGGAGCCAGATAGAAAGAAAAGGCTGAACAGCAGCAGCGACACCGGAATGCAGCATGCGCAGGCCTCTGGCACAATGCCCAAAGAATCGCCACTTACGGCATTCCAGAGCATGCTGGAGAAAGGCATGCAGGAAGAAAAACCCGCACGCCCGCTGGACAGAAGCGAGCCTGCCGGGTTTTCCGGCTTCAGCAGCTCTTTGGGCGGCCAAAAGCCTAGCAGCATCTTGGGAGGCTCTGGGAAAAACACGCTCGGCAGCCAAAGCCCCAGCTTCATGGGGAGCCCAGTGGGGTCGCAGACGGGCAGCCCGTTTAGCAGCCAGTCCCCCAGCCAGATAAACAGCCCTATGAACAGCCACATGAACAGCTTTATGAACAGCTCGGTGCCCAGCCCCATTGACAGCCAGAAAGCCAACTTCCTGGGCAGCCCCTCAAGCAGCCCGTTTAAGAGCCAAACCCCCGGCCCTGCAGGAAACCTGATGGGAGGCTTTGCAAACAGCGCAATGGGTGCGCCAATGGACAGCACGAAGAGCAGCTCGGCGCCTTTTCAGTCAGGCAGCATTTTGGGCACGTCTCTAGGCGGTGCTTTTAACGCGCAGGCAGGAACCCTGGAAGCCAGCCCTTTGAACGCGCCTTCACTGGGGAGAGCAGGCACCGCGTCCCCGATTGGTATGTTTTCAAACCCTGCACAGACAACAAACAACAGCCAGACGTTTGGAGCCCCGGGCATGGGCTCTGCGCAAAGCAGGCTAGCGGAAGCCAACCCATTCGCGTCGGAAACCCCCCAGAAGAGCGAGGGGTATGTAAACCCGTTTGCAGGTAAGGAAACAGTTAGAAAGCGACCTTCATTCATGTTTAAAAAATAAATACGGTTTCGTCTTGTTGTTTCATGACTATTCGCATACAGGCAGTACGGGAGCTCATGCCGTCGCTGCTTATTTCGCTGTGCGGGCTCTTTCTTATGTCGACAACCCTGCAGAAGCACTTGACAGGCGAGTACATTAGGCCTATGCACTACATGTTTATCCTCAACTCTATGCTGTGCTTTAAGAACAACATAGAGCTGAACTATGCGGACATGATGAGCAGCACCATTAAAAAGGCGCGGATGCACAGAAACAGAGTCTCCACGATCTCTCTGATCGAGTATATCTTTGACTCTGGGCTGCAGATGTTTTTTGTCTCGATGCTGTTCAGCCTTCTCATTGGAGTGTTTGCGAACTACAAAAACATATTCGAGCTTTTTCTGTGGGACAGTGCAAAAAAAAACACCGTGCTTATACTCAGCTCTGTCACGGCGGCTTTCTTTTCGGCCGCGTGCAGCTGCATTTCCACGCTTGTCTGCGTGGTTTTCTGCATTTTCATAAGCATATCCTTCAAGTTTGACACGGACAACATAATCCTCCCCATCATTGCCTCGATGGCAGATTATGTCTGCACGATATCCCTGATATACTTCTCGGAAAACATATTCATCGAGGCAAGCAAGAAGTATCCGTCGGTGCTGAGCGAGTCTTTTACTCCGTCGTCAAAGTTCTACCACAGAATATTCATCACAAACTGCATTCTTGTGTTTTTTATTGTTGCAATTCTGGGCATGCTGTACTCGCACGTCCGGAAAAACTGCACGCTGCGGCTGTTCAGCCCGTGGTCGCTCTTTGGCTCGTTTTCTGTCACCGTGCTGGCTGGATATCTTATAAACACAGTGACGGGCGACAACCCCTGGCTGGGGTGCATCATTCCGCTCTTCAACGGCGTGGCCGGCTCGATTGTCCTCATATACGTCGGAAAAGTCACCACATTTGCAACCACCAAAGACGCGCTAGGAAGTGAAACAGGCGAAATCCAAATATTTGACGAAGAAAAGTTTGAAGACGCTCCAGAGAACCCAAACAGCGTGGGCAGCATATGCACTCTCTTGGTCACTTCGTCGCTTCTGTCCGCGGTTGCCTGCGTGTTTATGCGGTTCTTTTTCCAAAAGATGCCCTTTTTCTACATAGTCTTGTTTGGGTGCCTTCTGAACCTGCAGGTGACGCTTATGTACTTTGTCACCAACACGCTGGTGCTCATCATGCAGCACTTCCGCGTCGACATCTCCTACCACATCGTGCCTCTTATCAACGCGTTCAGCGACCTAGTTGGAATATGTGTTCTAGGCGGAAGCGCGCTTCTTGTTCTGTAGGCGCGCCCGGCGCTGCAAGCGTCCGCTGTGCTTCCACCCACACGCTCGGAGCAGATCGGACTAAAGTGTGCCGGTCGTGCATGCATGTGCTCGGTTGCATTTTGCCTTATCCTGCCCTGCGCGCTTGGTCTCCACGCATTCCGGCCCGCTCTTGGGATTTGCACCCATGAGGCTTGTCCTGCAGCCTGCGCCACAAGTGCGCCTGCCCTCTTTCTATTGCGCTTCGCCCCTGTTCTAACTTGTATGTATATAGCATGTGTATTTGCTGGTTGCACGCCAAATACTTAATTATGCTGTCTGTGCAAGGCGCCTTCTTGCGCGCTGAGGGAAGCTGTGCCTCTTTCGCTTCTGCACGCACATTTCAGCGCATTCGTGTGTGATATTTCAACGGAAACAGTCAAATACAATAAAGATCAGCCCTTTAGATACTTTGCGCGCTATATAAAGGGGAGCCACCACACATACATTTTCCCCAGGGCCTCTAGGCACGTGCTGGCTTCTATGAGCATGGAGGACTTTGTTATTTCGTCCTCAAAGTCTATCTTTGACTTCGTCCTGTCGATTATTTGGATGGCTGTTTTTGTGTTATTTCTTCCTGTCCACTCTCCAAGCGGGTCGTGCACAAATCCCAGCAGGTTGGCCACGAGCAGGTCTCTGTTTACGGACAGAAACTTAAGAGCCCGCTCCAGCGCAAGCCTGTACTGCCCCTCCTCCTTTGTTGGCCCAAACGCGTCTATTATGTTCTGCGTAAGCCTAAACGGAACGGTTTCAGGCACCAGCAGGCTCTGCCCCTTGTCAAATATGCAGTTCAGGTCCACATGCACGGTCTCTCCCGTTTTTTCGTCAAACAAAATGTTCTCGCAGTGCCGGTCGCCCAGGCCCATAAAGTACCCCACCGCGTTCATAACCGCATACGTTATTGTGTATCTCTTTCGCGAAAGCAGCCACTCGACAGGATGTGTAAACTGCCTCAGGAAGTACTGCGAGAAAACAGGCGGCACCCGTTGCAGAAGCGGCCTCAGACCCTTTCCCAGCGTGCTGATCTTCTTGACAAAGCCCAGCTCCTTCCCAATCTCCTTCACATATATCCCCTTTTCGGCATACAGCTTGTCGCATATGTGCTTCAGCGTGTGCAGGTTTTCCACAAACTCCAGTATGCCAATCTTTCCTGTTATGGGGATGACCGTGTACACCCGGATGCCAAACGCCCGGTACTCATTGTCGCTTTGGAACAAAGAGTTTAGCAGCATGTTCAGATCCATGAAGCCTGCGTCTTTCCGCAGGTCGTCGTTTGCCTTGCACAAAAACGACTTGTAGCATCCCGTCGACGTCAGCGTCTGTATTTTCTTTGGCTTCTGGATAGTGGCAAACACAAAAACCGTGTCGGAGACAGAAATAATTTCGGACAAAAAGTCTCCAAACGGCGCAGGTATGGGCGCGCTCTTCTCCAGGCACACAGATGCCCCCAGTATCGACGGGAGGTGCGTTATGCCGCTTCCTGCCGGATACATGCTGATTTTGCTAAGAATCTCTGCAAAGTCTATCACGTCTGAAAACAGCTTTCTGAAGGAAAAAGGCGCTCGGTCCACAAGGGCGTGTATGGCCGTGTTCTTTTTGTTCTTGAACAAAGAAAGCGTCCTCCACGCAAACTCTTCCGGAAAAGCGGCAATCAGCTTCAGCGCCATTTCGATGAGCAGATCCTCCACGGCCTTTTCCCGGTGCAGAACCCTGCTGAGTATTTGGACATAAAACCGCCGGAACATTTTCACGTCCACGTTTTGGAAGGCTTTCTTCAGCTCTACCACGCATATGGAAATTTCCTCTTTTTTGCTTTTTGTGCTGCTTGTGTCTGTGACATAGTGGATCAGGCTGGGCACAATTTCTGGCGCTTTTGTATTCCCGCACTCAAGCGCGCGGCAAAACATTTTGAACGCCTGCACTGGGTGCTTCTTTTCGAGGTACTTCCCGTAGCTGAAGTACAGCCTCTCGTTTGTTTTTATCTGCGCCAGCGCCTTTTCGTATATTTCCTCGGACGTTTCTATCTCGGTGTTTAGGAGAACAGCTTTCTCTTGGTACTCGCTGTCTTCGGGTATGCTCTCCATAAGCCTCTGGAGCGCCTGCTTGGCGAGCGTTTTGTTGTTTTTCAGAAGGTGCAGCTTTGCTTTTTCGTAGAACACTCTCCAGTCGTCCTTGAGGATCAGGCGGATCAGAAGCTTCTCAGACAGCTCGCACTTCCCGGACTTTCTCGCCATTCTTACGCCGTGCAGGAGCGCGTCCTTTTCCGCTTGCACGACCTCTGCGCACGCTGGAAGCGCAGACAGCATGTACCGGTGGATTTCTGCAACCCGCAGAGAATCATACGTGCGCGCGCCCTCCCGCCTTTCTCGAAGTATTTCCAGCGCCGCAGGAAGAGGCTTTTTCTGGAGTATTTTGCTGTCCTGCAGCATATGCACATCTATCAGAAACGTCTTGAAAGCGTCGGGGTCTTTTCCAAACGTGCTGAGCGGAGGCGTGTGGCTCCACTGCTGTATGGACTCCTCCGCTTGCTTAAGAATGTCTTCGGCGCCAAGCGCCTGCCCCTCAAACGACTCAAACAGCTCCCTGTACTTTGCGCTTTCGTCCAGCACCTTTGTGTTTTTCTGCAGTATCTCCCGCGTAAGATACATGTAGTTTGCGTGCTCGTCGTTTATTTTCAGCTCAGCTGCAATGTTTACGGGCGACAGCTTGCTGATTGCGGCGTTTATCCCAAACACCTCGTCCTTTTTCTTGAGCGTAAGATACTCCTCCTGTATCAGAGAAAGTATGCGGTCTCTCTCCTCGGCGCTTTGGGCGCTCCTCATCTGCTCCTCCAGCAGCCTGATCGTGGCCTGTCGGTCTTGAATGTACTTGCTGCACAGAAGAAGCTCCTCGGTTGTAAACACGCCGTCCATGCTCAGGCTGCACGAGATAATGCACCTCAGAATGTCAGAGTCCACCAGCACGCCCTCCTTTACGTCGCTGAAAATTGGAACAAACTGGGCTCGTATGGTTTCGGTGTGCAGAGGCTTCATGGAGTACACCATTATGAAAAAGTAGAACTGCAGGAGCGCCATCTTGTGCCGATGCACCCACTTCTTCCAGGTGATGATGTTGAGAACCGCCTGCGAAGTTCCCAGCACGCCAAAAATCTTGTCGATGCCTGGGGTTTGCGAAAACGCTGTTATGACGCCCGTAAGAAAGCTTACGTGCGACACCCCTCTTCGGTACCCGCTGGGCGCCTCCTGGCTGCGCGCCCGCGGCGGCTCTATTTCTATCGTGTACTTGGACGACTGCAGCCTCGTGATAAACTCGCTTTCCTTGGCCAGGCCTGCGACCTTTGTGTCCCTCAGCAGCTCCTGCATAATGTACAGCAGAAGGTCATCCAGCGTCTCGTAGTATATTGGGATAAGTGTGCCAGAAATGAAAAACTCCACAATCTCTGCCTTTTTCTTGTGCTCCATGTTTATCAGGCGCGCAGCGTTGTCGGAAAGCGCCCGGGTTTCCTCGCTTTCCTCCTCCAAGGCGTCGACCACGCGGAGCCCAAAGCGCGAAAGCGCCTCGAGCACCTGTGGCTCTTTCGAGTCTGCGTACATCCGGCACAGGGAAACAATCAGCAGCCTGCAGCACGCCCAGTTTCCCCGCGCCAGTTTTTGTATTTCTTCGTGCGAGGCGCTCAGAACCCAGGGAAGCATTTTTTTTATCGAGAGGAAGGCAAAAAACGGCGTCAGCTTCAGATACGGATAGACCTTGAGCGCGGCCTCCTCAAGCGAGGAGATTTTTTCGATGTAGAGCGCGCTTTCCTCGCCCAGCACACTTTCAACCTCCTTCTTTTGGCCCTCGGTTAGCTCGTGGGCCATCATGTATCTGCAATGGATGAGGTCGTGCTTGTGCGTTTTTCTGACCAGCTCGCCGAAAAACTTCTGCTTTCCGCACTCAAGGCTGCAGCACTCGGGGCTTCCCGTCACGTGCCCGGTGTGCACCAGAAACAAAATGATTTCCTGGACCTCGTTCAGCGTCGGCGCTCTTTTCTCGTACAGAGCGTCGGCGACCATCCACATAAAGTTGAATATACAGCTGTTTATCGGGACCACCCTGTCCTCGAGTATCCTTCGCGTTGTGAACAGAACCGACATAAGAGAAAACCCCTGCAGCACCTTTCTTGCGTCTATGCCGCACTCTGCAAACAGATCCAAGGGCCTGGCCAACGATATGCATATTGTTGCAACTGCCTCCGGCCCGGTTTCGCACACCATTCTTCGCATGTGCTCCATGTGCTCGGCGTCCCTCAGCGCCTCCTTCTTTGTCTGGTACACATACACCGCACAGTATATCGATATGCTTGGCGAGTCTGCGTAGTACTCGTCTATCAAGTCCTTTTGCCACAGGCGCGGCGCAAGGAAGTACTTTTCCTGCTCTAGAAAGTCTTTTTTTGTGTCGTATCCGTAGAGCCGGTGCAGGCTCTCAAGCACGTCTGCAACGCTCTCGCTCGACCTGTACAGAAAGTGGTCTAAAATCAGCTTCTTCGCCTCCAGAAAGTGCTTCCTGTGCTTCTTCCCTATCGCATGCACTATGGTGTGGATGTACTGCGAGTTTTTCTTTTTTATGAGCTCGTGGCACAGCAGCGCCCCTGCAAACGCAACTTTTTTTGACCCGCCAACCGAGTACAGGATGTTTATGGTTGTCACTATTTTTGCAGGCACACTTTCTTGGCACGCAGCCTTTGCAAGGCTCAGCACATACTCCTCGTTCTCCCCGTGCATGTAGAAGTGCTTCAGTGCGTCAAAGTACACCCGCATGTCTTTCATGTTTTTCACGGGCTTTTTTTCCACCTTCTTGATGATGTTGACGACATACTGCAGATACCTGTTTGTCTTGTACTTCTTCATGTGCATGACCCCCTCGGGCACCAGGCTGCCTCCCTTTATTTGGTGGCTCAGCGCCTCGCTCATTATCTTGTCCATCTCTGCGTCTATCCGCATCCTGTGCATGCGGTAGTACCGCACGTGCTCGACGTTCACCCTTTTCTGGCAGCCGATCGACGTGCACCGCATAAAGCCGCTTTCGGCCGCGCTCTCCAGCAAGTTTTTCTCTACAAGCGTGCTCTGTATGCAAAATATAACAGGCAACATGTATACTGTTTCTTTGTCGCGAATAAAAAACGGTGAAACAATGTGCACGTCTATTTCTCTGTTTATGAAGTTCTCGTACGGGCAGACCTCTTTCTGTGTTAGCGCCAGAAGAACTTTTTGCGCTGGATTTGTTTTTTCATACGGCCAGCTGTCGTCTATTTCGGCCTTCAGCCTTTGCATGAAAGACACGTTCTCTATTTCCCTGCACGCCAGGTCCACAATGTGCTCCAGATACTCCTGTCTTCGGTGCGGCCTCCGCACTTTCAGCAGACACACCAGCTTGAAAACCGACTCTATTTCTAGGTCCGTCATGTTTGATCTTTTTGCAAGGTGCGAAAACACGCTCAGCTGGACAACCTCCGTGGGCATCCCCGCCGCACCCCCCTCGTCCCAGCGCACATCAAACGTCTCCACAATCTGGTAGAGGAGCGCCTCGTCCTTCTGCGTGTATTCTATTGGCTTGTCCAGCATGTACTTTATAAGCCTGGCCCCGCTGAACTTTCTTTTGAGCCGCTCAAGGCTGTAGATCGGCATCTGCATAACCGCGCTTATGCATCTTCGCAGAAAATCAAATGTTTCTGAAATCTCCAGGCGGTCCTCCTCCAGCTTGCTGAGAAATCCCTCGCACACCCGCCTGCTCTGGACTCTTTTTATCGACTCAAGAAACGTTATATGGAAATCCTCCCTCGTGGAAATGTCACACAGCGCCTTTTCTTTTGTAAATAGTTCGTCCATAAAAAAGAAAGTTTATTCCACTCTTAATAAGGCCTCTTCGAATGAGCCAAGCTCCAACTCTCCCTCCTGCGTGGGGTATGTGTAGACCGCCGCGCTGTCTGCAGGCACGCCTACACTCACATTGTCCAGCCCGGTCTCCCTTCTTTCTATTATTTCGCAGTTCTGCGTATCGAACAGCGTTATTGTCTCGTCGTACGACGCACATGTGATGTATCTGTCCAAAGAGGCTTCCATGTTGTTTATCTTCTGCGCATGCGCCTTGAAGCTTTTTTCTTTCGCCTTGTTTATGCTGTAGATCACCGTTCCATCGCACAGCCCCGCGGTCACCATGTTTCCTGCGGCTGCAACCGCTGTTATGTTGGCGGGGCATGCGAACACCTTGTGCACTGCGCTGTCTCGTATGTCCATCATGCACAGGGATGCGTTTTCCTCAAAGTAAAGCATGTTTTCGCACAGCGTGGCGGCCTTTGTGGCTTTTTCCAGCGTGATCACGTTCTTTTGCGAAGCAATGTCCCACAGCTTCATGCTTTTTGCGCTGTACGACATAACGTGCGCCAGACTTGCTGCGATGCCTTCGACCTTTGAGCTGTGTGCTGCAATTACGCTGTCTGGCAGGAAGTGGTTTGTGACAAAAAGCCTGTATGTTGAAACAGTCCCGTCCTCGTTTGAAATAAGCGCAAGGGGGTCTTCATTCCTGTCCACGAGCGCCAAGTCCGTTGGCGTGCCGTGCAGAAATTCGTCGTGGTGCACATAGAAGGCCGCTGTCTCGCTGTCAAAGATGTACACGTCCATCCTGAAGTCTGTGTCTTCGGTTGTCAGCGCCACAGCCATTCTATCGGTTGCCCGTATCTCGTTGTCTTCTATTTCTTCGCTGCTCATGTCATCGTCTTCCTGCGGGTCATTTACAACCCCCGCTGTGTCGTCAAACAGCTCCTGCGGCTCCTTCATGTAGTAGTGTGCGTACGTGTCAAACACTTCTCGGTTTGGCGTGTATCTCAGCGGGGTTTTGCAGTCTTTTCCTGTGGTTAGCACTTTAGACTTAATAATCATAAAAAAATAGAAGTTGAGAAAAATATAGAAATACACAGCAGACGCAGCAACCCACCTGTTTGGAAAGCGCCCTCGCCAGGCGCAGAACAGTAGCTGTCCTGTGCAGGGCTTGGTGTCTGGGCTCTTCCTCGAGCGCGCCGGCCTTGCACGCGCCAAACCAGAGGAAAATCACCAGCTGCGATAGAGTGCGATAGGCTGCTTTTGTACGCAAAAGCCCGCCTGGTGTGCATACACCTGCCAAAACCCCGAGCTTTTGTGCTTTCTATGCGCTATGTAATCTCGGGCTGAGCTGCTGCTGAACTGTGCAGTGCCGCCAGGTTGCTTCTTCTATAGGCAGAGCCCTTTTCTCTTTTATAGTGTCTGTGCAGCTGTCTCCAGTGCACATGCGGTGCTTGTGCAGTCTCAAGCCCGCAGGTGTTTTTTTGCCTTTAAAAATCCAAAAAACTGTGTTTGAGTAGCTCAAGATTTGTGGAGGTAATGCTGGCTTGGAAACAAAATACAGTTTGCGCTTCCGCAAGACTTGGCTCTGCTAACTGCAAAAGTTTATTTAAAACGAAACGCTGCAGCGCATGGACAATCCTTGCGCTGCATGGCACATGTTGCTTATGCTGTATAGCAAACGCTAGATGCATGGGTATGCCTTATGCGCTGCCATACGCACGCTTCAGTGGCTGGGCGCTGTTTATACTTGCTGATTCGCCGGGTTGATTGGCTCTTCCTCGTCTTCCTCGCCTTCCATGTCTTCCTCGCCTTCCATAACTTCCTCGCCTTCCATAACTTCCTCGTCTTCCATGACTTCTTCATCTTCCATGACTTCCTTGTGTGCCCGGTCTGCTCGTGCCTTTTCTAGAAGATGTGTACTTCTAATAGGCAGGCAGCTTGAGGTGGTCTCCTCATCAGCCAGTAGCTTCGACATTGACTTGGGCATGCAGCTACTCAGATACATGCTGTACGGGATGCATGTTCTTGGGCGCTTTCCAGAAACAAGAACAAGCATGTACATGTAAAGCTTTTTTGTATTTTTAAAGAATGGGTTTGCCTTCAAGCTCCACCTAGATAAAGGGGCTTTGGTTCTGTTGTCTTTTTTTTGTATGCTGTCTATTTCATCGTTTATCAGCCTTAGGATAGACACAAGCGAGAAAAGAATATCCTTCTTTGTTCCTGCAGAGCTCTTCAGATGTGCGCTGATTTTCTCCAGTTTTTCAACAACAGGAGACCCTATTAAGTTCTGGTTGTTCTCCTTGAACACTCCAACGTAGTATTTGTTCATGCAGATCACAAGTTTTATTAGGTTTTCTTGTGTCATTGTGCCGGTTACGTTGATGCTATGGTAGCAGCTGGAAATTATGTCTAGCTCTTCCTGTGTTTTTTTGCTCATGTCCTTCTTAATAAACTCTTCTACGTGATCTCTGAATACAGACAGCGTATTGCTAAGCTTTCTGTGCTTTTCCCCCTTTAGGCTTTTTGGCCCGTCTGTGCCGGAACTTATGTTGGAATCCAACAGGTCTTGGTCAAACTCAATGTCTGAGCTTTCATAAGCGATCGAGCTTGCTTTGGCCAGCATCAGGCATGCTAGTAATAAAACGGTATATGCGCGCGTGAATATCATGGGTAAAATTAAAAAAATGATTTAAAACCTTTCTAACGCAGATTTTTCTGCCAAAAAAAGCATAAAGGAATAAAATTTTCATATGGTCCTTTGCGCTGCTATTTATTGAAAGTGCCCGAGCGTTTTTCTGGGCTTTTGTTTCAGTGGTTCCGCTGCGCATGCCTCTACGAAGGCAGGTTTTCTAAGCTAAAGCAAGAAGTCTCGCTTTCGCTGCACATGTCGATGCCTGCTATTTTTTCGTATACTTTCCAAGACACAAATATATGCAGATCTTCTACGTTCTCGACGTCAGCCCGCAGGAACCTTAGAAGATAGAAGAACATGCATATTACATCGCACAGGCTTTTCAGGCCCGCTCCCATTGTGTCGGGTGCATTTCTCTCTATAAGAAGGCACATGAAAGCTCTGTTCGCCTTGTTAACAGCCAGCTTAAAGTACACCAGAATGGCACTCACAATGTCGCTCTGTTGGCACCACAGATTGTTTATTGTGAAATTCGCCCAGCGCAGTTCGCCCAGCAGAGCGCCATCCAGAAAGCCTGTGTCCTCTGCAACAATCGGGCGGAGGTAGTAGCACTCAATGCAAGAAACCAGATGCCTCACATGTTCTATTAAAATTGGCCTCCTTTCTCTGAGCGTTGGGGCAAATCCAATCAAAGATTTGAGAACGCATATCATGGCCGGAGACTTCGCGTTATTTGTATCGCTGATTAAATGGTTTGTTGTGTTTTCTACTGACCTCAATAGCCCCATTCTCTCACGCTCGTTCACATTGCCGATCCAGGATGATAGTTCGCACGTTCTTTTGCACATGCCCTGGGCCTCCATCGCCAGGCCACTGCCATGCGCCAGCCTGCCTGCCAGAATCTGCACCAAGAAAACAAGCACGCCTCCTGCTTTCATTCAGATAAATGCTTTGCTTCTTTTTGTTTTTCTTTTATTCTGCCAAAAGCACATGAGATGGAAATATGATAGTGTGGTGAATTATTAGAATTCCCACAAAGTCGGAGACGGCACGACCATTTTGATATAATTTCACATTATCTGAAGAAAAAAAATTAAGTAGTGATCGCGAAAAGCATAAATACGCAATACGACTTTAATTTTAGAGCAGAAGAAAATGGCACGAAACTTAAAGACTCAACAATCTAGTCAGTACAAGGTCGACCGCCGGGATTCTCCAAAGATTAATAAATCTTTACTGGTGCTTGTATTAGACCCATGTCAGAAAGAAACCCGGAAATACGACATAGTAAATTTACTCGTCGACAATGAGACAGACAACCTCTCATTGGAAAACAAGAACAGCCAGAAACAGTCAGTCCTAAGCGCGTTCAAGGATGAACCACAAGTATCCAGATACGTAGAACGTAAAAGCGGCAACCCGGAGTCCGAAATCGAACTCAAGCTCGTACCCCTCGAAGCGCATCTCGGACAGCAAGCCGCTACGTGGTGCCAATATTTCTCCAAAACCATAGCAGGATACTACTTACCCACGGCCACTCTACTTTACGTACTGAAGTCACTGCAAATACCAAAAGTCCAAGAACTCCTCGCCACCGCAACGACGTTGGACCAGGCCATAGACATAATCGAAACGTATTATGGTCAGATCTACGATAAAGAAGTGACTACACCTCCCAGACAACAAGATTTTGTCTTTATGCAAGACTATAAGGACAACGTGGATGAATACATACGAGTACAGTCACTGAATAAGAAGGTCAAAGGGGAAGCACTTGAGACACTTACCTACGACACGTTTATAGGTGGCTTGAGCTTGGTAACAAAAATTCATTTCGTCGACAAACCAAAAATGAACATTCCAGACTATGTACAACATGTACGGGCGTTGGAACTCATGATCATAACAGCAGCGCGCAACTATAAGCAGCTGAAACAAGACCTGGGTCAATATACAGAGACCACTCCCGCAGCAAAACCAATTCACACACATTCAAATGTGCAAGAGAATTACTGCGAGATTCACCAAACAACCGGACACTCAACCAAAGAATGTTCTCGGTTAAAATGGTTTCAAAACCGTATAGGCGCTCCGTCAAGGACACGAGGCGAGAAAAAGCACTTTGAGAAAAAGTCTTTTGTATTGCAAAAGCCAAACAACAGTTCTACTAAGGACGAAACAAAAAAATGAATTTCCAAATGTTTTCATCGAGTTTATCAAACAATTCACCCAATGTACTTCACGCCAAAGTACACGCCCAGGGCCAAGCATTTCTACTGGACACTGGTGCGACGGGAAACTTTATGACTCAAGATCAGGCAAACGCCTTAGGACTGGACCTATCTAAAGGACAGCTCACATCCTTTGCTCTGAAAACTGGAACAGGATCTGCACAAGTCAGTGCAACTCAGCTAGACGTGCCAATTACTTTACCTTCGGATCATCAAGTTGTTATTACACCCTTCCTCATCAGCAAGGAATTTACACTCGAAAACCCCATAGTCAGTTTACAATGGGGATTAGACCATCAGATGTTAACCCTAAACAACGAGAAATTATACGGGCCCCTGAACAACGCCAAGGTAGAAGCGCCGCCAAAAGACAACACATCAACAGTCAATGAGATTCAAAAACAGGAATCATAGAGGAAGCACCGCTGGATGCCTACGCATTTCCAGCCTTCCCCGTAGCTAAGAAAAACACTACGGTTCCACGAATTGTCGTAGACTACAGACGACTAAACAACATTACGGAAAACATAGTATTTTCCTTTTCCCGATGTTCTCCGCACGCTCAGAGAAATACCCATCGGCATGAAGTGCTTCTCACAGATAGACCTGAAACAAGGATATCACCAAGCCAAGGTAGCAGATGAAGCCCAAAAATATACTGGATTCATCATCGGCAACCAACACTACATCTACAAGAGAATGCCATTTGGATTGAAAAATGCACCGCAAGTGTTTCAACGCATTATGCAGAATTGCTTAGGGGATCTACCGTTCCTCAAGATATTCCTCGACGACATCCTTGTCCATTCAAGAAATCAAGAGGAGCATAACGAACACTTACAACTGTTACACGAACGATTAAAGGAGCATAATATCATACCCAATCCAGAGAAGACCCACTTTTCACAGACAAAAGTGGAATACTTAGGACATATCGTCACTGAGAAAGGAGTACATGCCGATGTTAAGAAAGTACAAAAAGCATGCAAGGAATGTCAAAGATGTAAGCTTGGGCCATGGCATGCAGAGTCTGTGTAAGTCCGGCAATCTGTGCTGTTTTGTTGTGTAGAGCCTGGTAGGTTGTGTTTGGCATTGTCTGTTTTTGCACGCTTTGTGTCCACGTGCCCTGTTGGAATAAAATATTTGCGCTAGCATAAACAAACATGTATGTATTTTCTTATTTCTAGGACAGCTTTATTTTTACGCCCAGAGCAGGCAGGAAATCCACACCATTATAGAAAAACCAAGCGCAGGCAGCAGAGTGTTTAGAACATGCTTTCTGTCCATTGCATTGTATTTACGATGTGAACAGCACCATATTGTTTGACTGACCTACCAAGTACTCACATACGGCGCTGGAAAGCTCTGTGTTAGAAAAAAACAAACCAAGCATGGATTTGACGGTGAAGAACAGCACAAACGACCGGAAAAGCACTGGGCGTGTAAAACCAGTCAGAGTTCCTGCATGTATTCTGGAGGCGTGCTTGTTCTGAGGCTGAGTGATGCAATGCTTCCAAACTTCTCCAAGCACGCCAACTTATATGTGGTATTGTAAACAAATGCCGCTATATACACTAGTTCTTCTTGCATGCGCCCTCTAGAGCCTAGAAAACACTGTGCAACAAAGATTTCGTTCTTGGCGCACTCCTCCAGAGAAATTGGAAAGGGCTCAAATCACGACTGTATAGCGGCCAATCATGTGTTTAAGCAATTTTCTAAGAAAACGCAGCGAGATGGCTTTATTCTGTTTTAGACTTGTGAAAAACTTAGTAAGAGCGCTGTTGTCTTGGACATGAGGATTCTGGGAGCCGGCCAATCTTGGGGGCGGAGGCGTGGAGATAATGCTTGGATGGCTTCTAAGATGTAGGGACAAAACTCCATATTTTTGGCATGGCAGACTTTCCACAAGCGCATGCCGCGAGAGAGCATAAGCCTTATCCAATGGCTTTGACCTGGCAGCTGCGGTGAACGCATACACGTGCACAAGAAATGCGAAGGCGTTCAGAGCTTGCATTTCTTGTGCATTGTATTTTTTCTTTATATAGAGAATAGTGGCGCTAATTCTATAAAAATCGCCCATGGTGCCACTTGCAGAAAATGGCTGTCGGGTTGGTATTGTATGCAAGCGCAAAACACAGATTTTATTCGGAGCATTCGCACATAAAAGGGCTGAAGAAAGCAAAACAGAACTCGCAGAAAATGCAGTGCACTCTGCCAGCCGAGGAGACATGCCACCTATTCGAGGCCTCTACTGCGCCAATTATTTTTATTGTTTCATAAATTCAGGATACGCTACGATGCGGCTCTAGCACAGCTCCAGTAAAGATTTGCTAAGCGTTGGAGTAACTTGGCCCATGGTCGATGAAGTTCTTTGTTTTCTGTCCTGCATGTGGTGTCGCATCGTAGATTAGCAATTGCTCTCGTGCATATTGCCTTGAGAGACCACTATAGCGATTCCGATCCTTTCAATCCTTATCGTTTACTACATTCGGGCCTCGGCGCTAGCTTCAATAGTTGTGCGAATTCAAAAAGTTCGCCACAATTTTGGCTTTGCGCATTTCAGCATGGTGTTGCTGCATTCCCAGCCAGGGCACGGCTTCTATAATAACCCGAATTTCCTGGGCCTTTTGCCTTGTTAGTAGTCATAGGCTAACCCCACCCATCTTTCAATGGGCATCCCAGACTTTTCCAAATCACGTTTTCCAACAGAAAGAAGGCACAGAAAAGAGTGGCATAGACATACCACATGGAGCAGCGGGGTTTTTTCTATGAGAAAGTGGCTGGGGTTTTCTGCCAATTTTATGTAGGAGAGCTCCGAGCAAAGCTGTATCATTAAGAAAACCAAGCCTTCCTGCGAAAACTGTGTTGTGTTCAGATCCCAGACTATCTCTATCAGGCTGTCAATTGTAGGGCTTTTTTCTTGAATGCTTAAGGTTTTTTCAAAAAGGGGCTCGACATAGCAGCGGACAACAGCCTGCAGGATCGTCTTTATGTCGTTCAGAAGGATCACCGGGGTTTCTTTCATATTGAACCGGGCTCTATGGAGAATATTGCACATCTTCATTTCTGCTCTGGTTATGCATATATGTTTTCTGTGGTTTAAGCCTCGAATAATTTTGTTGATGCACTTCAGAGTCTGCGGACGAAAAGTTTCATCGATATTCTTGCAGAGAGGGTTTTTCTGCAGCACGCAGGGCGCAGGGGTTTCTAAGGCTGACAACCCGCTAGCTATAGCCTGCCCGGCGATAAGCAAAGCCAGCAGATATGAGCGTATAAAATTCATTTGAAATCATTCACTTTTCTTTTTGGTTTTATAAAATCATAGCTCTTTCTGAAAGCAATGTTTATGATTTTCTGCAATGTCTGTATTGAAACGATGCATATAACCAACGCCTTCAAAGTTTTTCTTTAATTTCTTAATATTCTGGGATAGTGCTGACGTTTATTGTAAAACAGGCTGTCTGCCAAAAGAATGTCACTCGTGGCTTGCTATTTTTAGGCGTTCACTGAAGGATGTTTGGCGGCAGTTGGTTTGTCAAAATAAATCCAATGCATATGTGTTTGGGCCGGCTGAAAACGAATTGAGGCCAGCGTTTCATGCAAATACGTCCCGTGTTGCAGCCAAGCACATGGCTAGGCAGTGCTGTGGCTTTGTGTGGCCTCTTTTTCGCGCATAGCGTCCACCGCGCTCTGCAAAGACTTGGATGCCTGTTGGGAGATGGCCAATTGTTCTTTAACGTGGTTCTTTTTGTGCTGAGAAAACATCTCCAGAAGAAGGCTGTGCAGGGTCAGTATGTGCTGCAGCAGAATGATGCTGTCTTGCAAGCGAGGATTCTGGATGGTATATATGCTATTAGGTCTTTCGCGGATAGTTTCGCTCAAAAAGCCTGCACACACCGACGCCATGGAGTCGATTAGTGTTTTTTCTGTGCAGTTTTCTGCGTTTAGCATGTCTACCCCGTTTTGTATTCCACGCAGCGAGCCAGAAGCCCACATTGTTGCATGGTTTTTGAGAAATGGCACCACAGCATACTCGTTAAGACCCACAAGCACGTCTCGCAGAAGTGCGAACCGAATCTTTTTTGTAGGTATGCTTTCCCTGAGCTTTTCGAGGATGCTGCACAGTTTCATCAGCTCAATCTTCTTTTCCACCAGAATGTCTAGTTTTGTTAGCGTCTCAATTTCTTTAAGGCATTTCTCCAGATGTGTGGGGAGGCTGCTATTAAAAGGCTCCTGTGACGCGGAGCTCTCGTCGGAGTACTCTTCAAGGGGTTCGTGTGGGAGTATGCACACAAACTTGCAAGCATTTTCGACGAGGGCCCCATATGAGAAGCTCGCAGCTGGCTCTTTGGCTATAGTTATATACTGGACTGTCTTTGGCTTGGCCTTCTGGGCTGCGTCCTTTTTCTTGTTTTCCAAGTTTCCTGCTCTAGCCGTGAAAGCAAAAAATAGAAACAGCGAGCATGCGCGCATATGTTTATATTTCATTGCAACTGCATTTTCTTTTTCTTATATGAGGCCTTTGTTGATTTGTGTTTAATGATTTTTCTTACGGAGGAAATAGCGGCTGTTTTTGGCAAGTCCTTTTTGTTTTAAATTAAGTGCAGGCAGCAGAGGCTTGCACACAGGCCTAGGGCATCATGAGAGCCTCAAACCGGCTCTGGAAGGGCGGATAACGGCGGAAAGCTCACATCCGGCCTATGCAAAGAACAAACACACATTGCGCTTTGAAACCACGCGCAGGACATACTTTTGGCTAGTGCTGTATGTCGAAAGCATAGTTGCCCCCAAATATTTGTTGCTAAGAGAGGCCAATGAAAAAGCTTTATAATTCAGATAAAGAAGGACAGATGAACAATGTGTATTTAGGCAAAACATACTTGAATGAAGATATTTCACTTGGCTGCTTCCCGCACTACAGCGGTTGACTCTGTGAAAAAGACTCTAGCATAAAACTAGGAGATTGCAGGAGGTCTTTGCGCACAGAATGGCCTGGGAGGGCGTGCAATTTGAGCCGCACACAAGGGCATTCTTCGACCGCTTGCTTGGTGGGGCAGTTCTGCTGGAGCGCCGAGAGTAGGGGAACAGAAATTTCCAAGATGTGTTTCGAGCAACACTTTCTAAGTTCTGCGGACTAAACATGCAGCGGCCCGCTTGCACAACGTGCATGGAAATAGGGCTGGGCCCGGGCCCGCCGCAAACACAGCCGAAAGTAAAGATCTGCTAGATTTTATTCACGAAATTAAACATCTTCAGCTGTATGCTTTTGGAAAGCCCGCATGCAGAGGAATAAAATGCGCAGCCATGCGCCATGTGCGTATTTTTCTTTGTAAAAGGACTTGTTATGCCGCGCGGCGCGCTGCCGGGCATGCATGCTTAGATAGGCCATCCAACGTGTGGAAGCTTGCTCTTCAGTAGCCCTATACATATTTGGGCTTTACGCGTCATCTTGCCGAAACATAAATGGCCTCCACCGCGACATATTTTTTATAGTGAGCAGTATATGCTCCAGAACATCGTTGGCATGGCCTATGCTTTGGGAAAACGCATCTGCAGAGCTTCCAGAAAGAAACAAGAGAAGGCTCTTGTATATGGTCACGGAGATATGCAGTTCTATGCACTCGTCGGCAGACATCGCGCCTGTCAGCATCTTTTTAACTAGATTGACGCTGCTGTCAGTGCTGGTGTCGATCATTTCGTTGAAAAGAACTAGACAAAGGGCCTCGATCACGCCAAACATCTCAGCCTGCGTGCTTTGGGCAGAGTTCAACACATTGAAGGCTTCTTCTATCTTCTGCATGGCGTTTCCGCACATAATAGACTTGTGGGCCAGGAATATTGGGAAAACATAGTGCGTTGTAGTAAATAGAAGCGCAGTTCTTAGGTCAGAAAGAAGTATTTGATGGGATGTGTAGAGCCGCTCCCTAAACACATGCGCAAAACGCGAAAACTCCTGGGGCAGCAGGCTGCTGTTAAAGGCTAGGTTTTTGTCTATGTAGCAAGACGTCCTGTAGATGCAAAAAATGAGGTCCGAGTGGAACTGCTCTGCCATGCCAGTGCAGAACACAGGCGCTGGTGCAGGCTGATTCGTGCAGAAAGACTCTGTTTTTTTTGGAGTCTTTCTGCTGCTTGTAAGCGCCCATGCGGGCGAAAGGGAAAATATAGATAGAAAAGATATGTTTCTTGAGTCCATTCAAAAAAATATTTAAAACACTATATAAGAGCTCTAATATTGGCGTGCTGCATTAGGAATATGATCTGATGCCAATGATTGCATCTTTCTGATCAACCTTAGCAATACTCTATTATCACTAAAAGTGGAATATAAAAAGAAAAACTATTGAGGTTTTTTTCCAAAAAAGATTCTGAGATATAGAGGAGGTCTGAAATGCGCCAAGGCGCTTTATTTTTGGAAGACACCTCACAGAAGCAGTTCCAAGAAAGAGCCCCGCACAGAGCAAGCTGGAATGGAAAAGCAGAGCCTCCAGGCATCTGATGTTTATTTAGGCTTGGGCCGCTTAAATACGTATGCGGTAGCACCAATTTAGGAGAAGGAAAACATGCATATTTAAAGCTGCTTTGTGCAGCAGTTCCCAGAAATCTTACCAAACTGCGCAGCCTACTCTTGCATATGCCACTTTATAGAATCCAAAGCAAGCAGATACAGGTTGCTGGGGTTCAAAGAAAGCATGCAGAGGAAAGACTGGTACAGCCGGCGAATAAGGCCTAGTAAAGACTTCTCGTCTTTGGTCAGCATGGGCACGCCCTTGCATGGCTGCATGCCTCTTGCTTCTAAGACGCTGCATTTGAATTTTATAGAGAAAATAGCAAGGGTCAGAGACGCCATTTCGTCAACTAGAACCTTCTGTTCGCACGCGCCGCTCTTGGTTTCAACCAGAGCACAGAGCACTCTATTGACTGTGGTTTGGGAAAAGAATTTGCTGTGCTTGTCTAGGATTGGATGCACAACGACCGTTGCAGTAAGAAAAACCAGCCGCTGCAGGCAGATCAGAGAGATATCCAGATTGTGCATTAGGTTCGTTTTAAGCTCCTTAAGAATGCAGACCAGCTCATTTTTTTCAGCGCCTCTTTCTGTCTCGCGTTTACTTTCTAGATGCAGAATGATTTTTTTAATGTGTGTCGCAGCATACAGCTTCTCGCGGCCAAATATTTGAGGATTTTTTTCCTCTGGGATTTTCACGCATCGAAGGTCTTCTTCTGTTGCGGGGTTTTCACTTCCGGCAAAAATAAATGCTGTCCAAAATACAAGAAGAAAGTATTTCAAGTGCTTTTTCATTGAAAAATGTTTTTTCTGTGCTGGCCTGTATTATAGTTTAGTATCTGGCTCAAATCTGTATTTTAAGTGATAAAAGCTTTTGGATTATTTTTCATAAAAGCGCACGCAGCCACACATGCCAAGAAAAACACATAAAACGCCACGCAGAGCAGGCTGTGTGCATTTTTCTAGGCCCATGCTGGCCCCAATGAGCTGGCGCATGGCAAACAGCCTAGGAAGAGCAGGCAGCTTATTGCTGTCTTCCAGGCATGCATTACTTGGGCTTTCGCCAATGCAGAGGCGTTTAAAAGCCATTCGCCCACAGTGGCGACGAAAGACGCGCGCATCTGCATGGGTGCACAGTTTTTCTATTCTCTCACACTTAAATTTAGAAAAGCTGTGCCGTCGTATTTATTTCTTACACTCATATGCAATTCTTCTATTGCATGCTTTTGTGCAAACGCACAAAAGTGCAGACTCTGCTGCTAGCGCACACTGGAGGCTTCGGCTTAGTTGGTGTGCATGTATAAATGGGCCTAGGCTGTTTCCAATAGCTTTCTAACGTCATAATACGACACTAAAAATTCCTTTGCGCTAGCAAGGATTTTCTTCGTGGGAACAACCAGTTTTTCTTTTTGGGTTGGGAGGAACTCCACGAGGAGCGAGTGCAGATGGAGCGTCCAGATAAGATTTTTGAAGTCTTCCTCTTCAAGCGTAAGCACTTCAGGCTTTTTAGTAAGCCTGCTTACAAATGTGTCCCCTGACAGAAGAATTAGCTTGGTGCTGGCACAGCAGATTTTGGCTATGCTCTCGCATATGCTGCTCTCTGTGGCCGGGCTATTTAAATCTGCATATATCCCGTCTGAAAGCTGATCAAGCATATCTCTGCTGAGGACGTGCCGGTTTTTTTCGACTGCTTTGCTTGTGTAGTACAGCGAAAAGTGCAAAATTGCGAGCCTTAGGCCGGAAACACTTGGAACTTTGTGGGAAAAAACGCTGTCTACCAAGTCGGAAAAGACCTCGAAGCATTCCTGTTCTAGAGCATCCTCATTGTCTGGGCCGAGAGAAGAATTCAGTAGATCAACGATGGGCTTCATATGTTTCTCAAGCTCCAAAAATACCGACTCAGCAGGCAGATTCTCTTCATAGGGGCTCTGGCTCTCCACAGTAGAGTCTTGGATGGCGCCTGCTCGATCCAGTACAGCGGCAAGCAACACAAGCAGTCCAGCATACAATATTTGCAATTGCATTTGTCTCTGTTTTTTTGCCCATTTATAACTTTGCAGATTGTTGTATGCTGAAAACATAGTTACTCCTAAACTGGCCATTGCCTAGATGGGCCTAATAAGAGGATACACAACTTAGACATTAAGGGATAGATTAAACATTGCCTATCTAAGCAGGCCGAGAAACAATAAAGGACACTGTTTCACATGTCTACTTCTAGCATTACAACCGAGCCTCTGGCGACTCGGCGGCCCTACTAAGAAAAGAATGCGCAGAAAACGGCGCATGCCTTTATATAATAGAAAAACAGCATTTATTCGATATGTTCGCCTTTCCACAGCCCAATGTGCGCAGTATTAGAGGACTGGGAGACTCTGCCATTAGATGTACCTCTGCACGTTTTTCAGTGAGTTCAGCGCATGTCTTGCCTTTAGTAGGGGCTCTAGAGCCGTGTGCATACAGTCTCTGCCGGCCGAGGCGAGCGCTAGTGTTGCAGTAGAAATGTATGCATGAATCACGCACTGGAGCGAGATTATGTCTTTGCATGCTAGCGGGCAAGAAGCTGCAGTGTCTATGGCGTTCGTCGAAGAAGGCTTAGCACACAATTGGGCTGTTTGGAGCAGGGCCTCAGAAACCAAGCACATGGCCTCCGCAAGGTTTTGCACAGTGCTCTTGTTTTTAGAAGCCAAGGCTGCGCCATCGTCAAGCAAGTCAGAAATGGGCTCGATGTTTAGGCGGCCAAGGTTTTCTTCTAATATGCCTTTGCAGAATGAAGCGCCGATAAAGACAATGCTGGCTATCTCCTTGTGCGATGCAGGGGTGTTTGGGAGCAGCCCAGAAACAAGCTTCTTGAGCTCTTCTTTAAGCGGACTCGCCGGGGCGTCAGGGATGGCGTTTTTAATGCCCGTAAAAAAATCCCGTGCTCTATCGCTAAAAAGTTCGTCGCGATGCTCGCTGCAAAGTGTGTTTTTCTTCTCTGAGTCGTGCGGGCGCGGCTGGAAGCTTGCCAGAGCCAGCCTGGCAGAAACTAAGAGCAGCAGGGGCGCATATATAACTTTGCTTTTCATTGAATGTTTTGCTTGATTTTGCTTAAATTTATACCAGAAATTTCGTTTATCATTTTGCAAAATGCAAAGCGGAGCAAAAGATGAATGTGTCCACTAAATCGATTGATTTTCATATATTTGAGAAAAGCCCCGAGAAAAAATGCAAATGGAAAAATTAAAGCCTTAAGTTTTGACAGGTGAAGCAAAGGGGCAGGGCAACGCAAGTCACCGAGCCTGCTCTGGCGGGGCTTATGGTATTTTGGGGGAAGAGCTGCACTCTCGAGAAAGCGCCGCGTCTCTGCATCTGCGGTGCCTAGAAGAGGTGCCAAAAGAAACCCGTGCATTTGGCCCAGCTAGGCCGGCCTTGAGGGCAGCCGCATGGTGTTAGAGTCTCTGCTTTTTAAGAGTGGCTTGAGCTGTTTCCTCAGAAGAGACTCTCCATGCATTTACAAATTCATAAATAAACTGAGAAATCCTCTGTATTACCGGCTGTCTCTTGCTCGAGCTGCGGCAATTTTGCACCTCAGTGCATGCAGCGCTTGGCTTGTAAATTGTGACGCTGTCGAATTCTTGCATGTTTTTGGTCCTGGTGCTTCTATACGTGCAGGACGGCAGCAGAAACTGCTTCTCTTGTCTTGGCAAGGGATGGCCTTTCTTGGCTGCGCATCTTCATGGAGAGGCCTTTAAAGCACGTAGAAACTTTGATCCTGATGGCGTCGAGATACTATTTTAAGTCATGCTGCTAAAACAGATCTATTTGATGGCTGCAAACAAGTTTATTTATGAAATTCAATAGTTAAATCTTTTTCCAAAGCGCTTCCACTCGCCAGGCGTGTGGGCACCAGAATCGGCAGAAACATATGGGCAGCAGAAGACTTTGGCCGCGCTCGTCTTAGTTCTGGGGGCTGGGCGAAGCGCCAGTAAAACTTCTAGTTTGCATGCGCGGCCTGCTTTTTTGGGCATTGCCCTTGGAGGCGATCCTCTGCGCTATTCTACGCTCCGCCGCGTGTACAGCGTCCTTGGCTTTGAAAAAATAAAGTGTGACCTCAAACATGCTCATGTCGTTTTTCTGGGTTTGAAGCAGCTTGAGAATATAGTCGTACATCTGAAGCAGGCGCAGCATCATCTGGACTTCTTTTTTTTGTAGCGTAACTCTGGGCGCGCGATGAGGATTTTCTTCTTTGCCATGCTCTGCATCAAGCCTTTCCATTGTGATAATGCCTTTCAAAATCTCTGCAATCCTGCCGACCAGAATGGCTTTGGTGTATTTCTTTCGGCCATTGGAGTCAATAGCGTCTTGCAGCGCCTTGGATGCGCTCCTGCTAAGCGCCTCCTTGTTTTTGGCAGCGATTGGGCTTATGTAGCAGAGGGCCGCACATGAAACTGCGTCTCCTAGCACATCTAGAATGGGGCGCTCTTTCTCGGAGAGCTGCCTGCTAATTTGCTCAAACTCGCGAACAAGCGCACCGCTCTTGGTCTTGGGCTTTGCCGTGTAGTTTTTTTTCAGCCATGAAACAGTCGTTGAAATCTGCTGCTGAACGCCATTGCATAGCGCTCCTGCATTGCTGTCGAACTCGGAGCCTTTCTTAGACGTGCCTGGCTTTTGGCCTTCTTTTGCATGGAGGTGCGCTGTGGCTAGCGCAAACAGCAGCAAGCGCGCATAAAACATGTCGACGTTCATTTGAGCGAGAGTTTCCAGTTTTTTTATAACCTATCTGATCATCTCCAGCAAAGTGACAGCGCATGCCAGCACACACATGTTTTTGCTGATCTCTTGAGAGTAAGCCAATTTTCAAACACGCAGTCTATGCATCTTTTTGTGTTTTGAATAATTTGGCGTGCGCAGCAGGCTGAGGAAGAAAGCCCAAGGTGCAAAATAAAAACGACAGCAAAGCTTTATAATGCAGTATTTTCTTGTTTCCGCGCCTTTGCTAGGCGCGCCTAAGGCCGCACAGCCACTGTTTGAGTGGTTTGCGCTGTAGAAGAAACATATTTTTGCCCAGGCAGTGCTAGCGTGCGGAAAAAAAGCGCTGTCGCATGTGGCAGGCCTTGGCTTCGCACACAACACACTCTAGCAGAGCTTCCGCTTGCAGTGCATGATGGGCCCAGAGCTTGCGGCGGCAGCATTTCAGTGCGCAGCGTCTTTCCAGGCGCCCATCCAGCAGCAGACTGGCCTGCTGCTCTTTGGATAGGCCATTGTCTGCGTCTGTCCAATAAGAAAAGCGGAACGTGCGCACATCGCATGCACGAGTGTAATAGGCAGACGGCTCTGCTGCAGAAAAGTGCTCCAATACATTTATTAGCTTGCCACTTTTGGCAGAAATGTGGCCCAAGGCTTGCTAGTAGTCCTCCAGGCAGTCTCCTAGGCTGTTGAAACATACAGTGGCATTCTTCAGCGCGATCATAATCAGCTTCAAATGCATGTCCGTCTTGTCCATGGGGAAGTTGTGGCAGACCAGAAGATTAAACATCTGGGCCGCCCATCTCACGGCCAGAAAGTCATTGAAGGATATATTCAAATTGGCTTCGATTTTTGTGCTGTGGTATGGGTAGGGGCTGGCGTAGATTGCCGCTATTTTGTAAATTTGGAGAGAAACAATGAGCACAAAATGAATAATGTCTGAGTCGCTGCACAGCCCTTTGTTGAGCATGCACATGTTGTGCTCTAGGAGTTTGATTTCTTTTTCATTGAACGCTCTCGGGTTTTTTTTGGTTATGGGCAGCAAAGAGGTCAAAACAAAGTAGGTAAGTAACTCTCGGAAGCTGGATGTGCCTTTCGGCTTTTCGCGCCTTATCTGTTGCATGAGCAAGGCGAGGTAGTCCGACCCGCTTATGGTTGAGAAGCTGTTGTTGCTGGGGTTTTCTTGCGCAAGAAAGATGCCCTCTGCGAGGTGTAAAAGCAGATTTCTCTTAATATATCTGCAGATATGGAAAGCAGGCGAGTACCCGGGCTCCTGCGGGCTTTCTGTCTCTTTGTCTGCGGCTTCTTCGTGCTCGACATGCCTCCTCCACACCAGCACCCATGGATCAGTCTTTCTGATTTTCGACGAAGTGCATGAAAGCGTCTTACTATTGTATAACTCCTTCCACTTCATGCGTGTTTTTTCTTTGGGGGCTCCTTTTATAGTTTAGCTGATCAATATTGAATTGCACAAAATCAGTATGTTCTCCATAGCTTTGGCTTGGTGATCGATGAATGGACGCAATAATCTGGGAAAAAAGGAAAAGGAAAAGCCCAGAAACGGGGCCTGCCGAGCTGGGACTGCACAGGCCTGCATGCCTGCCAAAACAAGGCCGATTGGAAGCCTGCTTCTGTGCCAAGGTGCCCAAGCCTGCCATAGCGCACATGCTGGGCGCGCCTGCGCTATCTCCACAAATATAAATGCTCTATATTGCTTTATTTTGGTTGCGGCCGCTGGGTAAGCAGCGCATGTGCGATTCGCTGGCTTGCCAGCAGATGCTCATAGCAGCATCCAAGGTCATCCAGGGCCTTTTGCGCTCTCAAGTGCGCTTTTAGCTCATATAGCGCTGCAAATCGCTTTTAGGCAAATAAATCATATAGGCCACAGAGTCCAAATACAGAGCGCCTGCCTAGGGATCTCAAAGCCCTTAAGAGTATGCAAGGCAGAGAAGAGGTGTAGGGTTTGGCAATTCCCAGCGCTCTTCACAGAGCTCGCCTGTGCTGCAGTATATGGTGGCGGTGCCTTTGACTATGCAATACGCATTGCTGCTCGCTTCTAGTGCACAAAGAGCCGCTTTGTTTGGCACCTGCAGATGCATTCGCGCGCCTTCATCTTCTTTCTAGCTCTGCGCTGGCTATGGAGCTCGGCTTGCTAGACAGATTCTTAATTTTTCTAGAAACTTTCTTTGGCTCAGCAGACGCGCCATCCAGGAAGTTAGATGTAAGCCCAAACTTGCCATCAAACAGCTGGCGTTTTGCGGGCCTTTTGCACGCAGGAAGACTTGGGCCACCATGCCTGAATGTGCCGGCCCGGCCGCACAAAATGAAAACGCCATGCCTTTTCGCATGGCTCCTCGTCCTATATGCTCCATTGTTTGGGCCTTTCTTTTTGTAGCTCAGTTGATTGGTGCCACAGAATAGCAAAAAATATGCGGGCTTTTAGCAGGCGTGGTGCAGCATTATGTTGGCAACGCCTGGATGCGGCAGCTCATAAGAGGCCGCTGCCCAGGCTGAAGCGCGGGCCTGTGCACGCCATAATAGTGCGGATGGGCGGAAAAAGCATTGGGTGTTCTGTCTGAGGAAAGCAAAAAGCTGTGCATTTCGAAGGGCCGAAAGCGGCGCAGAGCCTGTGCTTGTTTTAGGGGCAGCGCCTGCGCGCGGTTCAAAAGGCAAAACTTAACATGCTCTCTATCTTGGTTTATTGCATCTGCATCCCAGAAGTCGAGGTACTCGAGGCGGCTTCTGCCAGCATGTATCTCAGATCTATGCTTTTCAGGAGCGTCTCTGTATTTTCCAGCGTGGCCTTGATGTCCTTAGTGATTGTGGTATCCTTTTTGTGCGCGAAAATCAGATTGAACATGTAGTGCAAGGCTCTGGATGCAAACTTAATGGATGCAAAATCCTTAGGGAGCAGATAGAAAACAAATGACTCTCCCTGGCTTTGCCAGTCAATCTGGTTTTCATGAAGCTGAAGGATCCTATAGATGATGGTGGAAAGATTCATCACAGAAGAGACGCTGCTGGCAAACAGCTGCACGGTGCGCTCCTCATCTTTTGGCGCAATAATGGCATTCAGAACTTCCAATGCGCCTGGGTTGACTAAGACTATGCTCCTCAAAGCTATGGGTTTTACAATGTTCTGAACAATATAAAAGACCATTTCTCTCAGGTCCTGCATGGTTGGATCTCTTCCTGCCCTCAACTTTTTAAGAAGAGCCCTGGCCATATTTTTGAAATGGGAATCGGTATCTAGCTCTTCAAGAGTATTCTCTGCAATTTCTTGGATTTTTAATGCAAGATGCTGCTGCAGATCATTTCTAATTGCCTCTAGCTGCGGAGTGCTATTCGCCGAGTATTTTCTAATATTTTTATCTTTCCACTCCAAAGAGCTTAGCTGCTTGGAGCAATTTTTGAGTTGTATAGACAAGGTCTTCAGATCGAGGGACATGTTGTTTAGCGCAAATATTATGGATCCCATTTTTTTGTTAAGCATCTGGCTTGAACCTTTCATGAGCAAAGATCCGTCTTCCTGGACATTCACTGAAGCACGGGCCACAATCCCCGCAAGCAAAAGAAGTGCACCTTTGTATAATGTTTTTTGTTTCATTCCTATGTTTTTTAGAACTTCTTTTTATATTCTAGTTGATCAATATGTTTGCAGTGCATAAAAGCTATCATTTTTTAACAAATTAATATTTACAGCTGGCGAGTGTAATAATGCAGGCAAAAGAAAAAGTTCAAGAAAAAACATATATGCGGCCAACAAGTTAACCCGAGATAAGGTTTTATTTAAAATTGCGCTACAAATAGTCCCGGAAAACAGTCCCAAAAGAAGTGTTGCATCTAAAAGCGCATCTGCTTGTGGTTGGCATTTCTGCCTTCTGTGCTACAGGCCGCAGAAGGGCTGCAGAACCTGCATTGTTTGCGCTCTGCATAAGGATTTAGCAAAAAGTAGGCGGTGGCTTCTGAGTGTAGAGGCGCCCAGGCCAGGCCATGGCGCGGCTGCTGGGCTCACTAAGAAAAATAGCAGTTCGACTTTATGTTGCTTTATTGTGCTTGAAGCCGCCGGGAGCTCGGGCTGGGACACCTTGGCCCTTATGGAAACGTGCAGCGAGTTTTCATGTTTTCTATGGCCTTTTTTACAACTACCAAGGCAGTTTTGGCATTTGTAGAGGCAGGCATGTCTTTTCCATCTGGAGTAATTATATAAACCAAGCATTCTAAAATGTGGACTGCCCACCTGATGGTAAGAAAGTCCTTGAAGGACAGAGAAAAAACAAAATTACTCGGCATAGAGGAAATGGAGTGGTCAGATGGGTAGGCATCAAGTATTCTGTATATAGTTCTCAAATTGGTTGTGGCGGCCTCTATAATGCTGTTGCGCAGTGCTAGCGGGCTCTCTCGGTTTATTTCGTTGGATATGCCGTTCAGAGATTCGATTGCAATTGGGTCGAGTGCGATTAGGATTTTTTGAGCTATGGAAACTATGAAGTTGGGCACAATGTAGAAGGCCAGGCATTCTAACTTGTGTATGTCCGGGCTATATCCTTTCTCTAGTTCTTCTATAAACGTGTTGAAGTAGTTTAGGCCGTCTTTTACCTTTTCGTTGGGGGCTATTATTTCGTGTTCTTCCAGCATGCTTTCTCCCACTATGAGGTACCTTTTCAAGTTTCTGGTGAGTTCCGGTTGGCTGTGGGTTTCTGTATTTTTTTTGCGCATGGCCATTAATTCACTCAATAGACGTTTTTCCTTGTCAAATAACTGCTTGGTCACCATGAACGACACACTTAGCCTGTCAGATGTCATAGACAGCGTTTTGAGTAGTTCTAACTCACTAGGCAGCGCTTCTGCATGCTCTTGGGATTCTTGCTGCGCTTCTGCATGCTCTTGGGGTTCTTGCTGCGCATTTATATGCTCTTGGGATTTTTGCTGCACTTCTACATGCTCTTGGAATTCTTGCTGCGCATTTGTATGCTCTTGGGATTCTTGCAGCGTTTCTGTATGCTCTTGCAGCGCCAAGCCGTGATCAGTACATGCACCAGCTAGCGCCATTGCAAGCAAAACCAGCGCTCTCATGCACATAACATCTTGCTTCATTCAATTGCTTTTCTTGGTAGATGGCTTTTATATAGCTTGCAAAATCAGTGCAACGGCTAAATATCTGATCTATTTTAATGACAGCATCTTTTGCTCTAAAAGCCGATCTTCCACTAAAAAATGGGCTTCGATATACAGGGGGGCAAGCAATAGAATTTAAATTTTTGGCAGTGCCTCTAAATGCAAGCCCGCTGGATAGTGTGTGGGCGCACATTGCACTTCAAAGCTCTGCCTGCAGAGGGGGCGCGGAAAAGCTAGATGGGCGCGCTGCAGTGCATTGTCCTACAGAGAGCGAGTTTGTGCAGTGTGGCGCGCATTAATTCCATAGCAGACAGAGAAGGATGGTTTGGTATAGAACTAGTTCGTTTTATTGATTAATTTCCTATGCACACGGCTGTTTCCAACATGCAATGGCGCTTTTTGGTGGTTGTGTATAGACGTCAGCTTTTATTGCTATTTACGATAAATTTTTAGAACTCCCACGCTTTGGAGAAGTCCAAAATCATGATGGACGTATTTAATATTTATGTGGAAAATTGGAATCTGCAGTGATCGCTCAAAGTATAAATACGAGAGCAATTTCAATTTGTTTTGGCAGATTTGGCACATATGGCGTGAACCAGTTGAGTTGGCCTAAAAGACTGTGTGGCGCCTTCAGATTATTAGGTGATGGCATTTGCTTCAGCAACGCAACTTTCTTGATATCTGCTTACACTCTCTTCTCTGTGACAACGCGTCCTAGACACTCCACTTTCGATTGTGAAAGGTGTGTCTTCTCGGGACTAAATGTGACATTATGCTTCTCCGGCGTTCGTATAGTATTTGTAGATGTTCATTGTGCTCCTCTTGGCTCTTTGAATGTGCAAGTAGATCGCCAAGGAATGTGTTAAGGAATGGCAAGTCTTCCAATGAGTTTTGCATTATTCTTTGGAAAACCCGCGGTGCATTTTTCAATCCAAATCGCACTTTTTTGTAAACATAACAGTTGTAATACGGGAAGTAGTCATGTGAAACATTGTCCTTTATTATTTCTCGGCCTGCTTGGATAGACATCATTTGGTATATTCCTTAATGCCTAAGTGATGTAGCCTCTTTAATTAGGCCCATCTAAGCAATAACAATTTAGGAGTAACTGTGCTTTCAGCATACAGCACCGACTAGTAGATTCATTATACCATAAATTCGGAATATGTTTGGATTTTTATTTAAGAGTAGACCCAGAAAGGATTTATTAATTTTTGGAGAGCCCTGCCCGTTGGCTTTATACTAACTTGTTTTCCGTGTTCCGTGAGTTTTCGCGTGTTAAAAATGACATTGCTATCCTGTTTATGCTTTGAATGGCCACCATTGATTCAGTTTCTTAAGCCTCAGCGCCACATAAGTTCATCGTGATCTTGGCCTTCTCCAAAACGTGGGAATTCTAAAAATTCATCGCACTATTCAATAGACATGTTCGCTAAAGCCTCGCACAATGGTGGATATGGGTTAAACGCGCTCATGTAGTCCTCTGCTATGCCTATGTATCTTATATTTATATATGTGTGGGTGTTATAATCTGTCATAAAAAGAAGCTGCATAAAAAGGTAGTGCAGCTTCGCCACCCACTTAAGCTTCAGGACCTCATGCGCTGTCAGCACAAACAGCTCTTCCTGCTTGGTGTCTTTGTTGACAACCATTGTGTTGTGTGCTTCGGCTATCTTCTTGATAGACATAGAAATATATCCCAAGATGAATCCTGCATCATAGAGGCGTGTCGGGTTGCTAGACTCGTAGTTACATGCACGAACAAACATCATGATTGTTTCATCCTCAATTGTGTTTTTATGCTGCGTAATTATTGGATCTATATAGTGCTCTGCAAAATTCAGAGCTATGCTCGTGGCATCATATAGGCTTGGCACTCCGCCTTCTGCTAGATATGCGCTAAAATACATCATGCATGTAGTGAGATTTGTGCAGCTCGTGGCTGGAGAGGGATCGCCCTCTTTATCCAGAATTTCAATGCATGCCTTGGCATGGTTTTGCAGGAGGGGTATTATCCTTAGATCCACGCCAGAGCGGGCTCTGCCAAAGGAAGCTAGGTTCTCCTCGCTGCCCGCCCTTGCCAGCACAGCAGCAACTACAAGCAGTAGGCATTGTATAACTGCCATTCAAACAGTTTTGGTGTTTCAAATTTATAGTTTGAAAGATCATATTTTATTCAATGTAAAACTGTCTACTGTAAAAAAACTGCTAAATGAAAGTAATAAGTGAACTTTCTCACATATTAACTCTGCATGCATGGTGCGCCCGTTCTTGTGTTATGCACAGCTGTTCTACAAGCGGTTTTTGGGGTGCTTATGCTTCTAGCCTGCATTTTCGCGCTAGCAGAATTTCCAAGAGTCAGCTTTCGGCAGCAGTCCTTCGAGTCTGGTCGGGCCCTCAGAAATCCGAGATTGCTTGTGAAAATCTTAATTTTGACGCGTGAATTTATTTTTGTAGACTTGCACTCTACGCTGTGCATAGGCTTAGGGAAAAATGGCGTTTCGTGGCAGAAAAATGGCAATGCGCAGCAGAGCACCATAGCGCGTAGAAATCAGAGTGCAAGCACATGCCAGCTTTTTGCTGCATGCCGCCTGCAAAATTAGGCGGTGCTCTGTTTGGGGCTAAGCACAGCAGCCTCTTTAGAGCACTTGTGCGGGGAAAGCCCTATGTAGCAGAAAGAGGCGCACTTTAGGGCTGTGTAGTTGCTTTTTCTGCTTTCTATGCCGCTTTCTTTTTCATGGCTGGGTGCATTTTGTCTGCTGCTTCTTCCATAATGCGCCCATGGCTGCGAACTCTTTTTCTACCTTCCTCAGGAATGTTACGCAGTCTCTGACCTCCTTACTTTTTTGCTCGGGCAAAAACTCTGCAATAAGTCGGTATAGACGCGCCGCCCACCCCAACGTATATACCTCCTCTTTTGACAACACGGGGGCGCCTTTTTGAAGTGGGCCACCTCCTCCAAGGGACCTTTCGTGCGCGCTGCATATTTTGCCAATGCACAGAGAAGCGAAGTCCATGCAGTTCACCACGCAACGCGTGTTCAGGCTGGCTTGGGCGTAAAGCTTAGTCTTTTTTTCCATGCTGTCCACGACACTTTTGTCGAGGAGCGCCTGGTGCTTTTGTGCAATCGGGTGTATGCAGCACATAATTGTGTGCAGAACTGCGTCTCTTATCTCTAGAAGAGTTGGGAGTTCGCCTTTTTGCATTCTCTGGCTGAGAATACCCAGCCCCTCGGTAGGCCTATTGTTTGACGCAAAGTCGCTCTCGCACTTGGGCAGATTTGTAGGGTGCGTGTGCACAAAAACAGACGTGAAAATCCTGCTTGGGTGGTCAAGGCCAGAGCTTTCTTTGGACGCTTTGAGCGCCGGCCCTGCAAGTATAAGCAGTAAGCAAGTGTGCAGTGCTGTGGTTTTCATCCTGCGTTTTCATACTATGTTTTCTTTTATACTTTTGCCCCGCATTTAATGCGCTCCTGTGTTCCCACACGCGCTAATTAATATTTGGCGCCCCTAAAGTGTCAAAGGCCAAAAACTTTCCAGAAGCGCGCGCACGGAATGTGCAGACACTTTATTTCAATGCCCAAGCACGCACTCTTCAAGCAACCCAGAGTCACGCCGCTGCTCTCTTTATCCAGGAAGGCGAATAGCCCTGAATTGCGCTGCTTGTCGCACGGTACAATAAAATCATGCCAAACTTCTACTTTCTATGCAATTTAAAAGATATTGCAATTTCCCCGCTTTTCTGATCGCATAGGCCCATTTATACTTTCTGTTTTTATTTTTTTCATGCGCTTTGTTTTTGTACATGTATTTTCCACTATCTGCTTCATATTCTCGGTATACGCCACAGCAGAGGATTTTGTTATGAAAAATGCTGAGCCACTTGAAGAAACTGCGGCCATTGATGAAAATGTAGCCATTAAAGGAAAAGACGCCACTAAAGCGCTCACTCATATCAATTCATTGGAAGACTTTTTGGATACGTACGACAAGAAATTGATTCCTTCTATGTGCTCGTTTTTTGACTCACAGCCGATGGATGCCCGCGCCTCTGAAGCATGGGAAAACGCAAAGATGCTGTTTGCACATTCTTGCGACCTATCTAACAGAAAAGCTATACTTGCAACCGCAAAGCAGTTTTTTTTACTGACTATGTACGCAGCATCTAGCCAGGAAACACAGCCCCCCGAAATGCTGAAAATTCATAGGCTTTTAAATATATGTGTTGAGAAGATAAGTGCGCTTGAGAAGAATGACGAAGTCACAGTGAATGACATGGAAATGTTGTCAAATGTTATCTTAAAATATGTTGAGGATAACCCCGATGTTGCACACAAGCTTGTTGAAATGGCAAGCTTATATTCTGTGGAATGAAAGGTTGGTTGCAAAGCATAAAATAAATATTAATGTGTTTGCACACGCTACTTTGTTGCACAGCATGTGTCAACTCCTGATCGCATGCTGTCTTATTTGCAATCTATTTATGTGCACTATTTATTGCACTGCGTTTTTTTGCATATAAATTTTTATGCAGGCGCTATTCTGTCTTTTTCTTCTCTTTGCGTCTATTCTTGCCAGTCCCGTGGAAAATACTGAAATCATAGGAGATGACCGACTAGGCTGGTCCTTGTCTAAGCATATTTTTGCGAAGACGGTGGAGCTTATGCCGCACTTGGAAGACACAGAAAAAAAGGCGCACTTGAAGAAGATGCTCGACGCCTCCAAAGACGCCTCTGGCAGTCTTCGCTTAATGACAAATGGGGACCTCTACGCCTTTCTTTCTGTAATTAGCGGAAATGTATGTAAGTCCGCAACTTACATAGAAACGCCCCACCTGCGGAATAAAGTAATACAGAAGCTGCTGAGCCTCCAGATCCATCTGGAGGAGCGGGCCATTCTTGAAACAGGAACCAGGAAGGACCTGTGCGCCCTCTCCATGGACGCTATCTCGTGTGTTTTTCAGGTTGTTTTTCAACAAAGCAACAACCCACCGAAAACACACGCCGTATTTTCCTTGTACAACGACATCTTTTATATGATATTTACACTAACCCACGAGATCAACCCCATGATCAATAAAAGCATGTTGAGGCGGGTTCTGGAACTTAACCATCTGCGCCGGACTTGCTTTGTGGGCATGTCATTGCCGGATACTCCGTGAATTTATATAAATAAAACCCTTCCAAAACATAAAGGCAACACTTTTAAAATAATTTTCCACGAAAAAGCAGACGCTGCATACAGCAAGGCATGGGCTTGTCCCATAGACTTTTACACCACACGCCGAGCCATTCCACACACCCAAAAACACGCAAAGTGCGGTCACGCCGCAGCCACATCTACTTCACATCTATTTATTTCAGCATTGCAGCAATCACAACAATTGTGGAATTGTGCTATATCTATACCATAGTTATTCCAGCACCATAGCAAGCGTATCTTTATAAGCATATTCTTAATCTATATTCTATCCTTGCCTTCATCTTCATGCCAATATCTAGTTCTACCTTTATTCCAACACCTAATTTTATCTTTGTCTTCATCTTCGTGCCAGTATTCATAAACGCATTCCCCAGATCTATTTATGCCAGTTACTTGCCGTGTCCTATGCCAGCCTACTTTCTGTGCTGCATGATCTGATCGTACTTGCTGTGCGCCTCCTCAATCGCCTTCTGAATTTCTATTCGAATGTAGTATGTCGGGCAGTCTCTGTTGCAGCACGTGATCATCCTATGGCGGGACTTCTGCATATCTATGCACTCGCAGAGCACCATAAAGTACTGCGTTTGCAGCCCGTACAGCTTTCTTTGCATTTCCGCGGCTGTGCTTGGGTATGCTCGGTCGCAGGCCTTGCACACGGGAAACTCGCCTACCCTGCAAATTGTGCACACCTTCTTCTTCTTGAAGAAAGACCCTATTCCTCGCGGCATTTCCTTGGCCCGCGTGCAGACGCTGTATCTGCTCGGCGAGAGTATTTGGTCGATGTCCTTGATTACGTACGACAAAAGCCTTTCCAAGGGCTTGCTCAGCTGGTTTTTAAGGTAGTAAAGCGTGTCAATGGGGACGTTATTTCTGAGGGCGTAAACAGGGTCTTCGCTTCTTTCGTGGAGGGGCTCGCTTCCTGCACGAATCACGTACGAGACTCTGTCTCCCAGGCCTGGCCCTGACCCCTCTCTTTTCCGCATTCTTTCTGCGAGCGAGACGTGCGCCAGGGACACGCTGTAATCTTCCTCCTTCTTCGTGATGGACTTGCTGATGATGAGCTGAGAAATTCCGATTTTGTTTCCGAGCAGGTCTGCGACTCTTTCCTGGAGAAACTTTTTCGTGCCTTCAATGTCTCCGCGCAGGAAGACTCTGTCCATGCACTCCTTCATGAGGTCTCTGATAAGAAGGCAGTTGTCCCTCCGGACCGTTTCAATGCCTTTTGTGTCGATTTTCCCAGGGTCGTTCGGGGCAAACTTAGCACACCCTGCGTACCTTTTCTTGTTTATGAGGACGAAAGGGTGGTAGACCTTCTCAAATTCGAGGGTGAGCGGGTCTGGAAGCTTCTGCGTGATGAACTCGGAGATTCTATCCCCTGTGAGAAAGGCTTCCTGGAGTGTCCAGTTGTCGCGCGTAACCATGACCGAGTCTGTGTCCCCGTAGGCCACGGTCAAAGCGCTGCTTCCGGTGCACGGGCTGCTGTTTTTGTCCACAGCCTCAGAGCAGACTCCGATGCTGTTACTGTTGATGCTGTTGTCTTCCTTATTGCTCTCGTTACTGCCAGCATTATCCGCGTTCTCAGGACTGCCAATGTTGTCAGCGGCTTTGCTATCCTCAACGCCATCTTTCTCAGTGGAGGCCGCGCTCTCGCTGGCCACCATTCTGTTGTACTCCCCCATAATAAGCTCCTGCGTGGTTTTGAGGATGTTTCTTCCAAAGCCTGTCACGCTTCTGGACACGGGAATGCACGGGAGCCCCGTCTTTGCCGCGCCTGTGAACCCATAGACCGAGTTTGCCGACACTTTCAGCGCCAGCTGCCTCGCGTTGAGAGAGGCCTTCATTTCGGGGTCCGTGCATGCGGCCAGCTCTTTTCGCACGTCCTTCCTCTCCTGCAGCAACTTTCTGAGAACTTCCGGGAGTATCCCCACCTTCACATCCCTGCACACAAAACAGTCTCCCGTGGGCGACACCGTGTACTCCTCTGGGCGCATATCCTTGATCTGATCCTTTGATACAAGCGTGCTATAGCACAAATTGTACCCCATGATGATGGACGGGTACAGAGAGGCATAGTCCAGAACGACAACCGGCTGGCTGTAGAATCCCCGCGCAGGCTCCATCACGTATCCCCCCTCATACGTCTCCTCGCTCGAGTTAACAACGGGCAGAATGTATTTCTTCTCTCCTGCGTGCCTCAGGATCTGGGACATGACTCGGACGCCCTGCCCCCGCGTGAGCAAGTACTCCAGGGGAACTCCTGTGACCCGTGCGAGCTCGCAGTAATTTACAAGAAGGTTTTTCCGGTGCATGATCCGGAGCGGCAAATGCGCATCCTTCAGGCAGTAGATTCCAAGCCTTTTTCTGGTCTCGCTGCTGCACTCCTGCATGGGCTTGATCTGGGAGAAGTGGACGTCTTCCTTTTGCTCGCCCAAAAAAGCAGCGCTCACCGAGTTCAGCGAGTAGCTGTGCAGGTTGAACTCCTTCTTGACGACGCTTAGAACGTCAAAGAGAATCCTCCCAGGGACGCAGGCCCCGGACTCTTCAACTCTTGCGCCCTCCGGCGTCCTTCCAAAGTATTTGAATTTGTGGAGGCCCAGCGAGTTCGCCCTATTGACAAGGTACGGGAGGTCAAAGTTCACGATGTTGTACCCTGTGATGATGTCTGGGTCCATGGAAAGAATCCACTGCGAGTACGCCATGAGCAGGTCTTCTTCTTTTTTGAAGGCGTACACGGTCGCGTCCGGAATGTGGTTGACCTCATTCAGGCAAAACAAGACTCTTTCGACCTTCTGAAAGGGGTACACGGAAAGCACGTTTCCTATCTGCACGACCGGGTCTACCAAGGGATTCGGGAATTTGCCCTCTTCTGCCGTGCACTCAATGTCTGTGCTGAGGATCTTGAGGGGCGGGGTTTTGAGAAGGTCTTTTCGCACGGTGACTCTGTCGTGCGTTGACGAAAACTTGCAGCCTGCTTCATCGTGCGACACTTCAACGTACTCCATTCCGGAGAGGTTTGTGTCGATCATAAATCTGAGAATGTATCCTACGTTTGTCTCGTACGTGTCAACGGGTGGGCCCGACCTTGAAACGGTGTTTTTCACGGCCGCGCTCACAGCAGAAATAGCCTTCGGGTCTCTGACAAGGACTTTCACAAACTGTGCGGGCTTGTTGAATCCGTAGATGGAGAGCCTTTCCAGAACGTAGGCGGAGACAATCTCCTTGTGGGAGCGGATTATTTCCTGGATGGGCGTGCCCGTGTGCGGCACGTAGAAGTAGTGAAAGTGCCCTGTTATGGCGCACTCCACATACTCTCCAGAGTCGCTTCTTCCAAGCAAGTGCATGATTGGGCCATTTGCGTCGACTGTGTAGTGCATGTGCAGAGGCACGAATACGGTCGTGAACTTCTTCATGGGGAAGAAAAAAGAAAAAGAACTTATGCCCGAGAGAGCAGGCGCACGCCAAGCGGGTGGGATGCGCCGGCAGACACCGGGCAGGCAGCGAGCAGCAAGCGTGTAAAGCAAAGAGCGAGAAAACAGGGCGCCCAGCCGAAAACCTAGGAAATACTTGGCAGCAAGCAGGTAGGGCAGACAAAGAGCGTGCAGCAGACACAACACCACAATATGAAGGCCTACTGCCTTGCGAGTGCCGAGAAAGCAAAGGATCACAGCACTTTGCATAGGGCATTTGTTTATAGCTCACCCAGCACAGCATACCTGCAAAAACTCTTCAATAGCACACTGCAGGCGGCTAGCGCGCATCAGCCCACTGCAAGACAGCGCGGCAAACACGGAAACATTCAAAAAGTAAACTGAAGGCGCGCCCTGCATGTGCTGGAGAATGCTTTGCAAAGGCCCAGGCCAACTCCAGGCCGGGCAAAGCAGCGCACAGGCACAGCAAGAGCAGAGCACGCCTATTCCCGGGCAAGTCCACTTTCAAGGCACTGAATTTATTATTCCTGTTGTTCCTGAGACGGCTTGTCCTCCCACTCGCCTGCGCTCTCTCTGTCTTCCTCTTTCAGCTTCTCCTTCTCTGCGATCCCTGCCTCTATCTCTGCTGGGTCTCTGTAGAAGTATGCGTCGACCAAAAGCCTGATCTCAGAGCTCAATTCAATGTCGCCCTGCATGTACTTAACAAGCTGTCCCAAAATGAAGAAAACAGCTCCAATTGATGTTGCTGATCTGTTGTTGCAGGGAATAACACAGTCGATAAGCTCAATTTCGTTGTCTGTGTTCGCCAGGGATATGCACGGGACGTTGATGTACGAGGCCTCGTTTATGGTCTGCTTGTCTGTGAAAGGGTCCACAGTTACAATCAAGCGCGGCTCGGCAATTGCCTTTGTGGCCTTGTTCGTGAATGTTCCGGGGACGAAGTTTGTCGTGATGTGGGTTGCCCCAACAGCGCGCGCAAAGATTCCTGCGGGCTTGTATCCGAACTTCTTGCTGCTTACAACGACAATGTCTTTCCTGTTTTTGTAGCTCACGATCATCTGGGCGGCCAGGACGAGTTTGTCCCAAGTCTTCTGCAGGTTGAAAACGTAGACTTTGTCCTGTCTTCTTCCGTACGTGTAATCTGCCATTTTATGGTTCAGACTCTGCCCTCCCAAGTGGCAGGTTGCTGCTATCATTAGCTTCGAGTAATCTGTTGGTATTGGTATTATAGCTGCGCACATTGTAATTCTAACTCCTAGGGTGCAGAAAAAGAAAAAAAAAAGACATAAAAGTTTGGGCGAAAACGCGCACTGTGCGCCCGGAAAGAGCAGGCGCAGGGGAAACGGGCTCGCAGTATGAGGGCGCCCATGCGCGGGAAGGGCGTGGCAATTTTCGGCGCATGCTGAAACTGCGTGCTGCTGCGTCTTGGGGCGAAAAGTGAAAAAGTGAAAGCGAAAAAGTGAAAGAAATGAACGGCAAGCGTGCGGGAGAAAGCAAGGAAAAAGCCAAAAACGAGGGCGAATTTGGCGCATCTGCAGAGTGTGCGGGGATGGGCCCAGAGGAGAGAAGCGAGTACTTGGAGGGAAAATTGTACGTTCTCGCGCGAAATGCAGAGAGAAGCGAGCGCGAGTGGAGGAGCGAGCGGGAGAGGCTTCGGAGCGAGCGTGCGGAAATGGCCTGCCGGATGGAGGCTATGAAGAAGGAGGTTTTGCAGGCGAAGGAGGAGCTTCGCGAGGCGCGCGCTGAAAATCGAGTGAAGAGGCTCCGGGAAAAAGCAAGCTCTGATGTGCCTGCCGCGGGGGAGGGCGCAGTTTTCCAAAGCGACGGGGTGAAAGAAAAAGCGAGTGAAAAGGGCCTGCCCGCCGAGAAAGCACCAAATGGCCAGTTTGGCGCGAGTTCGCCAAGTGCCGAGCTTGCGCCTTTGAAAACGCTGAATGAGAAGCCATCGCTGCATCCCATCCCGGGCGCTGGAAACATGCGGGACTCGAAGCATCTTCCAATTGAGTGGATTCTCTCGCATCTGAAGGGCGAGGTTCTTTTCGACCTTTCAGAGCTCACCCGCGAGAAGCTGAAAACCTTTGGAAGATTTTTCAAGCGGGAGTTTGACTCGCTGTACAGCAAAAGAGCTGTCATCTCTGAGATTGATGTTTCCGTGAAGTCGACGAAACATCTTGTTAAGTCGCTTCTCTACTTGTCGGACAGGCCGGAGATAGTCACACACTTTCTGCCGTATGTGTTCATGCAGCACATTCTGCCGGATGGAAGACTTTTCATCAAGGAGATCGTGCACATTTTGTACCGGGTTGGCTTGGCGCCTTTTCTGCAGGCGCAGGAAACAGTCCAGGAAATGGCGAAGTTCTTCGCGGCGTGCAGCGACTCTGTGGAGCTGATGCACTTTCTGGAAACGCTTTCTAGAACGAGCCCCAGAGCTGTGGCTCGCGTCGTGTCTCAGGAGTACATGCTGCGCCTCAGCGAGACGCATGGCGAGGCCGCATTGCGTATTTTCAAGGCTTTGGAAGGATGTGGCGCGTATGCTCAGAGCGCGCACGAGGCCATTCACTTGCACCGAGGAAGAGTGTACGTGTCGCCGGACGAGAGCATGCACTTTTTCATGTAAGCAAAAACGGCGCAGATGCAATAGCGCTCTATATGCGCAACAAATTGGCGCACCACATTTATCTGCTGATGCATAGCAAGTGCAATTTCATAGAACGACATGCAGCGGGCATATCGTAAAGACGCAGTTGAAAGGTGTAAATACAGAACATGTTTTATATTCACGGAGCAAAGAATAAAAGAAAAACTGCATAAGCAGCTCTCAGTCAATAATAAATCGCTGCTGGAAATAGTTTTGTACCCGGGACATAAAGCAAAAGTATTTTGCGAGAATACCAAATAGTAGAAAATTCACTCGAAAATCGCGAGCATAGAACACGCAAAAATTCGCTTTCTGCAGACTGCGCAACCAATAATGGGCACATATTTAGCATTTATTTTAGATACTTCTCCGCGAAGTCTTCGTAGTAGTTTTTGGGCTTTTTGGGAGTGCTCGGGTTGAACATTTTCAGCCAGAACAGGGCTTGAAACGGCGTGGTTATCACCAGAAAGTCTTCAGCGTGGATATTGTCCTGCATGCTTTTGTAGTAGACGTTGTCTGTGATCAGCTTAAAAAGGACTTCGGCCACCCTCTTTGTGTTGCCCTTTTCTACCACGTGCCCGTTCACATTGTTCTTCACCTGCAAAGGAAGGCCCCCAACATCGTACACAACCACAGGCACTTTCTTCATAAGTGACTCCGTGACCTTCACCTCAAAGCCCTCGGATATGCTCAGCTGGCACGTCACGTGTGCGCCCTGCAGGATCATGTTCAGCAGCTGATCAGAGGGCGGAAGGCGGACCTTTGTGATTTTGTGCTTGATGCACAGAAACTTCTCGTCGTTCACCTTCTCGGAAAGGCTCTGGAAAATTGTCGTTGCTTCGGGGTCGTCAACGCTCCCGTGCCCGCACAAAACCAGGCCCACATCAAACTCTGCTTCGGGAAACTGCTCCTTGTGCATGCAGTACAGCTTGTAGTACGCGTCCAGCAGGTCGTTGATGCCCTTGGAAGGGTCAAAGCGCGCTACTTGCACAATGTACTTCCTGGAAAAGTCAACGGGGTTTTCTCCGTTGTCCAAGCATATCCGGCTGAACACATTCTGATAGTACGTCAGCGCGTGCCTGCTGAGCGGCTTGTTCAGGCCGTCTAGCTGGTCAGTGCCTGCCGGCTGGAAAACCACCTTCTCTGGGGAGACGCTTTTTGGCACTGCCTCTGGAAAGGGGTGGCTTACAAAGTAGTCCGCGTTCTGGATGCTTTCCCACAGAAAGTTCCACACGTTGTCAATTGCGGTGATGTTTTCGCCTTTTCCTTCCTGGATCATCTCTCCGCGGATCTGAATGTGCGACCGGTAGATGATTTTCACGCTCGGAAACTCTTTTTTAATGACTTGTGCGAGCCTGCCCACTTGGTGGTCGTCCAAAACCACGATGCTGCACGCTTTGATCACGTTTCTCCAGTGGGACTCGTAGTTCACTTTCAGCCACGCGTCTATTTTGTTCTTGTCGCGCTGCGTGAGAAAGTCGCTCCGGGAGCACTCCCCGTTTTCGTCGTACGAAGGGCTTCCGGGGAGCTCGCTTTCCATTTGCTGCTGTGTCTTCAGACACTTTCCAAACGCGTTCTGGAGGATGTTGTGCACCTTCATCTTCGTGATGTTGAAGACCGAGGGGCTTGGCGTGCACACGTACCACGACGCGTCAATGCCCAGCATCTGCAGAAAGCGGATCAAAGAGTGCCGCATCAAAGCGACGCCTCCGCCCTGTGCAGTCGAGCTGAAAAACGCCACCTTCTGCTGCGCTTCCAGAATGGCCTGCGCCTCCTGGATAAGGTCGCCCATAAACTCGCTTCCCCGCGCGCCAATTGACTTCCGGTACTCCTCGAGAGAACAAAACCAAATGTGCCCCGAGTCCACAACCACCCGGTTGCTTTCTGCTATTGTCAGGTCGGGCAGGTTTTCGTGCCGGAACAGGGACGCACACTTTCTGGCAAGAGCCTCCGACTGCTGGTCCAGGGGCTTGCACCCCCCGGAGAAAAAGCACGGAAGAATGTCGTACTTGTTCCAGAGCATGCTTTTCATCTCGTCTGCAAACTTGCTCCTGTGAAGAACCCCCACGGAGAGCGCAACTCCAACTATTTTCACCGCGTTTCCTTTTGTGTACTCAGAGAGCCACTTGTCAATCGTCACCAGCAAAACATGGTTGAGCACCTCTGCGACCTCCTCGCTAAAGCTCTCCAAAACAACAATGTCGCTGGGCATCCGGCACAGATTGCACGCCTCCTCCAAGTCAATCGTTGGGGGAGACTTTGAGGCAATTCTCGTGCTCTCTGTGCTTTTCGTGTCCGGGGCCTCTGATTGCCCGTTGAGAGCCGCGGTCAGACACGGAGCCATGCGGATCTTCTTTTTCAAGTCGATGTACATGCCTAGCAGCTCCTGCATCTCCTGGTCATTGCCAGGGACCTCCTGCGTGAGCTGCGGCGAGTTGTTTGGGGACGGCGGAATTTCTTCCTCCTTGTCCACAATTGGAAAGCAGTAGTTCTTTGTTCCCAGCACAAAAAACCCGTCATTGATTGTTATGCTTAGGTTGAGAGAAGGCCTCTGCGGCTTTACACCCATCGCCACTCCAAGAAATATAGGCCTGTGCACCATAAAGAGCGTGCCCGCACAGACTTTATAGAGGCCAGCCGCCAATTACTTTTCTGCTTATTGTGCAAATAAGTGCGCAAATATATGCCAGTAAAATTAAAAGTGTTTTCGCCCTCTGAATTTACCACAGAACAATTAGACAGCACTTTATTTTTTCTGTCGTCTCTGCACAGGCAGGCCCAAATCGGCTGAAGCATCCTCATGCGGCCAGCCACTCTACGATTCGGTCTACTTTTCTATACCAGGTATCTCGGATCTGGAGGCCTGATATTCCCTTTGCAAGCGCCTCCACTTCCTCTCCTGCGCGCAGGTGCTGGCTGTATGCCCGGTGAAGGAAGCTTCTCTCCGGGGCTTTTTCCTCCCTGGGGCCTTCCAGCAGCTTCAGGCTCTTTACTTTTCTCAGGATGTCCTTCTGGATCTTCTCCACGTCCACGGTCACGCGCAGCCGTGTGACTTCTTGCAGCTTCCACGTGCAGAGCTTCCACATAATCTCTCCCCACAGGATCCAGACGCCCCACCTGAACCCGCACAGAGCCCAGACGCACACTCGGCGGGCATTGCTTCGCGCCTCCCAGGTCGCGCCTCCCATCAGAATCAGCGCGCCAAGCCATCTGCAGGCTCCCCAATACACTCCTGCGGAGAGAACCAAAATCCCGAAGAGGGCGAGCTTTCTTCTCTGCAGAAATGTCCTGTACGGGCGGGTGAATTTTCTGTCGTCACTTTCAAGCTTCTCGTTCACTTTGCAGACGCACTCTCGGCAAAGCTCGCTCAGATTCTGCCTTTTGACAGACCTTCTCATGCGCATGTTTTGCTCCTCCTCTGCCTTGATTCTCTCTCCCTCGGCCTCGTTCCTCTCCTGGCACGCGCTGCATAGAATCCGCCTCTCCGGAACTTTCTGATACTTCCTGTATACAGTTTTGTTCTCTATAAAGATAGGCACATACCCATCGTCGGAAACTCTAAAGTACGACTGGCACTCCCCACAATAGACAGTTCCCGAGAGCACCTGCATCTTCGCACACCCGCAGTACGGACACTTCATTCTTTATTTTTTCGTGCAGAAATCTGCTCATTTTGTACTTTAATAATTTCCTCGGCGGACGCACACTCAGAGTACGCCAGCAGCAGCTCGCTGTTGATTTTAAAAAACTCCTGCCCGTACGAGAACGTCTCCATAAGATTCTTCGCCTCGTCTTTAAACCCGCATATGAAAAGCGCAGCCGAGAAGGCCTCTGCGCAGTTTAGCTTGCACGGCCTTCCATAGTTTATCGTGTTTGCTGCAACCAAGTAAGGAAGCAGCCGGTTCCGCATGGCTGGGAGTGTTTTAAAGTCTATCTCTTCAACTCTGTTCCAAGAACAGTCGACAACTGCCAGCCCGTACTTTTCAATGTACTTTCTATCGGTGGGCGACACCACGCTCGTGCCTGCAGGGGACAAAACAAGGCCTCCAAACCTTCTAGTCGGTTTCAAGGGCTTTACAGAATTCTGCCGAATCAACTTCTCAGCAGAACACATCTTGGCAAAACACTGCTTCATGTCGAACGAGTACAGCCGAGGCATTAAAGAATAAAAAATAATTCCGGGTGTAAAGTACCACATTTACGGTGCTGTCTGGGTGCAGGCACAGCCACGAAGTACTACTCCCCTCAGAACCTAGCGACTTGCGCTTGGAAAGGGGTGTTTCGGCAGAGTGCGGCTGCGCCCCACCTTTTGCCATTTCGTGTGTATGTGCACTACACATGCTTTCAGCATACAAAAGCCCCAATTGACTTGCTTGTTTCACCGCACGCTGGCTTAGGTATATTCTCAACAATCATAAACTTTATTCATATTATGCAAGCATATTGTCGCAGTGCTGCGCTGGCCTGGCCAATGTATAGATTGTGCTTAGGTCTTTGCAGCCTGTCCTTGGGTGCTGCCTCTTACGATGCGTGGGCATACTCAGACGGCACGGCTTACCGATATTGTCGGCCACCACCTCTTACCACATGGAGACATTGTATCTCTGTGTGCGCATTGCGTATGCGGCCACACTCTGGTGCGCGTGCAAAATGCCTACAAATACGATGAATCCTGTTATGAAAGAGTACGACAATATCACTAAGTTCCAGAATGTGCCAAACTTAAACAGAGAAGCAAGACGCGCGCTCTTCTGGGCAGGCTCTGGCCTGGGGGGCTGCTCCTCATACTGTTCCCTCATGATATTTCCCTGGGTGTGGTTTCTGCGGCTGGTTTGCCCTTCTTTTCTGTTTATGTTGCCGACTAGAGCATACTTTATCCAGTTGTACAGGTATCTAAGAGTACCTGCATTGAACAGCACAAATACGTATAGCGCCGCCTGCATATACGCATACCAGTACACGCTGTTTACCATGCGGTCGCCCCAGTAGCTCATCAGCGACAGAGAAATGCTGGACAGCACAACAACCGAAAGCAGCACAATGTCAGAGTATCTTGTGTGCATGGAGGCATCGCCAACCCACTTAATGGTGAGTATTATGTAGAGTATGCACAGTATGTACCAAATTGCATTGAAAGCGCCGAGTATCATCACAATCGACAGAATGCCCATGATGCACATAACTATTACATAGTCAGAAACCGTCCTGGTGATGCTGTATCTGATCACTATTATTGCTCCCAGCACATACATTATGGGCATGTACAGAGTGAACACACAGTATACCAGCAGCTCAAAAAGCACGGCCATCAGCACAAGGAACATGCCCGTTAGGAAAGAGTGGTCGTTCAGCGTGAACGTCCGCTCTATGTTGCAGATAAACTCAAACAGCGTCTGCGAGACTCCGTTTGTGAACACCCGGAAGAATATGCTCTGGCCGTTCTTCTCTTCTTTTTTTTCTTGCAGCCCCGGGCTTTCCGGAAGCCTGTCGTCTTCTGCATTCGGGTCGTTCTGGGCCGCTCCGCGCGTGATCTTGCTTGATCTTGTCTCAAACTGCGAGAAGCTCGTCTCGATATCTGAAAATCCCTTTTTGATCTGCTTTGCTGTCGTGTTGATCGCGGTCTTGTACGATGTAAATACATTGTGTGGATTTCGCTCGTTTTGCGGTACAAACAAATATTTACCATCCAGTTCTCCTTCGGAATCAAATGGTCTTTGCATGTAATAAAAAACTGGAAAGAAGAAAAAGTTTTTCAAATATGATCTAAGTGATTTTCTCATTTTGCAAAATATGCATTCCGCTGCAGGGGCTCCGACTCCCAAAAAAAACGGCGCTGAGAGCAGGCCTGCCTCCAAATCGGCTGGTGTAGAGCTATGCAGAAGTGGCGAAATTAAATCAAGTTAGTAATTTGCATGGATAATTTATTTTTATATAATTTATACTAACATCCCCCCCCCCCAGTGCTTGTCTTGATAAGCACGAGTACCTGACTAAATTTCAGGCACTTCTTTCAGGTCGTAATATCGTCTTTTCTTTAGTTTGCTCTTCTCATTACGGATATATGAATCACTGATACAGTGCTTTACTACTAATCCTTAACCAGCACCTCATCCGTGCTGTTTCTTCTGTACTTATTATTCTGTGCTTGATTCCATTATCCCACAGCCAGTGTTCTACGCTCTTACTTACCAGTTCTTTTCCGTTGTCACTCACTAGTTCATCGATGCCTCCCCACGTGTACCATACTTTCTCCAGTACTCTTATTATTTCCTTCGTGGTTCTGCTTTCTAATTCCTCCAGCATCATTCTTCCTGTATAGCAGTCTACTACTCCTGCCACGTACTGTTCACGGTTTTCCCACTTCATGATGTTAATTGCAACTTTCTTGAACTTCTTTGATGTTTCTACTAGGTCCGCGCCACCTTCTATTTTCCTATTTTTCTCTTCAACTTTATTTGGCAAATGTGCACTTCCTCTTCTATTGATGTTGTCACCTTCACTTGGTCTTCTCGCATAACACATTGTTGCTATGTGCCCTGGTTTTCCGCATGTGTAACACCTCTTAATTGGCATTCGCCTGCTCGCTTCCATGTTCGCCATCTTTGCTTTCATTTCCGCTAGTTCCGCTTTCATTTCCGCTTTCTCCCTTTCCGCTTCCACTTGATCCATATACCGGTTCACTTCCCCTGTTATGAATTCTATGTCTTTTTCTCTACTCGTCTCCTCGTTTCTTATGCTTCCGCTTTCTATTCCCTTGACTAGTATCTTCTGTATGTCCACGTCTGATATCTCCTCGATTATCTGCCATATGTTCTTCTCTCTTTTCATGCCCACCTTTATGACTATTAGTGCTCTTTCTATCTCTCGTTTGGTACTTTGGTCTTTGACCGGAGTTGCCCCCAAGTTAGTAATTTGCATGGGTAATTTGTTTTTATATAATTTATACTAACAAATCATAAATAAACATCTGGGCGATATACTGTCATAAATCCGGGTCATGCTCGCACTATTGTCTAAGACAAGTTCCAGTAAAGATTTATTATCCTTTGGAGAACCCCCGCTGCCGACTTTAGATTGACTTAATCTTATGGTGTTTTTATTTTTATGCCTCTGAAATTGAACTTGCTCGCGTATTTATGCTTTGCCTGATCACTAGTGATCTCACTTTTTTCGCATCCACACCATAAAAATCTATCGGGATCATGATCTCGGCCTTCTCGAATAGTGTGGAAATTCCAAGAGTTCACCACATATACAAAGATTTCTAGCGTGTGATAATAGTATTTATTTGGTGATTGGCCGGCAGTAATAGACATAATGACGCGATACTAGAGTTTTCTTTGCGACTACAGCACATGGCCGTGGCAACCGCCTAGCAAAGGTCGGCCGCACTATATTACTGGTCCGAAGCTGTTTGGCGGCACTATTCTGCTAGTATTCCAAATTTTTTCTCTTCAGGGGACACCGCGGCTGCAGCGCACATGCATAGTTGGCAAAGTGTGCCCCTGCGAAAGCATGGAAAAGCAGGCCGGGGCTGTTTGTAGTTCGCTTTACAATAGCGGCAGAGCTTTAGCCAGTGCGTGCATTGGCAATATGCTGTTCCACAGCGCAGCTCTCTGACCTCTATGCAGAAACACACTGCCAAGCCAGGCTCTATCCGCGCCCGCTTGGTGCTTATTGCGTTATTCTCTGCTTCGCACGGCGGATATTTTCCTCCTCACGCCCGCATCTGCCACTTTCCACATTGCATCCAGCACCTTCTCCCCGCCCCGGGCCTCCTTTATGCCGACCAAGTCTCTGCAGAGCGTGCTCAGGAAGAGCGTTTTCAGCTCCGTGCCCAGCCCCGATCTCAGCAGCTCCACAATAATCTCCTGCCCGATTCTGTTGCGCACCCAGAATGCCTCGTACAGACCCAGGCACTGCACCTGCATCTCCTCCCGGTACCTTGTCGGGACCTGCAGGTACTTCACTCCCAGCTTGTACGACTTAGAGTCGAATCCGTCTGCCCCGTGGAACAGCAACGTATGCATGAGCTGGTCCTGTCTAAAAACTCTCTTGACTGCGCTCTCCAAAACATGCACAGCCCCTTCCTCTGCAGCCCGGATGAGCAGCTTGTGCAGCACGTTGTTGTTCGCCTGGAACGTGTGCACCTCCCCCTCGATCTCCGCGTACACCGTCTGTGCCGAGAACGCCGAGACAAACGCCTGCATGAAGTAGTTGCCCACGGGGTCTTTGCAGATGTCCATGAGAACCGGCCGGATCACCGCGTACATTTTGTCGAGCTGCTCCCTGCTTGCAAACCTGCACGCTATCTCGTACAGAAAAGAGTTGTAGTTTTTCACGTTCTCCACGCGCATGCTCTCCACCAAGTACGCAACCACCCGCTCCCTCTCGCTGCTCTCTGCGCGCACAAGGTACTCCGCGTACGTTGCGGACCTTGTCGACTCCTCCAGGAAGTGCCCCATCGGAAGAGCTTTCATCTCGTCTTTGAGGCCCTCGCTTTTGTGGTCTATCCGCAGCAGGGCGCGTATGATGTGGTTTGTGCCTTTGCTTCTGAGGGACTTCGTGATGTTCTTGCACACGAGCTTTGAAACCTTTTCCACGAGCGACTTGTACGCGTCTGTGAGTATTTTGTGGTCTTCTATTCGCTTCAGAATGCTCTCCAGCGCATATGTGATGTTTTTGTTGTGCACGTCCAAAATCTTTAGATTCTCCAGCAACAGCCCAAGGGAGTCCGTTGACGCATGGCGTATGAATATTTCCAGTTTTCTCGCAAGACTGTTTATCTTAATTATCTCGTTCACCTCCCCCTTTGTGATGCCAATGACCCGCTCAGAGACTTTTTCCTTCTCCTCCCAGGACATGCCGTTCAGCTCCGACATGTGCACTCTCTTTAGATACTCCATAGCAGAAAATTTGCACGCGGAAAAGAAAAGAAAAAGTCGGCGCATGCAACGAAATGCGGCAGTCTGCTGCCTTTATTGCGGGGAAGTGCCAGAGCCTGCGGCCGCTTTCTTGTAAGTCACAGAATCACTCGCTGAATCATTTTTTTATAATTTACTGAATTGCTTGCTGGGCCATTTACTGGGCCGCTTGCAGGGTTGTTTGTTTGCCTGCAGGCATGGGATAGCCCGCCCACAGAAACATTTTCTTGCAGCGGAGGCTAAAATCGCCCGGCTGTTTCCTTGAAAAGTGCCTCGCTGATCGGTCTGGCTTGGTAGGCGCTGCCGCGTGCTTTCGCGTGCTTGCGCTCCTGCTTTCCACCCCCTCGCTTGTTTATTCTTATTACATTCCTTGCTGCCTATGCATTTGATATTCTGGAGGGAATGATTCGGGGGTTCTCTTTCTCCAGGCGCAGCATGTTCTCTTTTCTGTAGTCGTATTCGCAGCTGTGCTCGTCAGAGTATCTGTGCTTCCCGCAGAAGACTCTCTTGCACTTGCACCCGAACGTGTTTGTTATTCGCAGCTTCACGCTGCAATACGCACACTCCGTCCGCTTTACGCTGTACTTGACGCTTTCTTGCTTTTTGCTCGGCTCTTCCAGAGAAAGCTTCCTCTTTCTTGCACGCTCATTTTCCATGAATAAAAAAACGAATTGTTTGCTATTTATGTCTGAAGTGCAGAGCGTGCTCTCCAGTGTGTGGACAGCCATAATGAGGTCTGTTCTTATATTTGGGACTATCTACCTGTTCTTCTCCTTCAACACGCTGTACGCCATACAGGTGCTGGAAAGAGTGTCCATCCCGACGCTCGTGGTTTTTGTGGTTTTCCAAGTGCTTATTCTCCTGGTGGGCTTCTCCTTCCTGAGAATGTCAATATCCAGAAACTGCACGACTTTGGAGCTGTTTCCAGAAGCCGCAGAGAAAGACTCGGACTCTGACGACAGCAGCCTCTGCATAAACCCCTTCGAGAAAGAGAGCCTGTTCGCGTACAAGCACGAAATGAGCATCTGTGTTATATGCAACACGGCGCAGCCCATGCGAAGCTACCACTGCACCAAGTGCAGCAGGTGTCTGCTTCTTATGTACAGGCACCTTACGTGGTGCGACCTGTGCATAGGGTTCACCAACTACAAGTTCTACATTGTGTTTCTTTTCTACTCGGCGCTTCTGAGCATAATATCGCTGGGATGCTTTGTGGACACTTTAATATGGAACGACACCAGAATATACACAATCATGCCTGTCATCCTCGCCGTGTGCATACAATCTGTGTGGCTTGCGATGATACTCTACTACCTGGTGGAGGGCGTGTACTCCATATGCATAAACCAGACGCCGCAGGAGAGGCTGCATCCTGTTGAGAACACAAACATATCGTACAACATGGGATACTACCAGAACTGGAAGAGCATAATGGGCGAGTCCTGGTACATGTGGTTTACGCCCAGCTGGACCACGCAGGGGGATGGCCTGAAGTTCCAGCACACGCGAAAGATCGAGCCCGAGGTGTACGAGAACCCAATCACGACTCCTTTATAGGCCTGCCCAGCAATTCCACGCCAAGAGCTGCTCTGAGGAGCAAGCGCCTGCAGCCGTCCAGCGATGCATTTCTGTAGCGGATATGCCTTGGCGCTAGCAGCATTTAGCTAGCCACCCAGACATCGAATGGTAGAGGGAAAATAGCATGGTTTGGCCGACGCGTAGCTACTAATAGTAGCCAGCTAGATAGTTGCGCATGCCATCGCGTCTGCTGCTTGCGCACAGTGTAAATAAATCACACAATTTATTTCTGCTCTTCGGCCTTGCCTCTGCAATTTTTCTCGCCTGGCCGCTCGAGCAAACGCAAACTCGCGCATCAATTATTTCTTTATTACTTTCTGTGGTTTACGAGCGACTCTATTTCCTGTCTCTTCCTCTGCGACAGATTGAATGTGTCCAAATCCGTGACGTCTAGCATGCTCTTGTACGGGCAAACGTGCGGCACAATTTCTTTCCCTGGCCTGTACTTGGAAACATCCTGCAGCAGATTTGCGTTCAAGCTGTCGTACACAATTTGTGGGTGTGCATAGTTGTATTCCACCCGGAAGTTGCTTGGCACTGTTTTGCATATGTATATTGTAGACTCCTCTTCTGTGCGCGCCACCCGGCCTCCTCCCGACACAACGAGCATCCGAATGGAGTGCATTATAGTCCCTACGCTGCTGCATATGTAAAACACGCTCCCTTTGAACAGGCCCGCTCTGCTGCATGCGGGCATTTCCCGGTGCATGTCCAAGAGATTGAAGCCCCCGAACTCGCCCGTGTCCATTTCCCGGACGAACTCTTCTCTGGTGTCGTCCTCGCACTGCAGAGACCGCACAGGGGCTTTGTACCGAGCGGGCGCTTCCTCGCCATCCTTCTCTTCTGCCGTGTTTTCTGCTTTCTGAGGCGCGTCCCCCTCTTTGGCGTCGCTGTGCCTTCTACGAACCTCGCGCAAACACTCAACGTGGGCGTCTCCAAGAGCCTTGTACAGCCTGAAGTTGACTTTCTCCAGAAGGTATGCGTTAAACTCTGCCGTCTGCACGATCACGTTGTAGTTTATTCCGAGCGCATCCTCCGGATCTGCAAGCGGGTACGCCTCCTTCCAAAACACTTCGTTTCCGCACACTTCTGTGCTGTAGTATATGCCCTCTTTCGACAAAAACACTTTGTACTCTGGCTGCACGGCCATCAAGTACAGATAGAACAGAGAAAGCTCTCTACATATCTTCTTGTATATGTTTACTTCAAAGCCCCGCAGCAGCCTGCTCCTGTTTCGGATCAGCCTTTCTGCAAGTATAAGCACAGTCAAGGCCTCCCCCAGGTCCTCATATACATCTTCAAAGGACGGGTACTTGCTTAGCAGGATCTTGCCGTAGTCTATCTTCTCCTCTCGCAGGTGCTCTAGCTTGTACAGCTGCCCTCTCCTGGCGTACACGTCTCTTTTTCTGGCATTCTCTTTTTTCATCTTCATTTTCTTGTACGGCTCGGACTCTCGAATTCGGTGGATGTCCGTTAGCGTGTACTGGACCCGGGTGGACTTATTGGTGAGCTTGTCCTTCGAGTTGATGTACGGGTGCGTGTCCGTGAGCACACAGTATCTGTCAAACTCCTCCCCGTTCACGCTCAAGCATATGAGAGCTTCCTCTCTTGTCACGTGCGTGCGCCTCTTTATTATGTTCGTGTACTGAGGCATTAAAATTTGCAGAAAATCCGAGCAAAAATGAAAGGCTTTGCAAAAGGCCGAAAACAGAAGAATCCCCCGAGAGGGCGGAGACGCAAAAATTAGCCTGTGCGTGCACATGCGGGCGTGCCGTGTACATTTCATGTCAAACACGCTCCCTCTTCAGTAGACCCCTTGTAGGCATATTTGGCACGCAAATCATCTAGACAGCACAAACAGAATGCATCTATTAAATGTCATTCCATCTTGCAGAGTCCGCAAACACAGCGCCGGCCAAAAACATATCGACTCGCTGAAAACAGGCCTTGGCCATCCTATATCGCACAAGGCAAGCAAACAGCATAGGCCCAGCACACTCCGCTGGACTATCACATGCATCTTCCAGCCCCAGCGCGCATCTGGCCATGGCATGCGCCCAGAGAGCGCACATTTTCGCCTTATATACCCGCCCTGCGAAACACTGCTTATACGGCCTCTGCCTTGCCCCATCGCTGTGCAGGGCCTTGCCTTCTTTATTCTGATATTTAATTATTTCTATTACTTTTATATTTGTCTCTTTTTCTTTTTAGCATGCGGAACATTTCGTACTTCTACGATCAGGAGATTGGCAATTACAAATACGCACCAGGGCACCCTATGAAACCGCACAGAATCAGACTCACGCACTCTTTGGTGATGAACTACTCGATATTTAAAAGAATGAACGTGTATACGCCCATTCCAGCAACTTTTAATGATCTCACGCGCTTCCACTCGGACGACTACATTGAGTTTCTGCAGAGAGTGCGGAAGGAAAACTCCGACTCAAAGGAAAAAGAGCTGTCTAAATACAACATGATAGAAGACTGCCCTGTTTTTGAGGGCGTTTACGAATACTGCCAAATCACAGCTGGCGGCTCCATACAGGGCGCCACCCACATCAACGAAGGCATATGCGACGTCGCCATCAACTGGGCTGGCGGACTGCACCACGCGAAGAGACGGGAGGCTTCTGGATTTTGCTACGTAAACGACATTGTCCTGGGGATTTTGGAGCTGCTGAGATACAACGAGAGGGTGATGTACATTGATATTGACGTGCACCATGGGGACGGCGTTGAGGAGGCTTTCTACTGCAGCGACCGTGTTATGACAATATCCTTCCACATGCACGGAGAGTTTTTCCCAGGAACGGGCGCAGTTACGGACACGGGAATCGAGAAGGGGCGGGGGTACAGCATAAACGTGCCCTTGAACTCGGGAATTGACGATATGACATATCTGTCGATATTCAAGCCTATTGTAGGCGCGGCCACAGACAGGTTCAAGCCCGAGGTGATTGTTCTGCAGTGCGGCGCTGACTCTCTGGCCGGGGACCGGCTGGGGTGCTTCAACCTCACGCACAAGGGACACGCCGGGTGCGTGGAGTTTGTTAAGTCCTTGAACATCCCCGTCATGATTTTGGGCGGAGGCGGATACACGGTTTCCAACGTCTCAAGAGTCTGGGCGTACGAGACCGCGGTTTTGGCAGACGTGGACGTCTCTGTGGAGCTCCCGTACACCGAATACTTTGACCACTACCACCCAAACTATACGCTGGAGGTGCTGCCCATGGCGATGGACAACCAGAACACAAAGAAATACATCGAGAGAGTGTGCGAGGAGGTTTTGGAGAACCTGAAGAGCGTCGAAGGGAGGCCGTCTGTGCAAAACATCCACACTATGAAGTCCCTTATGACGGAGACTGCGGACGAAACAAACGAGGACATGTGGAACCGGCTGAAGGAGCGAAGAATCTTCAAGGACAAAGACGAAGAGGCAGAGCACTTTATCGAGTACTCGTTTGAGGATGAAGGAGTCAGGTCTTCGTAGAGGACGCGTGTAGGAGTTTGAAAAAGGCAAAGTATAAATAAAGAAAAGCGCAGGCTAATTCTTAACGCGCGGCAGCAGGGCGAGAGCGCGCAGCAAAAGCGGCCCGCCAACGCGCCATATAAGCATATTCAACACACGCACGCACTCTTTACTATTTGTCTGTTTTATTTGCTGCTGCCCTCCTACACTAGAAGAACAGCCAGATCGTTTACCAAATCCTCTGCTGTTGAAATGTCTCCTATAAGAAACTCTCCTGGAGACAGCGTCAGGATTTCTCCATCTATGACCACGTCCTGCAAGTCGTCTAGCACGTATATCCCATGCACCTCGGAGGAATTTTCTTCCCGATGCCTCTCGGGAATCTCCTCTTCCGGAAGGCGCAGCTCTGTCTCTGTGTTTATGCGGATGTACTCTTGCTGGTACTCCCTCTCCTCCTCTGATAGAAGATGCAGATCTGTCTTGTAGAAGTCGCTTCGAATCTTCTCCATGCGCACCAGAAGATACTCTGTCAGCAGCCACTCGATTCTTTCCGTCTCAATTCTGTATACGTGCTCTTTTGTTCTGTTTCGGTTTGCTTCTTCTCTCTCACGAGTTTTCTGCCGGTGCAGCAAAAAGTGCGCTCTTCCCATAAGGTCTTCGTCGTACGGCAGAATCCGCTTGGACTCTCTCTCGTTTAAGTATCGCATCTGCAAGCACTCTACAACCGAGAGTCTTTCCATTTCTAAAAAAGTTCTTGCAATTAAAACCCCGTCAGAGGTACCCGCCTGCAACGTCGTACAAAGGATTCACAGGCCGCTTGCACAAAGGGCAAACATCATCCACACAAAACCACTCGTCTATACACCCCATGTGAAAATGATGGTTGCACGGAAGCCTTCTGATCTTCTCTTTTTCTTCGTATGGAGCCAAACAGATCGTGCACTGTGCGTCTTCCTCCTGGATTTTTCCCCCGGGCGCATACTCCACGACAGGGAGCGACGGGCGCACGTAGTTTAGGAGCAGGAGAATCAAAATAACTGAGAAAATGGGGGAAAGCACAACCACAATCCCGTAGAAAACCCACACTTTTGTGAGCGTGTACAGCACCGGAATTTCCTGCTTGCTTGGCGAGTACTGCTGCAGCCATTTAAACCCTATGAAGTACAGGAAAAGCGTGAGAATGTCGAGCAGGTTGTTGAACAGCGTGGACTCTGCGCTCTGCGTGAACTCTAGGGGAGTCCTGTTTAGCATGTATCTCCAGTGCCGGATCGTGAACGATGCTGCGTTTGCGGCTATCAGGGCGGTGTACACAATGATAAAGAGCCTGAACGGGCTTTGTGCTTTGTCGTTCTTTGTAAATGTCAGCGCAATTATGTTTATGCTTATTTGGAATAGCTTGAAGAGAACGGAAAGAATCGAAAGTGTCCTTACAAAGGATGTTTGCGTCACTCCGTCTATTAGCTGCCTCACTCTGTATGCTCTGAAGTCAGGCGTAGCCATAGGACTATCCATGACCAGCACCATAGAAGGTGCTCTGTTTACGTCTGGCATAGGCTCCTGCATTCTTTTGAAGTGAAATGGTTTCAGCCCAGTACTCCTATCTTGAGTAAATTCGATGCACCAATAAGACCGTGCTGCGAAAATGCCGAATAAATCCTGCATTTTGGAAAGGCCCAATGAAAGCGCAAAAAACAACCAAACAAAGGACAGCCATTTGCAGCTCTAAAGGCCCACTTTTGATGATTTTTGCTTGGCTGGCGCACTGTGCGCGTGCCTTGCATCTGAATCAGCGCCCAACCGGCATGCACGCGCAGCCAGCGTGTTTGCATCTCCACTGCAGATAGCCTTGCGCGAAATCACGGGGTTCTGGGCGGGCAAGCACGGCCTGTGCACCGATCTATGCGTGTTTCGCATGCTTTGTTGGTCTGCCTGCCGAAAATGAGCATCCGCTGCCCTGTAGCAGCACACCCAGAAAATAGCAAACCGTGTGCATTTGAAATAAATAAAACCCGTGCAAATTACTTTTCATACGCATTTTCCAGCCACGCTCAAAACATGTCCACGCGTGCGGCAGGCGCACTCTCTTTAAAAAAGGCCCGCTCTGGCACAAACATGAGCCTAGAGCAGCTCTGCTGCACTTCATGCCAGAAAAATACTCGATGGCGGGGCAGTTCGAGCTTCTAGACAGAGTTGTTCTAACTATATCGCATACTTTATTTATGTGTTCTTTTAAGATACCTTTCCATTTTCTTTTTTTCATACTCCTCTTGGTACGGAGCAAACTTCTTTATGGAGTAGTTTTTCTTCAGGAACTTGTCGTCTGCCAGCAGAATGTCGCGCACCGAGAGCCCTATGTTCACCGTAGGCATTTCCACGTACTCGAAGTCGCCTCTTTTCTTAAGTGTTTCATACTCCTCTCCAATTTCGCGGATTTCCGAGATGATTTTGCGGATCTCGGAAAGGGCGTTTCGGTCGGCTTGCATCTCTCCGTCGTTTGCAAGCCTCTCCATTTGCTTCAGCTCCTCGGCCTCCATCTCAAACCCCTTGATTTTTGGCCGTTTTGTCTCTTTCTCGTCAAAATACGACTCTCCAAAAATGCTGTCCAGTGTTTTGTCAAACTCCTTTTTGTCGTAGCACTCCTCCAGCCGGATCTTGGAAAGCTTCCTCTTGCTGACGCCAGACACGCTCCGCAGTATGCTCAGCCTGTCTGCAAACTGCTGCTTCTTCAGGTTTTTGAGCCTTTTTATCTCTTCCTGCCTTTGCTTTTCCTCCTCTCTGTTCCTCAGCTGCTTCTTCAGCTCTTTCCTTTTTCTGCGCTGGGCCGGCTTCTTCACGGTGGAGTATGCGCCGCCTGCAGTGGGCGCTATTTCCTGGTCAAACTCTTCAATCAGCTCAATCTCCTCGCTGTCTTCCTGCAGGAAGTTTTCCTCGTTGGGCTTTTCGCACTCCTTCTGCCATCCTCCCTTCAGAACATACTCCGTCAAAAAGTCTTCTGCGCCCGCGTCGTTTTCTTCCTCCGCCTGCTTTTTATGGAATAGCTGGTCGCCCGTGTCCATTTCGTTCAATGCGTGCAAGAACGAGTCGATTGCGCGGCCTTTATTTGGCAGGCCGCTTTCCTTGTCCTGGGCGCCTGCCGGCGCGCTGTCGCTGGATTCTATGCGCTTTTCGCCTGCACTCGCAGAGACTGCGCTTTCATGCGCTGTTTTTTCGGAGTCCATCTCTTCTGACAGCTTAGACACTTCCTGGAGAACGGTTTCCCGGTAGTACTCCTTCAGCCTGTACGGGGCCTCGGCCGAAGGCTTTTGCGTGGACTCGCTTTGCGACTTGTGCGCGCTTTCTATCTCTTCAAAAACTCGGGCACTTTTTTCGTATATTTTCGGATCCTTTGCTCTGATCTTCTCTATTAGCTCTTGCACGGCCATGTTCTCCTCTTCTCTTTCGTCGTACGACGCATCGTCTTCCGTGCTCTCGGACATCTCCTCGTCTTTGTACTTTATTTCCAGCTCCCGGATCTCTTCGGATCTTTTTTTGGCCTCGTACTTTCTTTTCTGCCTTGGGTTTATGTTGAACGGATTCTCCGCGTTTCCTTCCATGCGGAAGCGAAAAAATTTACGAATAAATGCTGGAGGGGCACAAGGCCCGGCAAGGACTCGCAGATAAAAAACATGCGCGAAAACGCACTCTGATGGCCTGCCCAGGGCTTGGCGCATCCCTGTTAAAGCATAAATCTTGGGAGCCCAAAATAGGCATGAACCGACATTTATTTCACTCTTCCTGGGAGCGGAAGGCTGTACGGGCCTGTTCTACTTCTACTGAGCCTTCTTTTTCATGTCTTGATGTTTAAGCATCTCCTGTATTCTTTTTATGTCTAAAGATACAGTGGTATTGTCTGCATCCTTGCCGTTTGTTTTTGAAATTCTGTCTCGATTCTCAAAGCTTATGCATGCACACGCATCGTTCTTCTGCTTGTTCATAAGAACGTCCTGCACAATTTTGTTTGACTCGCTGGTCAGGGCTTTGTACTTTTCCTGTATGCGCGTGCGCATTCTATCTATTTTGGGGCCTGCCGCTTTGGTTGCGAGGCCTAGGAGCTGCCTGTAGTACGCGCCCTCGGATATCGCAAGCGTGTCCATCATGTCCTTTCCCGAAGTCACGCTGCATAGGCCCATGTATATTGTCTGCATCGCCAAATCTGCGCTATACGACTTCTGTCCCAGCATACATGAGAGCAGGGTGGTAAACCCTTCGCTGCTGGTCCCGTACGGCATTATGTAAATCTGCTTGTTCTCGTTGACCAGCTGCACCCATATGATGTTTTCATACACCGGGTCACTCCACATTAACAGGCCCATTTCGTAAGTCTCGCCCAAGGTAAGCATTTCTTTGCTAGGAGGAGCTATCACGAGGATGCTCTGCTTTCCGGTCGCCGGGTCCTGGTAGGGTATGTTGAAGGAGGTTGGCCCGGGAGGGTCCTCGTACATAACGTCTTCGCTCATGCACCTAGGCCGCAGGTCCTCGTTTATGTCGTACTTTGCCTTGCCTTTTCCGTCCCGCGAGTATTTGAGCAGGTATGCCTGGCTGAAGTCCCCCTGTATGGAAAGAACGATCAGCTGGTTTTGCTGGGTTAATACGTCCTTGAGGGTCTGGACAGCCTGGCTCACTGGAGCTTCGCCTATGTTTACTTGGCAGAATATTTTCTGAACTTTGAATAAGCTCATGCTGGTCTTCGCTTGGTGGATGGTTTTTAGCTTTTCCATTGCATCAAGATCGCTGCATGTGTTTTTGCATATCTTGTTCGCGCTTTGGCATATTTCAATGTGCATGGCCGTGTTGTTTTTGCTTTTCAGCGCCGAGCAGTAGTGGGCTTTGGGCATTTCTAGGCTGTATATGTGCGCCTCTGGAAGATGGCACCCAGAGAGCACGTATACGAGCATGCTCAAAAGCGGGTCGTGCGCATAGAGCTCAAAGCGCACAGCATTGTGCGTGGCTTTGTTCATATACTCGAAGTACAGCATGCTTGGGTCGTCTATTGTGTTTCTTAGCACACATAGGTTGTCCCAAATGTTGTACTTCGGTATTTCTACGATTTCCATGAGAATTTTGTGCAGCGTCTCGTCTGTGTTTTTCAAGCACGTGTTTATGGCGTAGTCTGCGGAATACTCTGCGGTGTCTCCATTGAAGGAGGGCATCAAAAGCCCGGCTTCGTCCGAGTAGATGCCTGTGAGAAGAGAAAGGAGTGGGCTTTCTTTTTTCCTGTTGTTCTCGCTGAGCTTTTTCAGGAACGCCTCTCTTTTGTACTCAATTTCAATCATCTCGTTTGTGTCGAAATTGTTTATCACAAAAAACCCGAAGTGATTGAGGCTTTTCAGCCGTTCAAACATGCTCACTGTGCTCGGGTTTAAGATGTAGTTTCCGCTGGACACGGCCACGCCGCGCTTCATCTGCATTATGTTGTTTTTGTTGATGGCCCGAATGATTTTGAAAATTGCTTGGGTCTTGTCCATGGTGTCCAGCTCTTTGTAGTTGTACAGAATGTCTATGGGGTCTACAAAACCCGGCCCGTCCGTAGGAATGCCGGAGCCTGAGCGCGAAGGCCCAGGGCCTTGCGCCCCGCACTGCACAAAGGCACTTATTACGAGAAATACAGCTCCCCACCCAAGCGCCGACTTTAAGCACAAATTAACTGATAAGAGCATTTTCTGAAAAAATAATGTAGACTTTATGCAAATCTGCAAAAATATCGGCTAAGACAGCCTATTGCGCCCTTGCATGCTGGAAACAGCTGTGTGCGTAGGAAATTATTCAATAAATCTAGCTAGTTAAAAAAGACAGCATATTGCCTCTCTACAATTGCCCTGCTTGCAAATTTTCACGCACAGCCAGAATTGCGCATTTTCAGCGCATGCATGTTTTTGCTTTTGGCACCTTCCTAGCTATGCTGCAAGCACCCATCGAAACAGGCGCTTTGCAAAACAGCGCATGGCCGAACTGCACTACAGATTGGCTGAGTGTGCGCGGCTGCGTCTTTTTGCAGGCATTTGTGCGGTCTTCTGTTCTTCTATGCGCTGCAAATTGGAAATAGCAAACTGCAAAGCGTACAACTAGACAAAAATAGACTTTGCAAGTTAAAACAGAAAGCACACCCGGCCAGAGAGAAATGCCCCGTAGGGGTTTTCACAGGCAAGACTAAGCTAAGATGCATTCGAATGCATCGAGTGCTGTGGGCGCGCTTGACACTTTTTGCATGAAGGCGACTAGTCGTAGCACGTTTCTTTATTGAGTGGCATATAGCCGCGGCACGAAATGTTCTTTATGGGCAGCGGACAGGCTACACATTCAGAAAGTCAAAGGGCGTTTTTGTCGACCCTTCCAATACCCTTGTGTTCTTTGGGCTGAAGCCCCTTTTGTATGCCACCCTTTTGAACGCGGCTCTAAGCTCTGCATACTGCAGCGCCTTCTTTTTGCATGCAGTTAGGCTTTCTTCTATTTCTGAAGGCGGCGCGCTCTGGGCTCGGGCTTTTCGGCCCCTCTGCCGCACGCTTCCTCCGGCTGTTTGGTGGAGGCGCGCTATGGCAAGATTTGGGTCTTCTTCCCATATGCTTTTCTTTGTTATAAAAATGCATTTGTTCCGGTGGTTTTCGTAAATAGACGTTTCGTCGTTGATGTCCTCTCGGGCCAGAACCAGCTGGATTTCTTCGTTCATGCTGTAGTCGTTGCACTTTTTGAAGAACAGGTCCATCTCCTCCTGGCCGATTTTTGTCATTAGGGCACGCAGCATGAATGTAAACTCTTGGCTGTTTATGTTGTACGGAATGGCAATAACAGTATTATAGCGCAAGAGCAGGACTTGTATCCAGACTATGTCTTTAAGCTTTGGATCGTTCCACATTAGCATTTGCAGGGTGTCGGCATTTTTTTTCTTCCGAAGTTCATTTGCAAGCTCCTCATTGTTCATGCAGAGAGTGCGGTCTTTCTTCTCGACGGGGTCGTAGAACGTGACTTTCGTCTGAGCGAGCTTCCCTTTTGGGCTCTCGACAAATTTCTCCGAAGCCGGGGTAGGCCGCAGGTCTTCGTTTGTGTCGTACTTTGTCTTGCCTTTTCCGTCTCGCGAGTATTTGAAGAGGTATGTCTGGCTGATTTCTTTGTCTATCACGAGAACGGCCATGTGCGTGGGCTGGCTGAATATGTCCTTGAGGGCCTTGATGGACGCGTCTGGCGACCCTGTTTGGACGGACCCATAGAAGAGCATCTGCACCTTGTAGACGCCCATCGTGGTCTTTGTTTCGAAAAGCGCCTTGAACTTCTCCTCCAGGCAGAACAGCTCGTACGAGTACGAGATAATTTGCATAAAGCGGGCAAGCGCCACACGAGAAGAATTTTTGGAAACTATCTCTGGGGTTTTGTGCAGAGATTCTAGGAAGTGCAGGCTGTCGCCCACATGCGACTCTGGAAACGCCCCTCCTAGAAAGACAAACAGCATCATCTTTAGCAAAGCCACGTTCGTGTGGATGGGGATCTGAACGAGCATATCGGGCTGGTTTACATCCGTGTACTCCAGGTATATCTTCGCAGGGCTGTGCAGGTCGTTTCTAATTACGCAGGGGTTGCCCCATATGTTTTCTTTCGGTATTTTCAGACTTTTCACCAGAAAGTCTACAGTCTTGGGGGAGATTTCTGTCAAGTTCGTATTTATGGCAAACGTGTGCGTTTTATTGCATGGAAAGCTGCTGAAGGACAAAATCAAAATGCCATTGCAGCTGGCCAGATGCCCCAGATCAGACAGCTTGTGTGTGCTTCCGGGCGCGCCTTCTTCTTTATTAAGGCTCTTTAGAGCAGCTACGCTGTCTTGTATTTCAATCACTGTGGACGTGTCAAAGTTGTTTATCACAAAAAAGCTGGCAAAGTCTTGGTTGAGAGCCCGCTCCAGCACGTCCTCAGCCGTGGGATTCAAGATAAACCTCCCACAGGAGATCAAAGGATACCTTTTCTTGGCCGTTAGATTTCTCCTGTTGAGAATCCTAGCTGTCGTGTACACAACGTCGTCCAAGCACATGTACTGGATGTGGTTGCACTCTATAAACTGCTCGCGCGAAGAGCTGCAAGCCTCGCTGTCAGCTCCGCAGCGCACACCCGAAACAAGCACGCACGCAAAGACAGCGCCTGCAAGAGTGGATATTTTCTCTATAGCGCTTGGCATTCTTGCAAAAATTAATTCATTATCTAAATACATGTAGGCCGTGAATGCAACTTTTTCCCACGCATGGCGAAAGTGTGCTATTGTGTGCTTGGCTGTGCGCCTGCTCTTGGTTCTGCATGTACACGCAGCGCCGACTCGCGCTGTCATCTGCATATGGCAGACGTCATTTCATTGCAGTTTTATTTGGGCATGCTAACATCACAGGGCAAGCGCTGATCTGGCACAGCCGCTTGCAATGCAGTGCATCTGCCACCACACCATAATACAGCCGGACTTGCTGATTCTGAGAGTTCTGCTGCACGCCCGTAAAGCACCCGCCTCTTCTTGCGCTGTGCTGACACTGGAAAGCCTGGAATGCGCGTAGGCGATGTGTAAACAGTGCAGGCCAACCCTTCTGCGCCCACCACCTGTTTGCAGCGTTCGGGCTGCTTTTTCTCGACGCGTGTTCTTTGGCGCTTTTCTGGCCTTGAACTGCTTGTGTGCAGCAAATTCTGAAAACCAAAGCATTTATACAGCATTTTTAAAGCCTCAGCCTATACTCCGTTTTTTCTCTGAAAATACTTGGAGACTTTGTTTTTCTTCTCTTGCCAGCAAGAAGTTTACAGCGTAGAGGCACAAGTGCGATCGCGCCAGAGAAATGCACAGAAAAGCATAAAAGGCAGGAGAGAGCAGAAAGGCCTGCACTGAGCATGTAGAGATGGGTCCAACCTCTTAACATCATAGAATGCACGCACGTAAAAATAGACGCATATACCCGGACATGGCATATTCTAAGCGCGAAGTTTAGTATACTTTTCTGTATTTATTCTCACTTATGCTGCACTTTTGTTTTTCAACGCCTTTTGAATGATGCGGCGCTTTTGGAAATGGCCTGGAACGGTGCAGCTTGCTGCCCCACTAAGCAAGCATCCGCTGAGCGCATTGCTTTCATATGAAACTCTAGGGCCTTAAAGAATCTGCCATATCTCGATACACTTTCCTCATATATGCTTCAACGTGCCCCTTTGCAGGTGTGCGCAGATGGGGCTTTGCTGAACATACCGGCTCATGTGCGCCCACGCATCGATAAAAAGCCATTCTAGCCTGCATGAAAATGTAAAAGGGCGCTGGGGTGAGCTTTGGTGCCGAGCTATTTTACGCCCGCCGTCTTTCTGCTCTTGGGCTGCTTATTTTTTCTTTTTGTTTTTCTTCTTGCTCTTATGCCTGGTGCTGGGCTGTTTAGAGTCTGCGCTGTCCTTTTTGGAAACTGCGTCGTTTTCGCCAGAGGCATTTTGGGGCGCGTATAGGTCTGGCCATGCTTGTTGCAGGTTCCTGAACCCGCACACTTCTCCGTCTTTGTTCTGCAGTGTATCTTTGAACTTGGCCCTTTTTATGGCAATTGTTTTGGCGATGCCTAAAGAAGATACCATGCTCTTGTACAACACCATGTCTTGCTCGGACAGTCCTGCAGGCGCATTTTTAATTTGTGTCTTGATGTACCTTTCCTCCATAGCATCGAGTATGGACCGCGCTGGAGCGCCTCCCCACGTCTGTATCGTTTGATACTCGACCAAGTCAGCGCGTGTCAGCCTGTCCATTGCGAGCGTGTTTATCATTTGGTCGCGCGCTCTATTTTGCAGTTCTAAAAGGTTTTTGACTTTATGTGCATCAAACAAAGAGGTCAGAATCTCCATAAAGTCGCTCGAGAACACGTCGTATCTAGTTAGCACAGAGTCCTCTTTGTACTGGGTGTCTAGTTGAACGCATATGATGTCGTGCAGGGAGGGGTCGTTCCACATTACAATTAGCGGATCATTTACCTCGGGAGAGGCTGTGCCGCGCGCCTTGAGTGGCTTGCGGCCCTTTATGATGATGGTGTTGTCCTCGTCGGGCGGCCCCACTGCAAAGCAAAAGTCCTTTTGCAGCTCAGTTTCTATTTTGTCATACTCGAAGGGAATTGTCGCAGGCATGAACTTGCCGTCTGGGTCCCAAGGACACCCGCTGGCGCTGTACTCGAACATGTACATTTGGCTTAGAGAGCTTTCTATAACAAGAACTGTAATTACGTCCTGCCGGATGAACTCGGCCTTCAGAAGACAAGCAGCGGTATTCGGGGTCTTCATCTTGGTCTTCACCTCAGACAGCCACACCATGGGATAAAACGCGCGCTCGTGTGGCTCCCCGGTTCTGTTTTTCAAAATTCTTTTGAAAAGCTTGCTATTGTTCAGACAGGAGGAAGTATTCTTGCATATGGAAGTTATAAACCTGTGCATCCCGCGATGTAAAAGCATTGGAGGGCCTTGCGTATACACAGAGGAATGCAGGTTTGGCTCGCAGACAGAAGACTCAGGAAGAAACCCGCCTGCAAAAACGTGCAGGAGCATGTGCAAAAGCGGGCTCTCTATGCTCAGCATGTGGGAAACTAGCTTGTTTTCCTTCCGGTCAATCCACTCCAGCCGCAGCTCGTCTGGGCTGCTAGGCACGCTTTTTATTACGCACACGTCCTGCCATATGTTTTCTTTTGGCACGCCCTGGTGCAGGATGCAGGAGTGCACTGTTTCTGAAACCTTCTCCAGGCCTGTGTTGATGGCGTATGTGAGATGCTCCTTGCACACCCATTTTTGAAAGACAAGATACAGAACGTCTGAAAAGCTCGAGATACGGTTTAGCAGGAGCAGAACCTTTTCGCTATCGGACAAGTATTTTGCGCTGCCGGCTTTGTCCACAAAGGCTGGGTGGTCTTTTCTGAATTCAAGGCCCAGGACAGTTCCCGTGTCAAACCTGTTTATAAAATAGAAGCTTATGGTATTTGGGCAGGAAAGGCTTTCTTTAATCTGCCCCCAGTTAGGGTTGATAATGCAGTATCCGCTTGACATTGTCGGGTACACTTTCCGAGAGTGCACGTTGCTCCTGTTGAGCCAGCGTATGAATTCATAAATAGTTGCATCCGAGGCCAGGTCCTCTTTTTTCGTGGAGTTTGTGCTTGTGCACACCCGCATGCAGTGTATAACATACACAAGCAGGAAAATTGTGGTGTTTTGATAACTTTTTGAAACTCGCATGGTTTATGCGAAAATATGCTGCAGATATTTAAATATTTGCACATGTCGATCATTTTCAAGACAGTGGGCTTTCCCCCTGTTATCTTTTAGCTCCGTTGAAAACAGAACACACGGAGAGATTGCATTTCTATCTGATAGGCATTAAAAAGCCCAAGACGCAGCGGCGGCCATCTGTAAAGTCAGTTGCAATTTTGGAAATGCGCGATTCTGTCTGTACCGCTCTTACGCACAGCTTTGCCGCATGCCTGGAGCAGCTTTCTTGCACAATTCCGCGCAGTCTGCGGAATTTCTGGGGCACGGCCAGAAATAGCACTGAGTGACCGGCCTGTCTTTTCGGGGCAAGGCCACTCATGCTTGCAGGGATTGGAGGTGCTAATTCGCTTTATTTATTTCTGGACAGTTGCTGTCCAAAGTCTAGTGGCCAGATAATTCTAGGGGTTTTCCAATGGGGCGTCTGCACACGGAGCAGGCGCTTCTTTGTTGGGGAGGCTGCTTGGCGAGTCCGCGGCCAAATTTGAGCGAATCATGGGCTTGTTCTTGCACTCGGCCAAAAGGCAAATAAGCTCTTCGGGGGTTTTTTCTAGAAAAAACTTCATTTGTGAATGCTTGTACATTGCATATCTGTCGGCTGCTATTTTCAGCGATCTTACGTGATTAATCATATCCGCTTCTTCGTCGAGAGGCGCTGCAGAGGACGCGCTTTGGGCAGAGCCCTCCTGGCCTTTGGAGTGCTTCCCGGTTTCTTCAACAATTTTCTTTATGCTTGTGAGCTTCACATTGGAGAAAGAAGGATACTTAATTGTCTCGTCCTTTTCCATTTCCGAGCGAAATATTTTGTTGTCTTCTGCCCGAGCAGCCATCAGGACTTGGGACATGCTGTCCTCGAGCTGGCTTTTGGTTGTTTTCCGCATGAGAGTCTGTAAAACCGCCTGGAACCTGGAGTCCCCCAGCCGGTATGGTACTATGTGCAGGAAATTGGAGCCTGCAAAGATCACCTGCACATACACAATGTTATCTTTTTTAAGGTCATTCCATATGAAAACCATGGCTCCGCACTCACTGGGGGCTTGCTTCTGTGAAGACCTGTCGTTGCTCTCAAAAAGAGAAGGGATGCTTATGCGGAAGTTTTTGCCAGTGTGATCGTGCCCGAAATCGAACTGCATGGGGTTGTCGCTGGGGTTGCTGTTGAGGGGGTCATATGATGTCATTTTGGGCTTGAAGAGGATGTCCGAGTCCTCTTCGCTGGACTTAAAGCAGCTTCTGTTGTACTTAAACAGGTACATTTTGTCCAGGCGCCCGTCAATCGCAAGAACATGCATGGTTGACCGGTTGTCAAAAAATCTGTATATGGTTTCTGCGCTGACCTTGGCCATATTATACACCATGGATCTATACACAAGTACCTGGGCGCCCGTCAAAACTTCCTTCGTCTCGCTCTTGTATACTTTTTCAAGATTCTTTCTGACCTGTTCCGAGTTGAAAGTGCTTGCAATCGCCTCCATGGCGTTAAGAATGTGCATGTGCGCAATTTCGTAGGTTGAGTGCATGGGAAGATTCTTGGCCACTTTTTCTATAATGTGGGGGTCGTAAATGTGGGACTCTGGAAAGTGGCCTCCTGTCAGCAGAAACAGCAGCCTGTCAAGCAAGGGGTCGTCCAGCTTAAACTCAGCCCGAATGACGATGTTCTCGTCTCTGCTAAGGTACTCCAGATAGACCAAGTTGGGTTTGCCCAGAACGTTCCGCACTACGCACAGATTCTGCCATATATGCTCCTTTGGGATGTTCAGATTATTCACCATGTTTTCAAACAAGCGCGCGCCTATGGGCTTGTTGTGCGTGTTTATGGCAAACGTCGTGCGCTCGCCCTTGTTAAAGAAGGTCGCCAATAGAAGCTTGGAAATGCCCGCGGTCTTCCTTAGCATGCAAAGTAAAGGCTGATCCTTTGCTTTGAAAAAAGCGCCGAAATCCTTTGAGTGTTCTATCCCCAGGCTGGAGCTCCCGTCAAAGTTGTTCACGACGTGGAAATACATTGTTTCTTCTCGGGCGAGGTACATTTTAATCGAGTTCCAGGTTGGATTCATGATCAAATTCCCACAGCTAAGCACCCCGATGTTTTTGTGCGTCGAGATGTTTCTTTTGTTGATAATGCGAATTATTTCATGCACAAAGTCCGTTCTTTCCAAGTCGTTCAGTTTTTTTATGTCGTACAGCTCCTGGCATGCATTGTCCAGGCCCCGCATCGAGTAGCAGTCTGAAGCTGCACACCGATGCGCGCCCAGCCAAATTACTACGAAGAAAGCCGCAAGTGTTTTTGAATTTATTATGTTTCTATATCCTGCCATTTTTGAAAAAATATGCTATATGCGGCAAATATATGCATTTTCAGCACGCCATCACCTTTTAGCAAAGTATTGGGCATCACAAACAACGTCAAACTGGCTGTTTTGCTTGGACTTTTTGCAAAAGCACGCACTTCTGCAAGGCCCTGCCTGGCTCTAGAAGTCCCAAGCGGGCATGCTGGCCAATGCCATGCGGTGCAAGCCGCTGGAGCTGTTCTTCTGCTGTGAAAGTACGCAAAAAGCAGAAGCTTTCCCGTACGAGAAAAAGATCATGCGAGATGCCAAAGTGCATGCTAGCGTATTTATTGCTCCAGCGTGCTCGGGAGCATGCATTGTATTTTGTCCAGGATTGCTTTTGGACTTTGCGCAGACGAGACTACTTCTGCGCCTTAGTGCTTTTCCAAGTTGGCAATTTATTATTTTCTGAGAGTAAATCCGCTGGGTCAACTGGAGGCCCATGCGGCAGACGCAAAAGAACAAACCCTACGGAAAATGTGCTCATTCAAGCTGGATCCTTTCTGCAGAACGGCACACAAAGCCTCGGGCGCCAGCAGGGCATTTCAGGGCATTTTCTGTTTATGCCGACAAAAGCGCCAGATAGAAAGGGCATGTGCATGCGCCATACTTTATGCAGATGTGTGCATCTGGGCTACTCGGCGTACTTTATGCGGGTGGGCTCGTGCGGGTACTCTCCAAACATGTCCAGGTGTCTGTGCGGCTCTTTTAACAGTTTATCCACAGAGTCTGCTTTGAGGGTGTTTCTTATCTCAGCGCTTTCCCTCGCCTCAGCCCGAGTCAAATACAGGTTGTTGAAGACCTCTATTTTCTCCTTGGGCGGCAAAACTCTGTACACTTTGTTCTTGTTTTTGTCCGTGGTGCACGCTTTTCTAAGCTCCTGCATTCGATCGGCCAGGTCAGCCTCTCTTTTCACAAGGTCTTCCATGACTTGCTTGGCGCTCTCATGTGTGAGCTTGTGCTCCTCCGTGGGAAGCGCGCAGAGAAGGTCGAGGTACGCGAGAGAGAACGCCGCCCTCTGATTCATGGCATATGCGATGCATCTTGTCTGGGTCTCTTTAATAGCTTGGTTTGACAATGGGCACATTAAGTATTGCAGAATTTCCCGAAACTCCTCTCCTTGCACGTGATACGGGATTATTAGCGGCTTGGCGTTGGGTGTTTCCTCCACCTGCACCCAAACAACGTGCGCCTCGCTTGGGTCATTCCACATGGAAAGGCACATTCCTTCAGAGCCGCCCAAAACATCCTGTTCTGGGGCGGAGGAAAGAGGGCCTTCGAGAGGCGCATCTGGGCTGGCCTTCTCAGGCAGTGGCTGCAGGTACGGCGCGTCTTCGTTCTCTAAGATGGCCCTGGGCCGTCTCGTGTTTCCCGGGTCGTTCTTTGAAACGACCGTGTAGTCTTTCGAGTACTCAAACAAGTGCATGTGGCTGATGTCTCCCTGCACAGTCACAAGAGAAAGTTGTTCAGGCTGCTGGAATATTTCGACAAGCGCATCAATGCACTTCTTTGTGAGGCCGTTTTTGATGGCCTCGTGCAGCATGGCCTGCAGCTTGAATATGCACATTCCTGCCCCCATTTCTGCAACTTTTTCGATTTTATCGGCGATGCCTTTCTGCGCGTACGTGCTCGCCAGGAGCTGCACACACCTCACTATTTCCACGTGAATTTCACGGTCAGACTCTATGGGGGGATCTGTGTATATTCTTTCGGTGGCTTTTTCGCTGCACGAGACAGACTCTGGAAGGTGTCCGCCGGAAAAGACAAAAAGCAGAGTTCTTAAAAGAGGGTGGTGCTTGCCGATGCGGATGCTCGCTATGCTGTCCGAGTCCTCCTGCCTGTACTCCAGCCGCACATAATCCTTGTCCGTGAAGCTGTTTCGAATAACGCACATGTTGTGCCATGTGTTGGCTTTCGGCATGGCCATCTCCGTGGTCATGTAGTCGTACACGCACTGACTCATCAGAGAAGGGTTTGTGTCGAGGGCAAACATGTGGTTTGTTTTTAGCGGGTACTCAACAAACCCGAGCATGATAAGCCCAAAGGCGTTTCCCAGATGGGCCAGCGAGGACAAGAGCTTGCTTTTGGGCTTTCTGTCCTTCGGGATGAAAGAGACCGCGGGCTTGGATTTTTTTTTGTGAAAACAGCGTGTAATCGCCCAGTTTAGCTCAGATCGGGGTTTTAAGACGTCTCTGTCGAAGACCAGGCCTATTGTGGTCGAAGTGTCAAACTCGTTTATGGCAAAAAAGCTCATAGTATCGGGCCGGTGGAGAGCGCCTTGCATGCAGGTCCACGGAGGGTTTAGAAGGTAGTTGCGGCAGGACGTAGTCACCTGCTTTTTTCTGCCTAGAAGGTTTCTTCGGTTAATCTCCCGCATGACTTTGTATACGGCAGTGGTTTCTTTTACGTAGGATTCTACCCTGTCCTTAAAAAGAACTTCGTGGCTCGCACAGGACGGGCCTTGTGGAGGGGTATGGGCTGCGCAATGCACCCTATCCAGAACCATGCATAAGAATAGAAGAGTCCCGCAAAAAGCCAGGCCTCGTGATTTGATTGCATTCTTCTGCACAAGCATGGGCGAAAATTCGCTTTTTACTTTTAAATACCAGATTTGCAGTGATCTTTGAGTTTTATGAGTGCACTGTCGTATAGACGCGGGATTTTCGGCATTTTTGAGCGATCGATTTGACCTTTATGCATCGGTGCGGGTGCAGGGCGGGAAGTATTCAGGCAATGTGCTGGCTCTTCTGGGGTTACAGGGTGGGCTACTGGGCCCTCCAAAGCGCAGCCAAGCCTGGAAGCCATGCATTCAGCGTGCAGAAAGAGAAAGATCAAACGGACGCACTTGGATGCCCACGCAGAAAGTGCAGGCAGGAAGAGTCTTTGCACGGGCATACACGATTTATTTGTTAGAAGCTGGAAAACCCCCAAAATTAGCGCAAGCGCCGGTTGGGCATCTTTCGTGCGCTTTAAATGGCAATAAGCACAGAGAGCAGCATGGAAAAGAGGAAAAGCCCGACAAAAAGCGAGTCAAACCGCTTTTTCATGTCGCACACCGCCACCTCCTTTCCTGCGCACGAAGAGAGGTTGTTGGAGACCTTTCCGCTGGACATTTTCGACATAGAGTTCCTGTTTCTCAAGCCGTTTCTTTCGGTGGTGTCCGACACGAGGGCGCTTATCTGCGTCATTTTTCTGAAGGTCTCGGTCCACTGGTTGCTTCTGACGCGGCTGTCCAGATTTTTAATGCTTTGCAGAGTTTTCTGCATGGAGTCAGCCGACTGGTATACGCCGGCCTTGCTTATGTCTGCCTTGTGGGGGTTTGTGGATATCAGGTTTTCAAACTCGCCTCTCACCTGGAACAGCCTGTCCAGCTGCCCAGAGACTGC